GACACAAAATGTTCTCCAATTTATTTGTGTCTGCTGCTGTTGAGCAACAGGAAGATAAAGTGAAAGAAGGACGTCAGGGGAGCAAGAACAACGATGGAGATCTGAACAGACAGAAAGGATGACTAACACAATTCGTATTTACACCGTGATTGATTTGATCGTGATTGAGTAAAACACAATGTTAAGCCTACAGAAATAGCTTGAGATTTGGGGATTTACAGGTGTTTTTTTTCTTGCAGATAGTCGGGTGAGAACATTGGATGCTGCAGTCGGTGAGCTTAGCTTAGCACGAAAGATTGGAAACAGAGTGAAAAATGTTGCCAGATTCAGCCCAAAGTTTAAAACTACCAACAATGGACGAAAATAATCTTGGACACAACTCCTTGTAAAACAGCCAATTATCATTTGAGCCAACGTCCGATGGACTGAACTGGACTGTAGATTCTGTAGACTCAGCTGCAAAGTAAATTAAAGTTTCCAGATATCAGTCCATTCCTTTAAATGCTTATCATTGCGAGATGCAACAGTCAAAAGATGAGTACGTGGTCAGGATAAGCAAACTAATGCTTAACATTAATGTATCATTACATTTCGTCAGTGAAACGGTTTGGTTTTGTCAGTTGGTAAAAGCAGAAAGAAGGCAAAAGAAAAATGTCCCTCGCACCGAGCCTGCGAGGTAGCTTTAATATTTGGTCCCTGCACCTCTGCTCTTTAGCCCGACTGGAGCCGGACCACGAGAGAGACCAAGTCTGATTGACTGCGCGGAAATGAAGAAGGGGAGAGCTGTTGCCATGGGGACGAAGAGCGCGGCCTTTTCACTTTCCTTTTCCCTTCGAGTAACAGTAATTGGTGATAAACTTGAGGGGAGCGGCTGCAAGGCGGTAATCGGGGAGTGTGTGCGTGTGTCTCAAAGTCCGTTTGTGAGTAAAGGAAAGTGGAAACTGTGTTTGTGTGTTTGTGTGTGTGTGTGTGTAAGACAGAGAGAGAGTTTGTTTTCTAGTCAGCTGAAGATGACTCAGGTTCAGCTAATAGATCCTACGCATGGCACCACAACCATTGAACCCACTAAGGATCCAAGAGTTCACTGCAACTCCACTTTTTACTTACAGCCTGCAGGAGGAGCTACAGGAATAACGAGGAGCTCACACACACAAACACTCAGACTCACACTCAGACACTCCGTCACGCACACACACACCTAGGAGCCACGTACAAACAACCGCGGGTATAGAGCCGGATAAGAAGAGCATCATTTTGGTGTCAGGACGAGGAAACAAAACAGCTACACAATATTTGTCCCTGCAGGCCTTTTAGCTGTGTGCTTTTGTCATGTTCATTTAAGATTTTGTTGACCTCAGAGAAGCTGCACGTGCTCCAGATTTTATCTTGAAGGTCAGAGAGCATGCGAGGTCGGGCGTGTTTACTGCGTCCAGGGCGTAAATGTTGCTGCTCATAAACCTGAAAATGCGCATTCACATTGCAAACTGTTTTTGACAAAGTAAATTACTTCACGGACCATTTATTGCTCCTGCGGAGCTTTACGATCGCGTCGCTTGTGTTCAAATGTCTTCTACTCCTCCGAGCGCAGAATCAAGGTCATGTTGGATTCCATACAGGAACATTGTGTTGCATGTTTTCTCCGTCTGCTTCTCTCTGCCGAGAACAAAAACGCTCCCGCTGTGATGGAATCGTAGCGCCCATGGAGTGAGGTGTTGAGGAAATCCTCTAAGGCGTGCGCAGACACAACAGGTTACCTGTTGAAGCCTCTATTTTCGCATATTTCTGCAACATTGCTGCCATTTTTGTGTTTGACGTTTCGAGCAACAGTGTTTCCAGTGTTCCTGCAGCTATTAGGAGCAAATAGGAACGGACCGTAAGTGCTGCAGAGTGTAAGGGTGGTGATGGTCTGTGACGGCCATTTTTGCATAAGATTGGCGTCTAAATACATGTAGGCCTACATGTACTTTTTATTGGTAAACATTCACATTAATAATTGCACATGGGTGCTAACTTGAAGGATGTTTGTGTGATTCTCTGCCGCCTACATTAATTATAGTCTTATGTAAACATCATTTAGCTGATTTCTGCGTCAGTATTTTGCTCACTGCCAAGTGAGTCTCTTGGGTTGAACTCCCTTCCCTCTCGTCTCTCAAGCTGCTGCCACCTCTCCTCTATCTTATTAAGGCATTCTCGTGATGGGGACTTTAAAGTGGCTCCAGACATTTGTTTTTAAATCTCAAAGGCCCTTCAGGGGAGGATGGAATTCACCTCGGCTTCGTTTATAGGCAAATGGCCACAGTTAAGAAAACGTGTGAGAGATGTTGTGCACAACAGTGAGGACCCACCAACACAAACACATTAACTTAATGCATCTTGCCGCGTTCTGAGAACACGCGTCATCTTCTGATGAGGATCCGGTGCATGACAAAGACAGAAGGCTGTGTGCTGCTTCACCCAACGTGTGATGCAGATCTCCTGCCCTGATGTACCAGAGACTACGAAGAGGCACGTGCTACTTTGGAAATGTGTGAAGCTCCTGATGCAGTTTGACACTACTGATCTGAAGTAAAACATTAAGTAAAACACAGCATGGCCTCTGACAGTTGGGCCTTTTACGGTATAATGAAAAAATGCTGCCGAGATCAACACCTTTGATGCTCGATCGACTGGTTTCCTTGACAACACAGCAGAGGATTTCTAAAGCTGGAAAGGGTTGAATATAAACTGAATGAATACGACCCGAACAAAGGTGTCCAGTCGATTGCAACCTGCAGAACAGTCCAAGGCTCACCAGTGGTGGAATTAGAAAGATGGCAGCAGGTTCTGGCAGTGTGAAAGAAAACTCAGGAGTCAAAGCAATGATCCCCAACTGGACTGATGCCTCATGCGGCTAAACACCGCTGGTGGATTTAGCAGAAGCAGTGAAAGACACAAGGTACGACTTGGTACACACGGTGCGTGATCGTTACGCTTTGTTACCACACTGCTTTGTGTTGAGTTTTGTTTGCTTTTAGAACGGGCCATATGAGGTCCACTTGTATTTTGGTTGCTTACTAGATGATGTCTACATGAAAACACATTTCTTTTACAGTCTGTCTGAATGAATCTGTATTCACTCAGTCAAAGAGCTTTAGTTTAGCGCCTGTTTCTGTCTGCTGTAATGGCTTTTCTAGGAAAACATAGTGAAACATGTTTGCAAAGGTACATTTCAAGCCTTGATTGGAACGACCCAGAGGACTGCTGGTTTGAGTGTGTTTTTATGAGACTGGGTGTGACATAAATGTGAATGATTTGTAAAATCATGTTTTCTGTTTTAGCAGCACAGCGTTTGGGTTGTCGGCACAGCAGATACCCAAATGCACGTGCACAAACGCTGAAAAAAGGAATTTATCATAGCATGACTCTTTTAAAGACCACTGGATGGTAGAGAAGAAAACGGGACTTTAACATTAACATAATAATTACACAGTTTGAATGAGCAATTGAGAATGAATATAAATGCTAATGTGACATAAATTACAGATTATTATCAACAGAACAGATTCTCCCTGCTTCTTGCAAAGCTGTGTAACGGGGGAAGGAAAGGGGGAAACGTAATAGAGGCAATTTACCTGTAAGCAGTCAAACCTCCCAAAATGACACAAAGAAAACTAAAATCTAACTCCATACTCACACCGCAAGCTCATTTACCGCTTCAAAATGCAACAAAAAGTGTTCAGTGTTTGTTGTCCTGCCGCCTTAGTTGGTTGGTTTATATTCTGAGGACGTGGTTGAGGAATCTGTGAGAAGACAGTCATCAGACCCACACATGCTTTTCACTGTTGAACCAATTCAGCCTGAACTTGACCTGGAGGAGGCCTCCCCGTCTGCCGATGCAGTGGAGGCTAAACGAAGTGTCACTCACTCGCGCTCTTCCACCGTGTGGGGACGAGGGGGGAGCTGGCTCACACAGGTGGACGTCCACACTCCGGGGACCTGCCATTGTCCCTCCCGTTGTTTGGCCGTCTCAGGCTTTGCGGCACACAACGGAAAGGTACGCTTTATTTTTGGGAGCCGGCAGGTGGCCAGGTGCACCGTGCGGGTCGGCCCCCCTGAGGCTCATCTCCTCAGTTTGAACATTATCTCCGTGGTCCATTCATGGCCTTTCTCTGAATTGGACTCATCTGTCTTTATCCCTCTGCTTTATGCAGCTGCTGTTATGACCTATGTGGTAAAGGCCATTCAATGTGTGCGTGTGTGAGAACGGTCTCGTGTGCGATTCCCTCTCGGGGCTCTACGGTGTGTGTCTTGAGGTACAGAGTGACCCTGATGTGTCAGCTCTGCTTAGAAGAATGAACGGAGCTGGTGGACCACCGTGACTCACACTCACACACACACACACACACACACACACACACACACACACACACACACACACACACACACACACACACGGGAGACCTCCTCAGGGCTCTCACTTTGATCGCTGCACCCCACACACACACTCTCCTGACATATTTCCTCGAAGCACATCTACAGGCTTCCATTTTAAGGATGTAGCATGACGTGCCGCGAGTCCTTCAGGCCTCCATATATTTTTGTGGGCAATCTATGTAAATGTGATGTCATGTGTTTGTTGCTCAGCTTGTTTTCAGTCGGCCTGCGGGGTCGACTGGAGCTGGACTGTGCGTGTTTGTGCAATATTTTCATAAAAGCGCTGAAGAAAAACAAGTAGATTACCACGAGGGCGAAGCAGAGCTGCAGGACATCGACCTTTTGCAAGAGAAAAATTTACTTTGTGACCAAGTAATTTTATGCCTATTCAGACTACGAATGGCTTTATTGAAAAGAGGATCAGAAAGAGGCAAAGGGAAAGACTTCTAAAATGTCTCCATCATCCCATTGACTTCTCTACAATAGTCACAGATGTTTGTGCAGTTATCAATGTGAAAACATCTCTGCGCTGTTTCCAATATAAATGAAGAACTAAAAACACAAAATAAGTGCTTTTAGAAGTCAAATAAGTCAGAAATTGTTTTATTAGAAGGGTAAAAACTATATGAAAAAATGGAAAGGAGTGTAAAAAGGGCGAAAACTTCTCAATGTCTGCCAGAAGGTATAAAGAGACCGAAACAACAAGTACAGTTAGAGTGTCTGTGTGAGAATTAAATAACTACTTACATTTAGTTTACATGTGTGGAAACATATCACTTCAACACCTGCTGAAACCCTGCTGAAACCAAATTGATCCTCAAATTCAAATGGACCGTTTGAACTGAATACGGATAAAAAATAATTATTTTATGATTCATATTTGCAGTTAATGTTCGGACCATCCAGGTGCAGAGCCGTCTTCTCCCCTGCGGATGTCCGTACTATAAGAAATCTGTACAACGCGGAAGAAAACCGGTGGCACAAACGTGACTTTGCAGGAGGGGAAGATGGAGAGTTTAAGCCTGGATGGTGACACAGATAAACAAGTTGTTTCATGGCTCTCGTTTGGACAAAGTGTGTCACCAAGTAGAAGAATGATAAGACACTTTAATTTGTTTCTTTTGCTTCCAGGGTTTGCACTTAAACTTCAGCGCTCCGTTTTAACGATCAAACTGTAACAAACATACAGTCACAAAGATTGTGCACAACAAAACATAAAAAGGCATTTCATGTAATCTAAAATTTCATAAATACTGCCGGTTAGTGACAAGGCTGCCTGTGTATGTGTGGATTCACTGTTTGTCTGTCATCACATGTTTAGAGGACGGCGCTGTGGGAAGCGGCGCCGCGGCCAGCTCGAGGTCGGCTCGGGGAAGTCGCCTGGTACAAGGGGTTTGAAATGTGACCTACTTAAGATGCTTGATTCAGAATGTGGTACAATGGAAAAATAAAAGTTGCTTTTGATTTATCATGTAACAGGCTACGGTCCTTTTGCTCTCAAATGGTCCTTTCTTCTTTCATTAAAAATAAAAAAGGGGGGAATTAGCATAAACCTCTCATTCCAATATTTCCCAAAAGCAACAATGTAATGCAAGATAAAGCTTGCACATTTAAAAGCACGCCTGCACATATTCACATATTCTGTATGCACAGAGTATGCGAGTATGCAACCCTGACCAAGGTTTTTTGCACAGTACAGGAAAATCGAAGCAACAGATCCATCACGTGTCCTTTCTCAGCTTTACCTCTCCATCCTCGTCTCAGGTCCCCGTGGAACAAACCCGGGACAGAATCGGGTCACGAGCTTCTGTGACATCAGCCGTGCTTACAATGGCAATTATTCCATTTTGAACTGCAGGAAGATCCTGACGATTCTTTGAGCAATAAAAGCTGGAATTTCATAATACATTCATAATAGAATAAACTGTATTCTTCTATATAAAACAAAAAGGATTTAAGCATTCAATGCTAGTGCTTAGAATAACTTGACTTAGTACTTTTCTGAAGTATTGAAGGCTTCTCTAAGCGTCTTTTGGGCTTCTGTGCCATAATGCAATGCGTGGTTTGCGTCACGTGCCACCGATCATTGGAAATAGTTGTGCATGGGGTGAAGACTCGCCGCGCATCCATCATGGTCCTGCAAACGGCGCCCGGCTGCTTCCTCTGCACAGCGAGTCAAGGAGAGAGGATTTGTGCAGGGAGGCGCGTGGAGGCTTACATTTTCATACCATCCGGTTTGTCCGTGTTTTAGTCAAGTTCATATTCAAAAGGGGGCGGATTGCAGTCGGAGGCAATAATCCACATACAGTAGTGTCCATCATTCTAGTCCTTATGATCGCGAAAAGAACGATGACGTCGCTGGAATGTTCAGAGATCACCTGGCGCTGACTGCACCCCCTTCGAAGAATAGAAAGTTTTCAAATAGTTTTTTCTATTAAAAATACATATTAGATCAAATGAATTGTTTTAGCACTATTCACTACTCACAGAGATGTTACTGATTAGCTATGGCGGCTTTTCAATCATTTATTTCATTCACTAACTGCGTCACTAGCCAACGTTCATCATGACATGTGAATCCAAATTCCTTTGCTTTGAAAGTGGTGCATCGTGTCAAAGTAAATGATCTTACCGTTCCTGCAGGGGTCATTATCGAACATCTCTTAAGAACTGAAAGACAGACAGCACAGAGGTCATGACAGGGAGGGAGATGGACAGATGGAGAAACCGAGAGGCGTAGAAATAGACAGAGTGATAGACTGAAGACTGGAGGCAAAGAGCTTAAGAGGCAAGCAGGTGTGGATGGAATGTCTAAGAGAGAAAAGACGTGCTGATCAGGGCAGAGAGCGCTGTGGTGAACGGGTGATAAGGATTCAAAATAGGCACAACAAACACCATCAGATTCACCTCGGGAGTCATAAAACACAACTGCCCCCCCAGACACACACACACACACACACACACGTACGTACGTAGATAAATCTCTCCTCCACCAACACGCACACAAATATCTTGCATAAATCACGCTGCTACTGCTGCCCCATCACCAAAGCGATCACACCGCCTCTCAAGCTCTGAACATTGTTTTTTTTACATGCACTAGAAGACAAGGATCAATAGAAAAATATCTGGGAGGCAAAAACCACCCTGGAATTGCTTTTTCGCCGACGGAAGCAACAGCAGACTGTGTTGAATTCTTATGTGCTGCTGCTGCTGCAGTCTGCAGCAAACTAATGAGAGGCATGTGACGGCCACGGAAACACAAGAAGGAGACAACTTCATCCTCGTATTGTGGACATTGGGTCCCATGCCAGCAGGACTGAGAGCAGAGTGAATTACTTTGGATGGCTGCGCTCAGTTTTTCTAGAAAAATAAGCACACAGATGGTGAGGCGGATATTGATGTTGTCTGGATTAATGTCAGTGTGTATGTAGTCCGACAAAGCTACAGCGATGGCGTTTGTCAAACTCTGGCCAGGTGTACAACTCGGAGCTGATGTGCCAGAAGCAGAGCTGTGAAACATCGAGTTGGCGAGAGGCCATACTTTGCCTGCGGGCATGAGTTCCCTTTAAATGTTTTATTCGGAGTTTCTGGGGTTTGCGAAGCTCCAGCAGAGCCTCACCAGATTTACCATCGCTGTAATTCCTGTTTTGTTTGGTTCTCAATTCCAACCTACAATAGGAAGATGATGGTGTCTACTCCTCCTCCCCTCATCTGGATTCTTAAACATATTTAGATGCAGACAAAACCTGGTAATTTATTCTCCAGTCTTGGAATCCAGGCTAATGAAAACACTTTAAGGAAGCGCACTTTGGTCTATTTTTATGTAAAAACAGCCAGTTTAAGAACCCAGATCCTGTCATAACGATTAAATCAAAGATGAATCATGGTACAGAGATCACTGATTCTGCACAGATGTGACCCCCAACTCCTGTCTTACTTATGGCGGAAGTGATTAACAAGAAGAGTCGACAAATATTGAAGCACAACCAAATGTGCAAAGTACAATTCTGAGGATAGTTTTTCTTCCAAATGGACGTCACTCATTGTACAACTATTTCTTGGCCATTACAGATTTGTTCACCTGTCCGGTGAGGATCAGGGTCGAGGGTCCGAAGCACCTGTTCAGCATTAGTGTCTCTGATGAGCCAGTAGCTTTGCATTGAGCTTCCTGGTCCGACTGAGATTAGTCCCCGGTGATTGGTCGGTTCACTCACAGCAAGCGCGTCTTGGCTGAAAGCTGCAACGCTGTTCCGCATCTCATTCTCGCTGCCGCGCAGCGGTATCAGTGACACATTACCGTGGCGCGTTTCCGGCAGCGCGCGGCTAGCGCGTGTCTGTTGGAGTCCGTCCTGAGGCCACACGTCGCCGTCGTACTTGACCGAGGAGAGGGCGCGAAAACACAGGGAGGGAGGACGAGGGGAGAGATTTTTAATTACTACAATACAACAGGTTAAAGGCGATATGCATGTGAAACTTAAACAGTCCTGTTGAAGTAAACACCGACAGTGAGATCGCTAATGCTGAGGATCACTGGCTGCTTACGAAAATTCAAGAATCTAGATTTATTGCAAATATTATACCAACAACATCCAAAAATTAGGTGTATAAAAGCCAGTAGAAATAGTGTGTGTGTGTGTGTGTGTGTGTGTGTGTGTGTGTTTGTGTTTGAGCTCGCACCTGGATACTTAGAAAAGTGGCATACCACTCCCTCATGTCTGACAGGGAGTCACAGCAGAGATACCTGCAAATAAATAGAGTGTTAAAGTGGTAAGTAAGGGAGGTGGTGTGTGTGTGTGTGTGTGTGTGTGTGTGTGTGTGTGTGTGAATACTGAGTGGAAGTGTTTCTGGTCTGAGGAGAGAATAAGTCAGAGAGGGACATTTGGAGAGAGAACCAGACAAATTATTATTACTACAAACACAATTTGACATATCCTCTGATATAGCGCCACGAGTGTAAACACAGAGTGTGAATCCTAATTTAAACTCCCAGCGAAGAAAAAACACTTTGATTAGAACCCTCAGCGTTCGGTGTGTGTGTGTCAGTGAAAAGTGTGTTCGTCTCGGTAATGTCTGCGTATGAGTGGCTGCGTAACTTATGCCGCTGCGAGTCATCAGCGATGCCGTGGTGCTGAATAAATCATCTTATTTATACAATGGTTATTGTTATGAGCAGATTTAGACTACAACAATTATTCAAGTGCCCTCCATTGAGACACAACAAAACACCAACAGACTTGAGAACTTAATAAGATACGGTATAGTGTGTGTAGCACACACACATTAGCAGCTGGAACAAATGCTGCTCATTATCATCGCCGGTTTTCATAAAAAGGCTCAGAATGAAATTTCCATAACATTCAGATACTTTAAGTAGCTTAAGTGCAGTGATTGGAAGGAGGTGGCGATAATGCTAACAGGTGCTAGTCCGTTTTGATGGGATGGAAGCGTTAACAAGATAAAACTATGCGGATTAAAAGTGTCGGTGGGCGAGTAAGTTTGGGAGAGAGAGCCACAGGGGCGTCTTCTCATCCATTCATTTCCCCATCATTTTAATTTCATCCTTATCTCAAACCAGGCTTCTCCTCACTTTTCATTCACACACTATTTAACTTCCATCCACATCCCCCTCCGGTGTGCCCTCTTTGCTGTGAGCAACATGCCGACAGAGCGTAACCTACGAAGGGATGCACATTATACGCGAGCGGAGTAGAATAAATGCATGGTTACAGGTGTACAGGCGTGTTTCCCCCCCTGGGTGGAACCGACCTTTCACGCGCCTCCTCCCCCAAACCCTCACGCAGGGACATGACCCTTTACCTCTGGCCGCAGCCCACACGCCTGCTTTCTCTAACACGGCTATGTGTGCATGCATACATCAAAAACGTAATTGTAGTACGACCGCTTTTAGTAGCACGGTAGGAAAGACGTTTAAAAGACTTATGAAAAAGCCATCATCTTCAGTTCAAGCCAAAGCGAGTGACACTAAGGTGTAAAATTGATGAATGAGAGTAAAAAGCTTGGAAAAAAACCACATGTGTGCTTTAAAAAAGGGACAAAGTGAGCCGGACTGGCCTGAGCTACGAGTACTATGACAGCTGTGTCCATCCATCCATCCGTCGTCAAACCGCTGTGTGTTGTATATAAAAAGGTCAAAATGTAGTGCATACGGGACACCTACGCACCACTGCTGTCTCTCTTGCTTATCTTGTTTCCTAGACTCATACACGACAGTCAGTCCCCAACTGGAAACAGAAAGCAGAAGCAGAAAGATGAACTTAGTTGAACAGCAGTGTTATGATTCTTGGGCTCAGTCTCCCCCCAGTGGTCATTGTGTCGCCATGCGCTATTTCATACTTTATTTTTAAACTTCATTATTTGCATTATTCAACAGATGCCTGATTGAGTGTAAACAAATAATGTATCTAGGTTGTCTTCATCCCCAGTGGTTTTATAAAGGGTGGAGATTGATACACAACAAAAACATATTTTTTTATTTCACCACCACATATAGTGCTGATAAAGAAAAAGACATTTCAAAGTGAACAAAGTGTTTGTACTCCCGTATGCTACGGCAATGGTGTGAATGAAGCAATGAATCAGGCTTATACCTTCCAGCAAGGGCTGTGTATTGGTAATATTAAGCTGAGCATACTTAATACTCTCCGGGGAAAAAGACCGCGAGCAGGATGGAAATCAGCACCAGAGCTGCAGTGTGCGTACTCACCACGTAGGAGGACGGACTTTCTTTTTGATACCCATGTAGACCTTTAGGTTTTTCACTTGCCAGTCACGTTCTGCACGGTTACTCTGAGGGAGACAAAGAAATACTGAAGGGTAATGGGACAAGAAAATTTGATTTTCTTTCTGCCGCAGAGGAGATCCGTCAATCTTACTCTGACTTCCTTGTACATTCTTAGTGAGTTGGAATTGAGGATGAAATATCGGTCGTGGAAATTTCCCAGTCCCAAGATGCTTCGCTCCTCTCTGAATTTCATCATCCCGTGCTTGGATGGGTCCACTTTACTGCCTGCAGGGCAGATTATTAAGAAGAAGGTGACGCGGATGACCAACAACGCGGCGGGTCAGAGAGGCTGTTGGTTTGTCTGTTTACCCAGGTACACCATCATGGCCTCCATAGCCAGGTGCTTCTTGATGAGCAGGTGGGAGTCCGTGCCAAAGGAGTGGAGGATGGGTAAGACTCGCTCCTGATAGTGCAGTGGGCGTTCTGGGGGAGGCAGAGCGACACACAGTGCAGGGTCAGTTTAAAGAGTCGCCGGGATCCTCAAATAATTTCCCCCCGTGATCATTCAAAGAAGAACGCCTCTTGAGCCGTTGATTCCAGTGGCTGAATTTTTGGCGGTTTCTATTTCAGCGAACAATAGAAAGCAGATTTGGAATACAGCGTGGTCGCTTGTCTGTGCTTTGACGCACGCCGTCATACCAATCTTTACAAATAGCTTTTGTTATTGTAATAGAAACGTGACGTCCGTATTGAGCAAGTGGCAGAAAGAATTCCCTCCAGCTCGTCACATATACACTTCCTAACAGCCGTTTTTTCATTTCATTCTTCCTTCTCCTCCTGTAATTAGCAGATTAGTTAACTGGCCTGTGATGGGAAATCTGCCAAATCCATTGGTAGTTACTGGCATTAAATAAGCCACCTAAAGGCTTCTAAGTGGGAAGCGAGATGTATGATCTACGTACCAGGGTCACAAGGACCCACGGCACACAGCCACATGGTTGGGAATGATCTTTTTGCCCTGTGCTGCATGTTGAGTGGACGACGACCTCAGTTTTGGTTTGCTGCTGGCTTTTTTTCAGGATATTTTTACATGTTAATTCCCAAACCACATCAGTACGTGAGCCATCTCCCTCGGTCCTCCAATCCTCCTCACCCATTTCCTCCTTGTCGCTGACCTCCCAGCAGTTCCAGTAGTCTTTGTCTTTAACGCGAATTTTACGCCGGTCCAGAACCTCACAGGCCAGCTCCGCTGCGGTCATAGAACCAGGGATCTGAGGGGGAAGGAAACGCAGTTACGCTACTGTCTGACTCAGAGCAAAGAGGGTTATCGTGGCTGTGTACCGATGTACCAATTCATCATAAATTGGAGGCGCGTGGTTGTTTATTATTAGCAATACGCATGCTGTGTGCAAATACCACCAGAAAAAGGCTGTAAGAACTTCACCAGTTGACACAGTGAAATTGAGGGACTGTAACATAAACTTGAAAACAGAAGGGAAGCCATTCAGAACTGCTCAACAATGGACCAAAAGCATTTCTTTAGTCTCCATATTGACTGGGAAAACACAATGGTGTTTTTTGTTGTACTGGTACAGAAAGAGTGCTCCCGACCATTTGTAAAATGTTCTCTTACCTCAGAGAAGAGCAAGAGAAAAGGCACTAAAAAATAAGAACAAATCGTGGATACCAACAATCATGGGAGGAAATGTAGTCGGGTTGAGGCCAAATGTGTGATTTGCTAAAGTTAAGGTCACCTTGACATGTTGCTCTGCTGTGTCCTTCTTTTCCTCCAAGTACACTGTACAGATGAAGTGCCCTCCAGGTTCAGTACTCTAAAATGTCAGACAAAAAGAAGAAAGGCCTTAGGATAAAAAACAACTCAGCAAACAGGTGCTTGTGTACAAGCGGCACCAGAGACTCACAGGAAACTTTGTATTGAGTTTCTCTCGCATTTCGATGATAGCCGTGATCTCGTCCAGCTGCTTCTTTAGCTGTTGTTCATCCACCTGCGAAGAAGTATGAACGCCAATCAACAATTAACTGGAAAAAACCCAACTTTAATTACAGCGTCATGCTAATCTTTAGATCCCTGGCGGAAATCACCACCAGCGATTCAACCCTCTTTGTTTACTCATTCTACGCTTTCTGGAGATGTGGGGTTGCCTTTTGAAAGAAGCTCATTTTGGCAAGAGAGGCAGGGTTTTAATTCTAAACTAAAGAGGCATTCCCATCATTATGTATCCCCCCACATCTCCCTGACTCTCTTCTAGTTTAATCCGTGACTTCTCTATCAAATTGAAATAAATAAAGTGTTGTAAGAACACACTCGTAACAAAAAAAGTAATTAAATGATAAAGTGAAAATAATAAAATGGGAGGGACTAGAATCTGTTCTTGAAGGTTTTCTGCTTTTTTTGGAGCTTAATCTTGCAACAACATGCTCTTTGAAATCTCTAACTTTTCAAGCTAGCCAGCTGTGCCATTTTCTGATAAATAAATGACTGATAATGATCAATGACTCAGCATAGAGAACGCATTTGTTTTATTCTTCTTAGATCCCTCCATCTAACAGTAAGCAGTGAGTCTGACCTCAAAGATGAATGTGTAGTGCTGTACAAGGTCCTCTATGGCGCAGCCAGCAGTGAAGTCCTTCCCGTCGCACTGGAACAATGTGGGACCGAAAACGATGGCCAGATTATGGACGTTCATCTGGTTCAGCTCGGAAAAACGCTGCACGCTAAAAAACATGCAGGGAAAATACACATGGGTATATATGCACCAACACATGCACAGAGGTAAAAGGGAATTGATATGTGAGCGGTTCTCACCAATAGAGGTGGTTGATGAGGGCTTGTAGTGTAGCCTTGTTAACACAAGGCAGTCTGTTCAACAGCTGCTGGTACTGGGAGATTTTCTTGCTTTCATCCTGAATAGCTGCAGGAAGAGACGCGTCAAGAAGTGTAGAAAGGCACAGAATGAAAGTGTAAAAGAACAAGAGAAAGAGGGATAGATGAGATGACATTATCAGACAAATGCAACAAAAGAGGAATAAAAGTTACTGTAGCGCTCTGAGGCATAGTAGTGATCTGAAACTATATTTGTGAACTAACATTCAAACAAGTTCAGCGGTTTGTACGGAGTTCTGTATGAAATCAGAAGGTGTCAGGAAGCTGTGAGTGGTTTTACTGTAAATAGTAAAACCTCCAAATGCTCTGGAAGTGAAATTTACCGCGTTTTTTAAGACATCTCTTGCTACACAGATATAATGTTACCTGTTTGAGACCAAAAAAAAAATCCATAAACGGTCTGTGGGATATTTCCCATTCTATTGCCCTCTCTTTTATTGGAGTGGCAGCAGAAGTCTCAATTTATCTTCAAATCTAATGTAAAAAAATCCCAGCGTGACGCAACTTCGGGGCACAAAAGCAGTCTTGGGAATCTTACCAGCAGCGCTGAGCCAGCTGCTTGCATCCTTTGATGTGAACAGTCCCTCCCCCAACTCCCTGAAGAAGCGCTTGAGCGCGTTGGAGACGTCGTCCACCTGGTGCTCTCCTTCTCTCAGGCGGACACTGCGAGCGTCACAACGAAACCTCTCCAGCAGCTGTGCCACGCGGGAGTTCACGCCGCTCTTACGATATATCCCCTCAGAGGTCAACCCTGGGGAAGGGAAAGGAACAAGCATACGCAGGAGGATGTTACAGACCCAGGCCATGTCTATGCTGTGCCTCTCAGAAGGTACATGCGGTGGGATTAAAAAAAACTTGTTCATTCAACTTTCATATTTCAACTTAGAAAGAAAAGACATTCAAAGTGGACTTATATAAATTAAAAAAATACATTTCTATAAATTAAAAACAGGTTACTTCACCTCAAAACTAAACTTAATTTGGCCAAACATCGGTGATATAATCGGTAATATATAAAAGGCTAAAACTTAAAAGCAGGTTGCCTTATTGGTATATAAACTCCTGTAGACCCAATGTGATGAAAATGCAGCCACGTGTGTGTGCTCCTTAGTGTGAAGTAAATGCATTGGATTCCTTATCCAAGTCTGGAGTCTCTCACCGCACTGCGTGATGTAGCCGATGCAGCTGTGTACTATGACAGGTATGTCTGTCTCCGTCAGCTGCTGCTGGCTCAGTGTGTCTCCTCCACTCCCTGCTGCCGCCTGGATGGCAGCACACCAGCCGGAAAAATCCAACTTCCTCTCTCCCTCTATGTACAGAGTTCTGTATAAATGGAGAGGAAACAAAGTGGAGAAAAGGGTAAAAATGAAATGGGTTGGGACTTAGAAAAGACCAAAAATGAAATTTTAAAACAGATACCAATGACTTTAATGGGTACTATATAAATCTATACTATATATCTCCTCACCTGCCTCTCTCCACCAGAACCAGCACCTCATTGTCTTGTTGAATTGCTGTAAAAAAAACAAAAAACAATACATAATAATTCCATCACACCAGCAATACTTTTAAACCAAGTAACTTTCACAGTATGTTTGTCCCTGAAACGTCCATATTTCATGCTCTGATATGTTGGTTTTCATCCAAATGACGGTCAATCGCTCCTCTGAGCACCGTGTCCCTGTGTGTGTACAGATCACGGTACAAGTACAGTTAGACATACAGTTTGTGTATATGCTTACAGAGTTCGTTCAGTTTGCGGAGGTGGATCTCCTCCCCCTTGTTGTCCTCCAGGTAGGCGTGAAGTGTGGAGCCCACCAGAGCAAACCAGCCGACCTTCGATGTTTGTAGGTTCAAACCGTCTTTACATTTCAGCCGCCCGATCCGATCAAAAGGCAACTTCAGTAGTGGCTCTACACCAGCCGGGATAAAGGTCTACAAATGAAAGGAAGGCATAATTGCGTTTCAATACACCACACATTAATCATCGTCTGATTTCTCTTTTGTAAAGATGAAATACTTCACCTACATTACTGAACCCCCATGAAAAAAACAATACTAATTGAATTCTACGGTCTTTTAATGACTGCAGTTGTTGTCTTGGGGGCTAGACTTGCCGGAGCCATGAATGTGTGGAAGGACAATCTACCATCCTGCCATTGATGTTCCTTGTGTTGCTGAGTAACACAGAAACAGCCAGGAGATGTAATTCATCAGAATCTTTATTGATTCACATCTCAGATGCAGCATCACTTAACTATAACTTGCTGCAATTATTGTAAAAAGAATTGATTGTGACAATCACTTTACAACATCGACTTTCAGCAGTTTGTGCAGAGCGGAAAGTCGCTGCACTTTGTCATGCTGCTGAAAACACCATCTGCAGGAGTGCTGCTCTGAATGAATAAGAGGCACAAAAATGAGTCGGCATTATCCCGCCATCTCATGACCTTTAGGTGGCATTTTACATTTTATCAAAGCTGGAACTGCACACCTTCCACTTACCAGAGCACTCCAATTTAACTACAAAAAAATACGTTCCCTCTGTAACGGCCCAGCTGAGGAGAAAATCATAGGATTTGTGCTTGTGTCTCCACACCCTAAAAGGAATATGGTAGTTACCTTGGCAATAGACTTGACCCATTCCTTGTGGCTGTCTGGGTCATCGGTGCCAAACAGATAGAGACGCTCTGACTCGGAGTAAAGTTCAAAGGTGTTATCGTACCTGTGTGTTAGAAAGAGAGACTAGGATGAAGTGAAACAAAGTGATGCAAAAAAATATGGGATGGGAAAGAGTGATAAAGAAAATAGATACAAAACGCTATCTCCGTGGTGAATACATGCATGGTAAATATTTCACTTGAAAAATAAAAGCGATTCAGTGTTAGTTCTGTCTATCATTTCATCTTTTATTAATGATGGTGTAGAGCGTCCGTGTGACTGTATGTGTACCCGTGTCTCTGAGGCACATCAACAGCCAAGCAGACGATGTCTGAAGCCTTCAAAGCGCCGTTAGGGTTGGAGTTCTTGTCACTCTCGTAGTAGCTGAAGGTGCCATCATTCACGGTGCACCAGCGACGACTGAACTCTACACGGACAGACAAGCAAAAGCAGAATATTAGGAATTATAGTCATAAATTACATCTTTAGTCATTAATTCTGGCATGAGGAGGACTCCAAGTAAGCGTTAGTGTTAACTGGGTGGTGTTGAATACCATCTTTGCTCTTGCGCTCTGTAATAGGCCGAGCCATGGATGCCGTCTTGTAAAGGAAGCCATTGTGAGACACACAAGGTGGAGTTGAGTAATGTATCGCTGCCATGCCTTCATTCACCTCTGACCGCGGTAACTCTGCAGAAGAACCAACACATAAAAGTCATGTCCTCTTTTTGCGTAAGAACTCAGGACGGTCACCTTCTGGGAGTCGATCCGATACAGGAGAAATGTGTTTGGGAAAGAGAAGCGGTAAACAAACGAGTTTGTTCACGATAAGAATGTGTGTTTGGCTAAGCTAACATTGAGGAATGGCATGGTTAAAACATGTTCTTAGCACGTTTTCTAGACTTGATAGAATTAAGAACAAACCTTCCTTGTACATGGAGCGTTTTACTGTACCTGTGTTGAGATTGTGGCTTATTAACTCGGCCTGTAAGGGTTGCGAGTGTGCGCTGGCCAGGGAGAGAACGCTGGGCCAACTTGCCATATCAGTTGAACAATTCACGTCTGCACCGCAGAAGATCAGGCTCAGCGTTTCAAGCACATCGCTGCACTGCACGTTTATACAGAGAGCCTAGGGAGACGAAGGGAAAATGAAAATGAAATCCTCATGTGCAAAAATAACAGACGGACACAGTGATGTGTTGCTCGGGGAAAAGGATTCTAGAGAGTACAGAATGCTCCCATCAGACCGACGTCAAATATACTTCATGTAAAGACACCGAATGAACACAGCAAGTCAAACTAGCACATTTTGGGGATTGATTATCCTTTAAAAGGTTAACCTTGTGACTCTTAACCTGGTAGGTTAAAATAAAGACATATTATTGCTACGATTAGGTCCCACTCTGGGAGGGTAAAAAGTAACACGGTGAGAGGGGCAGATGCAGTAGAAGCGTGGCAGAGAACAAAAGAGATAAAATCAGCAAGAAAGACACTAAACGGACAACTTTTGTAATGTGGTCGTGCAGCTTTGTTTAGAAGGAAGCAGCCAAGGTCAAACTGTGAGCCTGTGAAGGTCATTATTATGACTTGCATATGGTTCTCAGGTTTTTAAAGGTCTGTGCCAATAGCAGAGTTCACTCAGAATCCACTATATGCACATTTAATAAAACAGAAGCCTGCAGTCATTTTAAAGTGATTAGTCTGTAAGTCCCCGCCAACCTTTTGCTCCACTTCAAAAAGGAGAACCAGTCACGTGCACACTGATCCAAGAGCAGATGAACAGTCTTGTGTGGGGCTGCACAATTAAAGACTAATTTGGCAGTATTGTAGTTTTACTTTTTTTTTCCTATTTCCCTAAAGGAAATATTTCTATTACATCTAAGCAGACTAATTATAACCTTTGAATGTGCAACATGAATCCATGTGACAAAAGAAGATGGAAATGCACTCGAGTCGTTGGGTAAAGACTTAAATAAAGGGGTAAATAAAGTCTTATTTGTCTTTGGACAAACAAGAAAACGATTGTTATGATTGAAAAGAGGATGTAGTGTTTTTACAGCTGAGAAACTAAACCTGATGACGCACCCATCCCCCCCCCCCTCCCACCACACCCACCGCCACCACCTCCCCCGCACACGCAGACGCACACAAAAAAACAATGAACTAAAATACAGACTACACAAGATGCCTCTACGCCCACCGAAGACTTATACAGCAGTAGAGACATCTGCACGCCAAGCTGGTCAGTGGTGCACATCCACATACGTGTACTGTTCAACAGTGGGTTAAAAACAGATTTTACATTTTCAGGTGCACTTGAAGTTACAGTCTCACTGGCTAGATAGATATTGAAATGATTCACAAAGTAATTAATGTTCATAGCAAGGAAAAGACTTTTAAAGAGATTTTCCACCTGCGTGAGAAAGAAGCACACTGGGCTTTAACAAGTTATTAATGTTGAGAGTTAAGTCATTGAAAAGTATTGAACATCGTCTTTTTGTCTTCTTTCAACAGGTTTGTCTAAATCATGAATGGACTTCTAAAACCTGGGAATAGCTGTAGATTAGGGACGCACCAATCCAATACAACTAATAATGGCCATTATGCCGATGTTGACTCAGATCGTGTGTCACAGCGGAGTAGAACAGTGAGGCAACCGAGGTGAGAGGCCGCAAAAGACTTAACTCGGTCAGAGTACCTGAAACAGACGGAAAAGTGCACGCGTGCCAGTTCGCAGCACCATCTTGGACTGATGTGAAACCATATGCTTAACCCAGTGCTGATCCCCGGGGGGGCAGGGGAGGGGTTGATCGATGTTTTGTGTCTCCACCCTTTTTCTACTTGGACACGGCATCACATTTGATATTTTCCTTACTTTGTGTATCTCTGCTGCATTATTACACTCACTTTGCAATCGTTCTTTGTGCTTCATTTTCCTGCAATCAACTTTTTCCCACAAGAATGAACTGACCTAATGTTGTCAATTGGGCTTTTTCTGCCTCAAATTTAGAAAAAGTGGAAATTAAAAATAACGTCACTGGGGGCTATGAGAAAATATCGGCAAAAGGTGTTCCTTCCATTTCATCCTCTATCCCTGTAGACTAATAATAGGTCAGTGTCCTGTGATGAATCAATAGCCTACCGTGTGCCTTCTGACTAAGAGAATTGCCCCAATCAGAGCAACCACAAGGAGGAAAATCGGTGTTGGAAGACCTCACGCCCTCCAACATCTGCTGCCTATGAAACAGGGAGTACTAGAATAACACACACACACACACACACACACACACACACACACACACACACACACACACACACACACACACACACACACACACAGTCAAAGAAAAAAGGAGAGAAGAGAAGGGAGTTCAAGAATCTTACAGAATCTCCCGAGAGAGATTTTATCTGGGTGTGTCTGAAAACACAGGCCCCATCCAGTTATGTTGGACAGAAATGGAGCAAAAGAAAGAGAAGCAAGGAACAGTAAAAAGAAAATATTGCGAAAGGAAGATGAAAGCATTTGAGTGGGTGACATTGATTAGACACTAATTGCACTACAAACGGAAAATAATTTACCCTCAGACTTCCTGTGCTGACATACCGAAAATACACATTTATACATTGTGTGTGTATGCACGTTCACATTAAATCCAGATGAGGAAGAGTTATTCATACATGTTCCGTCATTACCTCACCAGGATCAGTATACAGAGAGATGGAGAAGGGGGGTGGAGGTAAAAAGCCAGATGCATGAAGCAGAGAAAAGAAAAACAAGAAGACAGACACCGAAAAGGGAGAAAAGAAAAGAAAAAGGCACATCTCCCTGTCCAATTGAAAACGATTCATGACCTAAAAACTCCAGTGGGACTGAGAAGCTAAGAAGCCTCAGTTGGAAAAGGGACGATCAAACAAAAGAACGAGTACTAGGGACAGAAAGATGGAGCTTTTCTACTGAGAAAGACACTCGGCATGACGTCAATATAGTCACATAAACAGAAGCTCCTGGACCAGTCATTGGTTGGGACATCAACTCATACTCCCAACGAACAAATGCCCACAACAATGACGGCGGGTGGGTTTCAGAATCCTAAGCGGACAGCTTTGCCACAACACACGCAGAAAAGATGTATGACAACAAGCCTTACTGCACAGAACTCTCCACAGCTAAAACATACACTGAACACACACTTTTCATCTGCCAACCCGTCTCTCTCTTGTAAATAACTCCGCCACACTGTGAGTGTTTCTATGAAACATTTTTCTGACAACCCCGCCCCCTCTTCTCCAAACAACAAAGCTATTTCAGATATTTGACATATCAATCAAAAAGGTTTTGAACCAAGACGAGTTCTCCTGGAAAGTTTGCTCCAACACATTTTTAATAACGCTTCATTAAAGCATGAACACGGTCTCTGCAGGATGATGCGAATGCCAATTAATGAATGAAACAAAGAATGTGGAAAGCATCGAGAGTGGAGTACCTAATGCAGAAGAGAGCGGACACAAAAGCCAAAGGGAACCGCGTGAGGGGGACAATGATGTCCATTGACAGAGGTGAGCGCATTGGTCTGCTCCCATTCCACAGAAAACCCATGGACACACACACACACACACAAGCAGGGACAGAGAGCAGCACAGAGCAAAAACGATTAAAAAAGGCAGAGAAACATGCCTACACACACATTAATATGCACGGGAACGTATTCCAACCCACTCCCAGTGAAAACCAGACGCACAATAACTCTTATGTGCTCTCTGGCGTGAAGCCACAGAAGCAGCTCAGAAGTCTTCAGACAAAAACGACCCACAGACACGTAAGTGTGTGTTTTATTGCACCGAGATAACCTACTGGGAGAGATACAATATCCATTGACAAACATTCCTATACACGCACTCATCCAGAAGGGATTTACAAAGACACAAGCAGACAAACAGCAACATTCACACTACCCTTCCCTGAAGCTCACCAGCACACACACACAACCTTACTTGCAAGCTTTCAGTTCCTTTCCCGGCTCGGTCTGAATGTCAGTCGACACTCAGGCAGGCAGAGGCTTCAGTCAGAAAAGTTAAGGGAACTTACGAAGGAGGAAAAAGGAGCCAGCAGGGAAGAGATCAACTTTCTTGTGCAGTCGCAGCAAACAATGAAGTGGGGGAGAGAGGGAAGGGGCGGAGTTACTGCACATTCCAGCTGAAGCAGTGTGTAATGATGTCACATTCAAAAAGGACAAAAAAAACAAAAACAAAAAACGGAGGGATGGCAATAGAAAGGCAGCACTTGAGAAACCTGCATGTGAGCCAGAGACAACAGCGCCCACACGGGACATGTTTCTCTCACACGGAACACTGTTGTGAAAGGCCCGACCCGTAACTGCATGGTGGACACCATCCAAAGCAGAGTCCACTATCTCTCACACAGACACACCCAAGTGGATGGCGCAGCAACGCAGATTCGAGGAACTTTGAGCGTCTGAATGGAGAAGGAACAGGTACAGCAGCATTTGTTGAAAACGAGGGGGGGGTTCTGGGTTCAGAAATTCTCATGACAGAAAGAAGTGTAGAAACAAGAAAATGGAGAAAGCCATCGGGGAGGAGGACTGAATGAAGAAGAGACGACTGATGGCTGAACAAAAAGGCTTTACACCTAAAGAAGAAGTAATTTGTGTGCAGACCCATAATACAACTTCCTTTATCTTCTTCTGCACATCCCAAACACAGTGACTCACTCTCAAACATTCACACAAGCCTGACTGTTTGGGGGAGGGTAAATAGAGCTCAGTCAGGTGCTAAATTTGACTCACTCACGCAAACGCTCCACATTGTTTGCAGGACGTGGGTTAAGCAGCTAACGAGTGACCCAGCAGGGGCGGACACACAGCGGAGCCCCAATACAAAATGACAAACCCCACCCAGGTGTCCTGAGAGGGCAGTACCGTGATTCCTAACTTTATTGCAACATTTCCCAAAGACACAGGGCCCTGCTGATTCTCTTACGTATGTTTACCAAACACTGATGACAATAGCAAAGCAATCCACAAGAATACTTTAAATGTTGGGCTTAAGCTGGGATTCAGACAGCTAGTGTATAACCAGCGTATAACTACAACTGCAGTGAGATAAAAAAAGTGACATATAACTTACTGAATTCTATCTAGGAAAGAAAAACATATCCTTACTATTTTGGACTTAAGACAAGCTTGTTTAGTGCTTTCACATTAAATTAATAAGTGGACACACACAGCTATATTTCCACTGTTGAACAGGTTTCACAGGTAAAGGCATTTTTTGTCAGTCAACCAATCAAATTGATAAGTACAGTCGGGTGGCATTTCTTAATTCTTACTTAGTCACTGTGAGAAGTGTACAGTATTAGCCAGCAAAATCCAGTCACATCCAAGGCTGTGACACTTTGAGACATATGCACACGTCTGATGCAAAAAAAGGGAGCAGTCAATACTATTGGTACACTCACCAACACAAATTCATAAATTAAGTAACACGTCTTTCGTGAACACAACAATTTGCTAAACCAACCGTCTGCAAAACCTTCTTAATCTTCTCTTTCCCGAGGTCTGCTGACTGACAGCATTCTTAAATGTAGTTTTGTGTATTTAATCTCTGTGACCAGTGTGTACGTCAAATCCAAATCCTGGGGTGACAACACACAAAAGCTAACGATGAAAGCAGTGACGTGGACTCACATTGTTGAGCTCCCTCTGGTTTCCGTACAGAGGGTGGTACTTCCTGTATTTGCCCTGGCGGTATTTGTTGGTGATGAAGCGGCGTCTCTCTTCGCTGCAGCTTGTGGGCGACAAAGCTTCGCTTGGCGGGACGTTGGCTGCCCAAAAGCTGTTGACCCGCTCGTTGCCCAGCAACAGAAACACCTGCATCACAGGTATGATTAGGTAGGTATTTCCACATCAAGAGGGACAGCAAGCATGGTTGGAGGTTACGATGTGCACTGTTGTCTCACCACACACACTGTGCAAGTTTATCAAGAATGCCTGTACATTTTCAGCATCATTATTTTAATTATATTATTCCAAAACAAGCCACGAATGTTCTCCACCGTATGTTGAGTAAATCAATATAATGAAACAACACCGCTAGCTACTGCTTCAGAAATGACCAGAGTTGAATTTAACCCCTGACATAGTGTCCACAAAAACATCACATTCTGAGCTTTACACTGCACGACTATTATATATTAGACTGCATCACATTATACTAGTGTCCCAAATAAAATGCTACCTCAGCATGAATTAATCTGCAGCTCGAGAATTTGTAGTGAATAAGTAAATCAGGACACCATAGTTATACCACAAATTCTTTTGAACTGTATGACCTTTTATTCTGAATACAAAACTCTGGCGTGTGTGTGTGCGTGTGTGTGTGCGCACCTGTATAAGCTCCTCGGTCCAGATTTTCCTGTCCATCTTCAGACTACGAACCTTTGAGATGCTAGGACCAAGTCCTCTGTGCTCTCCTGGAACACACACATATTTTGAAGATAAAGTATACTCCAAAACAATTAAAAAATTGGTTCAAGAAAAGATATTCAGATTCCCTAATGTTTGAACATAGATGCAATATCAATAAATATAAATCCGAGCCCACGAACACAAACCTGCGCACCGCTTGCAGACCACCACGCACAAGTTGATGGCAGCCCATTCCGGTTGGGGAGCCTCACAGTCGGCACAAAGACTGTTGCTAGGCTCCGCCCAGATCCTCTCGGCCACCTCGCTATTCGACAGCGCCTCACCTATCGCGTTCCTCATGGCCTCCACCCACTGCTCTCGCAGCTGCTCCGATTCTGCAATGAAACTGCGCAGAGAGAGAAACGCGCGTCGGAGTGTTAAAGCCGACATTATTAACGACTACCAAGTGATGGAAGTGAGAACGCCTGTGTTTCCCCTGTGTGTGTGTGTGTGTGTGTGTGTGTGTGTGTGTGTGTGTGTGTCTGTGAGTGTCTTCTCATCCTCATGAGCCCGCTGAGTACTGACTCTTGACTCGGCTTTTGTTTTACTAAAAAAACTTGTATCAACTGGAAACTATATGAACAAGAATGCACATACACACACATTGACAGATTTTGGTCTTGACAGCACAATCCCATGTCCTTCCTCATCTGTCAAACAAGACATCAGTCTCCGTCCTTACAGCGTACACATTCACATACTTCTTAACCAATAAGAGTTACAAAAATGCCAAGTTAGAGCGAGACAAAGAATGACTCACAGTTCAACTATTATACAAATAAACAAGTCTTTTCAGATTTCCCCATCCTGTCAAGCTGAGCCCTTGCACTGCAGGCGGCGTGCACTGTCAGCCAAAAAAACACACACAACACTAACAAAAACCCTTGTGCGCATGCACGCGCACACACACGCACACACACACACACACACACACACACACACACACACACACGCACCTCCCTTAAACACTCACACTGTTACAAAGGGCTGTTCACATTCTCCAAAGATGTCCAGCTAAGGAGAGCTGGACGGTGGGAGTTCTCAGTATGGCAACATGATCTTTTTTCCTTTGCATATTCTAGCAGCAAGGTCCCGCTCAGCCATTGATTTATCAGGAAGAATGGTAATCTATGCCGATTAATCATTATGGAGACACATGAATCCATTTTGCACAAGAAACAAAAAGAAGTAATAATCAGTCAGACTATGTGCAGTACATAAAATATGCACCGGGTGCTTACAGATGCTAAGAGAAAAGAGTTTCAGCTCACTGTAAATGGAACAGAAAGTCAGTATGCATGTGTTCCATGTTTGTGTGCATATACTGTACCTGAATATGCGGTACGGTGTGGTGAGATCAAAGCCACGGCGATCTGTGTCTTTAACATTGCCAACATTCATGTCAATGGATGTGATGCCCACTCCTAAACGATAGTCCTGCAATGAACAAAAGAAGTGAGTGGCTCAGTTTTTTGCTTAAATATTATTGGAAACCTCACTGTTCTTTATAATGCAGAGTAGGCTGTAAAAAAAAACACACTAGATAATCTACAAAGTGAATCTACACACACACACGTATTATGTGATGTTTACCACTGCTCAACTGCAGTCACACACAGGAAGTTTCTCACCTCAATGTTTTTGTAGAGGAATACTTTTTCTGAGGCCACAACAGTATAAAGTTTGGAGCGTAACCCCCTGAGCTCCAGATATCCTTGAAACTCTGGGGACAAAGGTGAGCCGGGGTTCATGGTGCTGCGATGATGGCGCCCCCTGGTGCAGTCCTGCAATACAGTCACCCAGTCGTTTCTCTCAACTGGGTGGACGTGCAAACACAAGTATGAATGAATGGAACGCGTTTATTCAAATATACAAACAAAGATATATGGATAGTGAACATGCATCGTGGATACTGTACATGCATCAGACATATGCACATGGTATCTTTTGAACAGTAACATGCATCTTTCTGCACGTGACCAAAGCAAAACAGACAGACCTTCACTTTCCGCCCTGAAGATGAATGTTCGGTTGTTTGTGACGACCTCAAACTTCAGCTCCCCCACACTGGTCACATGAGTGACAAAGGCAGTAGAGATGATCCCCTTAGAATACACCTCCTACAACCACATAGACACACAGCAACGACGACTCGGTTAAACAGCTAGTCTGTCTCAGTGCAACAGAACGTTTAAGGGAGAATGCACACAGAATGTGCGTTATGAAGTACCAACATGTAAACGTCTCATGAAAAAATACTGAGACATGTCAAGCACATCATCGCAGTCATGTTGTACTATGCATGTTTGCGGTGCATTGTAGAGCGTTATACGCACTGGTAGTGTTTGGTAACTTTTTTATAATGACTGATAGAGGCCCCAATGTTTATATTATAGACATACCCTGTATAATACAAAATGTATACATCAATACAATAGGTACACATGTAGTCCACTTGAGCTTTTAAAAACTATAAATTTCTGGTGACATTTTGGCTGTCTGCCGCCCTTTTGGAAGTTGAACTATGAGTTTGGCGTGGTGTTCACGTGTTTGCTTGCGATGTACACTCCCAGAGTTCCTGCATGTGTTTGCTGTTACCTTCTCATTGTCAAAGTATCTCAGGTAGTCAACATCCAGCTTCACCCATCGTCGCTGATAATAAAGAGCCCTGGGTACGAGAACATACACAGAAATGTATACTCAAGAGAAGTACAAACTCCTCAAGAAGACGTTTTTACACAACTCAACTGGGCCGTAAAATTGGAGCACTATGAGCGTGATATTTGTTATTGCGGCTTCTCGTGTAATTATCAATGACGGGCAAAAATACTGCAATGTAATGCATATAAAATCAAGCGTGCAATGTTGGTCATTTTAGCCATTAAACCTTTAGCTTTATTTGCTAAGTAATATACATGCCTGCAAAGGGCAAAAGATGACACTAAAAGGTGAATGCCATACAAATTACGATGGGTGTAGTTTGATTTCCATAAACAAACTTCATAATAAGGCAAACCATGTTTGGCCACCACACCACATTCAATTTGGATTGAGAAGATGAAATGTTGGAGAGGAAAATGAAGGCGCTGATCTCAACGCTGCTTGGCCAAGATTCAACAAGTCACATCAAAGATGTATTATTGCGAAGACGGCATCTTCTTTCCTCCTTCTCGCACTCCAATCTAAGAAACGCTGTTCGGTCAGAGCTCGTGCACGTGAGGCACGTGTCTCGCCAGCGATCCCTCGCTGTGAGCGCGCCCCGGGCAGCCCCGCCTCCGTGCAGGGAGAATGACCAGGAGCTGGGCAGTGAGTGCGCTCTGATTTTAGATCTTATTTTAACATATGAATTCTAAAAATATGTAATATTGTATTGCTTACTTAACTTTTTGTATCAATACACTGTGCAACATTACACTGGATATTTGTGTGTAGAGTATTGATTGATGCCTTTTAATTAGCCCGTATGTGTGTGCGTGTCTGTGCGTTGCCACTAATTACCCCTGAGGGGGATTCTTGTCCAGCCAGCCCATCTTAACGACAGCAGCAAGCTGAGAGCTGTCGTCTTTAGTGGCCGCCGGTAGTCGGCCGGTGTTTGGCAGGTAGACACTTCCCTGCAGACTGCCCACGCTGCCGGCCACCCACAGACTGGACCTTAGGGTCAAAGAGACGAGCACACACAGAAAGAAAGAAACCTGAAATGAATGTTTGCATTATAATTCAATACCTTTGAGGATGAAACAGATTGTCAAAGAGGTGCAGTTTTTCCACTATTGCAAGTTCCCCGATACATTAATACATTCTACACTGAACAATGACAACCAAGTCAACTCCTATGTGCTGTGTGCTGATCACCATGGTTAGTGATGTACTGACAGCAAAGGTCAAGACTCACTGATGCTGATTTGTTATTTCCCTTTCGATGACAGATGATTGGGTTAGATTAATGATTTGTGTTGATACTCACTCATCATCATCATCCAACTGCTCGTCGTCACTGCACAAAGAACTGCGGCGCACTTCTCCCTGGACAGGCACTTGCAGGGACATTTCCTATTGGAGGACACGGTCGTCATTCATTGTGCGGGACGAGAAGAGGGAGAAGAGTGGAACCGAGGGCACGCCCTCACTCACCCTGTCCATTGGGCTTATTCGATGAGCCACGGCGTAAAACAGGTCTGAGTCCTCGTAGTCATCAGAACAATCAATGAGTGAATTCAACGCTGAGGAGGGAGAGGGGGGTTGAAGGTGAGAAAAAATGTTGTGTTGCTTTAGTCCGTCTTGGTTAGTTAATAAGTATATCTTTGATTGCAAGATATCTGCTGGTTTGTACCTTTTACCATTTTTTCTAAATCATACTGAATGCAACTGGCAGGACCGACATAATGAATCAAATAAAGCCACAAAATATTGGAAAGATAACTCGACCTAAGTTGTGTGCTGCTCACAGATGCCCACCATGTTTACATTCTTTTTTCTGGGGTTTGGCGTCTGGGAAACGCTGCCGTACACCGATAGAGCAGGAGAAAAGTCAACAGCAGTGATAGTTCCAGTTACTCAAGGTATCGGATTCTGGGTGTGAGTGTTATTGGTTTTAATCCCCCTTTGTGAATACAGAAACTAAAAAGCTCTAAGAAGAACAACAGAGACTGTGGCAAATACCAGAGCATTTTTGTGGACTCTCCCTCCCTCGAAATATCTAGACCTTTTAAGGCAGTGTGACATAATTAAGTTTTAAGCAATTAATATTATCTCTGAAATGCTAAATAGGTCGAACGTATAAAGTTGAAAAAGATATGTTTACAATAGAAAAATATTGTGAACGGACACCACGTTTACATAGAAAAAGTGGATGACAATGTCCGAGTCGAATCAGAGGTTGGCCTACATCAAGTTTCAAGTCATATCTTCAGTAATATCATGAATAAGACAGGGATTTGAAGCGGGGGCTGCATGTTGTTAGCTTCAGTAATAATTGTAATTAAGATGGTTAACATTTTCAAAGCGGTCTTTTAGTTAAATTTACATGACATCTACAATCAGAGTGAGAAAGCTACGTTCACTTTGAGAGCCATGGTTCAAAATTACCTATTTGCTGTATTAAAATAGGATTTTTGGTACTTAAGGAATAGAAGCCTGTTTTTAATGCACAAACCATAAGTCAGCACCAACTAACCAGACCGGTACAGCAAGTGAGTGTATTCTCTATCTGTACCAGACAGAAATGGAACGTCCCTTAGAATTCCTATAGTGACTCAGCGTGCACAGACGCCGACCGTGAACCCCTTTCTAAATCCAGCCGAGAGCCGTTGTGGCATGTTGTTCCTCAAGCTCTCAACTACCACAATCCAATCAAAGGATAAAAGCCCCCCCTTAAAAACCCTATGCTGATTGTACCACTCACGGGACTCTGTGGGAGGTTGAGTGACTCTCCTCGCAGGCAGGGCCGGCTGAAGGGCTGCTTTATTTGGCCACGGTGGGTCTTCTACAGTTTGGGGTGTCCGGATGCGTGGAGGGACCAGTGGACTTGGGTCTTTCTGCATCTCATCCGTGACCCTCTTGGTGGGAGGGGAGCTGGGGATAGAGGGGCACAGGACAGGTCAATAGAGGTTTTCGGAGATTGAAAAATCCCTGCAGAAGGCTCATTCTGTGCATCCTCTTGAGTTTCTTGCTTTCTCTCTTTGACCCCCCTCCCATCCCGTCTCTCGTGCCATAGTGAAAACCATAAAGAGCGCGTTTGAGATTTTCTTCAGTAAATAAGTGAGTTAAATAAGTAATAATTCCCCAGGAACTGCATACCGACAACGACAACAAAAACAATCCCCATGGTAACATAATTCAGTTTACTATATTACTGCGGCTCTGTCCTCTTCAGTGCTGTAAGAAGGAATCCTAGTGTCCCTCTGCTCTGCTGAGTGTCTGTTTCTGTTTCTCTCCTTCTGGACTATATAACAAGCCTGGACCCGCCTCGCACTTCAAGATTACATCTCTTTCTCAATGCAGCACACCGCTAGGCTCTGCTGTAACACACACACACGTGTCGTAGAGATAAAAGAACAACTTCAGCCAACTATTTAAAACACTGCAAACTGGTCCTACTGCATATATTGTGCAATTGTAATACTTGCACAAAAATGCGTTTGTAACACATACACTGTTTTTTTTTATTTAAGCAGAAGAGCACAAGTACCGGTGGAAATGATAATACGTGTGATAATGATTAGTGTTAGAATTGTAATTTTTACGATATATGGATCCAAAAGCTATGAGACATCTATCAAATGGAACGAATAACATATTCATTACGGTTCCAAAAGCCTATCTTTACAAAACGATGGGGCCCGGTCACAGCATTACTGATACAATGAGGGTTATTACCGTATGTTGCTCGGCCCTCTAGCTGAATTGTGACCGTTTAACTTTCTCTGTGCACATGTCATACACTACCCTCTTGTGCGCATATGTGGCACCTACATCAGGAGTGGACAACTATTATTTATTCATCCCCTGATTTTATTTCTTTGTTTTTATTTATCCCCTTTTCTGTTGGAGTGACTGACATTTGATGTTTCTTGTGCTTTTTGTCCTTTCTACATAGCACCTGAACATCATGTGTACCAAGACTACATATAACTGTAAAATGGAAAGAAAGTAACTGTCTGAAAGTGAGTTAAAAAAAAAGGATTGTACTTTTCCGTGTTATTAGATCTTAGTTATTACATTAGTATGTTAGATTAATAACAGCAATAAAAGGAGAAGGGTCCTATTCCTTCCTTCCTTCCTTCCTTCCTTGATGGTTTTCTTCACATTTTCTCCCCAAAGAGGGTTTTTTGGAAGTTGCTGTCTCCAGTTTGGCTGTTTATGAGCAGAAGGATGTTGGACTGCCCTGCGCATGGACCATATGAACTGAGTTAAACATAATGGTCAAAATGTCAACTGTGATGATTTAAAGTCTGTTATTATTAATGGGTAATAGCTATTGGAGAATATCAATATTACGCATGCTATTTGGCAACTAGTAACTAATAGTTCTCTATTTTTTTTTAATTCAGATTGCATTTCACTTTGTAACTGTATTACTTCTTTTAGTTCTTAAAGTCCAGTTCCTTGATACGAAGTTCAGAACTCCACAGCACAGTAGATCAGTTTATTTATTGCCACTCGTCTGCTCAATGAAAAGTAAGCACTTTTTGTCAGTCATCAAAACATCTGAGACTAACAATTGCTGAGCAGTTTATATGCCTTATTTCCGAGCTGACGGGAAAGTCACAGATGAGCACACAGGCGTGGTTTTTATCCATGGAGTATTGTGAAAGTTCCTCTTTATTCCTACCTCTTTTTCAAAGTGTGCAGACAGACAGAAAGTCACGCATCACATTACACTCAAGACCAAACACTGTAAACTGAAGACTTGTTTGGAAACAAAGTGACATGTAAATATGTTTAAGTGACATTTCTGTTATTTTCAGTTGAAACTGAAATAACATACAAAGACAGGAAACTGACCCGTTCCGCCGCCTTTTTCTCAGAGGAAGAGTGCTGAGAGGGGGGGGGGGGCGCTAGCTGTATGCTATAATTAGCCTCCCCTCTGCTACACAGAAGATTTGACCTTTATTCAACCAGGTAGAATCCATTGAGAACCAATTCTCATTTACAAGGATGACCTGGCCAAGAGGCAGTAGCACAGTCCACGCAAGGGACACAAACAGCACATACACAACACAGTATGACGAACACATGGCTAAAAACAACATAGTTAAATTAATAAACTATGTACAGTACTTTCTAAAAATGGAAGAGAGAGAATTGAGGGCTGGTCAGCAAGTACAGCAGTAAACTGTGGCTCGTTGCAGCTTATGTTTGAATATGTTGAGAAAGGTGAGGTCTGTTAGTTTGAGCGTGTTTTGTACTCAGTTCCAATCATTTGCAGCGGCAAGATGAAAGGAGTTATGACCCAACACAGTACGGACTTTTGGAATGTTGAGGCGAATGAAGCCACTGGATCGTAAATGCCGATTGCTGTCGGAAATGTGCAGAAGATTTGAGAGGTAGACGGGGGGGGGGGGGGGGAAGCGGCCAGTGTTGTAGCCGCCTGGTATGAAGGGAGGGCCAATCCACCAATCTGTAAAGATCACAGTGGTGGGTGGCGAAGGGTGCACTTGTGGCAAATTGGATTGCCGAGTGGTGGCGTGTGTCCAGTTGTCTGAGGGTGGTCTTTGATGACAGAAGGCTGAAGAAACAATCACGGCTCCTTTCCACTCTCACACTGATCTCATGTGAACTCAGTGGTACACGTTGTCCCCATCAGCTGACAATAAGCTACACGGCTTTAGTCGTGTTGACAAATGAGAGGTATTCTAGTGTCGCATGTGGGTTTATTGCATGGCCTCTCTGCCGCTCGCTTTTTTAAACTGAAATACAAAACTAAATGGAGACCAGCAGCCAGCTATTGCATACTGTGGGTGACACACGACCTGGTGTTCCTTCGTAACCTCTGTATGAAACCGTCTGTGTCGTTGCTGGAAGAGAGAGCTCACACTAAGGCTAAGAGCACAGTTTTTTCATAGAAACCAGCAGTTTCATGACAGCCTATGGAATAGAAAACATTCCATAGGCTCACCGGTACTACATCAATAGCCCTGAGTACCCTGAACGTAACTCCCTGAACAACAGACGGGGATGTCTGCTCGCACAGGATCATCAAAACATGGAACTCTCCGACTGTGGTCGAGTTCAAACCGACGACTCGCACCAAAAAACGGGACACAGCTCGTATGAACGGACCCTTGTTTTGCATTCAGGGAAAATAGAACCTGAACACCGCAATAAAGGAAGGCTTCCTTGTTTGCAATGCTGACAAAGAACAGAGTGAGGAGGGGGATTAGTGGGTGAGAGCGCACGCTAAACAACTACCGCATGAGGCGAGAAAAGTAGAGATGTCATTAGTGCCGATCTTACCTGTAGCAAGACGTTCAGAAGGACTCCCCTTTCATAATAATACAACAATCTTTAACGCAACAAAAAATGCATCGGTAGAAGAAGGGATGTGGGGGAGTTGAGGAGGAAATGACCACTCAACCAGAAGATGGGAGGTGGCAATGAAGCACTCAGACAAGGAAACAAAAGAGCACGTGAACGTGTGCTGGTTGTGTGCAAGTGTGACGCCAGTTCCTGGTGACAAATCACTTTTATTCCTTTTATCTTAATTTATCCCTCTATCATCTCCTTGTAAATCTCCCAGAAGCTGTTAGTTGTGCATTTTAAGCCCTCTGTGCTGTTCTCCATTAAAATACAGACAGAAAATGTGCAGTGCAAGTGTGCATATTGCAGTGCTTGTAGTACTTTAAGCTTTTAATGTTTGGTAGGCCACTAGGACCCGGAAGTAAACAGACATATGTTAAAGCCATCAGTGCAACTTGTTGAAGGATAGTGTGGTCTTAAAAAAGGGAAAACTTCTTGCGTAATCATTGAAAAAAATGCAAAAAAATGGGTGCTGCATACAATGTGCTGACAGCTGAGACGCAGCCGACACAGAGCGTCTGAAAAAAAAGTCACCACAAAACCAACTACAGCGTCACGGTTCAATTCTCTCTCAGAGGAAGTTTTCTTCACATATTTCCAAATTCAACAGGGCACTGAGCTTTAGGTACACTCCGTAACTCAGCGTGCTTTGGCTTTTCAGTTTCAGGAAGTGTCGAATTTGGATTTCAGGAAGTGCTTTAAAGTCTCCAATAACATTTTTGGTGTCAAAACTGCTTTTACAGTTAACAAGAGTTGCATTTTTCTAATTTGTCCAATAGGTGGCAGCGAAATCCTCCAACAAGAGATTGTTTCTTGATTAAATGTAATTCTCAACACAATCAAACATGTGTCTTGACATTTTGCGTCCAGTACAGCAACCTCAGGGGAACAGCATATTCCCAAATATGCTCCACTCCTAAAGCTTGTTCTGTTGGAGCAGAAAGATTAACCAGCATAAAGACCTACATTTTTTTCCGTTTTGTTCTGCTCTTATATCATACAGTTTGATCATTTACAGGTAGAAGACATCTCAGACGGGAAAGAAGAATTGTTTTAGATCCACAGAAAAGCTGCATCCACAATCCATAGAATAATAGCCGTCTTACCGGTGTGGGATTGGTGGAGGGCCTTTAGGTGCCGCCCCTGCTTTGGGCGGGAGAGGTGGAGCATTTATATCATCGCTGAGGGAAGCAGTGGGGGAGACGGATAAAGTTAATCCATCACCATTACCACCCAGGTGGTGGGCAGGTGGCTGAATAGCCAACGTCTGAGGCCGAGTTTGAGCCGAGGGGAAGTCGGGAAGGTGGAGAGGCGCTTGTGTGGGGGCATGCGTGGGGGTGGGGTTGCCCAGTCCATCCTTAGCTTCAACCGCACGCTTGTCCGGTTTAGGCGAGGCGGGCGTTCGGCTAGGGGGTGAAGGGCAGAGGGGGGAGGTGAAACGCTGTGGCGGACAGTTGGGGATGCTTCGCGGAGGGACGGGGGGCAAAGAGGCGCCTGAGGGTGGAGAGAGGGCTGGGCTCAGGTCACAGTCCACGGCAACACTACAGCGGAACAGAGTCCTTTCCTTGGGCACGGGCGTCGCCCTCTCTGCACCCAGGGCTCTATCCGGCCCTTTTCCTTCTCGAGCTGCTGCAAGTCTTTGTCCGGGAACGGGCTTCTTCTCTCCCAAGTCTCCACTTTCCCCTTTCATCCTGGCCGCTCGTCTCGCCCGGGGGACGGGTGTCTCTCTCTCCCTGGGCAGCGGCCTCAATGATTCCCCATCTCCTTTCCCCCTTTCCTTGACGACGGGTTTTTCTTCCAGTGGGACAGGCACGGGTCTCTCTCTCTGCAACGCCATGTCGTGTCCCGTCTCCTCCAGTCTCTGATCCCTCTCTGACTCCGCGGAGTGACAGTATGTATCGGATTCTGTGTTGCCGTTACCATTTGTTTTGGTCAGGCTGGCCAGGATGCGCCTGCGGTGACCCGGCAGGGTGATGCCCATCCGCTCCAGCTGATCTGGTGTGAGGTTGCGACATTGTCGGAATGTTGCCAGCCCGGCAGTCCGAAAGGCCTCTGAATACTGCTCCAGGCGGAGGACACACAACCAGTCTGACACAGTTGCACGGGGTTCGGAATGAGACATGGCTGATGTGGGCGTGTGCAGCATGTGGGGAGGAGACGTCCGCGTCGGTCCACACGGGATTACGTAGACTTTAACACCTCAGATCATGGCTTACACAACCTGTGGGAGAGACAAAACACGGCAATTAATGAAAAGCATCTGTAAGCTCTTAGCAGCCACGACAACGCAAGTCGACTCATAATGTGAGTTTGTGTGCGTATGTGTGTGAGTCAACGTGGCAAAATGTCCTGGAGAGCTGCAGAGGGCTGTTTGGAATGTTGCTATGTGACAGTGCGTGACTGTGATAGCATTGCAAGACATGTAAGATGAAGTTTTGTGAAACCAGGGTTTCCCACACAGAGACTCATTTGTGGCGGTGCGCCACAGATTCATCACCGGCCGCAACACAATGCGTTTGGTGTATTGAATTTTTTTAGCGCTATTTAAATCACGCAGCGTATTCGTTCAGCTGCATTTCCTTTCCCTGCGTCTCTGTCACTCACGCATCTCTCACACACACACACACACACACACACACACACACACACACACACACACACAGCTCCTCCCTTTCGTGCACACCGCGTCAGTCTTGCGTGTCTTTATTTTAAGCAAGCCCAGCAAAAGCTCTGACAGTTACAGGCTGTAACAACAAGTAGTATAAGGGTGTGAAATGTGTACTACAGATATGAGAGTTGTTGTATATAGTGTGAATTGTGTATAGTTCAATCTAGCGATTTGTATTTTAGTACAACGTCGTACACCCACCCCCCCTCCCCCTCCGGTCAGCCCCCACTGGGAAACACTGGAAACTTTACTGGTGTGCAGTTGAGATCAAACGAAGGTAGTTAGAATACAGTTGTGGCTTCAGGAAGATGGGAGGAGGGGAGTGGTGGGGGGGCTCTCGCTCACCGCCCAGATAACAGAAATACTGCAAATACAATGATAAACGTTGTGTGTGATAAAAACAGGTCAGCTGACTTCTACCTCAGCGACAAAAGGAAGTTGCACTAATGTCTCAGCAGTGAGATCTCGTGGAACAAGTCATAATAAGCCCCGCCCTCTTCCACAAACTGGATTGTGTTTTCAGTAATTAGAACAGACGATCATATTTGATCCAGCTACAAAGAGACTGCTGTTAGATGCGTGTTACCATATTTAATATTTACTAAAAAGCAATCTAATTGCAGTGTAAAGCATACAAACACAAATCTTTAGAATTATTATAATATAGTTAGATATATTATTCGTTTTAAGCTGCTAACACACCGTGAGCAGTATGGGAGCTGGGTGGAATTGACACACACAGCACGTCCACGCTGACTCCCTCACTCCTCTCATCACCTCTCAACACACATTTGAATGCTGCAGAGGTGGATCCAAGTCGAGCTTCCCACAATGCATCTCAATCCCTTTCCATCAGAGCTCACTGAACGTACCACCCGGTCAAGGTTATGGTTTTCTAATACATTTAGAATATCTTTTAGAATTGGTGAGATCTGCGTCAAGTTTTGTGGAGGAGTCTCACTTGATTAGCAAACAGCGGCAGTGCGTGTATGTGGGGCCATTTCGTTTCCTGTCAAACGCTTCCTCTGACAGGTCAGAGACCACAGAGCACGGGGACAAGGCGAATCTTACACTCTGATCAAATGCACTTCCTATTTTTGAATTGAGGAACTTGACTCACAGATACCATGAATTTGTGTGATTGGATCCTCATTAACTGACAACACAAGAGGCAAGATAATGCATTTAAACACATACACCCACAGAAGTAACATGTCACAGCCTCTTCTCCGTAAGGCAAGTGAGAAGGTTGCTGCACTAGTCACGGTGTGAAAACAGAAAAAAATCTCCAAAATGTAAAGTCATTTATCACAGAATATTTAAGCGGATAAAAACTTATTTAAGGGGATAAGAACATTTAGATTTGTTGCGAAGGACTTGTTTTTTGATCAAATAAAGCCATCCTGTAGAGAATAATAGAGATGCAGCAATACGTTTAGAAACGACTACCAGCAGGTCCATGAACATGGCAACATTTTCATACATTTTATCCGAGCTTCCAGAGCAGACGTGTGTACATTTTTCCCAGCTTGGCTTAGCGAGTGTAGGAAAAGTGTAGTATTTACTATTATCCATCATCATGTGTATAAATAAGGCAGGCGGGTCTGTTGGCAAAACAGCCAACAAACACGCCTTTTGTTTTGTTTCTGTGAGGCAAATAACTTCCCTTGGATGGAAAGAGAAGTGCAAGGTCATCGTCGTTGCTCCACCGTCCCAAAAATACATTGGGGTAGTCAACATCCTTTGGGGGTGAACTATGAATTTGGCTTCTGCCCGTTTTTAGATTGTCATCTCTGTAGTCAGAGAGAGAGAGAGTGACAACGGTTGTTGAACTCTTCAACTGGCTGACAAACAAGCATTTTTTCAAAAATATAAACGTCCCTTTCACTGGGGAAATCAACTCATGTTTTCTCCTGATGTGCTTCACACTGTCGGTATATTTGGGTTGTTTGTTCACCCCCTGCCACAATGCAAGTTCTTTTTTCATACGCTTTTATTCGGTTTCCTGTATTGCCAACTAGCATTTTGCTGTCTGCACATTTCAGTTCATTTATCTCTCCACTCTTTCTGGCTTTCTTTGCTCTCCCTCCTCCCACTTAGAAAGCCTCCAATAACAGGGTCTCTGTGCTGCCTTCACAATGGGGCAGTCTGTTGCCTAGGAGGGTTCTCACACACACATCCACATCCACACACACACACACTGGTCACCCTTTCTGAAACAAGTGCTCACCTAATAACAGTGTTTGTGTGAGGGTGGTCGGGGCGGGGGGCTCAGGAATTGTGTTTCGGGCTCATATCCCCTCTCAATTCGTCACACCAACAAACAGCCGGACGTTCAATCCTCTCTGTTCGTGCCAATCAGTGTTGGCTGGACTCAGGCACAACTACGCCTACCTGCCGGGTCCTCGGTTCAGACTCACATTATCGACTTAAGTTAAAGTTAAGGGATTTTCTAAAACGGAACGAAGAGTAAAATGTCAAACAAACCCGATATCCCTTTAATATGTTATGATCATGAGATGACAAGTTAGCCCCGTACCACCAAAAACACATGACCGTATGACATCATCTCCAGCTCTCATGCAACACATCTACAGCCACAAGGTTGTCACAAGACTACAAGAGTATTTCTCAAACGTTTCCATCATTCTTTACCAGGCTACCTGCTATGACGAGTGAAACGTTTATTCGATTTCCAATGCCGGAGTCTGGCCGTAATACATTGCTTCAATTTTAGTTGACGACACCTCGGATGGGTGTAAAGTAGAATAACCTGGGTATGCTGCATGCAATATTAGACTAAATGCACTTAGTAGTTGGAAGGTTGACTTAAATTTGACGAGTGTCTCTGCATTGTAAAAGTGTCCACTTCCTGACTTGCAGACACATAATATGTCTGCAGCATTTACAGCTGCCTTGCTCTGCCTGCCTCCGGTTAATCTGCTATAAAATAGCACGAAATGTGTCCTTGCCGTGATTGCCATACTAAACTTGCCACCAGCACTTTCTTATTATTTAATTAGTGCCTCGTGCGTTAAATTGCAATACAAGTTACTCAACAAATCAAAGTGGATCAGAATTTATGAACGCCCAGACATATCGTGCATTTAGCAGATAGCATATGGATGATCACAATGTAAAAATACACTATTCTGTAAATGGACGTTACATTGATTTTTTATGTGAAATGCATAACCAATTTTTCCTTAAGTCAAGTGTATTACAAATACTTACTGCATGGCACAAAACGCTGTTGTAAATGACCGTGTACTGAGACACACACGCATCATCATCAGTTGAAAATGTTGTCCAACCCTTAAACAATGGTTTAAATTCACAGAGTGCTGGATGACGTGATCACGATAATATGTTATCGGGCCACTAGAGACACAGCTGATTTTTTCAGCCCACTTTAAATTAGAGCTGAATAGTGACTCGGTTCTGCCAGTAAAGGAACACATCTGAATAAGCCCCTGTCTATCTGTGTAAGTGTGCGCGCACACACACACACGCACAAAAGGATGTTTTCGGGTCCTTTAATGGGGCCAAAGTCCGACTGTGACAAAAAACAATGTTTCGACTGAAATGAGTATCACATTTTGAGGGGGCAAGATCTTTTCCTCTCGAGGTGACAATTCTGCATCTATGAAGGGTGTTTACCACATAATCCCACATACCCGCATGAGATTAGGTTTAGACTATCTTGTTTTTTCTCTACGGTCCATTCCCTGGGTCACTGCAGCAACATATATTAAAGGATACTAATTGATGATTTGGTCATTTTAGCCCATTGACTTAAAACTGATACAATCCTTATTATGAAGTCCATTTTTTTCTTCTTGGCTGAACTACGTCTTTGACTCTCTGAGGGCATCATGGATTTGAGCAGACCCTGTAAACCCAGATGTTGGCACTATTAACCATAAACATCTCATTTAGGACAGCTTTCAAACCAGTGCCAGTAACAAAATTGTCTTGGACTAAAAACAAGAAATCCTCCAAGATCTTGAGGAATTACACAAAGAAACACAAAGATGTGTGTTAAACATTTAGTGTACAATTTAGTTCCTCTATTTAACAGCTCTGCAAGCGTACAACAAAAGATGGAAATGATATGTTTCACGAATGTGAGAAAAACATTTAGCACGCTTTGTTTGTGCCATAAGAATTATACCTGCACTCACAACTGGGTGTCACGGGGTGAAATAATGTTCCACTTTAGGAAACAATTTACTTACTTTATAAAAATAAGACAGATGGAGAAGGAAACAGAGCGAGGATGAGAGACGGGGTAAAAAGACAGAAAAGTGCCAGACGAGATGTGCATGGTCCTGGCAGGTTGTCTAGTCTGCTTAACATCCCTAATTTGCGTTAGCAGAATTACATCTGTCGAAACAGAGGAAACATCATTAACGTAAGAGCAGAAAGCTTCCGTGACCTTACTGAACTGTGCATAAAGATGAAGTGTACTGTAAGGCTTTTAGCTCCTCTTGTGAAAACTTCTAAAATCCCCTGAAACTTCTTCTCTCTGATTAGCAAAAAAAGAAAATAGACCGGTGATCAGAGTGCAGTATTTAAAAGAACTACCTATAGTCATACTGTTTCACTATTGATGTCATCTTATCATTTTAAAAACATACATCCCACACACGAGCTAAAAGCGCAATAATAAAAATGTATCCCAGTGTGTTTGTGTTACCTTAGAAAAAGGGTAGAAATGAATCTAACACGGACAGTCGTGTGAGTCCACCTGCCACAAGTCCACCTGCTAGTGGATTCACTGGGCACGATGCGGAGGAAAGAGGAGTTTGGGAAAACTCCGTTACCGATTTAACCCAATGTACATTCATTAAAAAAACACATAATTTACAGGTTAAATGGTCCCGTTTAAAAATGACCACTTCCACTGTTGATCAACGGCCGCGCCGAAAACTGTCCGGCGTCCTCCCCGCGTCTACGACTCAACGGCTAAAAAAAACACCAATGCACGGTCGGAAAACATTGCCGGTTTAATTCGAGAGGTAAATCAGAGTCGGGTTGAGCAGTCGAAGGACCGCTACAACGCGTTGTTGAGTGTTTTCATGCTAGGAACGTTACAGCGTATTTCTCAGTAGCGGGTAAGATAACGGTCAGTGCGCGAGCGTCACGTTCCGTTTGAACAACTCCGGCTAAACGCTTTTAATCTCAATGTAGATTATATCCGTATCAGCTGTTCTGGGAAAGTTTCTCTTTACTTTCGTTTTTTTTTTCTTTCCCTTCCTTTTTGAAGTTTGAAAAATGATAACCTTAAACCCACTTACTCACCTTTTCGACAGTCTTGGCAAGTGTTCAGCGCCAGTGAAACACACTGGCGGTTGTTTCCGAGGTGAAGTTAGCGACCGCAAACGTGACGCCAAAAAGCGGATAACATTTTTTTTTTACACGGGTGAAAGAGGTGGCAGCGACAACTCACGGGCGGGGAGTAAAAGGTAGGAAACCACTTCCGGGAATGAGTTTCAAAACACATGCGCACGGCGACATTCGTCGCTGTGGCGTTTTGTTTTGAAGGCTAGCAGCTATGCTTTTCCGGCGTCTCTATGGGAACGTTGGTGCGGTAAAAATTGGAAAAACTTCCGGACGGCCGTCATGTGACCACTGAAAAAGACTGGACGAGCCTGTCTGATTGTGTGAAAATGCCCCTTAACCGTAACGATATCCCACTTAGAGAAAATAGTCATACAGTCAGATCATGCTTAGATTTTACGAGGTACGTAAGTGTACGTATAGTGTACGTAAACACTATATCCTCTTGAGACCCGGGCCATTCATGTGTGTCCCCTGTGGTGGACATTTTGGTTTTTCACCTCTCCTTTTACTCTCCTATTTCCTTTTACTTCTATCCTATTAAATGTACTCTAAAGAGGACATCCCGGGCTTTCCAGTGATATCAAATGGGTAGAATGATGATGAATGATAACTTCCTCTTCTTTTCAACACAAGATGGAGTCTGTATCAGCCAGCACATTTTATGGAAAGTCAAAGGGTAAATCAAATATTGCTTGATTATAATATATGTTATATACCTACTATTTTGAGAGCAATAGTGTTAGCTTACTAATTTGACAGATAACACACATAATTAAATATTAATGCCATGCTATTTATTTGCAGATGTCTCAGTCCTTTCCGACATCCCAGCAGGTAGTCAGCACTGTGATCAGGAATATATATCATCAGACATTTGTATAAGCGGTGATGGTTATGTGGCATTTAGATCAGTACTATATAAGACAGGCTACTGATTTGTTAGGTAAGGTCCGATAGGAACCAGAAGAGGGCAACCACTCACTGCCACGACATAAAGCCTATAGACACACAGAATTTCCAAGGACATCACATAAAAACAAAATAATAAAGGGGGACATAATGTTTGAATTACCAAGAGAATGTTGCAGTGTAAATATTTCTTAAATTATTAGGATTCCTAGTATTGTATTCTAGCAACAGTAAAGACACAGCTAGATAAATTAAATTGAGAGTGAGAGAGGGCTGGCATGCAATGAAAGGTATGTTAAACCAAATGAAACCCATGACGTCCCAGTCCCAGCCAAATATAAAACATTCATGAATTAAAGCTGCAAGCAGCATTGGTTGGGCGCTCGCACATGCACGCACATCGAGGGTACTTGACAGAAAAATGTATTAAGTGAAAAAATGTCATGGAAACAAGTCAACAAATACTGCATTAACAAATACTGCATTAACAAATATTGCGTAAAAAATGTTACTGAAAAACGTTGTATGTCAATATATGTTATCTCAAAAAAACGTCATTGAAAGAAAAATCAAAATATGAAGTGAAGAAATGTCAAAAAAATGTTATTAAAAAAAAGTCAAAAGGTCGTAAAATGTCATTTAATTTGAATATATTCAAAATATATTTTAGGTTTGACTGTTTCATGGAAAAATATCCCAAATAAATTTGGTTTTAATATTGTCATTGAAAAAATAGATTAAAATGCATTAGATGGAATATTTTGTCAAGAAAAAAAAGGCCATAAAGATTAGGTCAAAAGATGTGTTCAAAAAAAGTTAGTCAGTATAAAAAATGTTACGTCAAAAAATGTCTGGTTTAAAAATGTCATGGAAAAAATCTAAAAATATTAGGTCGAAAACAAATTTGAAAAAAATATCAAGATATATACTGTAAAGATGAAAAATAGGCAGAAAAAAAATCCCAAATATATTTGGTTGAAAAATGGAAATATGTCTATTATTTTGTGGCCCCATATGTGAGTCAATGTAGTATGCTCCTTCATTTCCCTCAGTCAGTCCCTATAAGACAAGTTGAAAAAGGGGAGCAGGACGGGTGGAAATAACTAAAGAAAGGAGGATCAATGGAAGTGGTGCCTGGATGAAAAGTGGATGAAAGGATGAAGAGATGGAAAGAGGACATTGGAAAGAAACAAATACACGGGGGAGGAGCATGGAGGAAAAGAGTAGGGGGAGAATACAGTGGGTGGAGGGAGATCGAGTCAGAGAGGAGATGGCGGGGTGGTGATGAGTCATCACTAGACTATCAGCCTTGGTGGGTCTGCTTGCTGTGTGGGTGGCAGTGTGACACATGCAGAACCCCCCCACCCCCACCCCCACACACACACAGGGATGGTTCCCATCGTGTTGCTATTCCTGCTGCAAAGGCAGGCGGGTGGAAGAAAATGCGGGGATGCCACTGACACATGCAGTTAACACACTTATGCACATGCAACAATTTCCTTCCACACAGACACACACAATGATTATTGCGAGGTCTCATTAAGACTCTGAGGATGTATGTATGGTTATGTACAAAGTCAGAGGGATAAACAGCCACTGCAGCTGTAGAAGAGCAGTATACACCTCGTCTCTTTTTGCATCACTCACATACTCTGTCCTTCAACATTCATAATTTATTAGGTGGTGCGCATGCAGAGGCGGATGTTGCAAAAAGGGAACTGTCAGAGAAGATGACATGCAAAATAAAAGAAACATGAGGTTAACATGTACAGTAGAGTGCTATGCTCCTCTTACTGAGAGCTTCATGAAAAATGATCTCATCTTGTGTATCCAATATGTTTAATGGAGGCTTTAAGTCATACATAAAGCCAATGTAACTGTCAGTACGTGCTGCGCAAAACTGGTGTTCTGGTGCAAAAATTCGTTCAATTAGTTCAGCTAAGGAAAAGAGTGGCTGTTGTACATGCGGCACATTTACAGTATGCAGGCTGATAAGTCGGATCCTACATGGGGAAGAAGGGGCAGAGACCCTGCAATAAATCATTTCTACTGTGACAGGAAAGCTCTCCTCGCTTTATGTCTCCCTTTGGTGCTGAGTCGATAGAGTTGCCATGCCAACAGATTGTGGGGATTCCTACTTGTCATCTAGGCCACGATGCGCACAACAAACGCTCAACACATGCAACCAAACAAACACACTTTCCACGAGTGAAAAACCATTCATGGTTGGGTTGTAAGTCGTTGTATTTTCCTTTTCTAATCGTGGTTGTGATGTTTTAATCAATCCGTGTGTGTGTGTGTGTGTGTGTCACCAAAACAATGTGAATAGTCAAAACTGCAGCATCAGACCGAGCAAAGGCTCGGGTCTCTAAGGAAATATAAAAACACATAGATACAGAAGAAATCAGTCAGCTCACAGGCGAAATTTGAAAACCTTTGTAGGAATACGTTTTTAATTTTTTAAACTCTACATACATTCAAACATCTCTCAAATAAAGTAGCTGACGGTACGTGTGGAACATCTGTATGGGTGTATGTGTGTGAAAGGGTTGCAGGTTAGTGGTTCCAGCTGCCTTCTGCACACCTGCATATGTATTATGTGCTTACAAAATGTCATGGAGACCCATGAGTGACACAGAGACCACTTGGTCAGAACATCATTAAGGGTGTTGTATACATGTCTGAGTCCACTGAGTCTAAATGAATGATGTGTCTTTCTGTGTACTTGCTATACGCACAACCGTTAAGGGGGATACACAGAGTTGTTTTCATACTAGATAAGATCGTATACATAACTTGCAGATAAAGTATAAATCTGAAATCAACTCTTCATATTTTGAATGAGAGCACCTTTCTGATTACCAGGAATACGAGTTTACCCACCTGTAAAGCTATGTCGTTTTTGGTGTCTGTTCTGTGGGTGTGTTTCTGTGAGTGCATCTATGTGGCATGTATGAGGTCATACATTATGTATAGAATTATGACATGAAGTTGGTCTGCATGAGCTTATGTACATGTGCCTGTGAGTATGCCTGCATATGCAACATCATGTGCATACACACATACTTGTATGTAGAATCACATATATATAAGTGTAATTGTTGATGTGTACCAGGCATGCTTGTAACCCTGCATTACTGTTTGTGTGTGTGTGTGTATGAAGACATGGCCGTGTGCGTGTGTGAGTGAGTATGCGTTAGTCGCTGTCTTCTCTCTCCTGGGTCTCAGCCAGGGAGCTTTCATCAATATTCTCCAGGCTCTCGGCATGCTGGATGCTCAGCTCAGAGAGCGGGATGCTGGGTAATGTAGTCTGTTCGGGGTAGAGCCAGGGCTTGAAGCCAGGGTTGTGTCTCTGCTTCCAGTCGGAATACTTCAAACAGGCTTTGTTGATCTTTTTCATAGCCTAAAAGGAACAGAAAATATTAACTACATCTAGTTTTTACAGATCTGTCGATTGATCATTAACAACTTCAACTAACCGAAGGGAAATGATGAATTGACACTTGAATGCAGTGTCAACATTCATTCTTGCTCAAGGCTCAGATAACAGACTATTTGTTTAAAATCATTGAATCAAAAGGTAATATGTATAGGTAGGCTACAAATCCCAGACAGAAGATATTGTTGCATTTATTGTGGTGAAGTCAACAGCGTGGTTAATTCCAGTGGGATTTGTGAGTCTTGCGTTTCTATGTTTTTGCTATTGTATCATCAAGGGATTGCTCCATCCCAGGCTGCTCTCCAGACACACACACACACACACACACACACACACACAGACCCATTTACAGACAAACATATAGTGAAAACAGTAGTGTTTCTATAATGTGTTTAAGAAATTCTTTGTGGGATTATTCGTGGTTGTATAGATACACTTTGCTGAACGGACAACTCTGGGAATCTGGGTTGATTTGCAAAAGACTTACGTGGGGAGCAAAGAAGTGGGAAGACTTGTTGACAACCCACTTGGGTAACGAACCTGTAAAGAAAAACGGAGCAAAAAGATAAAGATAAGTATGTGGCTGTATGTGACGATTCAAGTTAGAAAGAGATTGAAACGGGAGGGTGATATAAAGAGTTCTCTTCATCCAATTTCATGTCATTCAGGAATAAGTAGTAAGCCTAGCGCCAGAGTGAAATAGATTCTGTCCTTCGAAAGGTTACTATGGCGACTAATCTTGACAAAGGCAGGGGAATAAAACATTCAGTAGAACTTTGAGCCGGTTAAGCGCCTGGTTGTGTTTCTGTAGTCGTGTCCTTCAGACTTCAGTGTGTGCTTCTATTTGTTCATTACGGTCAAGGTGGCCCTTGTGTGCTTTGGATGTGTGTGTATTAGTTACCTCGTGGATCGACTTGGGCCATGTAAGTGAGGGTGCAGTTGTTGGTCGGTCCCTGGCCCTGGATCAGGTAGCCGGTCTGAATGGACACAGCTCGCACCATGTCCTTTTTAGGAGGGTATTTCTGCAGAGACAATAAAATAGGCAAATTTGTGATATTAGGTTATACAAATACAACTGAAATAATTAAACATGCACATGAAGGTTTGTATTGAACTTTACATCCTTATTAAGTGCATGAATGTATCCACCTTGAACAGGATGAGAAAACCTGTAAAAACCTCATGTATTTTTTGTTATATTTAATCAACCTATTATGTAAAACACACACACGCATACACACAAACAAAGGTTATACATTTGAACTAATATTTAATAATCACGGTGAGAAAAAGGGTCTTACGGCCTTTGTGTCAGTTTGTCAAATAGTTGAACAAGGTAAGCATTATGATTCTGGGGCATTTTTTCCTCTTTGTGCCAATCAATCCCATTGTGTGCTTCACAGTCATATTTCAGATGCAAATCAAGTCCACATGACTCAGTATTAAAGTGCGCCTATTCCATAGCAGCTCCTTTTGACTATACATCTGAGATTATTATTCATGATGATAAAGTACAGCACTGGTTAGCCAGCGCTAATTGGGACATACAGTACACAGCGAGGCAGTCAGCGAAAGAGCCTTCATAAGAGGAACATTCCTTACAGCTAACTCATCATTTGCCTACGCTTTGTTAGCTGTGAACTATCGTAGGAATGTCTCTCTAGGAATACACTTTAAAGAACTGGAAAATCAGCATTTATTATGATCTGAGAGAATGTAGACAGAGACTTAACTTTCAGCTTTGTTCATCACCGTGGCTCTGGTAACTCACAACGTTACTGCTGACATTTGATATATTCCAACAGTGAATAAACACAATGTACACTAGAGTCCACAGCCGTGCCGGCAGCACGGCGAGGCTCCGCTTGCTGCAGGCAGAGCGACGTTTTCAACTAATGTCAGCATGATGACATGCTCGCAATGACAATCCTGACTGATCCAGCTGATGTCCAGCCAGAACTATGATTACCACGTCCACCGTCTCGCTCAGCATGCCAGTACTTGCACTAATCCCAAAGTACAGCTGAGGCTGGTCAGAATGTCAAGTTAGTTTTGCAGCTACTGTTCAAAAATCAAGTTATTACTAAAGTCAGTGGGCTTCACCATCGCACGACAAAATCTCCTTCCATCTAATAATAGCGCTGCCATCCCCGAAGCCTTGCTGCTAAAAAAAGTGCTCAATGGATCAACTGACAGAGTAGCTGTAGCCATAATAAATATATATAGGCCCCTCCAGCGAGGACAGGTTAGAAAGGTACAACGAGGCCGTGGTAGCTTGATTATGAAGTTACTGAAATCATGAAATATGAGAGACTGACACAAAATTGATTTAGAGATGTCGAATATAAGTATATAAAAAGGACGGACTCCTGGATCTGTGTTCCAATAGTCAGGATCTTAACTTTTAGTGAGTGACCTTGGTTAGTCACACACACACACACACACACACACACACACACACACACACACACACACACACACACACACACACACACACACACACACACACACACACACACACACACACACACACACACACACACACAGAATGTTCGTAACCACTCGTTGATGCAGGAATGTGGAAGGCGGCAGTCAACAGTTGAGTCACATGAGAGGTCTTATCCTTTTGTAAACATTATATTACCGAGCAAAACCTTCAAAACGGAGATCGGGAGTACGAGACAGAAAAGACAGGAAGTCAGATCGGGAGAGGTTCAACTGAAACAATGACTCAACTAAAATAATAACTTATCAGTAAAGTAATGCTGCTCGTCCAGTGTGAGGATTTGCTGTGCATGTGATACTAAACTGAATTTATTGAACATTGTATACACCGGACAATCCATTTGTTAGATAAAGGAACTAAACGTCTGTAGCAGCTCTGGAGAGAGGCGACGAGTACAAGCTTTTATAAAGACATCATTCTTGTCCTTTTCCTCCTGTTTAAGAAGAAACAGACATCGCGCCAAAGAAAATGAGGTCTGGCCAGGTTCCAATCCAAACTCAAAGTCACTCGGCGTTCTCTAATCACTGTTGGGTTTACTGGCCTTTGGCATTGAAAGGACTTCTTAAGAAGCAAGCCGAACTAAGAACACAATGTTTTCAACAGAATTAACTGAACTACCCTACAATTAAAGTGAAGCTGTGGCAGCTCACAGTATATCAATCATTCTCCCAGTTAACAGCAGGAGGAAGCAGGGTGCGATTGCTCTGGAAAGGTGCCCATCACCCTAGAACACTTCCTGGATGCAGTGGTAGTCTTAAATGGCGCACACAAAGCTTTTTATTGTTGCCTTTCCACAAATATTTGAGGACTTCTTGTAATCCAGCACAACGCCCTTAAGCTTGCTAAACTGGATCAACGCTCATGTGTACGCATTTAAAAACGGGTTTTTTAAGACGCTCTTTTGAACAGAGCTGTGGCGGAGTGACCGAGCCGGCCCGCGCTGAGCATGTTTCAGCTCTCCGTGGACGTTGCATGTTGTGTATGTTTTTCCCCCCCGAGTGTGAGCGCGTTTACTCACGTCGTGTTTGACAGAGTAGTTCATGATGATGTAATCTCTCCCCATCGGCAGCCAGGAGCGAAGCGTGATGACGTCGCGGTTCCGAAGAGGACTCGGACACTTCCCTGTGAACATACAGGATCAGAAATAAAGAACCAAACTGCACTTCTGCACTTTGTGTGCGTCTCTGCAGCCATTCCCAGCCCCAAATGGTGTCCCGTGAACGGCTTGTGTTTGCACACTGGAGAGTGGGACATACATGAGTAGTAACCAACGTCCGCATTGACTGTGAGCTTCCCGATATCGAAGGTCTCAATGACGTTCGTGTCCCATTTCCTTCTGTACTCGATGTCGTGGAGAACGTCATACATGGTCTCCGCTGACACGTCCTTGCACACCATACGACACTGAGGACGAGAGACGGATAGAAAGGGACACAGGGATTAGCTACAGGCAATAGAAAGAAATCGTACAGAGCTGACGTGACTGAAACATTAAGTAATCCGGAGTTATTGACCGTTGGAAAATAACACTACCACACACACTTGTGCGGTGTGCATTAACTAACAGGTAAATTATTAGACATAAGATGGTCAGAGTGTATCAGAGTCAAAGGGCTCATTGTGTGAGAACAAATTAGCAATAGCATTAAGAGAAAAGCCACTGACGACCGATGAGCCATTACTTTATCACAGCTTTGGGTAGAAAACCACACGATCTCTACAAGACAGACAGACACACACATGGTTTGAGCGTAGTGTGAATGTAGCCTCAGAGGCCGTAAATGTCCTTGAATCTACTTTTAAAAAACGTTCGTATAAATATATGTATCCATTTCAAAGCAAAGGAGGGCTCCATTTAAAAAAAATGTATTTATGCTTGTTGATTTAAAACAAGTGCGACGTAGTGCGTCACAGCTTACAACGAAACCCGCTCCGCAGTAGATGGCCCTGTACACACACACACACCCTGTGTAAATAGAGGTCTGCAGCCCCCGAGTGAAGCCGTTACTACAGTTACAATTGCCAAGGGGAGTTAGTCTTTATAATGACAACAATGGAGGATGGCGGACACGGAGAGAGCAAGTGTGTGAAAGGCACAGAGGCCCTAAAAGAGAAGAGGAAGAAGAATAGAGTAAATTACCCTTAAAGGAAATGTTTAACACATTTATCTTACTTTTGGCTGTGCGGCTGTGGCTATGCACTCGTCATTTACAAATGTGTTATCTGAAGAGCTCATTCAGATATGCATCTGTACGATGCTTTATTTCAATCGCATGCTGTCATAGGAAACTGTAAGATAAAATGACTGTGGGTGTAGAGCCTTGTTGGCAGCTGGGGGGGCTGCATCTGCACGCTAATAAGATGTGAAAATACGAGCATGCTGCGGTTTCATTACAACATTACATGTCATTTAGCTGACGCTTTTATCCAAAGCGACTTACAATAAGTGCATTCAACCATAAGGATACAAACCCAGAAGAACAAGAAGTGCAATTTCATCAAATAAGTTGATTTACTGGTATAATGTTAACCACCTTAGTTTAGAACATTAACATGCTTGCAGTTGTTTTTTTAATGGTGCTGACACACACTGAAAAGGCCCCTGTTCACGAAGACCCCCAATTGAGTGAAGTTAATTGTCCTATGAACAAAGATCTTATTTTGGGTTCCAACCCCACTTCTTCAAGAAATGTAATTTACTACCTCTTAATCCAAATTGGACATGAGAGCTATGCCTACTTGCTGCTGCTGTCAAATCCAATTTCACTTATATAGCCACAATCTCACAGCGCTTCACAACCAGCCGCATAATAAAACAAAACGGCTAAATTGAAATGCCTACTCCTCACCGAGAACAAGGAAATGCAGATTGGGCTCAGAGACCGTTATATGATGCGTAATACGTGCAACCGATTGCGAGTTTACCCACAATCTTAGAAGACCGCCAAAGACTAAACTAACAAAAACGGATCTGGTTTTCTATAGAAATAGAAGTCACTAAAATTAAGTGATTCTTGACCAGGTACCAAATGAGAACGTGGCCTACACTTACGTAGGTGAATGGTTAAATAATCATGTGAACACTGTGAAAGACAGCTCTAAATAAACGTTAGTGTCATATGGTGTTAATACCGGTTTACTTTTGAGTAAAGGGGGATTACAAAGACAAGCTCATTAAGTGTTCAAATAGCATACGTGATTGCAGTCATCTGATTCGGGTGTGCCTAAAACTAATTCAATGTCAGTCTATTGAGGACAAAGATTAAAAGTGAGATGACATGTTAGTTACCCAGAGATGACCAAGAACTCCCCATACTGGAGGAACCAGAACACATTCAGAACGATGAGTTTTACAAAAAAAGAAGTGCCGAAGACATATTTGTTGCTTCAGCAGGAAAAAACAAAACAGATAATGCAATGTATTACATTTGCAGAAGGGAAGCGTACGGCAACAATGACATTATATTTGTGTAAAGAGATTGGAGAGGACCTGTAGGTCAGAAAAGACCGGGGGGGGATTAATCAATGTGTCGTGACCAGAGGCAAACTGAAACAGGAATAAGAGGAAGAAGGAAAACCAAAGTATAGGGAGCAGAATGCATCCAGTGCAGAATGAAGACACAAAGCCAGCTCAGTACACGTGTGCTTAATTCTATTATACACTAACTCAGTGAAGTCAACAGATGAAGCAAGGACACAGATAAAAAGGCGGGTGAGAGGGAGTTCAGGGAGATAAAGCAGAGGCGGAGGGGGAGCAGGCATACAAGCAGGTACACCAACGATAGGCGGCTCGGGGACTCTTTCCTTGAGCAGAGTCCACGCTGCGCCCACTCAAAAAACACCCGTGACCTCTGACCTTTCCACATCCAACACACACCACCTACTACGCATCTTCTTCCTCTTTCCCCGTCTCCCCGGTTCTTCTTCTCTGCCAGCCGGCGTCTTCCATCCCTCGCACTGCACTCTCCTCTGGGTGCTGATGCATGATAGACGATTATGAACACGTAAAAAAAAAAAAAAAATGGACGAGTTCGTAACGTGTGACTCAGAGCCGGGCTTCCCTGTGTGTCGCTAGTGAGAAAGCAAACCCAATGCGTGTGTGTGTGTGTTTATCGCAGAGAGGCAGTCTGACAGTTTGTCAAACTATTACAGAAATCAAAACCCACCTACACAGTACGCACTCCCACAAATACGATGTGACGGTTCCAGCTGGGAAACCAGAGGTTATCATTGATGAACATGACAGTGACGGTAATGACAATAATGGGGCTGATGATAATTAGGTTGCTAATGATAGCCAGACTGTTCTCTCTCTGGATGGATATATATATATATTTTTTTTTATCCCCTATTAACACTGACATTGATCATTCAAAATGCATGCTTTTTTTCCCTCTACAGCACAACTGTATCCGTGGCATCGCTGCATGCCCTGATCATTACACACACACACACACACACACACACACACCTATAAAGATTATCTACACATACCATCTACCTTTGTAAACGCACACAATTGCAATTCTGTCATCACTTTAAGAGGAGGAAAAAAATAAAATAAAACTGAGTTGGATTGGAAAACTTGTTCCGTGTGAGAGACTCGAAGAAAACCAGATGACGTAACTATGCAAAATAAAGCTCCTGTAGCGGTTGTATTTACATAACGATAAAGTGGCAAGTATAGATATGAGCCCCATTCAAACCCCTAATGTGTGTGTCTGTGTGCACTTTCTGCTTCTCTCTGTTTGCAGAGCTGTCCCGAGGAAACACACCTGTCCTTAACCGCTGCGCACACAGGCACGCACACACAATCCCTCGCAATGGCCGCCCCACTGGACGGAGACACACACCTATGCACACACACGCACTCCACTTTATTTAACAAAGTAAACACCTGGTGGCTGGCTAGCACTCCTCAGACCCGGATATACCAGCAGGAAGACACACACACACACAGCTTACACAGAAGGGTCGTTTATAGACGTGTTAAATTACAGTAATCACAATTTTATGGCCAGTGAGATCAGAAAGTACTGTGAAGGTCAGAAAACTGTCAGCTGTGAAGCTAAATGTCTCAAATGAGATCAAATAGAATATGATTGATGGCACACAGCAGCGGGTCTTAAAGGACAAAGCTGCTCCCGATGACGTCTCCACATCGACTCCCAAGACAAACCGCCACGACTGCTATTTGACTAGATAAGTCATTTCACATCGGTACCTTACCTAAACAATGATCAGGGAGGAGCAACTTGTGTTACTTTACTAATGTCAAACTGCACTCTAGTGCACAGTAGGTTCCTCATTTAGTTCATAAAATACCCACAAATAATGACAGACGACCATCACAAGTCATCAGAGCACAAAATAATGTCTTTAACCTTCAAGGTTGTTTCATTAGACCTGATGTTTTGAATAATGAGAAAAGCAAAAAATCCTTAAATAACAGAAGCCGTAACCACTAAATAGTCATTGACTTATTTTCAGTTATTGACAAGTGAGTAATATTGACAACAGCACCATTCTACCTTTTCTTCACTGTGTTAAATCAATGACAAATTGTATGCAGAACCAACTCCAAGTGAACAAATTAAGCTGAAATATTACACCCATCACCTATAACTCAACATGCTTCTGGGTAGAGGCTTGAAAATACGGTAATGGGTTCTACTCCCAATGGGGAGGAAACCTGAGGGCTGAGGCTCTTGATTCTCTAAAGTACCGGGGTTTTCTTATAGCGTGCATCGGCCAGAACTTCACAACCCATCTCATGTGTTAATGGACGCGTGGATCCGACCCAGGACGTGTTCGCGGAACACCGATGCTTTCAAAAAACGGTTGCACTGTTGCACGGCATCATATCAGGACTATTAACTCGACCCATTTGTGTGTCACCACATAGGAAATGCCACTTCTTTGAAATGCAAGAAGCGGTATAGTGGGCTTGTAATTGGCCTCTGCAACTACCATGCAGCAAAAAAAAAAAAAAAAAGGAGCAGTTAGACCATGTCAGCAGTTTAAATCATAAGGGAATTTTGGCAAAGGCATTTCCCTGCATCTGGAATACAACATGAGCACCACATGTATACGTTGTTGGGACATAATCACCTTGATTTTGTGGATGGACTTCCCCTCCTCCAGAGCCTGAGTCCACACCGTGATGCCCCCCTTGTTGTGGTTCATGCTCCAGCCTTCCTCGCACAGACCCTCCGCCTTGAAGCTGGCGAACGCCCGGTCGTCCGGGATGGTCACAGTCCGTCCAGACATGGCTCGTTACAGAGGAGAGGGTTGGTGGGGGGGTAGGGGAGTGATGGGAGGGGGGTAAAAGAGAGGGGTTTCTGGGAGCCTCCCGTTGGGCCCTTTAGGACACAAGGTGAATGAAGCCAGTCACTCTTTTGCTGCTCTTCTGTGAGGTGTAATGCGTCTTAATTAAATGTCCTCCTTTGCAGGAAGCTCTCGTCGTCTTGTGATGAACGGTGCGCGTGCGCGTGCGGGAAGGCGCAACAACCGCAATCCACCCGGTCCGAAGTAATAAGAGACAGAGGTGAACGAGCCGCAGTCACGCACAGGTGAGAGCACGCGGGCACAATAACGCAAAGAAGCGTCTCCGCGCGACGGGACTAACGAGCCTCTTCAGCTGCTCGGTTGAATAATGGTTTGGATAAGTTTCCGCTGTGGTTTTCGGCGGTCCTCCGAAAGAAAAAGCCGCTCTTCAGACGAACCATATGTTTGTGTTCTCCGCAGGACTCTCGCCGTGTCTCCCCGTCTTTACCTCCCCGCCTGCTCCTCCGCGTGGATCTCTCTCTTCTCGCTCTCGCGACTGAAGTCTTGCGTGAAGCTCGTAATCATTCGCGGAGGTTCTCCATCGCTGCGTCGCTGCTGTGGCAGGTGGTGGGGGAGATGCGGTGAGAAATAAGAGGAAGAGGGGGAGGTGGAAGGGGGGGGAGAAATCAGCCTGTGCAGGCAAGCGACGCAGTTTCGGCTACAATGGAAACGCCTCCCCTGCTGCCTTCAGGTGATCCTCGTAAAGCCCTAGGTTATGGCCTTTTTCAAGATATGTTGTTCTTTACAGTTCATTTGTAAATATATTGCTGAATAAAAAAATGCAATACATAGTAATATCGACATACGTATGTATTTATTGTGGTTGATTACACTTTTACTGAAATATACTAAAAACCTCTGGCCATTAAAACAAAAACCAATAAGCCCACATCTGTACAGGCTTGTATGGGTGTATAACTGCATTTGAAAGTGTTTGAAACACGTCATGAATAGGTTGTAAGTGTAACCTATCTTTAAAGGTATCTTACCCAACAGTTTTAAACGAGTAAAATAATTGCTAATTAACGTCAATCAGAAACAATGACCATACAGGTCAAGTTATGCTGTTATATTCGGTTACACAAAAAGCAGCCTTCCACTTTTTTGTTATCAATTCTGTTGAATTGAATGTCATAAAAAGAGCGACATGTTGACCCCAAAAAGCTTGAGAGAGCATTGACCGTTGCTTTCTTTCATGTCAGAAGAGTTGTGTGGTCTGAAATGCTGCTGTGTGGGAACACTGACTGGTCCCTTCACACATTATTTTCAAGTATCCTTCCTATTAATCATATCTATCTCCTACAGTTTAAACATGCATGAAACTCATGTGTTCAATCGGTTTGTTTGTCGTTATTTTGCCGACAGTATTTGAACGCAACCCGCGCTATCACACCACACACGAGCACTTTTTTTTTTGCTAACTAGGTAGTTCAGGAGGCAGCGGGAGCGCGCCTGGCTCTGTTGGCTGACGTGTAGCCTATTCGGATGTGTTTACTTTGCGGCAACATGAAATGTTCATTACTTAATCAAGTAAAACGATGTGTAAACTTACATACAGAGAAGAAAACAGATTTATGTATTTTTATATTGCAACATTTTTGTTGTGTCACTGTTATTCTGTCTCCATCTTTTTTTGTGAGTCCCTTCACTCAATTTAAACTAAAGTGGAATTCTTACAATCACTCATTTGTGTAAATATACAAAAGGTCAGGCAATGCTCAGGCAGGTTTTTCCCCTACTGTACACCTACCAAGCTCTTATTCATGGCAGAACATGATGTAGTCTATGTTCATGTCTGGCGAGACACAGTAATCTAATTACCCGCATTCAACATGCAAATGTAATTATTAAATGTCGGATTGGCTTGACTTGTATTGCAGTCACATGAAGTTACTTTCTTTGGTAACTTCAGTGAATGGAAGTATGTGTAGGCTATGAAAACACCCGGTAGTAGAGTGAGATTTCTGAACAATAAATGCTTGCCATTTCTGCTACTAAATGAAAGTATATTGCTTTCATCGTCACATTTTCAGAGGAACATTTAAAAAAAAAGAAAAAGTTTCATTGTGAATTTAAAGACAAGCTTTGGTTGTCAGGTGCGTGGTTCTTGGGTGAGTGTTTCCTGATAGTAGAACAACACACATCATTTCAAGTCTGTCAGGTTTTCAACAGTGACTTCAAACAAAAAAGTGGGTTTGCATTGGTTAACAAGGTGCCTGTTTAATTCAGTAGACAAGCAACGAAAGCAAAACCAAAGAAAAGCACAACAGGTCTTACAGACAATACTTCCTGATCCCATCCCCAGGTGCATGAATGTGCATATTTCGTTCAGTATATCTCATGCTCCGCAGCAACCCTTGACAACTGGAGATAAAACGACTAAGTCCCAGTGGAGACAAGAAAAGAGGAATGAAAATAGGACAATATGATAGTTTTGTATTGAAATTAAAGCATGTTTTTTTCATAGCGTTGAGTTTCAACATTACATTTCACCAACAGGAGTCCCATTAAGAATATGAACCTCTGTAAACTAGCATTTTAGTTTATTACTGCATTGGTGTTGCAATGTTTACACTCACAACTTTGAAAGCTGCACTTGTGTAATAATTTAACATGAGAAGAACTCATTCATTCCGGTATTCTCGCTAATATGTTCCATACTGAGGGCGTTTGATAAAGATCATGACATTTGCCAGCAACGCCATGTGTAATCCGCACTGTACATTAATGCCATCTGGCGGCCGTGGCGGACTGTCAAAAGGACACAGAACAAAACAACTGCTTGTGTCATCAAGTGTAGGTCACTGCGTGTGCTGTTATTCTCAGGTTCGTGCGTGTATATATGCGTAGGAAAGGACCAGAAATCCTTTACAGATGTGCTCTAACACAGTGAACGAACCCCCAGCGATACAAAGGCAAAGCTACTGTGATGGGCCACCAAACAGCGAACTAATCTACAGCAGTTTTTACATGATACTAATTAATAAAAATCCGGAAAATAATCCTGTAAATCAAGCGTGACGTTAAGAAAACACCAGCATCTCAGCAGTTTACGTCTATCTAAGCGAATACGGAAGTACGCGACAGATGCTCATCTTGGCATAAGCGACCGACCCAGAAGTTTCCAGCTAAACAGCATATCCCACAATGCCCCGCGCGTCCCGGTGACATCTACGCAACGATGAGTTGAAGCGGTTGTTGTCGTCTCTACGCTTTTTAGCCAGTTGCCAGGAAACCGAGGAAATAGAGCTGCTGTCACGCCGTGATCAAGTAGGGATCCCTCTCACACCTGAAATAAGTGCCGGACTGAGCGATTCCACCACACGTTTGATTTGTTTCTCGGTGATTCTTTGGCCCATGTTATCGTCCGTTCCCACCCGGCTGATCGCGCGAAGGTCGCGCAGCCTGTCGCCGTGCAGCCGCGTGCTCCAGACCAGCGCGAGCGGTGCCGCGTGCCGGGGCTCCCGCGAGACCCCGCCAGAGCTCCAACGCAACCCGATCGTGTCCACCTCGCGGGTCTCCAGAAGGGGGATTTTGGCTGATGAGAGCGCGGGTACCAGCGTGAAGCCGTTGGTGCAGTACCACCACCTCGCCCCTAGGTGGCTGTCTCACCTGGAGAACCGCCGCGGGTCGTGGGCGGCGTTGGCCGACAGGGGGCGCGACAACCAGCGGTACTGGGAGGAGAGCGGTTGGAGCGGCGGTGGTGGTGGTGGTGGACGGGGGACAGATGGAGGAGCCAGCCGGGCTGGAGCGGCCTCTGTCGGGGTGCTGTCTGCCGCAGCATTGGCCTTCTGCCTGAAGAAAGATTCTGATAACAAAGGTACAAACTTTGTCAATCAGTCATTGTGTTGTTTGACTTAATATTATTGTATCCCCTTTTTGTGTTTAATTTCTTTGTATAGGAAATATTACTTTAAATGATGTAGGACAATTATTTTTTGAAAAAAAAAGCAAAAGTATCATTGGTCAATTGAGTCAAGAAAATATGTGGGGATTTGGCTTTAAAATAACAATACTGGTGCATTCTTAATTATGAGTACTCCGATTCTCTGTAATCTTCTTTTTTTTAATGTTTTTATTGCTAAATGTTCTTTTGCAATAAGGTGATGCTCTTCTGGAGGCAGCAAGGACCAATAACTCTCAAGATGTGGCCAGGTACACACACACACACACACGGGCGCGCGCACACACTATCTCACATATACACATCACGCTATCAAGGCAAAAATGATTCAGACCGACAAGTTTTGTCCGTCTACAATTAACTACAATTACTAGAATTATGAGACTATAGTTTGGATCCTTCTATCCAAAGTGTTCTTTGCCGTATGATATTACTGTCAACCTGTAACAGGCTCTGGTTAGCAAAAAATCTGAGCGCATACTCACACACTCTTCTTCTAAATGATCCTTAATCCTCTAGTTTCGTTCAGAGGCTTGTATAAATCACAGAACATCCACTTCATCCAGTTTGTACCATCATGTGCAGTTATGAAAACCGTTGTATAGGCTGCTGTTGTTGTTGTCCCACCCATATCCACCAGGTGGAAGAAGAGGATCATCAGTGTGTAAGCAGGATGGATGCATCACTCGGCCTCTGAGAGTCCATTCCAACAGTCTGCCTGTTTTCTTTCCTCTGATTTGAAGACTTCTTCAGCGATTCTCATTTTGCAATAGCTTCATTTATTTAATTTCATATTAAATAATATATTATATTAAATAGTATATTTCTCAGCATACTCTGAGACAATCAACCAGAGCAAAACCAAAAAAGAGCACAGAACAGGTGTTAAAGTACTTCCTGATCTCATCTGGTAATATTGTATTACAAATATTGAGTTACTATGGAAACAGAGACAATCAAACACGCTGTGGTCACAGGCCATCACAGTCCTACCTGTGGTCACATTACAGTACAGATAAACGCATCCGATTGGCTTTCCTTTCGGTCATGTTGCTCCTCTCTGGGCAATAATCATGTGAATGTGTGTTAAATCAGTGCGTGCGTGTGTGTGTGTGTGTGTGCGTACAGTGTAGTCTGTGGGTGTGATATGAGGCTAGCGTACATGTGTTTATCCATGTGCGTCTCCATTTGCCGGCTTGGGTTACCTGTGGCCGTGTGGCAGATGGTGCGTAGGTGAGAGGGCAGGTCACAGATGTGTTAAGTGCTGTGGTTCGGTTGGTGGAAGCGGTAGCGTGTCGGGGTGCGTCGCCGGAAACGACGGAGCCTCACGTTTTCACATAAATGTTGTCTACTCACACTAAACTCACGTTCATTGATTCATTACAGGTTGCTAAACTTGTTTTCTCAATAAATGGATTTCATTGCTGGATTTACAGATATTATTGATGCCCTGTGGTGACACGTTTAATATAAAATCCCTGTTTGCCAGATTCAAAAGTCCAAAAACCTCCTCAGAAATGACTGAAATGTGCCTCTGAGCATAGTGTGACCTCTGTTAAATGAAGTAGTTGTTTGGTATACTTGACTCCATCCTCAGGGGGCAGATCGCATTTACAATGCCTGTCCATCAAATTGGACCATTTATGCGTGAAATACACCCTCAAACGATGTCCGTCTGGTGAAATGAACTCCTGAGACGGGTCGGATGCTGGTGAGCTTCTACCTCCCACACGCAGAGCAGGCAGTGAAAACAGAGCCAGAGAGACTCATGGCTGAGTGCAGACCCGACAGAGGCCACCGTGTTGACTGTAAACACACACACTCTCTGCATGCTTAGCGCACAGATCACTTCACAACACACACACACACACTTATAGGACGGTGCCAGTCCAGGACCTGATGTCGTACCCTCGGGCAGAAAACTCAACACACACCTGGCGCGCACACACACACACAGACACATTAACTGGTTAGGGAGCAAGTGTGTGGCTCCAGATGAGGACAAAGATATCCATGCTGGTGTGTCTAACAAGGTCTGAGAGGCGGTCGCACCACCAGCTGGACCGTCTCCTGTTTACATTTTTTTTGCTTCCCTGTGTGTGCTTTTTTTTCTTTCCTTTTTGAGCACAGAAAAAAAGGTTCTCTATTCCAGCATCATGATGTATAAGATACTGTAGCCACAGAACACAGTCTCAGCAATACGTTGATGTAAATCTAAAGCCACTTCTCCTCTGTTTCTCCCCATCAGGCTGGTAAAAGAGGGGGTCGACCCCAACCACCGCCACCGCCTCGGTTGGACCGCCCTCATGGTGGCCGCCATGAACCGGCAGCACAGGTCCGTGTGTGTGTGCGCGTGTCAGTGTGTGAGCAGAAGTCATCCGTCTGGCCACTCAAGTTGTTACAGTAGGCCTTCAGAAGTGCAAAGTGCGACAGACGGTCTTTCCCCGTCCCCCCGTCTCTGTCCAACAAATTAAATTAGCCTCCTGGCCCCCGGAGCACACACACACACACACAGAAAGGGCCGAGGTTAAGGCCAGGCCAAATCCAATTTACAGGGCTTTTTCTTCTCTTTTCAGGACCGTTTGGTCACTTTTTTCTTTTTTTGGGGGGTTAAGGGCCTCATGTGCCCGTGAGAAGCATTATGTGAAATTTGAATTTGAGAATAGCTTAAAATGAGCTTACCTTAAACCTCCGGGTTACAGTTGCTGCTACCTCAAGTTGTTGAGTTTGAATTGGTAATGCAGCTGAAATGGAAACATCTGCTCCATTTCCATTTCGAACTGGACGTAAGACTTTTCTCCAAATAAAGTCTTATTCTTATTCATGTAATGATTCTGAATTGGAGCTTATACGTTTCGATTGTTTATTTTCTGTTCTTTGCATTCATCTGGTCTGAGTAGCTTAATGGAGTAACAACAATTTGGATAATCAGCACAAACATTTGCTGCTTCCAGGTCCTAAAATGTGAGAATCTGCGGCTTCTTTGTGATCGTAAATGGTTTCTCCTCAAATTGATTGATTTGTAGACGTCACAGTGGGCACCTGACCATTGTGTATGCAGTTTTACAGACGATATTCAATCAATTGGATAAAAAATGTAATAGAAATCGTAAATGAAAATAGTTGTCTTTATATTCGCCGTCTGTTTGTTACACATTCTTAGAGACAAATATGACGTGAGCCGAGTGATTGGTGGCACGTGCATATTGACGTATTCAATGTGCTTTGGAAACAAATTTGGTTGTGAGTGTATATTTATTGTTTATGTGTGAGTGTGTGTGTGTGTGTGTGTGTTGGTCTATGTCACTGCACTGCTGTGTGTGTGTGTGTGTGTGTTATGAGTGCTATAACTCAGCGAGGCAGTGACACTCCTCTGTGTTTAATCCCGTCCTCCAACCCCCCAGTGAGCCGTCGCTGCTGCAGGGAAGACAGAACATCGGTTCACACACATCCGTCACGCATGTCTCGCAAACACACGCGCACACACATGCACGGAGAGAAGGGGAGTTTATACCAAATATCTTACAGGCCAACTGCCTATTACTCAGTCACACACAACTTTATTTGCAGCCGTTAAGTGAAAACAAAGGGAGCATTACTCACGGACAAGGTCGAGCCTGTAGCTACGATGTCAGCATGGATCTTATTGTTGAATAACCCCCCCCCCCACACACACACACACACACACACCGTATTCATATTCATACGGAGCAGAAACAGTGTTTCAAGAATACTTCACCACGGTGGAAGCTGCAGAGTCGGCCGCCGGGGGTTCAGAGGTCGAGGTGCGGCTGTGTGAGGGAATCGGAGGTGGAGTAGAGGGGTGTGTGTACGAATTAAAGGGTGAGACATCGGGGTGGAGTTGCGGGGGAGGGAGGGGCGTTTGTTTGCTTAGCTTTGATGTGGGGCTAAATCGGGGAGGCGCAGGGCCCGGCCCGCTATTTGCACTCTTTAACACACAATGGCCTTCTCCATCTCTCTTTCTCTCCCTCTATCCGTCCCTCGCCGCATTCACGTGCACAATGAGCGCTCAGCCGAGTGTAACGCCTGTTGACCGTTCCAACCTGTCGGCCGAGCGTCCTCGCGGGGGGGCGGGGAGGGGGTGCGAGGGAAAGCGGAGAGATGCTGGAACGAGAGGAGAGTCGTTTTGAGGTGGAGAGAGAGAGAGAGAGTGGTGTGGAGTGGGATTACGGGTTTGGGACCGGGATTAGCCCGAGTGAATAGTGGTGGAAATCCAAGAGTGAAATATTGTCATCATTTGGTCACGATACAAGATGATTGTGATGGTAAGCGGCTTCAGTGGCAGAATCAGTTCATCATCGGGTCTCACAGGACACAAAAACTATGTTCCCTCAGCTGGTAAAATACGTGGAGAAATGTTTGAAGGGTGTTCTAACCTGTGCAACGATGAAACCACGTTCATGATTTTCAGTTTCAAGATTTCTACAGTTCTAAAGTTTTCATTTCCATGCGAGAGCTTCTGGAAATAAACTATCACTAACTACCCTTTTTTCATGTTAGGGCTTAATAGCAAAAGTGAAATATTTCAAGTAATAGAAAGTTGGACTTGAACTTTAATTTAACAGAGAAATAGGGAAAGGGTTTAAATGGGATGAATTGAATAATTAACATTCCTCAATGCGTCAAAGGCGCATTGATCTTTGACATGTTCTATTACTTTTAAATGATGATCTAATTCTGTGTCTCATTGTCCACCTGATGACGTGGACACTCGACGAGACCACAACTCTTTGCTGTGGCTCCTAAATGGTGGAACGAGCTCTCTGATGACGCCAGGGCCGCAGAGAGTCTTTACGTCTTCTGCCGCAAACTAAAAACACACCTCTTCAGACTCTACCTTGAGTAAAAAACACTAAACAAAATTGTAGCACAGACATGGAAGAGGCCCACAGGTAGAAGAACAGAGCAGGAATCCCTTATAAGAAAAGAAATGTGTAAAGAAAATAGTTAAAGACAACGTTAATAATCTAACATAGTGACCAATCGAGCTATCTGGCTGACCCCCCCCCCCCAAAATAAAGTGCAGTAAACCTCTCTTCCCGGCATCTATCTGACCCCAGGTGTGCACCAGGTGAGATGGGGTCAATTGAGGTCCTTCGTCTGGACCAGGTGGTCAGAGACATGGATGGTCAGTTCGGCTCGGGTGTCTGTTATCGCAGACGGAAGTGTCCGTTTCCTGTGTTCCCCTCCGGGGGCGGGACGGGGGTACAAACACCTGCCCCCCCCCCCCCCCTCCCTCCCCAGCAGTAACACCAGTCACCTGGTGGCCAAGCTCACTAACCACACGAAAGCAGAAGAAGCATCAAGCTTTTGACTTGAGGAAAGCTGCTAGACGGAACGCCTCCTCCTCCTCTCACTGACGCACATTTAGTCTGCGTTGAGCTGTGAATGTAGAATAATGTTGTAATTCACAGGTGACGTCGTTTCGGCCGTTATCAGGCTGCGTTTGGAAGTTTGGAATCTTAACTTTAGCCGCCCCCCACGCCTCTGCCATGCGAGTTTAACTTAATTAACCTCGGCGTGCCTCCAGTTTGGCCTCGAATTAGTGAAGCAAGCCCTCCTCCTAAATGTCCCAAATACAGTTAGCCACTCGATCATCAGTTGATTAGTAAAACTATCAAGCCTTTTGAAAAGCTCATTAGTTTTAGCACCATCCCAAGTAATTAAATCTCCCTCTTTCATCTTTTTTTTAGCGGCACTTCCATCCTTTCACCCGCTGCTCCTCCTCCTCCTCTCTGCAGTTTTCCCGTCTTTATCCCTTCGTGTTTACCTTTCCGATGCCATTAACCCTTTTCAGGCTGTCTCATTGCTTCACACAGTCCTGCCCAGCCTCGTGTGACCATCCGTAGCGTCTGTGTGTGTGTGTCTGTGTGCGTGTGTATGCGTCTCGGTGGACGGATGCATCAACGTGTTTGTAGAAGTGCTTGCAAGGGTGAGAGGAGACCCCTCTGTGGGTCCCGCCCCCCCCCCCCAGCCACAGTGATACAGTAACAAAGGGGGACCCCCCCGATAGTTCTTTATACCCCCCCAGCAAGGTCAGACACAAAGACCTGGCCGCGCTGTTCTCAGCCTCGCTCTCCCACAGGAACACACTTTATGTTGTTGTTTGTTTGGATCGAACTCAGCGCCGTGATCTTTGACGCTTTCCTGGTACTTGAAACAGAATCAGACATTTGCTGGTTCCAATTTTCAAATGTGAATGCACGATGGGTTTCTTATCATATATAATGGTAGATGAAGTATCTTTGGGTTTAGACTGTCTAGCGGATGGAACACCTCGGGCTCTGGGATATTACAATAGGCATTTTCTGATAAATATTTAATTGTGTAGTTATTCTTGCAAAATGACACATTCATCTTTAGAAAAAATATCAAAAGTTGCATTAATTTATACACGCTTATGAATATAATATTTTACTGCCTCCGTCTGTTGTCTAATGCTTGTACACAGATTGTCCTAGTTTACTGTTAACTGCTATGACTTTTCACACCTCCCCTTCAAATGGACTGTAAGAAAGAAGCTGCAGCCTTTCACGTGGCCAATGGTGATTAGCTCTAAAAACAAAGTCCACCTCATCCTCCCTATGAATTATCCCTTTTGCTCCATTTAAACCCTCTCAGGCCTCCTGCCATAACCATTTAGCCAGAGATGATCCATCACCCCCTCCCCCCTCACCCCCTATTACAGAGTCACAGGTCTAATGGCGGCCGGCAGCGCACTGGCAGGGTTCACGTTTCGGCCATCGCCCACATTCTCCGTCTCACTGAGCGAGTTTTTTTTATTTATCTTGTCTCAAAGTCAAAGCCGCTGCACACGTTCATGGTGGTAAATGTAAAGCGAGCGTGTTCCGTAGACGGAGAGACGGTACCTGGAATGTCCGTCGGGTCACAGTGGGTGGTGTTGCCGAGGTACTCGTGTTTGTTCTATAAGGCGGTACGCTCCAATGAAGGGTGGTACGCACAGACCACCCCCCACCCCCCCCTCCTCCGGCCCGGAAACAGGCCCGACCCTTGCCCCTTCCGTGCACACATGTGTACATGCCACATGTGCCGCGTGGGGAAGCGGCCATTGGAGTGTAGCCACCGTAACGGGCAGGACCAGCAGGGGAAGTGAATCAGGTGGAGCAGTAAAGAGGTATTTACATATGCAGCGGGCGTGTTTGTTGTCACGCTGGGAAGAAGGAAGGGACTTTGTGAGAACTTTGTCCCTGTCTTTAATCCAGACCTTACTTCCTGTCGCCTGATGTACGTATTTATGACAATACAAACTGTGAGATGATACCGGGGCAGGTTTCCCTTTAATATCGTTGGCTGTATCAGGCCACTGTGGGTGAATAAGAAAGCTGCCTTGTGACAATATTGGATTAACGTTTTTGCATAAACGTGAGGAAGAACTTTAATTTGTTTTTAATTCACTGGATTTTCCCAAAACCTGGCGACTCTTAGTTCATCTGAAAGATTGTTTCTTAATGGACCTCCCAGAATATTTGCTACACCATGATACATATTGATACAACAGCATAAGTCTACATATTGTATCTGTACTACCGACTCGTTAACTTAATTATACGAGTAAGTAAAAAATGATTACTGCTGAAAGGCATTTATTTCTTACAGGCCATATTATTAAATATATAGGTATGCATAGTTGACATGTGTTTTAAATGTGTGCCCTTTGTTGTTGTTGTTGTTGTTTTGGTTTTACAGTGTGGTGAAGGTGCTGCTGGAGGCCGGCGCCGACCCAAACGCCGGCGATCACTTCAACAACGTTTACGAAACCTCCCGAGAGAAAGGCATCCACTCACTGGAAGGTAACGGAGGGGAAGAGAAGAGGCAGCCCGTTATGACTGTTTTGCATGTTACTATATTACACATATGAATCCTAAGTGTTGAAGCAGATATTACGAGACATTATAATTTGCATAAAGATTTGCATATGTGTACATGTTTCATTTCAGCCGCGTTATTTGTTTTATATGTTCCGTGACAAATAGTGTGTGTTTTATTTGTTTTTCTTCCGAGCTGCGACACACATCCACACAGCCACGCATGCACGCGCACACACACACACACACACACACACTACCCCCCCCAGCCTGTGTTGGGTTTCTGCAGACATATTTATATGGGATATGTATATTGCAGACATTTATATGGCTGTCAGGTTTGGGTCCACGTGGGGCCGGTGTAGCGTGGGGAAGCGTTTCCCAGACGCACGCTGATGGATGGGCTGGGGGGGCCTGTGCGACGCTTTATTGGGTTAGCTATGATTATCCCGCCCTGTCTCTCTCTCTCTCTCATACACACACACACAGACACTGCAGAGAGAGACATGAAGAAAAAGAGCAGGATGGATGGAGGAAGGGAAGACTGATGAAGGAAGGAAAAATGAAGGGAGGAAGGCAGTGAAAGAAAGCGAAGGGAAGGCAGAAGCTGGAAGGTAGCGGCGGATGGAGTGAGTGGGAGGTTAAAGATGGAGGAGAAGAAAGGAGAAGAAAGGAGATGTGGATGTTCGAAGGGAGGGATGGGAGGAAATGGGTGGGATGATGACGGAGGGAGAGGCGAGGAAGTCAGGAAACGGATGAGACAAAGTTATTGGGATGGAGGCAGCGGGGAGGGAGGAAGTGATGAAAAGAATTGATGGATACCGAGGACGAGAGGAAGGAGGCGGAAAAAATAAAAATGGATGACAGAGGAGTGGCACGAGATGAGTGCGCTTATGAAAAAGAGAAGTAAGGAGAGAATGATAGACTACCTCTATTATTATAAGGAGCACAGCAAAGTAAGCCTTAAAACACTAGTCGCTTTATTTCTATCACGTCGGACAGTTGAGCTTAAATCTGTGGAAATGAACAACTCCTCCAAAGCTGGAAACAGGAGAGACAATCTTGTAGTCTGCAGGGCTGTCATTGTCCTCGCTATTGTAAAGAGATTAAAGAAAGCTATTCCAGATTAAAGACAAACAATTCCAGGCAAAGCTGATTCATCGCTCTCATCCACAAAGTTGTACTCGTTGCAGATCAGCTTCACAATTACATCTCTGCAGGCTCTATTTTTTTTGTGCCTTTCTTTCAGTAAACCTATTTTTCTTCTTCTGCCTGCGATCCCTTTTCCCGTCCCCTCCGTGTGTCCCTACAGTCCTCGTGTCCCGGGAGGACGAGTTCAGCAGCAGGCTCAGCAGCAGAGCCGGCTTCCGCGGTTGCACCGCCCTCCACTACGCCACGCTGGCCGATGACCCCGACACCGTCCGCATGCTGCTGGATGCCGGTACGTTGCACCAAAACCAACCACGCGGCGCCGAGTCCACCGGGGGACCGCCGAGGGTCTCCACGGCTAAACACAGAGCGCAGTTCTAGCTCGTGAAAGGGAGCTGAATGTGATGGCGGATCACACAGCGCTCGTTTCAGTCTCGACTGAAGCACACTGACAGAACTCAATTACATGGTTCCCCGGAAGGGAAACGTCCCGGTGGTATAACTCAATATTTTATCTGTTGTCAATCTGGATAGTGCTCAACATAGATTGCATTGACAGTTTCTTAGCTTCTTTGGGTTATAAGTTATAGTTATATTTGGGGGAGCGTTTAGATCTTTCTTCTCCTGGATTCCATCCGGTCGGACATTTTGGTTAAATGGGATGAGATTGCGTCTGCGCGGTTGATACGCGCCTGAAAAGGACTCATTCTAGGGTGTGATTTATTCCGTTGAGGGAACACATCAGTGCCCGTTGCGTGACACACGGCAGGCTCCTTACTTTAATCTTTGCTGTCCAAACTAAGCGTTTCTCGTTGTGCCTTCAGCTTCAAACAGCTTTCCATGTATCATCATCTTATCGACTCCACCCCCCGAGTAATATAAACAGTATTACAAAGCTCATCTGAAATTGATCACTTGTTCATAACCCCCTCTCCATTCTCCCCCGATTACACTCGCACCTGTCGTTGACTCCACACACACACTCACACACACACACACACTCACTCTCATAGACCCTCAGGGCATAATACCCCCCCCCCCCCCCCCCAGTATCCAGGCGAGCAGCTCTTAAACAAGCTCTTCCTAGTTGAACTGTGACCTCCACACAGAACGTGCCCTTGGGGTAACTCCACAGTCACAGGATGTGTGCGTCTCTTTGTGAGTGTTTGTGTGTGTGTATATGTACATATCTTTGTGTCTGTGTGTGTTTTTCTCCATTTTAATTCTTAATAAAAATATTCATGTATTTATTTCATTTTTTTTAATTCTTTTGATATATTTAAGTTTGCACACGCACATTTATAGCTGTTGTGTTTCAGGCTCACACGTTTTTAATCTAACAAGCAATTTTACATTTTTTTGGGATCGCATACCCAAACCTCCATCACTATGAACACACACACACACACAAACACAAGCACGCAGAAGCTAGTATTAATGTCTTGTTTATGTTTATGATGGATGGTGCATCCAAAGCGCTCTGCCCGTCTCTCCCGTCTCACCCCTGCGTCAGTAAGCACTCTGTAGGCTTAAACAAATCACTTGGTCTAACTCAATCAAATGTTCCGTAGACGCACTTTTGAATTAAAAAGGTACGAAATTTCACAAAGCAGGGACATTTGTTTTAAGTCAATGAGATTAAAGAGGCGGTGGGCTTTTGCTTGCCCCGACTGGGTCGTTGCCGTTTTGGCGCCACCATCACAGCCAATAACAATCCTAGCGTCGCTCTCCATCACCAACACATGGGAGGAAAACAACTAAAGGCCCTTATACTCGTTCTTTGTGTATTTCATTATTTTTGACAAAGTTTGAGTAACTTGTACCTTTCTTTTCTCTTTAATGTTTCTCTGTCGTCTCCAATCAATCTTTTTCTTTTCACGTCGCAAAGAGATCGTATATACTGCCAGAACTTTTGATATCTGCGTGGATTTTGGTCTGTGTGTGTCCTCTGCTTGAGCGTCGCCTTCCCTTCATCTTCATGCCCGGTGCTTGTGGGTCTGTATGGAGTTGCGTGTATCCCGCACTTTGTTATTTCCCTTGTGTTTGTGTGCGTCCCCGTAACTCTACGAGCCGCGGGTTTGCTCTTTTGGCCTTAGCCGGCCACGAGACTCGCATCCCCATCCATCACAGTCTCCAGGCCCACCCTCAGGCCCCGGCTCGCCCCTCAGTCCCTCGCCCGACCCGCGGAGGCTCTCTGGCTCCTCCCCAGGCGCCGCGTCGGGCCCGTGGCCACAGGCACTCAGTAATGGACGGCTCCGTAGGTGGTAGGAGGCCAGAGGAGACACACATGCTCACAGACGCACACAATGCAGATACAAGGACACACACGCGCACACACAAAGACCAGCAGGGGCTCTCTCCCACCAGCTGCAGTGAAAGAGAGGGAGGTGGAAGTAGGAAAGAGGAGGGCACTCCTAATAGGCATAACTAAAGCACTCCTAATGAAGGGATCCAGTGTATGCAAGTGGGTGTAGGTCTGTGTGTGTGTGTGTGTGTCTGCATGTGTGCGTGAGTGTCCAGCTGTGTGTGTGTGTCTGTTAGTGTTGATCCTGTTATGAAGTGCTATGGCCCAGAGGGTTGGTCTGATATTAAAGCCCTAAATGATGCTATTTATTATGTCCAGTGTCGCTGTGTGTTTGTGTGTGTGTGTGGGGGTGGGGGGGGGTACTTTATTGCTTTCCTCCACCATGTCTTTGTGTGTGCGCGTGTGTGTGTGTGGAGAGGGGGGGTTGTCGGGATCAATAGCTTCGTGAGCAGGTTACAAAATGTAGGGGTTTATCGATAATCACCCCAGTGATTATTAGTCTCTGCGGCCGGTGCAATATGGGATCATCCAGCACTTGTAGTAATTGCAAACTCTGTTACACTCTTCCTGTCTGCGGCGCTCTACGAAAAACTTCAGACGGGTCATCAGGTTTTTGAAAGCAGCATTCAACAACTTGAACATTAACTGTAGAGGCCATTAATGGGGTTTTAAGCATCACTTTCCTTTCATCAGCTGAAAGGATACAGTAGAGATCTTCATATGCTGTTTATAGACCCACTTGGGGTGTGGTTTTTTTTACCTGTATTCTCTCCATTGTGTGTCAGTAGTGTCTCGAGTCCCTTTCCCCATAATGTGTGCTGCCTGTTGGGTTTGACAAAGAGAGTTGAGCTTCGTCCAACAAACAAATGGAACCAGGGTTCAGTTCACGTGAAAGCATATTTTGGGATGTTTTTGGACTTTTGGACCAACTACAGGTAGTCCAGAAAAAGGAAAAGCAACACTTGCAATAAAAAAATTGCCGCAGTAGCACACAAGGAGGCTTTCAAATGATCAAATATTTGACATGTGCTCCAACAACTTAACAAACAGTCGACCCGGAACATTCTGGCCCAGGAGAAGAGGGGGAGAGACGGAGAGGATACAATGGGACGTATAAATGCTACATTTTATTCTACTCAGGAACCAGAGCCTTCTGTTGAAAAACATCCACAGAACAAAGATGCTCTCCGGCATATATTTGATAGTTTGTGCCATGGAAGCACTTTGGTCACTGCCAGAAAAGCCTCAAGGTTTGAAACTTGAAGGCCGGAGTTTGTCTGTCGAGAATCTGCAGTTAATGCGATGGAAAGCTTGACTTGTTGGTGTACGGGGCAGGTCAGGGCAGAAGGCGCTGCTAACTGTCCTCACTGACACGTCAGGGCTCATCTCACACAAGCTCTGTCAACACAGCTCTGCCTCGTTTATACTAACGTCTGTTTAAGTGTTATCCCCGTTTGACCCTTCATGCTGTGTGAAGTGAACCTGCAGAGTCGATAGATTGCATAATAGTCCGGGGTGTTGGTGTGTCATTGGCACGCGTTGCAGATATGAAACCCCCTGCAGAGTCATTGCATCGCGTTTCTGCTTCACTGCAGTTCGTCTCAGTGACCCCTGAACCCATGTGACCTCTCACCCTCACCTTACACAAGCCATCGACGTGTTGGCCCTCCTGCTGAGGTGGTGTGTGCATTTTCCTGCAGCGCTCTCCGCTCAAAAGATACATTTTTCTGAACAAGAGAATATTTTTGTCATGAAGTTATGCATTTTAAAACCATATTTATCTACAGCTACAGCGTGTTTTTCCCCCCTCTAATGTATGACCTGTGTTTGGGTGTGTGTTTGCATACAGGTGCCAACCCCCTGCAGACCAACGGATTGGGACACACGCCTCGATCCTATGCCAAAGAGGGGGAAGCGAGCAAAGTGCTGCAGGAGTTCGAGGGCAAGGTGTGACGCGCTCACGCAGACACAAACCGCTCACTCCGATTATCCGTACAAGCTGCGCAGAGCGAGCGAGCGAGCGCGTCATCAGTTTCCAAATGCAGGTTTTTTTTCTGAGGCTGTAGTCGTGGCCTGTGCGTGAGGGACGCGGCGCTATTCACTCAGTAGACATCTGTGTGATTGACTTGGCACAGACGCTCTCCTCAGGGGGTCTGTGTCAGTCTGCTGACTGAGTGACAGGTGCAGTTCAGTATGAGAGAGGTGAAAGCTGCTCGAGGTCCACAGGGGTTAAAAAACATGCTGAAGAATACATATCAAGTTTCTATTGATATATGGGACTAGATATAACGCCGAAATGTCTTAAAGTATCTGAGTATCTTTTTATTTTTTTAAAATATTACAAATGATAGTCTGTGTAAAATAAATAATAAAGTATGTTCAAATGTGATTTTAATTGAAAACTGATCTTGAAGCTTAGGTTTGCACTGCATGACGGGTTCAGGGACTCCTCACTGCTTGGTATTTCACAGGTCTGTAGTAGAGGAGGTGGGATCAGTTTTCTCAAATAAAACTTGAGTTACCCGTAGTTATCTAGCAGCTTGACAGCGGGCCACAGCTAAGCAAGATGGAGAGAGAGAATAAACAGCCTGCCTCCGGTGAAAACCGGGAGTCTGAGAGGACAAGGAGGGAAGGATGAATGAGTCACGGGGTGGCTGCAAGAAAGAAAGGAAGTAAGAAAAGAAAATGTGGAAATAAAGGGAAAGGGGTGGGCAAAGAGATCAAATCAGCAGAAAAGAGGAAACGTGTGTGAGAGAAATGAAGGCAGAGACAGACAGAGAAGTAGAAGCGTGATAACGAGGAGGAAATTGAAGGTAGGGAGAGAAAGAGACCGAAAAAAAGCTTTATCGTTGCTTCTAGAAGCAATAGTTGTGCACAACGGTCTCGTGGTTTGGTGTTTGTCCTCTTTCTGTTTTATTGACCGTCTCGTCTGTTTTCCTGCATCTTCTCCACCTCCACCTAGTTCCAGGAGGTGCAGGCTCGGCGGGAGGCGGCGGAGAGGCGCAGGTTCCCCCTGGAGAGGAGGCTGAAGGAGCACATCATCGGACAGGAGGGGGCCATCAATACTGTGGCCTCAGGTAAACGGAGCGTTATACAAGCAGCAATAAGCAACAATACGCCACAGAAATACAAACATAGCCTTGTTTCCACGGGGATATTCGGGCACGTTTCTGTTTTGCGCTCGCCTCCTTTTCCTCTCTCTTTTGCGGTCCTCCCCTCCCTCCCACAGTAGGCGGGTTCAGATGGACCGGCGGAGGCTGTAATTGGTTAATTGTGATGAATGAGCTGTCTGTCAGGCATACACAGGTGCTGTGTGTGTGTGTGTGTGTGTGTGTGGCAGCTGAAGAGGCCAGGCTTGGAGCCGCCAGTTAACATGATTACAGAGAGAGGAGACATACTACAGACCTCCCCCTCCCTCGTCTTTTCTCTCCCCGTTCTTTGCTCCCTCCTCTCTGTCTCCCATCCTTTTTCTCTCCTCAATGTCTCCCTCCATCACTCTCTCTTTACCCCTCGATCTTCATCACACCCACCCTCTCTCCTCCACCCTTCCGTCCTTCTTCTCCTACTTCCCCTCCGTGGACTTCTCCGTCTTTCCTTCGTCCATCTCCCGTCCTCCAAAACACAAGAGTCAGGGATGGAGAGGCCGAAGGAGAAAAACCGCTGGGACGGTGAGGCGACAGAAAAAGAGCAGAGAGCGAAGTGGCTCAGAAGCACAAAGCTTTGCTGCGCATTGAGAGGAAGACGAAGGGAGCGTAATGCATGGAGAGGATGAGTTAGAGCACAATAACACAGCCGACAGTAAAGAGCTGATATTACACCAGGCATCCATGGAGGGCATGTATTGATCCGTGTGTGTGTTTGTGTGCACAGACGCACACACACATGCGCGTGAAAAGGCCTCTGCAGCAAAGGAAGAGGCTGTGTGTTATTTTTATGATCTCGGGACAGATTTGTGAAAATAATCAACATTCTCCCACAGCAAGAAACGGATATTATAATCCGTAATGTTTTGGTGGGAGCAAATACTGCTGTTTATAACCAACAGGAGAACAACTTGGATGTTTGTCGCCAGACTAAAAAAAACCACTATACATAACAACAAATACAAACTTTCGATGTCCATAAAGCGAAATACCAATGGGGCTGCCACCCGAGTGTTAAGTGTCATTGTGGGTTTCACTGGGGGTCAATGAGGGAGGAGGGAATCGTGGGACTTGTAGTCTTGGGCAAGGTGATGAATGATTGTTGTTATCAAGGCAAATTGTCCTGAAAGCCATAGAAGACGTCGCCACGGTGATAAAGAAACAGCTTATTGATTTCTGGGTATTACAGTGAATATATCACAGGCACACTGAGCGCGAGAAAGAGAACAGGGCCTAAAAGAGGCCGAGAGGCTGACAGGAGGAGCCATCTGCAAATGTGTTTTCACAAACGCATGTTATCTGCTGTGCATGTTTACTGTAAAGATGAGCCGAGCCGGAACGAGCCAAACCTCAGGCAGAGTCCGGGAGGGGAAGTAGAGATGAGGAGATGGACCAGGAAAGAGCGGAACGCATATACTGGAGATAAGGAGACAACAGATGAGAATGCACCGATAGAGCGACAGCGCCCATGACCACATTATGTAATCGCAGAAGCAACGCAGGCAATAATTACTTACTACTCTTCATGACTTCTTACGTAAAAATACAGTCAGAAATGTTCAACAGGGGAAGAAGCCCTGGTCTAATGTCAGCACTATATTTACATCAAAGCAAAAATGACAGGAGATATTTAGTTTTCAAAGCAAATCCTCACATTTAAGAATCAGGAATGAGCAAATATTTAGCATTTATTCTTGAGAACTTACTGATTGATTATCTGATTTGTATCTATCCACCATTGATCGCTAAACTAATTGATTTATTCCACACTTCTTATCTATATTCATATGTCTATATTTTTCTTAATATTTTGGCTTTGGTGTGTTGTCATGACTCCAAAACTGCTGTTTCCACCCAAACTCCTCATGACGAACAGCTGGCCTGCAGCAAGATAAACAACCACACACCAAGTACAAATACACACACACACACACACACACACACAGGAAGGAGGTTAGATTGATCCAGGTTTAGCTCTCAGGGCTAAGAGTTATTGAGGAGAATCATCCCTCTGTAATCATGTTAGAGCCAACCAGACCTGCCCAATACACACTGCTGTGTGTGTGTGTGTGTGTGTGTGTGTGTGTGTGAGAGAGAGAAAGCTTTCATTTGTTTTGTGTCTCCTTCCTTTCCTTGTCGTCGTCAGGGTCCTCTGAGAAATGTCAATGTGCCCTTCTGTCAAAGTCGGTCTCATCAGCTAAAACACAAACGGAAGGTTACGCTGTCATTCACACGGCCGTAGATAAAGCAGACCGAGCTTTGGAGCCCCTCTTGTCACTATTCATCTCTGTGTCCATCTCTGACACACTCGTTTGTTTCTCTGTCTGCTTATCTCCATCACCCCTCTCGCTTTCCCCTCTTTATCTCCTTCCACGTCCTCCTCTTTCCTCTTGTTATCTTCACTCATCCTGCCCTTTCCCTCCGTGCCGTGTCATCTCTCTCTCGTCCTGCCGCTCCTCATCCTCTCCTGCCAAGCGTTGGTTCTGTATGATTATCAGCCATTAGTTGCCGGTTTAACACCCAGATCTGGTGTTTTTAGCTTCACTGCATCACACGTTGTGACTGTCGCAGAACTGAATTGAGCTGTTTGGCCCGTCCATCTCACGGCCAACGCAGAACAAACTGTGACCGACATGAGCTGAGAGCAATTTCAGGTTTTCCAGTTTGTCTAAAAGGATCCAGTTTGTCTTTGGACTGAGGGAGACACGGCCGGCTAGTGGATTCAAACCCGCGGCTTTCTGTTGTTGTTGCTGGAAGCAACCAATGAGCCACCGTTAGCTTTCACCCCGTTGGCGTAACGCCTCTTGGCTCCGGCCTTCTCAGCAGCTCGACTTTGTGCTGCTGTCTGCTTGTTCGTCGAGTGGCTGAAACCACGGGCCAAATTCACTCTTTTACTACCCTCCGGTCCACCTCATCATCTCGTCTTTGTGTATGTGTGTGAGTGTGGTTGCTGGGGTGATGGCAGGGTTGGGTAGGCACTCCTCTTTAAGCAGGCCTGGGTGTGTGTGTGTGAGTGTGTGTGTGTGTGTGAGGCTGCGATCCATGCTAAACTGATTTCGCCATGGCCGCGCCAGGGAGGCTAACACAATTACCGCTGGCTAATGGCCCCACTGACTGAGGGGGGGGAAGAGAGGCAACGTGGGTAGCTTTCTGGAGGTCTCTCATCTTGCTCTCCTGCTCTGTTTTCTCTCTTCTGTCTCCTCCCCCCCCCCTTCTCTCCACCAAATGTCTTGACCCTTTTCTCATCGCTGCTCTGTGGCTCTTTCATCATAGTTTCTGGGATACCCGTCGCCCTCGGGTCAACTAGGTTCAGACGGGGTGAAACTTCAGTCCAAAGGCAAAGTCAACACATGCAAATGATTGCAATAACGGTCGTGCTTTTCTTTTCTCCTTCCATCTGCCCCTGCACTTTGTAGCCATCAGGAGGAAGGAGAATGGCTGGTATGACGAAGAGCATCCTCTCGTTTTCCTCTTCCTCGGCTCATCGGGAATCGGTAAACCACTCTCTCATCTTTCAAACATGATGTCAGGAAACAATGGCAAAAAAAACCCAAAAAACTTTAGTATCCACCGCACTTGATTACGATGAGGCGTGTAATCAAGCTGCTCCCAGTCTGTGGGATGCTCTCCCTGATCACCTGAGGACGCCACAGACTGTGGATGCTTTTAAACGTGGCCTAAAAACCCACCTTTTGAGTGAACTCGTGCCCTTTTTCTTTTCTTTTTTTTCAAACTCTCCATGTGTTTTTATTGTTAGCACTTAACTGTTTTATCATGTAGCACTTTGGGATTTGCTTAAATATAAAGTGCATTACAAATTAAATATATTATCATTATTATTATTATTATCTTCCTCCAGGTACTCTGCTGATTTCAGAAGAAAATACACAAGACAGCAAAAAAAAATGTCATACTGGGAAATATAAACAAAAACTAGAAAAAACAATTAGTTAGTGAAGGAGTTTGTCCGCAAGGTGTTATTATTTACCGTCTTTAAACCAACATTTCTGATAGTTTCACACATATACCAATGAATTTATCTTTACAGTTCAGCTTGTTGAAGTAGTGTTGTGTTCCTTTAGCACGGTAAGAGGCTCACTGTCTGCAATGTGGGTATGCTAATGATCAATGATTGTGCGGTGACACTGAACAGGTCATTTTGTGTGTACAAATAGTTGAGATTGGTAAGGGTGGTGGTGGTTATGGATCTATGGTTACTAGCTGTTTGTTTGAGAAGTTTTTAACAACGGCTTCTGCAAACATCTGAGATGTCACAACCTGTCTGTCTGACACTGACCCTGCCAAGCTGCCAACAGCTTTGGTCCCGCCCACACAGGCTCTGATTGGCTCGCTTGTTTCTCAATCAATTTGCCTTCAGGGGATAATAAAGATAATCGTCCATCAATTTCCAACCGGGGAAACTACAGACGATCTGAAATCACAGAGAGAAATTAGTGATGCGGGCGGTTATTCTGAGGTCGTGAACCAGGCTGGTATCTGGTGTTTAGTGAGCACCAGTGTGTAAATGAATACACAAAAATACATCACACACACAAGCCATAGAGATGTTCATGAGAGCACGTCAAATCCAGTTAAGATTATAGAAAGTAAAAAGAAAAAATATATATTTAAGCAGATATTTAAGCCTAGAAGTTTAGAGCGAGATGTGTGTGTACATCTCAGGCCCAATCAACCCATAATATTTTCATTGATCAGTATTGGCTTTATAAAGCGACAAACCTTTCTAATCCGTAGTTTATTGCAGCTCATCGAGCTCTGGGTGCGACCGGCTGTCAGAAACAGCTCATTGCACTTTAAAACACCGGAGGAAACCTTCTGGTGGCGCACGCCGTTAAGAATGAACAAACCTCAGACCAGCACCTCAGCCGTTTCAATTAAAGATCTCCGCTGGGGATGCTGGGGATGAATTGAGGCTGTCTGAATTCTGTCTGGATGTTTCCGCTACAACAGATCCACACTGACAGTCCTCCGTCTCAAAAGGACCAAGTGTGAGAAAAGCTTAAACGTCCTCAAAGTGTGTTTGTGTGTGTGTGTGTGTGTGTGTGTGTGTGTGTGTGTGTGTGTGTGAGCGAAGGAACGAGGCAGGGATATTAAGGGCCAGATAGATGGCTAAAAAAGAGGGAGATGGTGAGATGACAGGCCAGGGAGATGGATGAAGGAGAGACGGTGTTCATATTCTCCGTTGCCTTCAGCTACAAACAGTGGCCATGAGACATCAATATTAAACACAGCAACAAAACACACAGCCTTCCACACACACACACACACACACACACATAATCACAATCATCATACGCATTCGCATTCCAAACACAAGACATCAATATCGTATATGAGCATTTATATGCAGAATATTTTAGCAACAGACATAATGTGTGCTTCTGGAGAGCAGGAGATGATTGAAAGCTTTACAGGCCAGAACTTCTCCGGTCTGAAACGAATGAGCTGGTTTTCCCGAAAATCTCTCACACTGATGTATTCCAAAAAAGCAGTGACGTTTCTCTTCATATACTTTATGCATAAATATATATACATAAATATATATTATGTATATGTGTAAATATTTAAATGGAGGCAGAGATGTTCTGGTTTGAAAGTCAATAATTAAACAATGTCTCCGTTTTGTTGACACAGGAAAGACAGAGTTGGCCAAACAGGTGGCTCGCTACATGCACAAGGACATCAAGAAGGTACGTTATAAGGTCACAAACACACACACACACACTAATGTCGAAAGGTAGAAAAACAACGGCTTCTCATAGATCTGAAACAGACATTTAATTTCATGATTCTTGCCGCTTCGAGGAAATGAGAGATAATTAAATTTGAGTTGGTTTCCACGGCAACTATTAGCAGCACGCGTTCAACACAGAGCTACACACTTGAGCATCTTGTGGTTAACCCGTTGTGTGATTGCAGGGTTTCATCCGTATGGACATGTCAGAGTTTCAGGAAAAACACGAGGTGAGTCTCTTTGCGTGACGTCAGGAAGGGGCCAGCGTGTTTCTAACGACTGGATCACAAACACTGAGTGGAGTATGTTCACTCAAAAGAGAGCGTAGCCGTCGCGTCACCCCGCTGCAGATGGATGGTACTGATACATTGGGTTAATTCTGTTTATGTACTCATAATGGACACATAAACCCAAATGGATGTTGTATTTGCCTAATTTTGAGACGCTATGGTGATGAATACATTTAATCAGAGTAGAGTTGAAGCTCCTCAACCACCGTGAATGATTTTGCCTCGGTATTTTCAGCCTTTTAGGTTCGGTGTTTTCCTGGTACTAATTAAACTTCTGCCTCTCCCGCATCGCTCAGGTGGCAAAGTTCATCGGCTCCCCGCCGGGATACGTAGGACATGAGGAGGGGGGTCAGCTGACCAAGCTGTTGAGGGCGTGTCCCAACGCTGTGGTCCTGTTTGACGAAGTGGACAAGGCCCACCCTGACGTTCTCACCATCATGTTGCAGCTCTTTGATGAGGTGTGCACACCTTCTATCTGTCCTGCGTCTCTGCGTGAGCACACATTCGCAAATGTGACACGCGAACGATTGATCCGTCCTTTCCGCTGCTTCCCCCTCTCTCAGGGCCGCCTCACAGACGGCAAGGGGAAGACCATCGAATGCAAAGACGCTATGTTCATCATGACGTCCAACATCGCCAGTGACGAGATTGCCCAGCATGCCCTGCAGCTCCGCGAGGAAGCCGAGGCGGTCAGCCGCAGAAAGCTGGCCGACAACCTCGGTGAGAGAAGCACAAGCACAAACACACACACACACACACACGCACACGCAACCATCGGCTGTAGTGATTCGGTGCAAGGCTGTAAAAACATGAAGAGCCACCAGGTGATTAAAGTTAGAAGGGAAATGAATGTGGAAGTTGTGCTTTTCCACAGAGGAAGTGCAGAAAAGCGAAGACGTCAGAATCTCCCGACAGTTTAAAGAATCTGTGATTCGTCCGATCCTGAAGGTACCGCCGCCACACAGGATAAGCAGCGGATTAACTGTTTGTTTCTCCACGGCACCATAAGCGGCCCGTGAAGGCTTCGGTTGCCATTGTTGATTCTTTGGTTCCTTCCCCAGGCTCATTATCGGAGGGACGAGTTTCTGGGTCGGATCAATGAAATTGTTTACTTCCTGCCGTTCTGCCACTCGGAGCTCCTTCAGCTGGTCAGCAAAGAGCTCAACTTCTGGGCCAAGAAGGTGCGTATTAATGTGCAGAGGGGGGGGGGGGGGGATCTCACCGCCCCCCACAGCGCCCAACGTTTTAGGGCTACATTATGTTATTGCATAAAGAAAAACTACAATATAAAATGTGTTGTAGAGAGAGAGACACTGGATGTGCATATTTAGTAATTCCCTTAATTGGCCACTATGTGTAGGCAGTAAGTGCTGTTTTACACAAGGACATGCTCGGATCAATGAATCAGATCAATAGGCTGGTACTAGCTTCACTCTCCATTGACGCTCACATCCATATTTTGTTGTCTTCTCATATGATGATGATTGAGGGCTAATTGATCACTGATAGGAGTCGAAGTCGGGGGGCCGATTTGCTCTTTGTTTGGATAGTGAGTTTTGAGATGAGAGCGGACATTTGGCGTGTTTTTCTTTTTTCTATCTTAATCCACAGGCTTGTTTATCAGACAGTTCCCAAATCGGTTTGTGTTCTCTGACTATGCTGGCAACAACTTTTTTCTTGATGTGCTAGATCAACGAGGTGAAGCATAGAGAAATCAAGAAGCGCAATAGAAAGATGTAGAATTTACAATAGTTGTGTAATTGAAAATTCTTCTGTTGAAGCCCACTTTATTTATATCACGGGTGTCCTCCGTTGGGGCTGGAGGCCCCGCCCACTTAATCCAGGAACACACGCAGATCAATATTATGTGCCACTACTACTCACTATAATGTGATTACACTATTTAACACGTGGAGCCTTCATCAATATTTAATTATTCATATTACATCTCGTGTCCTGACGGACAGCGTGGATCCTGCAGGCAGCTCGTAGGAACCTGACTCAATGACTCCGTGCATTTGTCTTTTCAGTGCTGCTGTATGTGCGTGCGTGTGTTCTGGTTGTTTGTGTTTGTGTCTTATAATAACTGGTCTCTGTCTGAATGTGGCAGCGGAGCTCCCAGCAGAATCCTCATTATCACAGAATCGTTATGAGCCATTTGTTTGTTTGCAGTATATTAAATGTTTAGTGGCATCATTATTGCCTTTAATATGGTATTTGTAACATGGTAACATGAGTGGTTATATCTCTGGAGCAATGGAGTGTTAACATCGGCGGGTAACGAGCGGCTCTGATCGCTGCTATCGACCCGTGTTTGATTAAAGCGCATTAAGGTTGATTAGCAGCGGCAGACGCGCTGCGTGACAGTATCTCCTCTATTCGCCAGCCCGCACACAATTAACCTCTTCCTCTCCCCGTCACTAGGCCAAGCAGCGCCATGACATCGACCTGCAGTGGGAGCGCCCGGTTCTGGACTTTCTGGCGGGCGGGTACAACATGCACTATGGAGCGCGCTCCATCAAACATGAGGTACGCAGGTGCTGTAAGCAAAAGGCTCGAAGTCGACCCGTAGACTAAGTGGGGGGGGGGGGTACTTTGTTTGAACCGGTCCAGTTCTGTGTTGAATGGTCTGAGACATTGGTCCCTCAGGTGGAGCGGCGCGTCGTCAACCAGCTAGCGGCGGCGTACGAGCAGGAGCTGCTGCCCAAAGGCTGCATCCTGCGTCTGTCCGTCCAATCGGAGGACGAGGAGGATCGGAGCGCGCCCAGTCTGCGCCTCGAGGTGGTGGGTGAGGACAGCTCGTCGAGGACGCTGGACATCCGTCCACCGCTCGTCCCTGAACACTAAGAACACACACACACATAGAGGATTTATCCCGATAGGCATGTGTATGTACGGATGTACACTCACACACACAATATCATCATCATCATCGATTGGTGTCAGGAGGAAGGATGGCTCTTGAGAGACGTTATCAATAAAAGTTCCTCTGATGAAACACTTCGCTGCCTCCGTCTCAGTACACGCATGCAGTGATTACATGCCAACATTTCCATTATATGCAGTATGTCTGCCAACAGTGTGTGATGTGAATGGTATATGAAGACGGCCTAGTTGACCATTAAGGTTCGTGTTACAACAGACTTTCATATCGAGTGTAGATCGAGTCCGTGTGTTGCATGTCGTAGAGAGAGAGAAGCGGCTGAAACCATCGAATCAGTAAGATCAACGTAGCTGTGACGTTGTGACCACAAACAGACACATTATTTTATATTTATTAAGGATACTTATATATGTTAAGTTAATGGCAATGAACATGGAATATCTGACAGTGGAAGGATGAACGGCAGGTTTGTCGTTGCTTTGGAGGTGAAATGGGGAATAAATCATAGTAGATATTTATAGGAGAAGGTTTAGTGGGTAGCAAAACTTCATTAAAAAGGAAATTGGTTTAAGATCGACAATGTTTTGCCAAAATTGGACAAAGAACAGCCACTTTGCTGTGAAGGAGAGGACAGTATTAAAGACCAAAGATAGTTTGACAGATTGTTGCCTGTGTGTTCACTTCACTGCACATTTCACTCACCAGCAGAACTTCACTGATAAATGTTTACCTGCTTATTCATTTCATTTTAGTAGAGAATGCCTAAGTGGAGAAATAGCGTACAACAGCCCATTTGAGTGATAATAAAAACTGCCTTGTGAATTGTTTCTGTCCATGTAACAGTCTTGTCCGTCAGTGTGCGTCTGTACAGGCGAGGCTAAAAGAAGTCCTAGAGAAATAATTCTCAGTGTTGTTTCATAAATGTTCAAAAAACATGTTGACGAGGCGCCGGATGTAATCGAGCAATTGTGTAAATTCTTGTATCCCAACCTCCTGCGTGTAAATAAAGTCATCACAACAAAAAGGGAATTCCTTTGTTTTTTGTCTCCGTTTGTGTTGCTCTGACACTCCTGATGGATTTGAGTCTGTGTGTGTGTGTGTGTGTGTGTGTGTGTTTGTGTGTGTGTGGCTAGTTCTTGGGTGGGAATTTTGCAACAATAACGCTTGTCCACCTTGTGAAATAACGTGACAGGGGAATTTCCTTGGAATCCCGCTCAGTGTGGGGGTCCGTGTCGGACGCCGGAGGGGAATGCAGCGCGTTAAATGCAACACAAATGTAGAACACATCTCTCTCTCTCACACACACAAACACACACATTCAGCCTGCAGGAATGTTGTCCCTATAGGGAGGAATTAGCATGCAGTAAAAAGACACGTCCACTCTTACTGTGCTCCTCCTGGACCCCCCAACAACACACGCGCGTTTGGCCGCCTCTACACGGATCTGCAGAGTCCGAGCTGTCACTCCCTGCTGGTTTGCACCAATAACGCCGGCACCTTTTTCTGTGGGATTGAAATGATCAGTCAGCACTCAAATAAAAAGCCTAAAAACATTTTTAATGATCAATTAATCATTCCTTTTCACCTCATAAACGCAGCTTGGTGTTTTTGTTGCTGTTCCTTAAATGCAATTTGAAGACGTGATTTTGGGATCTGGCAACTTGAAATAGGCACCTCTCACTATTTTTCAGATGTAAACTGAAACTTGTGGTTGTATTAATAGTAAATCGCAGTGTAAACAAATTGCAGAACACCATTAGAATGTTATCCGAAATTTTGTGAAGAGCAACACACCAGCAGACGTTTGCAAAGGTGGGACTCTTGAAGCGGCCGCATCTGGACAGTAGATCGGGTTTTGCTATGATACAGCAACACCCCCCCCCCCCCCCTCTATCTGTTATACCCTCGAACACATCTGCACTTTATGGTTTTAGGAAGTCGAGCTGGCGCGCGTGTGTGTGTGTGTGTTTGTGTGTGTATCCATTTACCCTCCCCGAGGAGGAAGACAAGAATGAGGGGAGGAGGGGGGGAGAGAAGAGGCTCTTAGTCTGTCCGTCAGGCTATTTCTGACTGCTGCCATTTCTCTGATTAGATTATGGAGAAACAGAAACCTGGCCCTCCATCGTCCTAACCTCCCTCTCCTCTATCTTGCTACATTCTGGTAAAACTCCCCCCCTCATTCTCAACTTCTCTTTCTCTCTCTCTCTCTCACTCCTCATCCACTTTTCTCGGCTCTCTGAGCCTGTCCTCCCTGCCGACGTGTCTCCTCCGCCTTCTGCTGCTGATGCAAACGGAGGAGAGTTCAAGGTGCGACAGAGGAGCAAAACAGAGAGGTGAGCGGAGGTCAAACCTTGGTGGAGGAAAATGCGAGATGGGAAAAATGTTTCCATTCGAAAACGTCCGTCTCAAAGTAAAGTCAACGGTATTTTTCGTCACCTCACTGTGAACACGTCCCCACGGTCGAAGAGCGGCAGCAGCGCAGACCACAGACGGAACAACAATGCATGGATTTTGTTCCCCGGAGAGAACCGTAATCAACAATATTACAAACATTTGGCCTCTGGGTTCAGGGTGCACAAATCACAAATAGCCCAGCTGTTTGTCCGGACTGCTCCACCTCCTCCAGCTCTCCTGTTTCCTCTCACCAAACGCAACTAACGAGTACAGATACCTAGAAGAGTGCACGCACGTTTCCTGAGTGATCACAATGACTGCACTCAAACTGTGTCTCAAACCACATTCATTTCATGCTAAACGCTTTCCAGTGTGTCTTCAGATCCGGCCCATGTGCTCTTCCGTGTTCTATGAGATCGAGATAAAGACTTTTGGGGACGTTGGTCTTTGTTGGCTGTAAAGTGGTGGGCAGCAGCAGCAGCGGCAGCAGCATGCATTCATTCATTCCTCCTCAGGGAGGTGCAGCAGCCAGGTGGAGGTGGTGAATGATGGTACCAGAGGCCCTCCCATTATCATATCTGTCCCTGCCTCTTAACGGGGGGATTTTCATCCGTGTCCCTCCGCACTCCTCTCATCTCTCCCTCTCCTTCTCATTGTGCTCCCCTAGGAAGGCGATCGATTTCAGCCTCCATTACCTCAGTCCTCTCAGCTCTGAAGATGCTCCTCATTCAGCTGTAAAGCGAGCACAGTTATCACAGCCTCCACCAGCCTTTTGTTCTGTTTTTTTTATTTAATTTTTTACATAATTCGCCCAAATGAGACGCCTGCGGGCCGTGCAGCCTTTGTTGTGATTCGGGGGATAGACCGACTGGACATGGGTTGCATGCACACACACCGGATGCACCGTCCGGTTACCGCAAGGCAATCACGTGACAGTCCCTTGGGAGAATTAGCATAAAAGACGTAGAGGAAAAGAAAAAAAAAGGAGCCCACCAAAAAACACAGCAGTCTGCCATCCTTTCTTTTAAAGAAAAGGAAAGAATCCATTCCGCCTAATTCGAACCTTGCTCAGGGACAGCTCGCGTGGCAGATTGCAGCCTAATTAGTTTAGAGGGAATTTAATTCAATTAACTTTCCACAGCTCCGCGCGCCCCGCCGCTGGGCTGCTTTCAGAGCGCGGGGCCAGAGCTCGAGATCTAATTAGCGTGTTTGGAGAAGCTCTCCTGCGCGCGGCCATCCCTCGCTGCTCCAGCTGTGGTGCGTGTGCGTGCGCGGGCGCGCGCGCGTGTGTGTGTGTGTATACCGTGGTCTCCCGGGACTTTTTTTTTATCCTAAAAAGCTTCTTTTTTAAGTAACATGCCGCTATCCATTAGGATAATCCAGGTCTGGCCGCAGCGGAGAGATGTTCGCAGCATGTGAATAAGCGCAGCTGCTCTGCGTCATGTTCCGGCTGACGAGTGCGTGTTGGATCTCTGCTAGAGTGGACTTAAATTAGTGGGAGTGGGAGCCTTTGTGCTGCATTATTTCATCTGGTTGGACCGTGTTGCGCTTCATCTGTTAATAAGTGGCCAAATGTTTGCCGCTGTGTACTTGTGCTAAACTCCTTTGGGCAGAAGAAGCGATGCTCCGCGGCGCCGCAGGGGTTTATGTCCCGGCACCTTCTTTGATTCCCGATGATGATATTTGCAAAAAAATGAAAAGAATTGCTGCAATGATAAGATTTTAGAATGAACGATTTTCCTCCGGACCCTTCTTCCAAATGTTCTGGTGGTCTTTAAAGAGGCCTATGTGCCATTTCAGCCTGTTTTTGGTGACGTACTACAGCAGATTACAACCTACAACATGTGGCATGATAACATATTTCCTCCGGCCAACGTTTGTGCCATTGTTGTATTTTATGGGGCCCACGCTGATTTGGATCATGTGTATCAACACCACCCGAGTGGAGAGTTTAAGGGTGTAACTCCCACACTCGATGCTGTCGCTGCCGCGTCTCTAACCCGGTTAGAGGCGCGCCGTCGTCTCGAGCCGCAGCGTCACGGTGCATTCCGGTAATTGGAGATTGAAAGGCGGGCACAGGCGCACCGACGGGACCCCTGCGCCCCCCACCCACCTCCCCCTCCCTCCCACACCGTCTCTCATCCATCACCGGGCAAATCAAATGCACCGCCCAGCCTCTGCTGCTGGTGAACGAAGGGCCGATGTTAACGGCGGTCTCTGGTATTTTTTGATTTTATTTTATGCGCAATCAAATTCACCTCGGGGAGAAGAGGCTCTCGGGAGGGGGCGATGACACGACACATTTTACTGACACTGCAGGTGAGGAGAGCCAGCTGTTCGGCTGTGCGCGCGCGCTTAGTCAGCAGAGTCAAGGTGCAGCAAATAAAAAATAAAGTACCGGCCGATTAATTCAATTATGGAATAATTAGTTTATTTAAAAAATGTATTAAAATTAGGCTACAAATCAATTAATCTAAGATTTATATAAAGCTGCTAATATAAATAAAATAAAAACGTTGCAAAGACCAAATGAATATTGAGGCTGTTTGTTTGAGAGAGTGATTTTATTCCACGTATTTTGCACACAAGCAAAATAAATACAGGTGGCGACTCAGCTAAGAAGGATAAGAAATAATGTCATTGGTCGATTTAATTTATAGTTAAAAACTAACAGACAGCATGAAGATGTTTAATATAATTTATTGATAAGCTCACGGTATAATTGATAACGACGAATGTGATTTTAAAAGCCCACAATTAGGTTATTTGTTCATATGATTGCTTCTTTTTTCACATAAAGCTTTAACACATTTACTAAAATGCAATCTCAGAAGGAATCAAGCAACCGCGGAGGGTTAATTCATTACAGACACAAGACACTCAACACGACGTAAAGCAAACTCAATTTGACTTCACGGACTTCAATCAACTCCCAATACGATATAAATATAATAAAGTAAATTAATAGTACTCTATCTGGACCTGAAGATCAATAACCTTTGTTTTGTTACCACCCCAAAAAACGGCTTTCGCCTCATGTTGTCCTTTGAGCTCCCATGATGGATGGAGCAGCTCTGTCTCTGTCTCTGTCTCTCTGACCGACAGCTTCACTTGTTTTTCAGACCACACCGCTGCGTGTCACGGGACAGACACCGGGCTGGGGGGGGGGGGGGGCTGGGGGAAGGGGCGGGGGGGGGGGGTCTGCGTCACTGTCCCATCTTTCACTCATCCCTTATCCCCACACCTCTCCGTCTCTCCATCAAGACCATCCATCCATCCATCCATCACAGGGACACACACGCACACACACACACACACACACGAGGCCAGTCTGCGTGCAGCCCCGCAGATCTCCACCCGGCGTCTTACGGGCGGGGGGCTATCACAAACAATTACAGGGTGCGGGAAAGATGGGAGCGGAGAGGGAACAAATGTTGAGAATTGAATTAGGATTTTTTTTTCTTCTTTCCATACAGATCGTGCCCCTTTCGTGCTTGATATAAACTAGGACAGACAGGACAATTACGGGGTGTGAATACACGGCCTATAGTGCTGATTCTTTCGTTGGTGAAATAATGCATTTTTGCAACCACAGCGCAGAATACGGTGTCTCTCAGCAATAATGTTTAGGTCAGGCATCCCACCCTGTAGTTATTCATGATGCATCAGAGTCGTTAAAGCGGGCTCTTTGACGTTAAACGTGGCGGCCAATAATCAAACGAATCACTGATAAAACGATGCATTTTATTATAACAATATATTGTTAAATATCTATGGTTTTTTTTTCATTATTAACGTGTAGTTAATTAAATGACGGCCATAATCGCGCATTACCAATATACAATTTAATGTTCGATCCTGTTTTAAATCGAGGACACACTGATCAGTTGGGGGGGGGATAGGCCTACACCTTTAATGTTAACTGTATCATAACTCTGATTAGACCCGGGCAGCCTATGGTAAGTGCGCCCATAAAATTTCCCCCTAATAGTCCTCCATCGGCCCATAATCCCTATAGTCGGGGTCCCTCTCTCAGGGGCCCTCAGGGGCCTCTAGGGGACCATTGTGCCCCCCTCTGTTGACTCAGACGTCATGAATGCCAAAGATCCCCGCAACTGTTTCCGTCAAATCGCCCCATGAATGTAAAAGTCCAAAGTTAAAGCCTCCCCAGAGGAGAAGTCTCCCCCTGAGCTGCAGCCCTATAGGGCGGATTAGTGGCCTGGAAGAGACCGGTCCCGCCTTTGAAGGGATTAAACTTTAAATGCCTAAACGCAGGAGAACTGGGGTCGCTCATGGCTGCTCTTTTCTGAGGGGTGGGGGGGGCTGGAGAGTTTAACTTTGAAACTGTTTAAGTTTCTCGGTAAACTCACCTCTGAACTCACCAAATACGGTTTGGTCGGTTAAATCAGGCTTATAATGCATATTTATTTAGGTTGCTTCTGGGTCCGTGTTGCATGCAGCATGGCGTTATTTTAGCGCATTGTGAAGGGAAACTTTAACTATTTTACTCAAAATATGTGTCTTATAAATATGTGGTACTGGTCACGTGACAAAAAAACAATCAAATAACAGCGAGTTGGTGGGTCTTTTGGTGAGTTTTTACTTTTTACCCGCAGTATTCTGGGCCCAAGAGTATTTTGGGCCTCAATCATTGAGGCCACGCGGGACAGGTGCGTAACATTTGGTTTGATATTCAGTGTAACTCTCGACTAACAAATAGTGATTGCGCGTGCGTTGATAATAACTAACCGTCGTCTGGTGTTCCATCCACGTCACATGCTGACCGAAGGAGACGGATGTGTCCTCTTAAAAACACGCCCCTCGTGTCGTGGAATTGATGCACCTCGGACCCGGGGACGCGAGAGGCGTTCGGCCCGCTCTCCCACTGTGTCACCGGCAGGCACGGCGAGGCGGGGGGAACGCGCATGCGCAAGAGCGTGTGCGCGCGTTCGCTGGGTTAACTGACGTCAGGGCGCGTCACGTGCAGCGTCTGCGGAGTTTAAAAGCATGAGACAAACATAATTCATTCTTCCGTTAAACGTATTTTGGTCCACTAATAAAACGCATGTTAATTTCCCGGAGGGGGGGGGGGGGGCGTGAGGTTCGGCGACTTGCAAGGAGCGCGCGCCTGTGGTTTCGAGTCCTTTCGGCGCGCGTGCGAATGTGTCAGTGCGTGTTTGTGACGGGGCCGTGTGGGATACGACTTATCACATTGTAGGACACCGAACAATAAAGTTAAACCGATTTATGAAGAGTCCATGCCGGTTCACTCCGGTGACATCTCCGTAATAGTGATCGGAATCAAATCAAAGCTTTTAATCTCACCAATCACCGTCACATCTGGACTTTTCCCACCGCATAAGGAGTTGTGTGGCTGAGCTGCAGTTGTTTCCACGAGTGGTGTGTGGGGCGGTGAAGCTGTGTGTTCACCATTTGGCGATCCAGCTGCTCGTGAAATGCATTTTAATTGCATGCAAATAGGCCAATAATGACCCTGTTTCAGCATAAACTCATCATCGTATATGTATTCAATTATTCATCGTATATGTATTCAATTATCAGACTATTCCAGAAATTATGTATTTTTCCAAGTATAAGGATTTCTTCTTAATGCGTTTATTATCGGACAAAACTCGACCCCTAACTAAGCGAATATTGCTCCTTCATACAGCAGTTTTAACACTTATATTATCATATTTGGCCAGACAATACATTGATATTCTGGTGTTGCATCACAAAAATGGTCTTCTGGTTGAATTCAAAAGGTACCATATAAGCTGCTAAATAGCTCGATTTCACTTAAATTAGGCTGAAACAATAAGTAAAGACTCGTGGCTTAAAATGTCCCACATTTTCTCCTGGAGAGTAAAACGCACTTTATAGCTTTATTTAAAACTGGAAGAAAACAAAGCCCGGTTTTTGGTCATAACTGCTTCGTCTCCCCGGCTATACCGGCGTCCGACAAAGGAAACACTCGTATTTCAACCGTTTTAAACGAAGAAGCCTCATTCAACTCCGGTAGACACCTGCGAGCTGGCATCGCTCTGGAGAGGGTGGGCGGTGCACTGCGCGTCGGCAGGAGGGGTGGGGGCCACGCTCGCTCACTGGTGCCATTGTCATGGAAACTAGACCACCGCCTCGCTATTGTCTCGTTATAAGTTTATTATAAGCACCGCGCGAGCCGCAGCGCACTGTCAAACGGAGCGCGAGGAGCAGGGAGCGAGCTGCAGAACTGGGGGGAAAGAGAGACACCGAAAAGGGAGGAAGAAGAAGAAGAAGACAACAGGGGAAGGAGAAAGTGACCAAGGACAGGGAAGAGCTGGTAGAGAACAGAGGGGGAAACATCTGGATTATTTACCGAAGACACGAGAAAAGCAAACCCGCGTGAGTGCGATATATAAAAAGCTGACAGGAGTTTTAAAGAGACCAAAGCCAGAGTCCTGGGAGGTACCGGGGACACAGATCAACCCCGACTGCTTCGAACAATACTCACTATTTCCTAAGAAAAATTAAAAAAAGCGGCTGAAGAAAGACCAAAAGCTCTCGTTTTTGTCCCGCAGACCGGTGTTTCTCTGCACCGGCTCATCTCCATGTATAAAATGGATTACTCCTACCTGAACTCCTATGACTCCTGCATGGCGGCCATGGAAGCGTCGGCCTACGCGGACTTCAGCTCCTGCAGCCAGGCCAGCTCGTTCCAGTACAACCCGATCCGGAGCGGGCCGTTCTCCAACCCGGGCTGCACTCCGCTCAGCACCGCCAGCTGCACCCTGGGAGCGCTGCGGGAGCACCAGCCCACGCCTTACTCCTCAGGTACAGGAGCTCTCCTGGAGAACATGTTGTCTTTTATCAGCTAATATTTGGAAGGGTTTTTTTGTTTTGTTTTTTGTTTTTAGAATCTATGGGCCGAAATTTACTCGAGGTTTTCTCGGGCTTGTCACAGCGTGTCGGTAAAAACGAACATTTCAGTTTTTCGTTTTGATGATGGCCTAAATGGATTTGTTTCTTAACACAGGCCGTTCCTGATTGAGAATTTAAAATTCCTGCGAAAAAATGCATTTGCATGTTAAATCAATGCGATGTTTTACAAGTAATGTTTTTATATATTTTAATGATGAGAAGATGAGCAACGTTGTATTTCTATGCAAATTAAAAATAGCTTATAATAATATAAAATATCCTAAACAAGAACACTTTTTATAAACGTTTTATAACACCCTATACACCGCTACCACTAATAATAATACAAATAATAATAATAAGTAGAAATACGTAATAAAAAACGAAATCAACCTCGATAAATCACACACACACAGAAACCTGTCGGCAATAGACCCACTTACACCAGAAAAACTGTTTGGGTGGGTAATTATTCATTTGCATCCATAGGCTAATTTATTCCAATCGACCCATTTAAATACAAGTTTTAAAGTCAATACCCATGTTTTATTGTAAGTTCAGATGTTTTCCTTCCCGATTGGCCCATTGAGACTTTTCTGGAAGCCGTTACTACAAAATAACAAATACATTTTGGTGACAAATTGTCGATACGTTTTTGACTAATAAAGGTACACTTGCTGGATTTGTAAAATGTTTAATACATTTGATGGATAAATACATAATAATAGAATCATATAATATAATAAGTCTCATTTGTTTTGATTATTAAACCTCTTCCGGCTATAAAAGCCTATTATGAGGAGTGACACCGTAAACATTAGAAAACAGAAAAACGTTTTAGGCCAAATAGACTTATGCAGCTTAATTAACTAATAATTCCCTTTCAGCATTTTGCTATTATTTGGTCCATGAAACAATTTCCTAAACAGTAAATTTATCGATACATATATTTTTTAACAAACCGGTAACCAGGTCCGTAAACACGGTCCGATTTCATTGGGGCAGATTTCCCGATGACGTCGTTTAAAGGTATTTTTTCCTCCGTCCTGCTTCTTTCATCCGGGTACTCCGCTGTTATTAATCGCCGGTCGGACCTTTTTAATTATTTTTTTTAAACCCCGCTTTAATAAACCGATATCCATGTTTCTCTTCGCAGTCCCTTACAAGTTTTTCTCGGACCCCTCCGGCCTGAACGAGAAGCGCAAGCAGCGGCGCATCAGGACCACCTTCACCAGCTCCCAGCTGAAGGAGCTGGAGCGGGTCTTTGCCGAGACGCACTACCCCGACATCTACACCCGCGAGGAGCTGGCCCTGAAAATAGACCTGACGGAGGCGCGGGTACAGGTGAGAGCTCCTTCCAGATAAAGAGCACACACGAAAAAGCCACTTCAGCAAAAGTTTACCTTATTTAAACCTTATTTACCTCTACTTGACATGCAAATCTATGTCTCCCGTGTCATGTCTTATCTCACAAATTAATTTGACCTTTTTGTTCATGTCCCGACAGGTGTGGTTTCAGAACAGGCGTGCCAAGTTCCGCAAGCAGGAGCGCGCCGCCAACGCCAAGGCCAACAACTCTGGCGGCACCACGGGCAGCAGCTCCGGCAGCAGTTCTGGAGGGAAGAAGGGCGGAGAGCTGAGGTCCTCGTCCGACGACGACGAGTCCAAAGAGTCCACCTGCAGCCCCACGCCGGACAGCACGGCCTCCCTGCCCGGCTCGGCCAACGGGAACCTGGGCAGCCCCGCCAGCCTGAGTCCCAGCCCGGCCCCGGCCAACGGCGGCTACATCAACACCTCCGGCTCCCCGGTCCTCCAGGGGCTGAAGCCGCCCAGCTGGTCCAGCCTGGGGCCGTCCAACCCGGCCGTGGCCCAGCCGGCCGCCCAGACTCAGGAGATTCTGAAGGCCTGGCAGCCGGCGGACAGTATGACCGGGCCCTTTGCCGGGGTGCTGTCCTCCTTCCACAGAAAACCCAACCCGGCCATCAAGACGAACCTGTTCTGAAGCGCAGGGAGAGAGAAAAGGAAAAGAAAAGAGAAACAGACATTGTGCTGTTGTGGAACAGTGGAGAGTTTCTATAGCTTCTTGTTGAGGGTCAGGACTCCACCCATCATAACACTGAATTCACCGGCGTAGTCGGCTGTACTTCACGGAGGCCCGCCGTCCTTCTACATGAAAAAAAAATAAATTAAAAAACTCTGGTCTCAAAGTGATTCACAGCTCAGACAATAGAGTCAAGGGTTTGCTCACCATCCTCCCAGCCCTGCGAATATTATGCAACTGCACCTGAAAAACTCTGGACGTGTGCAGTTTTCCTACCTGCAAACAGCTTCATAGACTTCAACTCACTACTCAAATCCACTCCGATCCCTCCGCACATGTCAGACGCTAACGGGGTGCTTGTGTGTAGCCGACTCACAACCGCTCTGCCTGACAAACACAACAAGCGATGCGTCACTTATAAACTCCACATTCCCACACTCATCACAGCGGCCCTCTCGGAACCCCTCGGACCGCCACAGCCCCCCCCACGATGAGCATGGCGGTCAGGTACCGAGGGTCTTAAAGCAGAAGTCCAAACATCCCGCTCCAGTCTCTGCTGGGGGAAACCAAACAAACAAACTCCGATCCTCAAGCACAACATCCTTTAAGCTCCCTGACACCCCCCCCCCCCCCAGTAAATCTCTTCCCGGAGGAGAACAGAACAACCCAAAATCCAATTAAAGCAGCCGGGGCCAGAACAAAAACCTCCCCAGTTTATCCCCTCCTCCCCCTCCATCTTCCTTAATGGATTCAGGGCTGAGAGCCCCCCCCCCCCGTGTGCTCTCGAAGGGGGAGCCCCCCTTCCTTCACCGGGCATCCGCAAGGATTTAGAGACCAATCACTTCCTCCTTCGTCCACGAGGGCCCTTTCTTATAAAAAGAAGGGACCTTGATTAACATCTTGCCTATGGAAACGCAGTTGGAAATTTGCTTTTCCCCCCTTTTTTTTGGGGGGAGGGGGGAGAAAAGAGGCGATTTCCACAAGGGCGGAGTGGGCCCCCCCCCCCCCCCACTCTTATTATTAGCGACTGATACTGTTGGGTTCACGGTACCGCGGCGAGTTCATCACCTGTGTCGCTGACTGAAGAGTCGTTTGAGGATCCTCCTGCCGGACGGAACGAGTTGGCCGCGGCCTGAACTCCAGTGGACGGATCTCATCGTCCCTTTTTGATCTCCCGCAGCCCACAGATGAGGGTCTCTGTCAGAAATGCAACACAAGCTGGTTAAATGTTGGCAATATATATATATATATATATATATATATATATATATATATATATATATATATATTGGGTGAGAGAGAGAGGGAGATGCAGAACGTTGCTGGAGTTTTCTACTTTAAGTCCCCAATTTATTTTCCTGTTGACCTCCATGTTTCTTTTGCAAAAAATGAAGAAAAAAAAAAGAAACAGCCATTTGTACTTTTCTCTCCACCTCAGCAAAGTCGCTTGTGTATCATCTCTATTTCATTTTGTAGCAAAATCCCCAAAAGAAGAACGGATTTCAGAGATGACTTTTTAAAGAGGCTTTACTCCAGTTATCTACTCAAAAAGGCGGGAAAAAAACATGTATTTATTAATATTCTTTATTATGTCAGTGAGGAAACAAACACATTTCTTTGAACTGCTCCTGAAATTTTGTGACTGTAAATTCCGTAATTAGTAATATAAATATTAGGTAGCCCTTTGTTTATTCCTCTCACGTTGCTTTACAGATTTATTTCATCGCGGAGCATCTGTCTGACAGACCATGAAAACTATGAATCGATAGAAGCTCCAGCGAATGAGAAGTTATAGCACTACTCTGAATATTCTAATAAATCGCATTATGGAAGCACTATGTGATGCGTTTAATGACCTGTTTTCTTGTGCGTAACGGAATGATGACACCTCGGACACAATTAAAGCCGTTTTCACAAACACTCGTAAACAAGCTCCTCAAACCAGTGGAATAAAAACTGGACCGAGCGCACACCTCTCCCCCCCCCCACAGAGGACAAATAAAACATGTGGAAAACTTGGGAAGTATTAGATTTTAATTAAAAAATTAAAATAGAAATGTCACGGCCAACTTACATTAACTTAACATAGTGAAAAAGAGGTGACTACACAAAGGAATAAGATACACGAGAAAGTGTCAGGAAAAACAACAATGGTGCCTCTCCCTCATACAGACAAACAGATACACACACAAATTCTCTGCATCATGGCCGTTGGGCTGTTAGAAAATTAAACAACTTGTATTACACACAAGCAACAACATGGCAGAGGTTTGAATGAAAGCAACGTAACACAAGGACTTTTTTTTTTGTCACAAGGAAAGATAGGAGAGAAAAACATGAAACTTCTACAAACACACGTTTACTCGCAATTATGAAACAACACATCCATTGAAAGTTCAGCGATTTCACATCAGCATCTCTTAAAACAACTACAAACTGGCTTATCGGTCGGGCCTCTAGTCATAGAGGCAGAGGAGGCAGGATTTAAATTAGTTAACTAGCTAAATAACAATACATAAAACACCCACTTTATTCACTAAACATGACTTGGGTGCGTCTCGCTCAGTCAGCATGAAACCTTCTGGTGAGGTTTAAGGAGAAGCAGCACCACCTGCTGGTTACATGAGGGAACAACGTCAGCCTTCAACTCTTCAATGTCCTGCAGAAACCTGACTTTTGTTTTGATTTTAATTAATCATGGGAGGGGGTAGGTTCTCCCACAGCAACTAAATATATGACATGGCATGTAAGAAAATAAAAAATCCACAAAATCTTTAGACAGTGTTAAAGGGAAAGTGTTTTGGTGTCATGTTTTGGACAACAGTAAGTAAATACTCGTCTGTAGAACGTTATCATTAGTTGATCTATTTAGCCATGTCAACCAATTCCGTTAAGACAATTAAGAGAGAAATGAAGGAAAGATATGTTAAAATAAGATTGGGTCGTCTTCTATAAATGCAATTTTAGTTTCCTCGCGGACAATTAAAAGGGTGAAAATAATAAATGTGCTGGATAAAACCTTCAGTTTACCTCATGTAAAATTGTAATGAAATAAAGCCTTATGCACTTCGGTACTCATTTGTCAGTGTTTACGGATTTCTAAAATGAAATTCTCATCTTCCAACAATGCAATCAACTTGTCACAATCGGGAGGCTTCATGAAAAAAGCTGAAACGTTGGTGTTCAGCGTGAACTGATCACACATAGGTGCTGAGGGCTAACAGGTAAATGTTGTACCACAGCAAAACAAACACTCTTAATTCCACCGGGACCTGTTTGGTTGGTTTGCTCTACGTATTCCCTTTTTCCTTAAAAAAATAAAATGAAACCATAAATATGTGGTATTGAGACACTGAGCTGATGATTGCCACCATTTAAACAACGCCGGCCCACACATGATCACAGAAGTACAACATATGAGAATTGCAAGCTGACCTAGCTTTATCTTGACACAAGCGCGGCCTAAGCAGCTGCGTGCGGACATCGCCCTTCACCCCGTATGTGACCAGACAGGGAGACAGGCCTCCTGCTTCCCATAAAAATCCCTGTTTTCATTTAGCTTTTAATTTGGAAATCTCCTTTCACTTGATTTATGGTTTTCAGGACACAGAAAGACAAGCTGTGAAGCTAGCTCGTCGCAGGCCGCAGGTCAGAAGTGACGGTACGACATTGAGGCTGCATCAGCTGCTCTACATGCACGTCCCATCTCCAATTCTGTGTGGCCAGAAAAACAATGAGATCCCATCAAGGTCATGTAGTGTCACGTGAAGGACTGAAATTATTCTCTTTAAATAAGGCTACTTCTGCGACAAAACACACACTACAGTACATCTGAAAAAGATGGTGGTTTGAAGTGTTTTCAACCAAAGAAAAGTGCAATTTCTCTCAGAAGGCACAGTCTGGCATCATTTGGCACATTTCAGTTCAGTTGAGCTGGATTTAGACTCTCGGGCCCCGGTTTTGTGCCGGGCCGGCTTGGACCAGAGTTTTATTTCTGCTGCTGCTGCTGCTGCTTGAGGCTCTCCAGCAGGATTTGCATGTGAGCGGGGTCGAACACTCCCGCCTCTTCCAGGTCCTCTTCAGTAATATCACTGAAACAGCCCCCACAAAAAATAACAATTATTATGGAACAATAATGATTTACCAAAAAGAATAACAGCAAATATTAGTGAGCACAGAGGTCTAGAGCAACCTTTACTTTGCACCCGGACATGAACGAGTGTCTGAATGTGTGCACGTACCTGAGGAACTCCAGGTCGTCCCAGCCGTTGTGCAGAAGGCCCGGCTCATACCTCTCCAGTCCCAGCCTCTGCAGCCACTCCCCCACTGACGACTCCCCAACAGACAAAGACGAACTGCTGCTGCCCCACAGCGCCTGTGGGGGTGGAAATGATACAGAGGATCAGCTTGAAAAACATCTGTATGAACATCGCGGCTCCTCACAGCTCCCACACGCCCACAAAACAACACTCACAAATCACCGCTTCACTTCCCGTGGCTGCCAAAGTGTTACATTTCTACCTTTGAATGAGCGACTGTGTGTTATCTCTAAAAGGACTGCTCACCTCCTCGGGCACGTCCTCCGCAATGCTCTCCGTGATGGCATTTCTGGGCGGAAAGGTGCGGCAGGCGTCCAGACCCAAACCCATCGGCTGCCCTCTGAGAGGCGGCGGCGCAGACGGAGCGCGCGCAGGCTGCCCGGGAAACTCGCTCTCACTCAGCGTCTTTGCCATCTGGAGCACGGAACACGACTGGTCGTCCAACGGTCCAGCGCCTCCTCCTCCTCCTCCTCCAGCTCCTCCTCCTCCTGCTCCTCTCCTCCCGCTCCTCCTCCTCCTGCTCCTCCTCCTCGTCTAAAACCCTCTCCGAGGCCCGGCGGGGCAGCATGGCTGGCTGCTGGGATCCTGACCTCTGCTAGGTCCGGGTAAATGGAGCGGGGTTTGGAGAAGGGGCATTCTGCACCCATCTCCAGGGCTCCCTTAGGAAGGGGAGGAGGGGGGAAGTCAGGAGGAGGTCGGTTCAGTGTGCTGCCAACTGTTACTCCGACACCGCCCGCCTGGGCTCCTGCCCCACAGGCGCCTCCGTCGTCCTCCGAGGAGCCCTCCTCGCTGATGGCGCGGACCGTGTGACCCATCATGTGTCTGCGTGGGTGACAGGGCCCCGAGGCCGCATACGATGGTTTGGTGCGAGCTCCGGCTGAGGGAGGAGGGGGGGCTTTAGCTACCTGGGTGTTTGGGGAGGTGGGAGATGAGAGGAGCTCGGGTGAAAGAGGAGCCGCCGAATGGTTGGGAACGCCCTCCAGGATGTAGTATGCGGGATTATTGTAGCTGTTCTTGCAGATCGAGGGGTCGCCGTCTGGTGCCTCCTGTTTAGGTCTGAAGAACATACAGAAAAAAACGGAACAGGTGGTCGATAGCTCGGCTTTTGGGTTTCGTGGTTTTCACATAAATGCTCTGTTGATATTTCTACATCAAAGCGGTGGAGTGTTTACAATCTAAAGAAGTCGGGCGGTACCTTGCAGTAGTTTCCTCTTTGCTGGTCCTTTCTCCTTCCTCACTCACTTTCCCGAGCTCTCCAAGCTGTTTTCGAACTACATGCGGCCTGCAGAGACAGCGTCACAAAAAGTCAGCTGGTGTGACAAAGTGGAGGATGGGGAACGGTGCTTTCGTGCACATTCCCAATGAAAGGTGACAGATATCGGAATTTAAAAAAGGGTAGAAATGCAGAGTCCCAAAATGTAGCATTTTATCCGTAGTGGATCAGGTAAATGGCCCACATAATCAAATAATATTGTGATTATTTCCTAAATGCAACATGATTTATTCCATATTAAACCATAAAAAGATTGCTACAAAGAATAAATACTTTTGTAAATGGTACTCTGGAAAAAAATAATTGGTTAACAGTTTCAATTTATTAAAATATTAGTGCAAAACTAAAGAAGTAGAGAGTACTGACTTGACGTATTCATGCCCCACTTTGGATACCAAAGTGGATTTCCCTTTAGGCCCCCCCGTCTCATCCTTGTCCACACTGATCCACTCTGAAATACAAAGATAAAAATACCACTTTAACATCAGTCACACATCATTTGATCCATTTACACCTGCAAATTTTTAAAGCTTAAAATATCTTGCATTGGTCACAACTGCTTCCTTTACATCTTTCATCTTCTCTGGATAGATGGCCTGCGCCAGTACAGGACTATCAGCCTTACCGTAGAGTCTCTCCCTGGTTCCCATTCGTTCGGAAGGGACTCTGACCCTCATGGACCCCCTGATATTCCCCGTTTCCTCGCCCCGGTGGGACAGGTAGGTGTGGAACTGCTGTGCTGTGCTTCCAATCATAGACTTCAGAGCCAACACACACTCTCCTAGCAGGGAAACACACACACACACACACGTGTTTTCATTCGTCAGACTCAAAGTCCACCTCAAAGAATTGCACGGCCTCATCACAAACGTAAACAGTCTCTTCGCACCGTAGGACTCGTATCCATCCAGGGATTTCACTGTGAGCAGCAGATGTTGGTCCTGGAGGTACTCGATGTCTGACAGAAGAGGTTTGAGCGTCGTCAGCTGCTTGTTGGACCAGCCCACGCGCAGGAAGTTGACGTTGTCGCTGCTCTGACTGTCGTTCTCGTAGCTCTTCTTAAACTCTAGAGATGGAGGAAAAAAGACGGAAATGCAGGGACGGTGGGAGGGGAGGGGGGGACAAAGGGAGGTTTGGGAGGAGGAGTGGGAAGGAGATAAGGAAGATGTTTCTATTGCATTTCATTCAAAAGTACACGGCGGACAGGAGGCGGGGATGCGGCAGAGGTCAAAAGTGGATTCAAGCTTAAAGGTATACTGACTGCCTGAGGAAGGGAGGGAGGGAGCGAGCAACACAAAGAAGAAACAGATGGAATTCTTTACTAAATCCACTGGGCGTCACAGGAACCCGCTGAGCACTGTAACTCCCTTGCGGATTTTGATGCAAAGGTGCAGGCGCGCTCTTCTCACCTTCCAGACACGTAGAGTAGAATTCAATGAAAAACTTGGTCCTGCTCGCCGTCTTCACAATGGCCTCGATGCTCTCAAACTCAATGTAGGCCTGCTCTGACGTCTTCGGCAGACCTGCAGAGAAACAATGAGAGAAACAATGCTGCTCATTAAACAGACCACAGACACATAAGTTTGTCAGCTGAAATGATCAAATTGTACAGTATCCACAGCCTTGAAAAGAGAAAGAAGTGAAAGAAAGAGGTACAACCAGGAGGGAGAGCAATTCAAAAATAAACAAAGTAAAATAAATAACAATGTTGTGAAGAATTTTACTTAATTCACTAGCACCTTTCTTAGAGACAAACTGGGAGGTCACCCCCACCTCGAAGGTGCCAAACACAGGGGAATGATCACTGGTCACTATATCATCCGTACAGCCTGACAAACAAAAGAACACACAAGTTTCAACATCATGTACCGGCTGCAGAGAAGTTTAAAATGTCCATCGGAAATTCCCCCACTAGAGCCAGATGTACAGTTCATGAAATAACTTCCTCTGATACACTGAATTATGACTATTGTAGGAATGACTCCTCACCATAGGAGTTACAGACAATGTGTGTCTCTGGGTACGACTTCCACAGGATCCTGTCACACCAGGACGGAACATTCGTCCTCATCTGCGCCGGACAGAACAGCAGAAGACAGCCGAGTCATCAGTTGTCAGACATGGCTGGCAGGGGGAGGGGGGGTCAGTCTGTGATGTGATTGGAGTTAGTAAACGTACCCCAGTTGCCTTCTGCTTCTGCCAGACATACGTGTCCCTTGATCCACGTTCATAGCGGTAGGTGGGTGGGAACGAGATCTCTTCCTCCCCTGCAAACAAGCAGACACTGGGTCAGTACTCACAGACTTAGACACTGATTTCTTTTGCTGATTGATACCACTGTGCATGAGAGAGAGGAGCTCAGCAGCACTGTAATCGCAGGTAAACTAACCAAAGCGTAGAAAGACTTTGTTCTTCTCTCTCTCTAGGTTGAGCTGGTCCACCTTCAGCAGGGGCTCAAACTCCTTCCTGTTGATGTAGTTTAAAATCTCCTGCTCGCAGAGACGAGAGAGATGCAGGTGTCACGCACATCTGCTGCATTCCATCACTGTGCACATGTGTGTCCGGGTTCTGCCTCACCTGTATATCCATATCCAGCCTGTAGTTGAGGTCGCCCAGCCAGAAGAGGTGTGTGAAGCGCAGCGAGATGTCGAAGGAGCTCAGCTGTTTGTCTCCCAGCGACAGCAGGCGGAGGATATCTAGGTAGTTCTGGTTCCTCCTGCAGGAGGAAATAGGTAATGAAAGGTTAATGAACGCGACCAGTTTGTCATGTTTTCTGACGCATTGTAAAAGTATATCAACCACAGAGTATGGGAGTAGATCCCAAAAGGAGCTGGCCTGTGGCAGATACCTGGCAATCTTCTCATTCCCTGACGTCAAGTGACAGTTCACAAAGCCGAAAGACGTCCCGTTGAACATGAAGGAGACGCCCACAGCTCCTTTGTTACCTTTGACAAACAAACGTCATGACAAACAAAATGAATACATTACTTTTATTAACTAATGACCACCAGCAATACGTTATTAAGCAAAAATAATCCTGATAATAAATCGCATTAAAATGTCAAGACACAATGCTAAGGGAATCTTTAGTTTGTGTGAAATAATTAATAAAATAATAATTAATAATAATAATTAAATGTAGATTCAATCTCTTAGTTTTGAAATGAACTTTTAAATTAATGTAATGGCATCAAGTAGATGCAAGTAGATTACATTTTTTAGTGTGATCACAACAGTCACAAGTAATAAAATCCAGAATATATCCTCTAACTAGCCTTTTGTTAACAGAAACAAGTCAGTGTTTGAAAGTGCAGTTATTCCATTTCTTCATATTCTGAGAGGACAGTAAAGCATGTGAAGAAGGAAAGAGACACCGGGTGCGGCGGTTACCCAGCGTGTTGGCGATGCCCGTCTTGACGCTGGACATTCCCACGTGGCTGATCCGGTTCTCGTGTTCCGGTTTCACCAACACAGCGATTTTTATGTTCCACAGAGTTTGCACTGCGATCTGCAACCGCAGAACAACGACGACGGAGAGTTGAGAACCAATTAGTCGATAGGTGAGCTCAAAAAGAGCAATGAATCAATGGTTTTGATATTTACACGAAATCATTTTGTTTGCTCACCGGTTTATAATCCAGTTCGGTCTGTTCTTTCAACATGGCACGTAGCGACTCCACCCACTCCCGATCACACACAGAGTTTTCTTGGCTTCCGAACACGTAAAGGTCATGGGGGATGGTGACCGTAATCTCGTCTAGAGTTTTCCCGAGGCCGCGACACAACACCCACGAGGCCTGAGACTTAGGCGCAGGCACCGAGCCTGGAAACCACCAACAGAACATTACATCCTGATTTTCAGAAATACAAATGCCAAGCTCTGGAGATACAGACATGCTTCCCTTTACATGTACGGCAACCAAATACGTAATTCAGTGAGTGTTGCTGAAAAGAAGAACGTTTCTGAAGGCATTAAGAATAACGTGTGTTTGTGTCTGACCCATATTCCAGGAGCCTATGAAGATGGAAATCATGTCGGGCTCGTCTTGGTTGGAATGTTTGTTCTTCATTAACTGGAGCAGCTGACAAAATGCCTCCCGCTTCTGAAACACACACACACACACACACACACACACACACACACACACACACACACACACACACACAGTGAGTGGACGTTGCCATGATAGGGAGAGCCGACTCACAATCGGTTTGAGTATATGTGCCTTTCTTTAAACCGACAAATATACACAGGACTGACTGAAGACGAATCCTTTTGATATTTTACAATAAATGTTCCTTGTTGAAGAGAAAAGATCCAAGATGAATCACTTTTCAGAAGGAGTCTGAGTGGAAACTGCATTAGAGTGGTTTGTGTGTGCGTCTGATCAGAATATTTCTCAGTTAGTTTGAATATAAATGTTTGTATCTTTGAATGACTGTAAAAGATTCTACTAAGAATGTTCATTTGAGGAAGTGTGTGTGTGTGTGTGTGTGTGTGTGCGCAGACCTTGGCACTGGCAAAGATGAAGTCTTTCCTCTGGTTCTTGTCCTTCTCCTTCTCAAAGACAATGCCCAGTTTATTCTGCACCCGCTGAGACTTGATCAGCTGACGGACTGAGACAAACAAAAAGACGGGACACGCAGAGGACAGAAAGGTCAGTGATACGGAAAGAGAGAGAAAGGCCAGGAGCCTTAGCAATATCACGTAATAGATCAACAACATGAGGAAAATAATGCAATCTCACCATTCACAGACCTTTAAAAACAGCTAAAACTGACACATTACTCAAGGTTAACAACACTGCTTTGAAGCACATCCAATAACATCAAATAAAATGATGACACCCTTTGGACACAGAAGAGTAGAGGAGGTGCTGCTCAACAGATAAATGATCACATAGGTATTGAACGTGGTCTTTCCTCGCGCTTGTCTAAAAACAGCTGATCACAAGACTTAAGATAAGTTATGAAGTTATGTCACTATTTCCGTTACAGCGTTCTGCTGATGACGTGCTCACTTTTGTCGTGTGTGAAGGTGGTCCAGTCCTCCTGGCTGTCCTTCACCTTCTTCATCACTACCAGCCGCCCACCCTCCACGTCCACAGACAGAGTGTACTTCTGACTCTTTCCGATCTTTGTCAGCTCTGCCAGGTAGACGTCCAGCTTCACCTGAAGTGTGGATCAGAAAAAGGGAATAAAACACACACACACACACACACACACACACCCACGTTCATAGAAACTGGTGCTTGTGGTGCATTTCTAAAAAGTGTGTGTGTGCCCAGTCATGTAGAGTCCTGAGACCACCAGGGGTCTCCATAGTGAAAGTAGTGGACTCTCCCTCTACTGTCACGACATACAAAACAAGCTGGCTGCTTCCATAGCATCAACAGATTGCGTTGGTTCAATCTGGCCAGCTAGACTAGAAATATCACAACAAAAAGGAGGAATTTGGAGGTTCATAGACAATATTCTGTATTCTCTTATTTGTTGTTTTAGACGGAATACAGGCATCGCGTAAAGCCGCGTAAAGCCATGAGGTTTCTTTGAGAGGCGCTGGATGAATCAGGCTCCACGCCTTAAATACTTCTTTTCATCTTAACAACCCTTCTGTTCCTGTGCAACAGGAAGTTGCAGAAAGGAGGTCACCACAAATGATGCCAACGTGGCTAATATTTAAAATCATTCAGCTCTTCTCCGTCTCACCCTCTGCCCCACGTGTTTTCCTTCTGATAATAACCCCGCTTTACCGTTACGCCTCGAATAGCAAGCGCTTTCTTATTATCCTGACTTTTCCGCTTTTTTTCTCTGCACGTCTATACGTTATGCCATCGGCACAAAATAAAACAACTATAACCTTGCGACCAAAAGTCACAGCATCAGTTATACGCATCAAATTGTGTGAAACTATGATACCAAACCAGATAAATACAACATACTATGACAAAGCCACTAACGTCACAGGAAGTGCATCACACACATTCCTGTGGTCTCATAGCAGCTCTGCTCACAAACTTCCTGCGGTGTGTAAAGGAATATGTGACTTTACACCCTGTTTTACTGTAATTCGATTTCAGTCGATCTTCTGTGAAACGAAACCACCAGTCCGCTATTATGACACTTAATGAAACAAACATGGAGGTTGTAATAAGAGATCTCCGGTTTGCTTCCAGACTAAAATCAACATAAATAAATGATAAAACAATCGTTTCCTGACGATCCTACTCCTTTCATGAAACAGGAGATGTCATTGATTTAAGATTAGGAATGAAGCGTGAATAACTACATCAAAAGAAAGACGAGCAGTGCTTGAAAGTTTAATGAAGGGTATTTGGCTCCAGAGACGTTGAGTATCTCAAAAAGTGTGGCTTCACTTTGATAACTCCAAAAATGCAGATATTCTTGCTTTATTCCTCCCTGTAAGGATTAATTATATTTTCTTTTACAGTTTTTAGATAATGCGCTTCCTGCAAAGGTCAAAAGCTCAAAACAGAAGATCGCTCCTGGCTTAATACTCCCCTCCTATATATTGCCCTGAAGAGACAAGCACTAATAAAATGTGTGTGTTCATGAGTTTACAGGTGAGGTGTGTGTGTGTGTGTGTGTGTGTGTGCAGCCGAACCTCAAAGGCCTGCACAGGGATGGCTTTGCTGTGACGCATGGAAAGAGGGGGGAGGGAGCAGGGGGACAAACTCAGGTCCTGGAGAGTTTTCAGAGCCTGGGGGGGCGGGGAAAAGAAAAGCAATCAAAAGTGTGAGCTAGAACAAAGAAATGAAAGAAACACAAGAGAAAAAACAACAGGACACAACAAGAGAATCTGTGAGGTGTTGTGTCAACAATAAATCAGTTTCCTGCGAGAGAACCAAATATTATATATAACTGTAAATCAAATATTAACATGGCAGAGCAGGTCAAACTGTAAAGAAGAAGCCAAAGCGATCATATGTGAGGGTCAACGCCTGCATATGTTTACATATTTCTGTGTACCTTCTTCTCTATGGAGGACAGCAGGTCTTTGAGAATTGCCAGCTTGGTCACGAGGTTCTCCAACGCCTGGTCTCCACCCTGATTCACCGACTGATGGAGGAAAGAAATTTGAACCAAAATCAACCGAACCGTTTGAAATGAAGAACCAGGCGTAAGAACAGACAGGAGGAGATCTGTTATGTCCTGCAGCCAAGCTGGCTTTTAAGGAGGAAAAGCAACTGAATGAATGCCCCACAACAAACAGACATTTAAACTACAATTGTTTTTGAGGCTGCATAGACCCATTTATGAATGAAGCAGATTGTATTAAAACACAGAGCAACATGTAAGTGTGTGCTGGATGACCGCTGAACTGATGCCAGCACAATGACGTGCAACACAGTGGATCAATCAATCAATCATGAAGGGATGAGGATTATTTTTTTAACATGAACTTGTGTCTGAATCTCTGACTAATTCTCATTGGCTGCTCTGTGCATGAGGAGCTTCACTAGTTAGCGGGGCTTAAAAACGAGGTATCAACTCGTTACTTAAGCACATTATATCACATATTCCATTGCTGACATTCTCATGTGACACACATCACGTTTAATGTGAGCAGTGTCGCCCGTGAATCACAACGAGTCTTTTTTTATTTTTTGAAGAGAACAGAGAAGTGGCTGTTTAGGAAGTTGGCGGAACATTTTGTTTTCAGTCTGGAGAAACAAGACTAAAAGGAAGCCGTTAAAAAGAAGATCACCGTCCAACTATCCATTAATGTCTCACAGCTTGGAAATCAAACAATCGGACTATTGCCCGCGGGTTGGCGGTGAGGGAACGAGGGTCTACATACATAATAACGTGGGTATTATTTTGTCTAGAGGCAATGAGCGTGCACGCACACACAAAGACTCACACTAAGAGTCACAGACGCGTACCTGTTGGATCATCTTGGAGACCATGAAAGAACTCTGCTGATCAAAAACTTTAGACAGGATCTCCAGACCCGACAGAACTTTATCCACCTCCCTACAGGGGGAAATGGAAAGAGATTCACGTCCTACTTAATTTAGATGCATCTAAAAGGAAATCAGATATTTAGTGGTTTTATGTTTGCATGTCACAGGTGATAAATAACCACAACATGAAGTTACATTTGTTACTTCCTGGGTTCCAGTTTAGTATATTTTCCACGGCTTATAACAATGTTTGAATGTGCAACATGTGCCGCTGTGACCACAACAAGAGACGATTGGAAGCATAATGTTTTTAAAATTTAACAATAGCACATTCCGTATGTAAAATAATTGCTCTGTGTGGATTATGTGGGGAATACGTGCTGTCTACAGATGTCCAGGGACGTCCTTCTTACCCATTTAGGCCTTTGCAGGAGGCCAATAGCGTCTTGTTGAGGTGAGGCAGGGAGCAGGCTCCCTGTTTGACCGCCTCGAGGTCCAGTGCGTAGCTTCCCTTCAGGTACTCGTGGGAGATGGTGCTGAGGCCGTTAGCTGCTGGAGCACTGAAACAAATCCAAACAAAGTCCATTGAGTATTTAGAATCCCCACATGCACGTAGTCGCTGCATTGATTCTTTTTATGCTACTAGTACATAAAGAATAAACCTTCAGCTGGACCTTTAAACAACAAGTCACACAAGTCATGGACCTCTTAGTAGCCACATAGGTGTAAGTGTGTGAGTCTGAGCAGTCAGGATGCTTTGAATCACACTTTTCCTTTTATACAAAGAGCTGACTTATGTCTACCCTGCCACCCACAGACACACAAACCGCTGCAACTAAATCATTAACTGATCACAATCCTTAATTACGGTCCAGACTGTGGCCTCAGAGTAAACTTCCTTGTACCTTATTTTTTTTGACATGCAAAGTCTGCCAAGCAGCAGACTGTTAAAGGCGCAACAGTCTTTTGCGCTCATTTAGGTCAATTTAAGGAATCGTACGTGAAATACATCGTGTTCGAAAAGGACGAAGACGGTTCATTAATTTCATCGTAAACTGAAAGCGTGACGGTTCATTAAAGCACACCACTTCCTGGGTCTTCTTTTACTTTAGGAACATCCGACCCGGGGTTTGTTAGTAACGTCTTGTGAACACTAACTGCACCAAAGTGATCTTTAATCATTAATATGAACATATGTGAGCAATACAGATCATGAAAACATCAACTGTGAGCACCGTCGTTTGGGACTGGATGTGATCTTCGTTGCAAACGGACTGTGTAGAGCGGAGGTTATAATGTGTGTGTGTCTCTAGTCAACATTTGTGAGTGTGAGAGACAGTTTGATGTGTCTGATGTTTACTGCATGATGTGTGCGTGAGTGTGTGTGTACTTGTGTTTCTTTTTGTGAGCGGAGGAGACGTAATTGCATTCACATTGAGGCAACATCCTTCCTCTGTGGGTCTGTGTGTGCGTTTGTTGCGGTTGTGTGCGTAACACATGTTAAACACATTGTCGAGAATCTCTGCAAGCGGTTTGTGATTTCATTCTGAGCTTTCACATTTCCACATTGTCAACTGGACACAATGAGGAGACTGCTCATAAAGGCGTGGTACCTCTCTGTTGGTGTGTCTGGTCCAGGTGGGGGGCAGCTGGAGACAGAGCGAGGGGGGAGGGGCGGCTTCTCATCCTCACCGTCTACCAATCACAGAATAGGAGGGGGTCACCGCGTGACGAGAGGACGTGCGAGTGCGCCGGTGTGCCGCTGTGGATCCTCTTGGCGTTACCTGAATAGTCGCGGTCGTCGCTGACCGCGGTCTCCTCTCTCTCCACCGCGTACAGCAGCGTGGTGACCAGACCCTGGCTGGGCTGCAGGTACAACGACACCAACTCCAGCAACGTCTTGAACCGCTTGGGCTGCACGCCCTGAGATGTCTGGGACGACAGTCAAGGAGGGACACACACACACACACACAGATCAAGAGACGGAGGACATGGAGGTTTTTTTTTAGCAGAACAATAGCATCCAAACCCCTTAAACTCCATCAGTTGTGTTATTGAAATCTCTGGCGGCCCCTATTGTTACACATTTACATGTTGTGTAAGCAAAGATGACCCAGCGGGTTGAATATAATTCCAAACCAGGAAGAAGTATTTCTGTAAACATTTCCCCAAAACGAGCTCACTTCCAGGATGCAGAATTAGACTTCCTAGACTCTCCTCAATGCAACAGCTAAGACCCCGAAATCACACAGCAGGGACACAGATGTCTGCGATGCGACCACGCGGATAGTCTTAAGTGTCCGTGTGTCGGTGTGGAAGAGAGTCAGAACGTGTGTATGTGTGTGTGTGGCTGGTTGTGAGGACTTCACAGCTGTTGGAAACAACGCACAAAGAGGCTGCTGTTGGTGTACGTGTGTGTGTGTGTGTGTGAGAGGGAGAGAGTGCCAACAAAAGCATCTCTGCCTGCCAGCTGCTACTGAAGCAAATACAGTTTTTGCAGCACGGAGTGACGTGCGTGCTTATGTGAATGAGTGTGTGCGTCTGTATTTTTATGTACCTGTACTGCGAGAAATCCTTCATCGTCTGGGAGGATTCTGTATGTGTGGACATGCTTCTGAAACCTACAGGAGAAAGAAACAAGAAAAAGATGAAGGTCAAACGACTGAAGTGAATGGAGGGGAACAACAGACAAAGGGGGACAAGGTTTTGACTACAGTTTGATTAGAATGATAGTAAGAATTGTCCCGTCCCGACTGGGGGACTCTCTTTCTTGTTCTTGAGCCCAGTGAGTGTGTGGCTGCCTGTATGAAAATGAAGGGTTCAACGTTCACGGCGTAGAGCTTCAACCTGTTGCTGTCTGTCACAGTTGGGAGTGGGCTTCATCCTCACATGATAGTGTGCAGCATATCAGAGGTAATCCTGGCTTTTAAACCATGTGTAGTAATAGTGATGGTAAAAAAAAATAAAAGGAAGAAAAATAACCATTACAAATTGTGAGATAGGAAGGATTACGGATTAAAAGGAAAATGACCAGGTTAAGTTTTTGCATCACTCAAAGAATATGTGGTAATTCTTTGTATGCATCACATTTCAGAGTTTTTTTATTTAATTTAATTGAACCGTGAAGCTTTTTCTTTCCTTACCAATTGCAGTTCAACGCTGTGACATCGTTACTGCACAGCCGGGGCTGCAGCCGCCAGCTGGACTTTAATGATTTTCATGTCCACACTTCATGTCTGCTCAGTGGCCCGGACACGAAATGTTCAATTTGCCAGGCAGATGTTGTGGTTCGTGTCCGTTGGTGTGTACACTGCACGCATGTGTTATGGTTGTGCATCTGTTTAGACGTGTGGGTGTAAGCATGGCGGCCTATGCAAAGCGCTTAAGTAATGCTTTTACTGCTGCAGCGCTTCCACTGTGCTTATTTACAGTATGTGTGGGTCTGTGTATACTCTGTGTAAATCGAGGAAAGGACACATCAATGACCGGAATTCATCTGGCCGTGACCCCCCCCCGCTGTTTTTCCAGGTCAGTGTCTCACAAGTAAACACTGAAGTAAAGCACGGACTGAATACTCCAGGCCAGCTTCCAATGGACTTCAGCAAAAGAGTCACTTTTAATTAGAGTTTTAAAACAAACCTGCATCTGTTTCTATCAGATGGGTCAACGGCGATCAGAAAACCAGGTTCCTCAACCTTGAGCCTGATGAAGATCTGAATATATACTATTAGCCTAACAGAAAATGAAATACACTTATTTGGGTGTGTGGGGGCGGGGGGGGTTGACAGGGCACCAGATTATGTCATTCTAAACCTTTAACCGTTTGACCTTTGACTATTTCCCTAAGGAGGGGGCAGAGTTCCGTATATCGGGCCTCCAGCAAAAACGTATATATTTAATCCAGAAGTAAACACGGTCGGTGGTTCCCGTTTGTCCGACAGGCCTCTGTAACATTATCAACACATGCATTGTGGGTCCCGTAGCACGGCCTCCATGCACAGGAGTCACTGCAGTCAGTGTACAGCAGAGCGCTTGTGTGTGCTGGTTTTCCTGTTGGCAGCTGAGGAGATTTTCTGCGGCGTAAATACTATTGTTTCAGTAGCAGCAAAGCTATGACAGGGGGGAGATAGGGAGAGGGAGGGGGAGAAAAGATTGCGGGATCGAGACGGACACAATGAGTTTGTATGTGTGTGTGTGTGTGAGATCAACAATACAGTTTCTTGAGGATAATGACCCCACTGGCTCCCCGTGGCTTATAGTGCCACCTCCCTCTCCTCCTCCTCTCTCGTCCAACTTTAAGCTCAAATGCAGCAGGTCAGTCGACCCCCCCCACTGTAAACAGTATGAAAATCAAAATACTCCATTGACTGGCAGACATGAATGAGCAAAGAGTTGCTTTATAATGCTACTGATCATTCCAAATGTAACCTGTGTCTCTGCTGTAGCCAGACCAAACTTATAGTACAAACTGTAGAATACAACAAAGCCCAAATTATGAGGGAAATGTAATTGTTCACCAAAGGCAGACTCAGATGAGTCCAAGTGAATGCCACAGTTCTCTATTAATTACCAGTTTCTATATAAACTCAACCCTCGAGCAGACGACAGCGGTAAAGAACAGCAGGGTTGAGTTCCAGAAATGTATTTGGCTTCGTTATGACAATTGAGATGAAGATGTGTGAAAAGGGGCATTGGGATCAAAACAAGTTTTTACGCCATCGCAGATCGTTCAGACATCTAACGTGGGGGTTCTAACAGAAGAACTGTCAAAGGTGCAGGAAGCAACATGGTAACTGCACAAGACGATAATACACGGTCACTCACAAGACTTCCCGATGAGGAATTCTCTCTCAGAAACATCTATGTGCCCACACACACACAACACACACACACACACACACACACACACACACACACACACACACACACACACACACACACGTTGACATGTTTAGACGCGCTGCACTGACACACAACAACATCTTTCCATCATGAAAAAAAACAAAACTGTAGCGGTCACACGCTTGCTTCAGCTGCCTTTTCCCGAACGTTGTTCGAATCGGAGTCTGTGGCAGCGGACGATAAAAAGGTCTCACTTCCTGCGTGTTATTCAGAAACACATTACACATAAACATCCCTGTTAGATAAAAACACAAACCGTGAGCTCGTCAAAGTGGTCACTTCCTACAAAAATCTGCATGCAGGCACACAAAATTCTACAGACGGAAATGTCCACAAAGAGGAAGCGAAAAGCCGAGCGAGACGGAGCGGCCCGGGAGTCCGTCCCAATGCCTCCGTAAAGTCGCCTTCCACTCGTCTATTCTCAGACGGCGGCAGAATATAAACGCTTCCGATGCGCGCCGGCCCCTCCGAATCCTTCAGAAGGGAAGCACAAATATCTGTTTGTGAGAGTCACGAGGGCAAGCTCAGCAAAACACCACGACAGTTCCTGTGAGCCGGGGCCTTGAAAAGGTGCTTTTAGCTTGAAGACAATGTTGTTTCCTCACAGAGACGACTTACTAATTAAAGGCAAGCTCACCAGCTGATTAGGTTTTTTTTTTACTAGTAGACAGCTAATCAAATTAAAGCATATGTTACTACATGATGTGTGAGGAATAAACAGTCAGGCCAGTTAATTGTGACAACTTTTTACCCATTTCGTGGTAAATAATTGATTACTTTGTTGATAAATAACACAGTGAGTCATACAGCTTATTAACTAACACACTGGTATCGCACTGTACTCGGCATCAGGACTGAACTAGTCACATCTGTGCTTCAGGCAGGGAAGATATTTAATATTGAGAGGACCTGATACAGACATCAGCCCCGAGCCTGCAGAGCGGCACAGTCGGGGCCGTGACTAAACGCGGCGCGTCACCCAGCAGTCGGGAACCTTTTCACATTCAGATTGTACTTCCCGGGAAGGTCATTTACCCCGCACAAGTTCCCGAGAATGAGTCAAATGCTTGACCGATACAGAGTCATGACTTTTCTCAAACATAACCTTCGCGAGGATAGAGAGCGTGTTTCTTTCATATTGCGCTAAAAACACTGGTCCACACGACCTGTGAGGATGGTGTAATACTTATTTTAACATTCGTTTTTGGGTACGTAGAAGCAAAACGTGTTGGTAAAGGGCAGTGACATTGTATTTTTGAGTAAAGTTTGACAAAACGCCTGTCCATAAGAAGCTTTAGGTATCATGAAGAAAAATGATGCATGATGTGAAAGGGGAGAGGAAGGGAGAGGTGGAGACTGACTGGAATAAATACAAAAAAACAGATGCTGCATGGATGTGTGGCATGTTGTTGAAAATAGAGTGACCTACTGAAATAATATGGATCCACAAAAAAAAAAAGAAAACAGCATCATATATTTTTACGAGCTAGTGACCAAAACTGGGATGCCGTCTTATTGCCTTTTACGGGATTTTTTATACGACAAGAGGAGTGTTGCATTTTTAAGAGAGTGATCCTACTATATGGTGCGTGCCTACTAAGACAATGTAATAGTTAATTAAAAATGATAGTTGTCAAAACACACAACGTGTACCACTGCTGGTGTGCATGTATACAAACGCACAATGAAGTCAGCCTGCACCCTCACATAGGGGATGTAGGTTGAGTCAATGTCACAGCACCCGTTACTTAAGTAAATTTGTTCCATTTGTAAGTTGAACATCCTTTTTTATCCCACGGGTCATTTCAATTCGTCGACAAGTGTAAACAATGGCGGTTGCCTGAGCACCAACGGGCGCAAAGACTGTAGGAGCAGTTTCTTTTAATCAAGTCAGCAAGTGGTGAGGTCGTGTGTGTTGATGGACGTGATTGGTGCCAAAATCTCCACGTAAAAATATATATATACGTTTTATAAAGTATTCTGTAATGCACCAGCTGCTACACTGCTGCACTCATCTCACATCGGCCCTTTAAATTAAAAACTTCAGCCAGGCCAGAGCTTATATTTACCTCCAACACCGATCCAGATGCGGTGGCCTGTAGAAAAAGGGTGGTGCAGCCCACATCAGAGAGGAGAGACACACACACACACACACACACACACACACACACACACACACAGAGGCCTAAAGCTGTGTGCCATGCTGGGGTTCAACAGGCTCTCCCCTGCCAGACTTACAGAGAGTAAACTAAACTAACCATATTCGGCCCAAACCTGTTTTAACGCGGTTGTGTGGACTCTCTTGTGTAGCTTGGCAGAGCAACAACAACAACAACAACAACAAGGAGGAGAGTTGTAAAGAAGGCGCGCAGAGTAAACATCTAACTTCAAACTAAAACCGGGACACGGTTAACAACTCTTCCCCGGAATAGGGGGCCAAACAAGCCACCGCCCCCCCGCACACACAGACAGACACACACACAGACACACACGCGGTAAGAGTCGCAACCAGCGTCCGTTTTCTGATGGAGGTACTCACAGGACACACAGCGCGTAAGCCCCGTTGACGCTCTCGCTGTCCCGCACCAGGAAGCTGCCGTCTCTCCCGGCCCGGGCCAGCAGCTCCTCGGCCGCCGCCCGACTCAGGTCCCGGTGATACCACGTCGGCGGTGCGGGCCCCAACGGTGAAACGCCTCCACCCCCTCCACCCCCGGCCATGGCCACAGCCCCTTCGGAAAACCGGGTTCAACTCTCAGGCTGCTTCCCAGAACTTCTCCGAGAGCCTTCCGGCCCTTCTCCAGGCGAGAGGAGGGTAAAGTCCAGCGGGGGGAAAGTCGCGAGAACGTTATTCCGTCGGAGGTCGGGAAGACGCGAAAGAACCGACGGGAAGTGGCTAAAAGTTGTGATTTGTCAAGTCGCAACGTGAGCGTCTGTTTCCTCGGTTTCTGAAAAAACTCGCCACCCTCTTCTTTAGCTTCCCAGTCCCACGGAAATCGGGGTATGTAAATCCAGAGTGGAGACCGGGGAGCGACGGCGGGGACGACCCACGTCAAGCGGAGCGTGTCGCTAGCATGCTGCACTTCCGGTAGGACTTTCAAAAATAAAAGAGCCTGTTGAAGAAATAGACCACGACACTTTATTTTATAGGCAAAGTTACCCAGGTGTTGTTATTACGTATCGCTAGCTTGACGGAAATATCTGGACGGGATGGACCGAGCGATAAAGGGACGCTTGGATGGAAAAGACAGAAGGAATAAGGCATAAGGATAAAGATTTACTCATTTACCCTACAGTTATGAGATACCTTTATGCAAACTCATATTTTTACACGGCTACATTTACAAACTGTTATTGTATAACAGCAATTAATTTATCTGACAGCTTTAGTTAGTCGCTTTGTAGATTTGCAGATTTTACGTGCAAAATATGTAATCAACCAAAAACAATGCTCTTGCGTCACCCTGACCACCATCAACATTCAAACGTTTTATTCACATTAATGCAATAAAAGTAGTCATAACCTTAATACAACAGTGTACATCCGTAACAGTTTAACTTTACACTTGAAATGTTATTCCACAGTGGTAGGATTATTTTTACTTGATTAAAGAATGCAAGGCCTTCTTCCTTGTCCAAACAGGGGAAATAAAGTTCAGTTTGTCTTTCCTCTTTGAATATCAGTGTGACCTGCAGCCACGGAGGAGGTCAGACTGCTGTAATTTCTCAAGCTAAAATCAAGTTATACAAACCTCCACTTTTCCCAAAAGAATACATCCTGTATAACTGTCAACTTAGGGGCCAGACCGGCAAAACACAGAAAACAGCCAAGGCAACATTTAGAGGTTTGTATTTTGAATGTATTTTCATCCCCACAAAAAGTCTGACTCCTAAAATCTGGTCACACACACACAGACACACACACACACAGCCCTACACCTACAGTTCAGTTAGGGGAGAGGGTGTGCGTTGTGCAGGGTAGTGTGTGTGTGTGTGTTTCCAATGATCTCAGAAAAGCGGGAGTATTAATAGCCTCATGGAAGACAGCCATCCCAATTCTATTTCTGACTATGCCATCACACTGTGTATGCCTGTGAGTTGACTGTAAAAGTATACGGCTTAGCAATACGTCTGCATGCAGGGATTATACAGTTGTGTCGCAAAAATGTGGGATTTTAACCAAACTGCTTTTACTAGAATAGATCTTGAGAATTTAATATTTTGCACATTTGGTTTCTTTTTCATCCTGCCGTAATTGTCTGGAAACTGGAACAAAAGTTAGTCTGTGGCCATGCTGAGATCACAGTGAGGCTGTACTGCTCATTACAAACCCACAACACAACTTTTGTAAAGTTGTGCCCGAGAGTCAGGCCAGAAAACTGTCCATGTTGTTACGTACTGTATACATGACCTATCAGAGGGTCACTTTAGGTGAGGAAGAAGCGATGCACAGTATGTTTGCCAGTGCATGACCAAATCAACACGATTACGCTGTTAATGTTGTGTGAAAATGACTCTAGTTATAAGTAAACTTTTGTAGTCTGCATATTTACATGTCTGAGTACCATCCTGCAGAGTATGAAATTACATCTAAGGTCAAGTTAACCTTGTTGTGTGAACTACTAGGATTACGTTAAGTCAATGTTTTTTGTAGAAACATCTTCCGTTGCTCAAACCCAGATTGGATATTGTTTTAGTATCTTCTGGTCACGGAGATCTTTGTTATGTTTGAGTTGGATAAATTATGGCTCGGGCATTAACACACTTCTGTGATGATATAGTCTCATTTAAATCCACACCCCTCTTTGTTTAGCAGCTTTGTGCACACATTCCATGCAACAAAAAAAAGAGACAGGAAAGACTGGCCTTGGGTCACAGCTGACCCTGCAACGCTAAATCATCAGGAAGGATGTTATTATAGGCCTCAGAAATGGAGCAGAACTTTGACACGTCTGATATTAATCAGAAAGTAAAGCCACATTGTCAAAGATACTATAGACTATGCATCTGTTATGTCTTTTAAATGTTCTTAATTAATTATCTCGGACCGTGATCTTGAAAGTGCAGAATGTACAAAAGTATGTATCTCAGACTCATCTTTGTCTCATGGTCCTCTCTGGCCACGTCTTGTAGCCAATCACAAGACTTATTCAAACACCCAACCGGGCACATTCAGACGTGGCACAGATGCACACATATTTAAACTCACTCCCCTCACACACACACACACATATGTATGTATATTTATATATAGAATAAGACGATGTGACACAAAAACACACTTAAACATAGGGGCAGAGACACTAACACACCAGTCTTTCCCTCTTTTTTCCTCTGTCCTTAACTCCGTCTCTCTGTGCCTGCACACACACTCGTGGGACTGGAACTCTTAATTACCGAGCAGTGGAGCCCGCTAACCACTAGCTGGCCCACAGTGGTCATGTGATGTCGTGATCACTGGTGCCCAGGACAGAGAAACACTTTCCCTCAACGCAGATCCTGGGTCAGTTCTATTGGTTCCCCACTGGTGGTTGGTGTTATGAAGGGGTTAATGAATTGATCCATAGTTTGGACTCATGGAAATCTAAAGAATAATCTTTATGTTATTTTACGTTGACAGATTTTTCAAATGTACTATTCTTTCAGAGACACGAAGCTGTGCTGCACCGATTTTGTCTTTTTTTTAAACTGTAATTCATCAATGTTTTGCTGATTTTACCCTCCAGGGAAAAAACAATACACTCTTTCCGGTTTCACTGTTCTACATCACCCTTAAGTGCTTTTGGGTTGACTGATGCCAATTATTCACTATTCCAGGACATTTTCCCATGTCCATGTAAAGGGCAACATCTTTATGAACACAGACTTGGATGAAAACACAAGGAACAACAGAAAGAAAGTAAGAGGACAGATTCCAGAGCCAATTACAGGTTTAATTATGAAATACACAGCAACAAATCTTGCACTTTATTGTTGAGCTATCTCGTCAAAAGCAGATGAGAAAGCCACAGAGGCAGAAGATAATTTGGTAGCTCTGAGGTGATACAAGAGGTTAACATTTTAGTACATCATCACAGAGAAAGATGCAACAGCCGGGAGAAGTAGCGCTGTCAGGGCAAAGCTTTGGTGTTGCCCTGCGTTGTTGAGGTAGTACTCCGCTACCTTCCAGTTGGGGTTGGACCCCGTGAACCAGAGCTGCATGCAGCGGCCTGAGGTTTTGGGGTGAGTGGTGTAAAGGTAGGAATTGGACCAGATTTGCTCACACATGGACTTGGCAGTGGGGTAAACCTCGGTCCACTTCCTGCACTTACTGCCTTCGGGGCATCTGTTAGTACCTGTATAATACACGGAGAGAGAAATGTGAGAATTTGTTTTTTGTGGTTACATACAAAAATGTGAGTATCATTTTTTTTACCTTACCCACTGCTCTGTGGTTGTGTGTAGGTGTGTGTTTGTGAGTGTGTTCTTACCTGAGCTCCAGTCCCATCCCTTGTGCCAGTCCGTCTTGCAGGTAAAATCATTCTTGCAGTCTTCCCACCAACTGTGGCAGTCCTCGTTACACAACGGCACATCCAAGATACGCTCCCTTCGCCAGCTCTGATCCACCTACACAAATAGAATTGATGATTGTTAATAAGCTATCATTTCCAAACACACTTTATTCTTTAAAGGATTTGCAACCACATGGTGTGTCGGTTGAGTTATAAAAAGTGTCCACAAATTGAACACACACAAGGCCTAATTCTCTTTTCTTTTACAGGAGCTAAAAAAATAATGGCAAAATTCTGCACGTGGATAAACCGTCCTGTTAAGCCCTTCTTATTCTGCCATCTAGTGGTGCACACATACAACAGAGACTGAGGGAACGATACACACCGGTTGAATCCAGGGTCCCAAGTGAGGTGAGCACTCATAGAAACAAGTGTCCTGGATGAAATGTTTCTTGCACTGGGGGCTCATGGCGCCACAGTGATTCCAGTTGAAGTTGTACAGGTACGAGGCGTCGTCGTGGGCTTCTGTGCTGGTGTTTGCAGTACAGCATGCATTTTCACGCCAGGGAGCACACTGGAGAGGAGAGAGGGGTCACTTTACGCTGTGAAGCCTTGCTCTGATGAGGGGAACAATTGAATCTCCCAGCATCCGCCTCGGTCGATTGGATGTCCGTGGATGTTTGTGTTCATCACCTGGAGGTAAAGTTTTCCCTCGGGGCCAGGGTTGACTTTGTGGTGTTTGCCGTCCATACACATGTTGAGCTTGTCCAGAGACAGAGCGCCGCTGGTGAGGGCTAGTAGCAAGGCCGGGACACGCCACATGGCTTTACAGCAGGGAGGCAGTGGCATGCAGCAATGGTTAGGGAAAACAATGGGATGACAGCCGACATACAGAACACATCAAAAGTTAAATCCATGTGACTAGCCAGGTTACTTCTGATCCAAGGGAAAAAGCACAGTACTCGGGCCAGCGCTGTCACTTGTATACAATTTAGGCAGCATTTCAGCTATTTGATTTTCTTTAAATAATAGTCCTTGTATGAATATTGGACACCAGGACAAAATGTGTGTATTTAAACATGGCTGTAGGAGGCCAAACTCAGACGCAGAGAGGATTCTTCAAAAGATAGTTGAGGGAGAACCAGATTTGGAGCTTTCAGATGATGAGAGAAATGAGGAGGAGGAGTTTGAGCCAGGTGAAAAAGAAGAAGACGACACAGGAGGCTCAGATGAGCAGACAGACAGGGATGAGCAGGAAAGACGTCTTCCTCTGTGGGCCAGCAGTAGCACGTAGGCCTATGTTTTATCCCAATGATTCATACGACCTGACTGCATTTAACACAAATAGATTTATGTGAGTTGTAATTATTATTCCTGTTATAACCTTTCACATAGGCCTAGGTGCTGTTATGTTGTTTTCCATAATAATAGATTCACACCTGTGCTACCTGGGTTTCCTAACTGTCAAGATGACTCTACAACCCCTGCAGACTGGAGTCCAATTCAATACTTTTCCCAGTACATTAACAAGAAAGTCTTTGAAGATTTAGCAGCGTTCAAAATACATTTTGTTTTATAATCAAGTTGAATGTATTATTGCTTTAATATCACTGTACAGCCATCATTTATATGTATATATATGTATATGTATATATATATGTATATATATATGTATATATGTATATATATATATATATGTATATATATATGTATATATATATATATATAAACTAAAGTACAACAACTCAAATCTGAACAAGAAGGATTCTGCAATTTGCGTCTTCATTTCTACATACCAGAAGCATCTAAAAGTGTTTCAATCAAAATCATCAAGTGTCAATTCAATATTTGATGGGTGTTGAAGCTAATGAGGCTTAAACACTTAACTCAGATAAAATCTGATGGAAACTGGTCCATTTAGGACACTGCAACATCTCTTATTTGGGTATAGTGCATTGTAACGCTTTACTAAACCTTTTAAAACAAACAATTTAAAACGTTCATAAAATGTCTTCCTTATTTCCTGATTAAAAAAGGAAACCCTTGAAAATCTGAAGTATGTGCCCTGCAAAGATTGTTCAAAATAAACTGTATATTTACAGAATGCAGTTCTCCTGGAAGTAAACTTAAAAATGAAACTGTAAACACTCTTAATACATGTATGAATATTTCTGGAAGTAACAGATTAATTACCTTATTAGCTTCTGTGGTGAGGTATTCCTGAAGGGGTGATCCTTTAAATAAGCGTCTCTAGTGTAGTCACCTCTAACACAGTCCTCAAGGCTAAACAAGGTCTGTGCACGAGCATGATTATGTCTCCAAGTCCAAAGTACGTGCAAAGTTTCTGTACTTGTGCGTGTGGCCGTTTGAGATAAAGTAAATGAAGGTCTCATGGTCTATCCTGTTCTTTATTACATAAACATTAACATCTGGTATAAAATGGCAGTGTGACCTCCTGGAAGGCTATATAAGAGGGAAAAGTAAGCAGTTAAGATAAAATTGTTCCTCATATATATGGATGTTACCCTGATTCAACAAAAAAAATCACATTACAAGCACTTTAGAGTGGGTTGGTTAATTTTTAAACTTAAAACGTAAATGTGTGTGTGTACGTGTAGGTGTGTGTTAATCTCAAAAGTTACAGAAGTCACGAGTCCTCATTAGAAGAGACATGTGTATTCTGTTGTTCTTATGAATTGAAAATAATTTTAATGTTAATGTGGCGTTTGATTTGATTTGATTTTTTTAATTAATGCATGCAGGCTGTATCAGCCTTGCTGTATTACCAGCTTTAGTGTTACAGGCCAAAATGAATATTTAGTTTATCAAATTAAAGAAAACGTTAATATGGTAATATGGAAACTTTTTTGCAATGTGCTAGCTAGAAATATTTATCAGAAAGAAAATACATCAGGGAACATTCCTATTAGTACACACACACACACACACACACACACACACACACACACACACACACACACACACACACACTACACAAACACAAACCTAAACATTGATAGATACATAATAATCAAACTAGATTTGTTGTTAACGCCACACCTTCCCTTCTCTACTGCGGCCACTTGGGCGGAACTATTGTGCAGGGACACTGGGACTCCGGACACATTGGCCGGTGAACACCAGCAGTTTCCGGTAAGCTTGTTTTGAAAATTTTGAAAGCTGAAGCGAGACGCTGGCAGGTACCAAGGCTGCACTACCCACGATTAAGCTTTAATTTAACAGTAAAATAGCAAATTTCATTCGCATCCATTTTACGAAGAAGAATTTTGGGCTTAACTTTACATTTCCGAGTTTGAGCATCACAAGACAGGAAGATTTTACACCGCACACCAACAACGTGTCAACATCGCGCCACCCCGTTTTAAACCGCGTCGATTTATGTGTCTGGTAGATCCTCATTTTAACGCTATATTTTATTTTTGGTGTGAAACAGTCACACACACACACCGACACGCACAGACGCGGGCTTGCCGATTGACGCCTCGTTTGTTATTGTTGTCCCCGTGAGACAGACATGTCCACGCTGTTCCCCTCGCTCTTCCCGCGAGATAACGGAGTCACTGTGGTTCAACCTCGACCGACCCTGTGTGGACGAGACGGAGCTGCACCAGCAGGAGCAGCAGCACCAGACCTGGGTGAGCACCTCCGCTTAAACACACTCCCCTTCCCTCGCTCTTTTGCCGCCCACGTTGTCACGCTGTCTCCGTGTCCACCCCCAGCTGCAGAGCATCGCCGAGAAAGACAACAACCTGATGCCCATCGGGAAACCTATTTTTGAGGTAACGTGTTGGCGGCGATGCCATTTAAAAAAAAAATATATATATATATATCATCAACAAGTTAAAATGCTGCCGTGGAGTGTCACCAAGCCACGGTGTGAAACACACACTGGTAGGACGGTGTCCTCCATTCATGCCATCTGGTATCCTGTGGCGCAGGCGGGATACGACGAAGAGGAAGAGGAGGACGACGAGGACGAGGAGGACAGCGAGGAAGACTCGGAAGATGAAGAAGACATGCAGGACATGGATGAGATGAATGACTACAACGAGTCACCTGATGACGGCGAGATCAATGAGGTGCTTTCATTTTAGGATTTGTAGAAAGTCTCATTATTGGATAACTAATAGACACATACATTACTTTTTTTTACAGTTTTTTATCTGAATTTCTTATAAATCGTGTCTTTTTTTATTTCTGTCAGGTGGACATGGAAGGAGCAGACCAAGACCAAGACCAATGGATGATTTAAGATAAATGACAGTTTTCTGTCTGGCACCGGATTTCTACTCCACTTAAAACATGACTGCTGACCCTTTAGTCTGTGACACAGACATATCTATGTTTTATTTGTGGAAACAGGAAAAGAATATAGTTGAATCAAAGCTTGTATCCCGATGTCCTTCGGAGGGAGTGAATCCAGCACAAAGTGTCCTGTTTTCAAGCTGCAGGCGGCCCCTGAAGGCCCCGGACGTTGTTGGACGTCACTGTGAGTGCTTCTACCTGGCACGTACGACCACGCACACACAAAGCCCTGCGGTTTTGTAACCAGTCCAACACCCACCTACACATTGGTGGCAGTAGGCATCGGCCCAGTGATTTCTAAATTGAACTTTGACCTCCAGTCATGTGCCACTTCTCTTGGAGAGCCGTCAAAGAGCTGACTGAGCACAAGCAGCAGCTCAGTCAGCGAAATAGTTTATTACCCATGACTGACCCGATACTTCACCATGTTGTACGGTTCTGTTTCGTAGTGTTGTGCATGCTGCTAATCTTTTGTTACTAATATCATACTCCCGGCTGAACCTTCATAAATGCTTATGAAGTGGTAATATGATCAGACTATTCATCAGTTGGTCTTTTTTTGTTTTGTTTTAACTATGTCAAAGAAACAAGCAGCCGTTACTTTTGAAGAATGTCAATTGAAATATCGGGACACTCTCAGTGTCCATACAAATGCTCTCACGATGATATAAATGCATTGCCTGCAGAGGTTTGGGGTTTTAGTGCTGAAATGAACAGAAGCCTTGACTTTTTGTACTAAATTAAAGATTTTTTATGAAAACGTCTTTCCGTTGCCTACATTTTCAAAGACAGGCAATGTAACATGATTGTAAAGGGTGCGTGGCGGATTTAGGTAGATTGGCTGGAGAAGTCCCGTAAAATAATTTGCGGTTATAATGTCCACCGTGGTCCTTGTCATTCAACAGTTCACATGGGTAAAGATTTGAACAGACAACGGTTACATTTCGCACCTGAAGGGAAACATTTTCTTTTCTATTAAACCTGTACATAACGGACATTTATCATGAGCTCACTAACAAGCTCTTTGAGAAGACATCTACTGATTTTCTCTTTTTTTATTAGATAGGTGACAGGACGGCTGCAACTCACAGAGACTGTTGTATACAAAGAATATGAACAGTATACAAAGTAAACTGTTTAAACACATAGTAGGCCATCATCTTTTCATCCCTTGCCGCTTAAAATGTATATCCGGCTAGTGTGGTCTACTTGGTTCCCTGGTACACCAGCTCAGCCATCCCGTCCCTGATGCCTTTGCTGTACTCTAGTGTGGCCCGGTGGACCTTCCACTCATACAGGCCGCTCTTGCGGATGTGCCTGAGGAACTTCGGAGCCCCGGGGAACAGCACGTTGTCGGCCACGATCATAGACCCTTTCCCCAGCAGACCAGAGCCCTCCAGCATCTGTAACACACAGAGCTCAGAACTTCAGGTGTTCATGAAAACCCAGAGGACATATTAATCTGGATAGCATCCTATTATGTAAATGTCCTTTGTAGGGATTTATTCGAGTCACCTGCAGATCAGGGAGGTAACATTTCTTCCAGTGGTCCATGAAGACAAAATCCAGCCTTTCCAAGCCATACTCAGACCGCAGTTGAGGGATGACCTCATCAGATGGATTCACAATGAGCTCCACCTGGAGACCAAACTGCGTGAATGTCTCAGAGGAAAATACTCTCCATATTCAATACATGAGACCAAAATGTCCTCCTTGACTTATCTGAAAACAAATCATGGTCGTCTGGTGCTTTTGTCAAAAAGCCTCGTGTTCACAGAGTGAGTAGGATGTACAGCGTTCACATGCCTCTGCGCTCTCACCGTGTCGTCGTCAAACCCTGCCAGGCGGATGATTTTCTCAGCGACAGCGGCGTTCCTCGGGTCCATCTCCAGGCTGTACACGCGGGCGCCCAGAGGCAGAGAGCGGGCGATCCGCACCGTGCTGTACCCGCAGTGGGCCCCCAGCTCCAGCACCGTCAGAGGGCTCTGCTGCATTATCAGCCGGTCTAGGATCTTCCCTGCACACCAAAACACACGCTGTGTAATCCTGCTCGTAGACAGATGTCACATTGTGGCGGGAGGTCAATCATCCTCTCACCTTTTTTAGGCCCAATGTTGCTGATGAACTCCACTCTGCTGCACCAGACGTCGAAGGCCTCCAGGATGCTGTCCGGGTCTCCGGGGGTGGCGTGAGTGAGAACGTACTGGTAAGCACGCTCCTCGCGGCTCAGGCCAGTCATCCAGTCCCTCCATATTCTGACCAGGACCGCCCGATAGAACAGCACAAAGTAGAAGCGGCATCTTATAAGAACTGTCAGCAGGAGGGGAATGAAGGCCAGAGCGATCGCAGGAGAAACCATCCTAGCTCGTACAAAGAAACACAAGTCGAATCATGAGACACCTTGAAAAAGGGATAATGTTGTTTATGTCAACTGATAAGATGTAAACATTATATATTAATTCCATTCCTTCCTGTGCCTCTTTAAATGAACCTTTACATGAAAGCTGTAGCAGAAATTCACGCCTTACTCTCTTTTCACATTCATGGACAACAACGGCATTGTTCTGTATCTCATTTAATTGGATTGAATCATCTTCTATCTCTCAAGATCATTCAGCCAATTAGTATTTGAGTTGGTTAAGTTTTATAATTACAGGAGACACACAGTAGAATGAACTCTCTGATGACACCAGGACCGCAGAGAGCCTTTACATCTCTGCAAACTAAAGACACACCTTCAGACTCTACCTCGACTGCAAAGACTAACAAATTGTAGCACTTAAATTGTACTTATAATGGCCCTTATCTATAGTTGTAAATAGTAAGTTGTAAATTGACTTATTTATTGAAGTTGCACTTTCTTGTTCTTTTGAGTTTGTACCCTTATGGTTGAAATGCACTTAGTGTAAGTCGCTTTGGATAAAAGCCTCAGCTAAATGACTTGTAATGTAAAGTACCGGTCCTTCTACGATGTGACTCCACAATTCGAGATCTTTTATAATGTTTCATGCGTCAAAAGATCAAAGCCATTCTTTAATCAAGACTTATAAAGGATCTCTAACTAATGCACAGATAGTAAAGTAAGATGCATTTGTATTTATTAAATTATCTTTTCCTGAATGCTGACATTCCAAATACATGGAACACATTTTGAGACAAAACCCTCTTAGTTCTGAATTTTGCAGGATAAGACACTCTCGATATTCCTGTAGCCCCGCATAACCGTAGCCCCAACACAACAGATAATATAATCTGTTAATATAGATAATAAGTCATTGAAAAAAAAAAACTCACCTGTTTTGTAAAAGGTTTCGCGAGCGCAGACCAACAGCGCCGGTGATTAAGAGGAATGTGGCTCTCCAGCCACATAAAGATGGAGGTGTGTTTGTGTGTGTGTAGAAGAAAAGGTAAGAGGCCCGGGGGTATGAATAATTTAAGTATCGTGAGCTTGACAGTACACGTTGTGTAATTGTTTCCAATAACAGAGGCGGTGACGGTAACATCACAAACTCTTCTAATCTTCGCCTGTTTTTATACAATTTTCATAGGACACACAGGCAGCTTCGTGCGCTGTACATCACAGCGATATTGTGGGTAGGAGCAGAGACAGTGAGACAGAGAGCGGCAGTGGGAGACATTTCATGTATCGAGTTAACAGCAACAGGTGTGGCATCAGATTTCTGTCTTCTTTACCGAGTCATGATGACACGCGACGGTCAGGAAATACAAATGCACACAATTGATGCAACAGAATGTAACTAAATAGTGTTTATTTTAAGTGTATTAAAGTTTATTTAAATGAAAGGAATATCAAACAAAAATGAAAAATACTACAGCAGTTATGTTTGGAACAAATAAATGTAACAAAATGCTAAAGGACTTATTATATACCTTTTATTTCTGTCCTTTCTTTTCCGTGCTGCTCTTCTGATGTGAGCGTTTTATGGGGAGTGACATCACATTTCACAGTTTATAAGTGTGATCACTCCTAAAACGACTGCAGCTGCCGTGAAACAAAATGATCATCTATGAGGCAATATAAATGTGTGTATGTTTCATGCGTACAAAACAATAGGATAGGTAGCATAAGAAAACATTTTTATGGTTAATCAAGTGACAATATACTGCTTCAAATCAAAGTGTCAAAAGAAAACTTATGGTGAGATCAGTACAAACCTTGCAATCAATACCAAACACTGACTTTGATTTAAGGGTTGTATTTTCTCTCTCCTATTTACAAAAACCCCCTGATATTGCCCTTGTTGGAAGTACACCAGCATTTGCACTATTTCGTGATGATTCCTTATTATGAGTCATGGCAGAGGCTTTTCAGAGCCATTCAGGAACAGTTCATCAAGAAAATTGGAGAGTTTTAAGATAATCAGATAACATCCAACACATCTGGGCCATATACACGTATCTAACAATCGATAAATCAGGTGAAGTATTCACCGTTAGCTGGGAACTATTTGTCAACTGTTCATTATTAAACGATGTAGCAATCAGCGGCACACAGCCACACTCTGCATAAAACCACGAAGCAGCACTGCGATGGCCGGCGACCCCTCGTCTACAACTGTGGACAGGGCTGCTTGAGGAGAGCTCTGATGAACTTCTTCAGCTCTTTGTCCCCTCTAGTCCACCTCACCAGCCGAGTCAGCAGCAGCCTCCCCTCTTCAGCCTGAGCCAAGGCCAGAAACCACCCGCCCTGGGACCCTTTCCCTTCTTTTCTGTCCTCTTTTGCTTGTCCCTGTCCCTCCTCCAGGCCCCTGTCGTTGTTTGTCGTTGCGTGGTCCAAGCCGGGACAAGCGCAGGTGCCTCCCTCCTGCAGCCACAAGGCGCTGTGGGCCATTGCGCCTCCGACCCCCTCTGCCCTCTCCGCACCTCCCCCTGCCCACCTCAGGATGCGGCTGCGGGCCGTAGGCACCAGCTGACGGTCCCCTCCCACCGCCGACACGCTGCCCAGACGCATCTTAAACGCTGAAGCGGAGACAGAATGCTAGTTAACAGGTGCCATTTCAGACACATTGTAAAACAAGATCATCTGTTCTGTGGCCGGTTTTGTTGTTAATTATAGCGATCATACAACAAGGGGTTATTCTGTGCTCTGCTCTATTGTCAAAATACGTTATTTCAGTTTGTCTTTTTTGGGGTTGCATTCTCCACAACAATTTGTTCTCACCATAAGGACTGTGGCAGAAGTTTTCCTGGATGTCGGTTTCTCCTTCAGCAGCCAGACTGCAGGCATCACAGATGACGCTGCCTGGAGGGTGTAGGAGAGGGGATTAGAGGACTGCCGGTGGGGATGTAAAAAGAAATCATAAAAAAAAGGTGGTGAGACTTTTGTCTTTGAGCTGAAACTCCAGGATCAAGGCGTTTAAATAAAACAAGATACGAGCATAGGGGAAATAAAACCTCATTGATCATCTTAATCAATCAGTTAATGTTACAGCAGTACAGTCAGATACTATTTGAAAAAAGATATACACTTGTAGTGTCCACAAATTGCAATGCCAATATCAATAAACACATATTTTTTCTTCTTCTTTTACAGATACGCATTACAGAAAACATTTTTGATGAGGGTTCCTAAAACCAATCAGGATGTGTGACCAGGATATGAAACACTTTACGGCTGAAAAGACAAACACTTTTGACATTTATTTAAAACACTGGTCTGATTGTAAGAAGCCATTATCCAACCTACATCGGTCGGACTCGAATCTGTGCATCGTGCAAAAGTTCATGCAAGCAGCTTTTCCTTTAGAAAAAAGAGGCGTATGTTACAGATCCTTCCACTGACCTTTCAACGCCTCCTCGTGCCTGACCTCCTCCGGGATCCCCCCCTCCCGCTCCCCGGTTGCCGGGATGCACAGCTGGGTCCTACGCGGGAACCGGGTGCAGTTAAACATCTCCGGCCACGGGAACCCGAACGCGCTCATCACGGGCACGCAGCCGTCCCGCACGACCTCGCACAGGCTCCTGCAGGGGCTGACCGGCCCGCCGAGCTCCGGCAGGCACACCGGGGCGAACAGCGAGCACAGGAACTTCTTGGTGTCCCGGTGGCACAGCTTGGAGACGAGGGGCAGCCAGGCCGCCGACTGCTGCTGGGCCTCCCGCAGCGTGTCGTGGCCGAGCAAGTTGGGGATCCGCATGTGCCTGTAGCCGATCCCGTGGCACAGAGACAGGGTGCTCGGGATGGGTTTGCACACCGAGCGGACCGAGGAGCTAAACCCGAGCGCGGGTGGCCCGAGCCGGGCGTCAAAGGCGCCGCACGCTCCGAACAGCGAAACGAGGCCGAGCACGGAAGCGAACATTGTGTGTCTCTCTCTCTCTCTCTCTGTCTTCCCCCCCCACGACGAGGACAGAGTGAAGTCTGCTGCTCTGCTGCCTGGACTTGACCGGCATGTAGGTGTAAACAAAAGAGGTGTGGAGGAAACGGGGTGGGGGGGTGTTTAATGAGAGGGCAGGCGCCTCCCAGTCATCATCACCCCCCCCACATCAGACTGGTGCCTTCTTCTGGGGAAACTCCCTCATGTGCACCAACATGCCTCATTCCTTCTCCTGCGGCTATCTAGTTGATCTCAGGAAAAGGCTTAGGAAGTTGTGCATTATTTATGTTTATGTCAATTAAACCGATTGATTGACCATGAAATAATCAAACAAATGAAGGTTGATACAGCAAAAAAAGACAAACATAGCTGAATTAAACTGATAGCACCTTCAAGGGTATAACGCTGCTGTGGATTTCCTGCACGCTTTGTGACATTTAGTCAGCAGACATCTGGCACTGATGTTTCATTTATCCCGAGCCAGAGGAGTGTTTTTTGCAGAATCCTTCCGCGGTGAATCATTTTCTTAACTCTGGCCAAGAAATACATGTATATGTATAGTTGTTTTTATCATTTGAAAACAAAGCTGTCTCGGTTTGTTAGATCTGTCCGTCCACGTAGCCTAAAGTGAATATCTTTGGAATATTTGAGTACACCGGACACAGGCAGAATATACAAACAGTTCTTCGGAACAGGCCTCCTCCCTCTTTGCATCACCGTCCTGCGTCTTCTCCTTGTCCTGTATTTTTTTTTTCATTTTCTCAAACTCTCCGTCTGTCCTCCATCTCCTTGCCAAAAGAGCCTCTCCTCTTCTTCATTTTTCTGACAGACTTCCTCCAGCGCCTTGTTTTTGTCCTTCACCTACTTCCATCTCCTGGATCTTTCGTGTCTCAGCCAGTTATTCTCGTCCTACACTTGTTTCCGTCAAATAGTTTATTCTTGGCCAGCTCCAACTGCATAGCTTTTATCCTGAAATCCAAGCTCTGTTGTTTCAGGTGCCATGCGTCTTTCTTTTGGACGAGGACTAGAAAGAGTGCTCTCTTTAATGAGATCCAGGATTTCAGTGTCCCTGTCTGCTTCACCTCTGATGCTCAACCTAAAGCTTCAAGTTCTGTTATTTAAGGTGCAGGTCTTCTATGAATTTCTTCTCCAGAGCATCGTATTTAGCTTGCATTTTCTTCTTCTTTTCAATCTGCATCTCAAGATCTTTGCATTCAGTCTGTAAGGCTTCTTTTCTTTGTTGGAGTTCAGCTCTCTGTACTCATTGAGAAGGGCCTTGGTCCTGTGCTCTAAACTGCTGTGTTGGATATCCGGGTGTTTTGGAGAGAGCCTTTTTTGCAGAGATTGTCTATTTAATTCCTCCATGCCGCTTAGCTGTATCGTCAGATTTTAGATCTCAGCATTAGCGTGAGCAGGAGCAATTTTCAGATAACATACTTTTGAGGGAGGTGCTGGACGGCCCCGAGGATCACCAGCCCGGTTTCTCTCGTTGTTTATTCTATCTAAGACCGTCTGTCAAACACTAAAAGAAAACAAAAATGTTGACCAGCAATTTGAATAATAGGCTTCTCTTAAGCTTGTATAACTACCACTTAACATATTATTATATCATATTAAAATGGGCATGCTTTTCTTTACTATGCTATTACTTTAGGCCATACATAAACAAAGCAGTGTTGCAAAATATCACACCTCAGTTGTATTTTATTTGTCAGTTGCCTCCGTCTAATAGTCTCATACAAAAAGGAAGCAAATTGTATTGTTTTTCACACTATATGTACAGCTGCTCGCGTTATAATATGTATTTTTTCTTTTTACATAACTCACGTTTGAAAGAAGCCCCCATCACGTGACGGACCCCACAGCTGCTTCACATATACCGGAAGTCGCCGCTGTGTCGTCACTTGCGAGCTACTATCATGTGATTGCTCGTCCAACGAGCTGCTGTTGACAGTAGCTGTGCTACCCCTTTTTGATGAAGCATTAATTTAAACCAACAGGAGAACATTCGTATGATAGTTGGAGAAGATAATTAGGCCCGTTTGTGACGGAGCAGAGGGAAGCGGGGTTGCGTCGTGTCGCCCCTCGGACGCGGACATGGGTTGCTGTTACAGCAACGAGAGCGAGACCACAGAGCAGGTAGTTAGCTAGTGGCTAGCCGTCCAAAACTCTCCCTACGGATATGACATTTGTTAATAGATTAAAAAAAAACATTCTTATTTTGTTTGTTTCATAAATGCATGTATTTGAGTGATGTGTAAAACGTTTAGTAGTCTTTAAAAAATATAGTAGTTAAAGTATTCTGACGCCTGCGTTAGCTTGGTAGTTAAAGCCTTCGGTGAAGGCCCGAGGCAGACTGGGGACAGTTTGACATACAACGTAATTAGAAGATAAACGTTTGTATATACGGACGCACCGGAAGGAAAAGAAACACGATTTCGAATAAAAACGTTACCTCACACGTCAGCTCACGCACAGTCCCTTTCAGGGTCAGCAGGACGTTACTTACGCTGTTGATTCATGAAAACAAACTGTTGTAAAGCTAAAAAGAGAACCTTGCATTAGCGTTAAATTACTAATAATTGCATTCTAGCACTCACACAAATATCGGAAGTGATTGATGTGCTGAACACTTTGGCCTTATGTCATATGACCATAGCCATTTTTAGTTTCGGAAGTCAGTTCTGCCTTGTTGCAAAATCTCTTTACTCCTGTGCATTTGTTGCTTGAACAAATAGTAGAATAGTTAGCCCCCTCTGTCGGCGTCATTCCCCCTCAAAATGCTGTTTCTGATGAACTCCATCAAATAAGTTGTGTTGTTCATATCAGTGCAGATTTGTTTTATTGATGGTGTAAGAATGGTAAATCAGAGTTTAGAGTATGCAAGGAGTGTAACAATATTGTATTATGGTGAAATGCATTGCAGTGGTTGGCTGTTAAGCTGATACCTCAGCTTGTTGTCACTTTGTTTTCTCTTAAAATAATGCCTTAAATGTTTATGTATGCAAGGGAGAAAACACTCTTGGGTAACACTACTTCATTATCTTATTTAATGTCATACATATTAAAACACATGGTTGCTTTATGTATTTAGTATTTGTCAGTGAGGCTAATTCTTCTGAAAGTAATTACTTACTACATAACTGTGACATAATTTCATGAACAGAAAACCATTTTTTAATGCTTACTCCCATTGTGATGGACCCGTACTAGGACCCTGATGAACGTAAGCCACTGATCCCCCACCCGAACCCTGTCAGCAAACCCCCAAATGGGACTGACTGGATCACTACTAGTGTCCCCTCAGCGAGGACGGACGAACAGGCCCTCCTCACATCCATCCTCACCAAGACAGCACAGTAAGACATGCAACCGTAGATGAGCCGGATTCATGCATGCGTTTCCTGATAAAAAGCCCTAATGGCTGTGCCTTTTAACAACCCGATGGTATCTCCTCTCTTTAAGGAATATCATTGATGTGTCAGCAGCTGACTCTGTCATGATGGAGCAGCACGAGTACATGGACAAAGCTCGGCAATACAGGTATGTGGGTCTGCAGTTGCGTAATACAATTTGTGGTTTTCTGTATTCGGGAAGGGCAAAGGTGCTCTCAAATCGCAAGATGGTTAAAAATAATTTGCTGAACTGTACATGTAGTTGGCTTATAAAAAACGCTTGGGTGTCATACTTGTTTGAGCCATATCTAATGATAAAAGTCAGGAGCTTTCACTGTGTTTTCTGATTATACTATATCTTACTAATTTAAAGTTCATGGAATGAGATCTTCTTTTTAATGACTTAAATGCTCTTAAAGAGTTTATGCAAGGGCAAGATTTGGTTGGTGTTTGCTCAGTTAAATGTGCTAAGAATTAAACCGTCCCGACACCAACCTGACAATGCAAGAAGGTGAGGGGGAAAATTACTGCACAAAGAATTGAACTTTAACTTTAAACAGCAGATACAATGACACCTAGCAGCAGCTGTGTTTGGTCTAAAGGGCAGGTGCTGAGATTGAACTGCTGTTTCTCAGGACACAACAACGAAGTAGAGCAGTCAAGGTGACAAACTGTTTGCAACTTTACTCTGGTGTTTTGTTTCAGCACAAAGCTGGCCGTGTTGAGCAACACTCTGCCCCAGAAGAAATCCCTCGCGCTCCCCTCGCTCACCAGCCAGCCCCACCAAGTGCTTGCGAGTGACCAGGTGCCATACTCAGATGTCCAGCAGGTAATGTCAGACTAGCACACGTGGAAGATATTTTGGCTTGTGATTCCAGCACCCACCGTAGTTCTTGTTGCTGTTGTTGGCTACATATAGCATCAGATAGATACTGCAACATGTGGGGGTGTGACTAAATGTGATTTGAAAATAGATCTTAAAGATATCAAATCCAAATCTGCTGTTGCTATTTTTGCCCACCTAGTAGTCTCATTTTACTTTCTGCGTATTGGTAATTTGAATAATTTTGCACACCCATAAACTCTTCTCTTTGCAGGTAGCCAAGATAGCAGCTTATGCTCACAGTGCAATTTCTCAAATCAAAGTGGATGCTAAAGAAGAACTAGTGGTCCAGTTTGCCATTCCCTGATTCTGCGACCCCTGACGCACACACTGTTCGTCCCATCCCGCTCTCTCTGTGTCACTTCTGCATCCTCGCCCTCCAGCCCATCCTTTCATTAAAGCCTCTTGGTTCTTGTGCTCCCTAGCTATGCCTCCAACTGCTATAAAGACAAGGACAATGTAGGATTGCACCCTACCGCTGTCTTCTAGTATGCTTTATGTGCGTTACAAGTTGTCAGCATGGCCGATGGAAGATGGTCGACTGTAGCTGGGCCATGCGTGCGTGCGTGTGTGTGTGTGTATGCTCTCATATTTACAACAACAAGGCCTCCCCTGTAAGTGGATCACAGACTTTGTCAGAACCAGCCGTGGAAAAATCATCTTTCATCTTTCTTGGTAAATTGCTCTTTAAAACGGTTTCCGGGCCGTCTCAGTATCTATATCCTGTTAGTTTCCTCAGCCTTTATACTCAGTCAGGCAAGGGTAGCTTAGCACCCCAGACTGTGATGGCATTGAAAAACACACCGTTTTCTTCTCGTGGAGAAGAGCTGTATGATGTTTGATGCATCATACAGCTTCACTATAGTCACTGAAAAAGGAGAAATTGGGAATATCTGTGGCATGGAACAAGGACCATAGATGAAAGGGCAATGGTTTGGTGTATTGACCATTTACTAGAATGAAAATGTCTAGTTCAAATGTCTTGAACTCTGTTCTTCTGTCCTTTTAAAACAATTTGGAAAAAGGCTGCCAGAAAAGTGACTGTTTAGAATGTTTTAATGCACTAGTTCAGATGTGTGCGGGTGATAGTTGACCATCAAACATCCCACTGTCATCTGGTGTCACCTCGCACTGAGATTCACATCCTGATACAACCTGAACACAAAACAGTAAACTAACCTGACATTGCACTGTAGTAATGTTTAAAATCTGACCGTGGTTATTAGCTGCCTGGTGTGTAGTCTGTAATTCCAGATGAAATCTAAAGGTAAATCATGAGTTAGCTGAGTGAGGATGCAAACACAAGCAGGAGGGTGCTGGGGAGATGGAGATGGAGCTGTCTCGGGTCACAAGCTGTCGGGTTTTACAGACATGTGTTTTCTATCACTAAACAAAAATGAGCAGGCAGACTTGAAATAACTCAATATTTAATAGCAGTGGAGGCAGACAGACAGACGGAGGGGGTTGATGTGTGAAGGGTGCAGTGACCGATATTGTATGTATTCATGCCGCCTTTGTACAGAATATTCTGATGGACTATAAAAACATGATGGCTTGTATGATGTTCCTCTTTTAGTAGAGTTGATTGTCAGGAATTGGCGAAGATCTTTTGGCGGTAAATAAATGTTTTTATCAAACGCAAGAAACCTTTTAAGGACTGCATCTGTTGGCTTTTAAACGAAGCTTTCTGCTGCAGATTGTAATATGATTGAGTTATTCCTTTTAATCAGAAACTAACCATTGTTGCAGTGTGGGTGAGCTCTTAACAATATATGTACCACGGCAGATAAAATTATCGGAGACCTTTTTGTGATTATTTATTTGTGTGTTGACTCTGGTGAGCCGCTCTGGAGCCTCTAAAGGGATGAGCTGCAAGGCCGTGATCAATCAAGCACACGGTCCATTTGAGCTTTTTGCAAAGGGTACTCTGCATTTCTTTTAGATGTGTAATATCTTTAGGCTAGTACCAAAAAGTTTTAAGATTTCTGTTTTGTTTTGTTTTAATTCATTAAAGTTTTTCAACATAACACAGGTGTCTTATAAAATCTTACATCCATATGCTGTTAACACCAAAGTGGTAGATTCAGTAATGAAACTTCATTAAGGTTAATATCCAGTGTGCTACACTTGAGATGCATGATCATTTATAAAGATATTACAGAACCCAAATCCATGTTTGAAACAACAAAATCAAATCATTCACAGACATCTAAAGTATGTCACGGCCACTATGGCGGGATGGCTCAGGGAAACTTCCTCCCTGTCACTTAAATGATCAGCAATAAAGTGTCTTAATGTAGTCTTTTATCATCTGTAAAGGGTTTCTTTGGACCATCCAATAATAAACTGTTAATCACAGCAAATAACAACAAAAAAGATAAGTGGCTGGTTTCACTTCAGATATACAAACACAATACATGAGGTTTTCCAGCAGCTGATTGAAGACAGCAGTACATTTGGGCGAAGCTGGTTTCAACAGACCACGACGGAGGCGAGTCAGCGGTCACTGGAGAGTCTCTCTGCTGCGTCTGTGGCTCTGAGACCAAATCTTAGCCATGACTCGCTCCTGGCGTGTCACAGCACTGAAGTCCATCGTCTTTAACCGAGGCAGAGCAGAAATCACGCGACTCCTAAATGCACAGAGACACATATTTATGCATCCTTCCTATGATTGAGTTCAAACTGAATGTGGAAAATTTACCGTATCTCCACATTACTGGTGCTACACAAATGCAAGACAATGTGATTCAATTTGAACCAATAAATAGCATCGACTCAAGAGGAACCAGCTCATTGGAATTCACGATCAACCAGCAGCCCCTCTGTGCGTTGGTTGTGACTGGTGTTGCTGTGCAGACTGCGTTGTGTACTGTAACATGAGCTTCATCTGCATTGCCAAGCATTCGTGGCTCTCACACTCACAATGCAAATGAACTAAGACAGTATTGCCTGGATAAACCCTCACTCTGCCCCCTTCTCCTGGGTGTGTGTCTGGGATAAATCTGAATGCAAAGTTCCCACCTGTAAGCTTTGTTGGTTTCTATCATATTTCCGTGCAGAGTGATGGTATGCAGACGTGGTAGCACTCCCAGCCTGTCCACCTCTGACAGAATAAAAAGCCCATTGCCGTGGAGATATAACACACGCAGTTCCAGCAGTTCGCACAAAACCTGGAACGCAAACACATACACACACACACGTGTTAGTTTACTATGAGAGAAAGAAGACAGCTACGCCACTGTGCAAGAAAACATGCTCACTTTATCTATGTGTGATATATTGTTGAAGGAGAGGTCCAGCCAGGCGAGCTGCGATGGCTCAGCCAGGAAGTGGCCAAAAGTCGCATGGAGGTCATGAAGGTCAGTGATGTTGTTGTTGTTGAGACGCATGGAGCAGCTCAGGTACTTCTTCTTTGAATTTCTCTTTAAAGGTCGCAGACTGCTGCTGGGTTCCTCTGTCCATGCATCTGAGAAATAAAAAATAAAAAGTACTGGCGCAAAGCTTCATTTTTATTTTTTCCTGAAATTGTATTTATAGTGCAAATTGTTTCAGTACCATAAATGTATTCATCAGTTAAGATGCATTGTTGGCATTAAGACGTCCACTCTGTTTTTATTCTTTTGATTGATTGAAGTGTTTTTGTTTTTTCCATTTTTAGAGAAGATTACCACAATACAAGCAAATACACTGATCAAAGCTGGAATTATATTATAAAGTATACGAAAAGCAAAAGCAAACACTTTGAGGAGGCTGAAAAAACTGAGAGGAATAAGATAATGTACTACCTGACAAACTGCTGAAGTGTTTGAAGGATAAATCCACTGGAGCTCCGTTCATGTTCCTATAGATCCACAGAAAAAAAGTCCTAATTCGACCTGACTTGTTGTAACTGACTTACCTCCATTCGTGACATTTCACAAATATCCTCTATTTTACAATAAACTACGGGATATTATAATACCAACACGCTCTAGAAACCCGTGTTTCGACGTGGCTGAATCCACATCTTACCTGTTTAAGTGACAACAATGCGTAGCCTAGGAAACGTACAGGTAGGTTATGGGATTTGTAGTGAGGGTTTATATACTCTTGCTAGATCGTGTTTATATAAACAGATGACAACTAAAATGCATTTGCCTATAAAGCTTTTATACAATATGAACATAATTCATTTCATATTTAAAACAAATTGGCTCGTGAACGTGTAATTTATGTGCGACGTTTCACTCGTATGATCACATTTCCTCTCCGGCGTACACCGAAATTCAACTGGGGGGCGGAGTCAGGAGTCAGCGCTTGTTTTAGAACCGGTTTGATTAGTGCATCCTGACTGAATCTGACAGAAACAAACGTTTTACTGGATTTTGAACTGTATTTGTTCGTTGTTTGGGTTTATTTGTTATTTGTTCCTTTAAAGCGAAGTGAACTGGCCACGGCACCCACCGGGATAAAAAAAGAGTACATTTATTGTACTTCCGGCTTTTAAACCAATCCGCTTTCCTTATTTTTTGACGCGTCTATGTGTGAATACGGATTGGCTGATTCAATCTTCAGCCACCCTTTTTGAATTTTGTCTGTTCCAGCATGCGACTGTTTATTTCGTAGCCGTAGGTTCGTGTGTAGAGACGTATGGGCTTTTCATAGAAAGAAGCAATACTTTGCCGGAGTCTTAAAAGGTCAGTCACTGCCGGAAAGCAACAAATGTATTACGGTTTGTGTTAATTAATTAACTAACATTCGAAGGTTAACGTTCAGCTAACGTTAGCGTTACTGTAACCATCGACCGTTGGTTAAATTGAGAGTACCGTAATGCTATATTTTCTAACACTAATACTTTCTAACATTAATGCTACTAATGCTTTCAGTTGGCAAGTTAACTGTAGTTCACGTTAACTGAAACTGTTGTCGATGGAAATAACTTTTTTGTGACATGTTTATATGTGCTGGCTTGACACGGCTAACTTAACGTCAGTTAGCTGACCGACTTTTTGGGGGCTTTGTATTTCTTTTGCTTCCAGGTTGAAATCCCTTTGAGATAAAGGTTCAGCCAAGATGACGATCAACTTGGGTGTTAAGGCTCTTCTCGGCTGGGTAACTTGATAGCAACGCTCATTTTATTGTGCAACAAATATCTACTCGAGCAAAGCTCGAGGTTAGATGTTATTGACGCGTGTAACATATTTAACAAATGTCTCTTTTTGCAGGTCAACGCATTAAAACTGTCAAACCGTGAGATCGCTATCGACGATTTGAAAGATGGGACAATCCTCCTGAAAATTGTTTGTATGCTGTAAGTAGAATGTGTTGAAATGCTTATGCTCTGTAAACGGGGAACGGACAATGACTGTTGCGCTTCATTTTAAACATGCTTCTCCTCTTGGTGTTTGTGCAGCAATGCAAATGTTTATTCTAGTTTCACCTTTTTGTGTCATCTCAGGAAAAAGGAATCCAACTCCCACTTCAGTAATTCCATTGAGGAACGATTCAAGCTCATTGCAGACTTTCTGGAAAGTGAGTTTGCCTATGCGACCTTTTTAAAACATCCCGGTTGGGTGCGGTCTGAAGTTCGCCCTCCTGCACCTGTAAATATTCACAGACAGTGATTAGAAAACACGCCCTGCGCGCTGGCTTTTCTCATTTTCTCAACAAGTCTCACAGTTAAAGAGAGATGTTTCATATTTCATTATTGTGTTCCTTTGAAAACTACATTTTGTATGTTTATTTTGTCCATTAGGGGATTGCAGATTTTGTTCAACCAAAGGAACTTCATTATCTTGGGACAACATAAAAGATGGTGTCAACCTAACCGTAGAAATTGCAAAGGTACAAGACAAAATAAAGATTATTTAAGCCTTAAGTAAAAGCTTAAGACAAACAAAAACAAAGGCCCCCTCTAACCTATTCTTTCTGAAAACACCAGGTGCTTCTGTTGCTCGTCTATCACGATGTCATGAATGACCGCTTCACTCTCAATAAGTTGGAATGCGACGTGGAGGTAAGCATTCCCTGAATTTCCTTCATCGGATATAGTGCTATCAATAATTCTGTGCTGATTTTTATATATATATATATATATATATATATATATATATCTACTCTCACCCGTTAGCGAGAGATAGCAAACCTAACTGGTTCCTTTGTGATGGAGAGCAACGGATGCGTTTATTTGAGCAAAGGACTGGATGCCAATTTGACAAGGAAACGTAAGTCAAATATTTGTTGACTTTTTCCTTACTTCACGCCATAATAATATACATTAGTGTTGCACGCCTAATGCTGTTCTACAACACTGGTTTTTCGGTTTGCAAGCTGGGAAATTTGTCCAATCATGTTTCTCCACAAATTTCAGATTTGCCTGTCGCCCGTGAAATATTTGAGAGATCAGCAACCACTTCAACCTCCAATGTGTCGACCATCTCCTCCTTTTCAGAGGACGATTCTCCGGTCTTCCTCCGCACACAGAAAATCACTTTTGTTGACATGCAAACTGTGGCTTCCACCTCAGTCAGGTACCAATGTGCTGGAATGCTTTCAACACAGTTCTTATCATGTATAGCAAATGTAAAATAGTAGGGGTGTAACGATTCATTTTAACTTCGATTCGAATCGCGATTCATGGTTGCCGATTTGATTCATGGACGATTTGGGTTAATTTAGAACGATTCGATTCAGTGACTTTAAATCGATTCAGTAACTTTACTGGACAGTGCATGCAAAGTTACCGCGATCCCTGTTGTTTCTTGTAAGGAAATCGGGTTTAAATTAATTATGGATATTATAAACAAGCAAACAACAATTAATGGCAAATGTATTAACTTTTTATTTGAATCAAGAGCAGCCATTTTCAATGTAAACATTACACAATAATTACACAATGTTAGGATAAATTCACAGAACCCCGGATTTTCAACCACATTGTAGGGTCTCATGTCTTTACAGATAAACTTGGCAATTGTTACTGTGATGTTGAGTTTGGTGCTGGCGAGGCCTGAGGTGTCTGCAGACCTGGAGTTACCTGCTGCTGCAAATTTTTGTTTACTGGTACCAAAACTTCGATTGGGATATTGATCAAACCCTGTTACCAGTCACTTTTCACCTTAAAACATTTGTCTCCTTTGAAAGACCTTCAGACAGAGAGGATGAAAGCCTGCAAATTTATTTCATATAAAGCTGAAATCTTTTTTCTGCCAAATTGGCAAACTTTATAAGGTTCTGTTCAATGCAAATTATCTGCTTCTATCCCCACAGCAGGTCTCCTCTGCAGGATATCATGAACACGCCTAAATTTCAATTGAGGAAGTTGCAACGTCAGATGATCAAGGAGAGAGACTACAGAGACGGGTTGGAGAAGGAGCTGGCCAGCAAGCTTGCACTCATTGCACAGAGAGGTACCAAATTCAACTGGTTTTCTCATTTCTATTATCAACCTTTTTGTGCTTTAGATTCAATGTTTCTTAAGACTTTTGTAGATGCTTTTTTGTCTTTCTTTGAATTGAAGTTTATCCTTCATTTACTTTGTTTTCTTCAGAGTCCCATATTAACCAGTTGCAGTATCGCCTGGATAAAATGAAAGAAGAGCAAGGTGATCAGGATAATGTCATCAGGGAACAGCTCAATGAGCTTCAGACCAAGAACAACACGTAAGCATGAAGGACAGTGATAAGGACTATTTATTTATTTAATACATGAAAAAGCAAATAAGATGTTCACATCAACAGTGTGTGTGTCTTCAGCTAGAGTTTGCAAATCATATTTAAATCTACAGGCTGTAATATCTCCCCCTTTAAGCCACCCTAAGGGTAGTTTAAAGCTTTGAAAGGAACAATCACTAAAGTATAAAACCTTTCTGTTTTAGGTTAAGCACTCGTCTAAATGAGATGTTAAAGCAAAACAAAGACTTCAAGATTAACTCCTCACTTATGGAGCGCAAAGTGGATGAGCTGTCAGATGAAAACGGTGAACTCTCATCCCAGGTAAACGTTTCCTCCATTAATGCAGTCTCTCAGTCATGGACCAGTTGTATATCCTTGAAAGAGTCAACATTATGAGCAGACGTGTTGGTAAAAAAAAGTCAACAAAGTCCTGTGAACCTATTAGTGCATTTGGGATCTGTGCACGTCCCAGTGGGGTCGACGGGTAGTAAACCTTTCACATGACTGAGTCACAGGTTGGAATCAAAACCTTCCACGAACACGTGTCGTGAGTAAATGCTTCCTTTTGATGTCTTTGCAGGTGAGAACTGTGCGTTCACAGCTGGCTCTATTTGAGGCAGAAGTTGGGAGGCTGAATGAAATCCAAGCATCCACTCGGGAGGAGTGGAGAAGCAAAACAGTTCACCTGCAGTCTGAGCTGAACCAAGCTACTACTCAAAAGGTAGATACATCGTCACAAGAGAAGCGAGAAACCGCTTTGGATTTGTTCCATCATGAACTCTCCAGGTTGTGTCTACTAGAACTAAATGAAATCATGTATTTTGCTCTTTTTCCATTACTCTGATTAATTACATTTTTTTCTTTAATGCAATATGCTATTCTTTGCTTCTCAGGAGCTGCTGACTGAACAGATTCATATCCTGCAGGGGTAGATTTCCTGTTTTGGAGGATGATATACTCCGAGCTCACCGAGGCACAGGTAGGAAAGAACAATGGTACCTGTAATATAGGTAATGGATTAAATGATGAATTTCACAAAAGCTTCTTGATCAGATGTGATCCATCTATTTAGCATTAAATGGCTACTAATTGTGTTCTTGTCTTTGATTTATAGAGAGAAATGTATGACACTGAAATCAATGGTTTGAAGAACGAGCTGGAGAGCACATATGGCTCCCTGAAAAAGGCCGAGGTGGAGATTGAGGCCAAAACCCAGCAGCTGGTAGAATATCAAAAAGAAATGATTCAACAAACAGAGATTCTAAAGCAACACAAGGTCCAAACTGAGGAAATTATTAAAGCCAAGGATGACCTTATAGAAAAATTAAGAAAGGAGATCAATGAGCAGAGAGCAGCCATTCAGCAGGAGATCCAGGATCTTAAGATTCAGCTGGAGCAAGTTGAGCAGCAGAAAAGTGAGCAGATGACCAGACTACAACAGCATATCGCTGCATGTGAAAACGAAATTGAAAAACTAAAGGAAATTAAGAAGGACAAGGAAGGCCTTCTTCTCCGTACTGAGGAGAATGTGAAATGTCTTGAGACTAAGCTATCTGCTGCTAGTTGTCTCTTGGCCGATAAAGACCAACAAATTAACAGTCTCAGAAAAGAAGTTTCGGTCCTTACAGATAAAACTCAAAACCACACAAATGAGATTCAAACTAAAGAGGAATTGCTCGCCAGATTACTTTTGGAGAAGTCTAACGATCAAGGCATTTTTAGCCTGAAGATCCAGACCTTATCGGTCCAGGTGGGAGAACTCAGCTTGTCTCTCAAACAGGCCGAGCAGGAAATACAACTAAAGCAAGAACAATTGGCTAAAACCCAACGAGAGAATGTCCAACAGAGAGAGGTGCTCCAACAACAGATTGTAACCTGCAAAGAGGAGGTTCAAAAGTTAAGTGAAGAGATGCAGGTAAAAAACCAGCAGCTTAGTGTTCTAAAGAAGGAAAGCTCTCAACAGGTTGAATCGCTGGAGCAAGAGATTACCGCTCTGAAGGGCCAGCTGGAACGTTTGAATGAATCTCTCCGAAAGGCTGAAGGTGAAGTTCAGGCTCAGAAAGTTCTGCTTACAAAGCAAGAGCAGCAAAGTGCTCATCAGACTGATGCCTTGCATCAGCAACTATTGGCTTCTGAAGAGAGGGTGAGGATTGCGAAGCAGGAGATCCAGACTAGAGAGGAACAGATGACCATGTTGAAAAATCAATGTTCACAGCAGTCCGAACTTCTACATCAAGAGATACAAGAGTTAAAGAAGGAGATCGAGCGTCTTGGTTCCTCACTGAAGGATGCAGAGGACACTTTGCAATCCAAAGACCATCTGTTTGCTGAACAACAGCTACAGAGCACTCGTGACGTGGAGTCCCTCCAGTCCCAGATGGTAGCAGCTCAAGAGGAGGTGCAGAGACTTAATACAGTGGTTCATGCTAAGGAGGAGCAACTAATCCTCCTGAAGACTGAGACCACTACGCACTCTGAATTGTTACAGCAAGAGATTGAAAGTCTGAACAAACGTGTAGAAAATGTGACCAATTCTCTTGAGGTTGCAGAGAACCAGGCTCAAGCCAAAGAAGACCTGATGGCCCAGAAGGAGCAGGAAAGCACATTGCAGATGGAGGTACTTGGAAAGCAAAGTGCTGCTCTTGAAGAGGAGGTGAAACGGCTGAGGGAGGAGATCCAAACTAAAGAGGGCGAGGTAGACCTGTTAAAGGCTGATAGTTGCAAAGAGTCAGAAGTGCTTCAGAACGAGATCCAAAGTCTAAACAGCAGAGTCCAGATTTTGAATGAATGCTTGAAGAATACAACGGAGCAGCTTCAGGTTAAAGAAAACCTTTTGACTCAGAGAGAAATGGAGATTTCTGAAGAAAAGGACAAATTTGTAAGCATGATCACCACCTCTGAAGAGGAGGTGAGAAACCTTAGAGATCAGATCCAGACTAAAGAGGAACGACTGGCCACTCTAGAAAGAGAAGGCTCCACACATTCTGACCGGCTGCAGCAAGAAATTGAAAGTGTAAAATCCCAACTTGCTAATATGGCCGAGTCCCTCACAAAGGCTCAGGAGGAGGTTCAAGCTCAGGGTTTAAGGTTTACCCAACAAGAGCACGAGACTGCTCATCAGAAGGAGCTTCTCCAGCAGCAACTTTCATCATCTGAGGAAGAGGTGAAGAAGATGAAAGAGGAGATCGAAGCTAAGGAGGATCAGATGAGACTGCTGAAGACTGACTGCTCTGTGCAGTCAGATTTGATTCAAAAGGAGATGCATGAGTTAAAGAAGGAGATTGAGCGTCTTGGTTCCTCACTGAAGGATGCAGAGGACACTTTGCAATCCAAAGACCATCAGTTTGCTGAACAACAGCTACAGAGCACTCGTGACGTGGAGTCCCTCCAGTCCCAGATGGTAGCAGCTCAAGAGGAGGTGCAAAGACTTAACACAGTGGTTCATGCTAAGGAGGAGCAACTAATCCTCCTGAAGACTGAGACCACTACGCACTCTGAATTGTTACAGCAAGAGATCGAAAGTCTGAACAAACGTGTAGAAAATGTGACCAATTCTCTTGAGGTTGCAGAGAACCAGGCTCAAGCCAAAGAAGACCTGATGGCCCAGAAAGAGCAGGAAAGCACATTGCAGATGGAGGTACTTGGAAAGCAAAGTGCTGCTCTTGAAGAGGAGGTGAAACGGCTGAGGAAGGAGATCCAAACTAAAGAGGGCGAGGTAGACCTGTTAAAGACTGATAGTTGCAAAGAGTCAGAAGTGCTTCAGAACGAGATCCAAAGTCTAAACAGCCGAGTCCAGATTTTGAATGAATCCCTGAGGAATACAACGGAGCAGCTCCAGGTTAAAGAAAACCTTTTGACACAGAGGGAAACAAAGATTTCTGAAGAAAAGGACAAATTTGTAAGCATGATCACCACCTCTGAAGAGGAGATGAGAAACCTTAGAGATCAGATCCAGACTAAAGAGGAACAACTGGCCACCCTAGAAAGAGAAGGCTCCACACATTCTGACCGGCTGCAGCAAGAAATTGAAAGTCTAAAATCCCAAATTGCTAATATGGCCGAGTTCCTCACCAAACAAGAGCATGAGAGTGCTCATCAGACCGAGCTTCTACAGCAGCAACTGTCTTCTTCTGAGGAAGAAGTTAGGAAGATGAAAGAGGAGATCCTAGCTGGAGAAGAACAGATGCGACTGTTGAAGACTGACAGCTCGGCGCAGTTGGAATTGCTCCATTCAGAGATTCAAAGTTTAACGGTCCAGGCGGAGACTCTTTGCTCCTCGCGGAGAAAAACCGAGGAGGATCTGCAAGCCAAGGAAACAATCGTAGCTCAACAAGAGCAGGAAATTACTCAACAGAGGGAGGCTCTCCAAAGCCTACAGGAGAAAGTCAAACAAGTGGAGGTTCTGAAAGTACAGATTTCTTCACACGAAGACGAGGTTAAAAAGCTCAAGGAATTTGAGAGTGAGAAAGCGAGTCTCCTCCTCAATGCTGAGGAAAAGCTTCGGCTTCTCCAGACAGAGTTGTCTGCAGCCAACAAACTCGTAACCGATAATGAACAAAATCTGATCACTCTCAGAGAGGAGGTTGCCGCACAAGCCGACTTAGTTCAAATTGCTAAAGAGGAAGCCGAAGCCAATGAGAAAAATCTGGCGGAGTTGAAGGCTAAGTGCACCAACCAAAACGATGTTCTTCAACACGAGATTCAGTGTCTGAAAGGGGAAATGGAAGACACTTCTCTGAAGCTTCTGGCTGAAGAGCAGATGTTACTTGAAACCCAGCGGGAGTCTGCCGAGCAGATCGACGTCCTCCAGCGGCAGCTCGTCTCCACGACTGCAGAGCTGAAACGCTACGAAGAGGCAAAAGCGGCAGAACTCTCGCTGAAAGAGGCTGTTCACGCCGCCACCATTAAGGAAAAGGAGGCGCTTGTTCAGGAAAAAGAAGTCCTCATAGCCAGGCTGTTCCAGGCAGAAGACAATCGGAAAACTCTGGAGAAACAACTGGAAGTCACGTTGAATGAGAAGGAGAGACTTCATCAAGCCAAGGAGGCCACGGAGCGAGAGAACGCTGCCTCCCGTCATTTAGAGTCCGTGCTTCATCAGGAGCTGGAGGGCTTGAAACTGGAAAAAGAGAAACTCGTGAAAGAGAAAGAAAAGGCAATTGAGATGCTGAAGGGAGACCTGCAGGAGCAGCTCTCCGCTAAATCGGAGGCCGCGGAACACTACAAGGCTCAGGTTAGTCAGATAACAATGGGGGTTCGGCACTTTTAATATCAAACTTGTTTGCAGTCAAAGGATTGATTTACATAATTTCCCCTTGTCGTTACTTACCGTTTCATGCGCAATTTTTTTTCTGCTTGGTGTCCGATGAGACTCGAGCTAAGGTTTGTTTTTATCGTCAACAACGCCACAGATGGAGAAGGCCGTTAGTCATTACAACGGAAAGAAGCAGCTTCTCCAGGAAAGCCACGGCGAGGTGGTCGAACTCAAGCATTCCTTGGAGGTTAAAGAGCGAGAAGTCAAGGCTGCTACCATGGAAAACCAGCTGCTCATACTGGATTTGGACAAGGCCCAAACCAACGAGAAGGCACTTCTGAGCAGGGTGGCCAGTTTGGAGGCGCAGGTTGGTAATGTGAGATCTGAGACGCTGTAAATTATTGTTTTAAAATATAAATAAACCAGATCGAAGGACGTTTTCGGCTGCTGACCTGTATCTCTTTGCTTGGTCTTCCTTTTAGCTGGCTTTTGCAGACCGTAACCTGCGGGAACAGAACAAGATTCACGGTAACGGAAGAAGTGCAGCGGAGTCGTGCTACCTGGAGGTCCCCTTCGCTCTACCGAGTGTGGACACGAGAGCACCGGTGAAGAGAACCATCAGCTCTGACAGCCTGGACCAGAGCTCTCTGGAAGACTCTCTGAACACCACAAGGTACTACACCTCTCAGATACTTAGCGCGACGTCCTTCAGGACTGCAGCTATTTTATCATGTATGTAAAGGCAAAATACAGAGTTATAAAAGTCAGTTTAAAGATTTTTAATTTTTTTTTCTGGGATTATTTTCTAATCAATTGTTTGTTCTTCGCGTATTTTCACTCTCAAAAACATCTCTACCGGCATCAATTATTCATATTATATGACGTTCTGCAAGAAGATCTTTTCTGTGTTAAAACTTATTTTGGTTTGGTTTCACCCACATTTGAGTTAAACTTTTTAAGTTTAGTTTTAAAGATTTGCTAAGAATCATAGTTTCTCACCCAGAATAGATAATAATTTAAGATTTTATTATGATGTTTTGAGTTAAGAAACAACATTTCAGTCAAACCAGCTCTTTTTAATCTGTTAATCTGTAATTATGGACCTATGTCCGAATAATATCTCTGAAAATTTGATTTTTTTACCTCTTCTTCTGGTCTCCTCAAAAGTAAAAGTAAAAACCATAAAATCATAACTTTAGAGGCATATTCGCAGTATATTCTGATTGCAATCATGCACACTAACTATTCATCACCTTTGCAGGAAACTTTCAGAGCCCGACGAATCGAGCACACCGTTTGTCCGCAGTTCAGAGCGATTGGCAGCGAAACGCAGAGGTTTAAAGGCCGAGTCTCTGGAAACCCTGTACTTTACACCGATAAACACCAGACAGGTCAACAGGTACGTCACACAATTTCACGTAATCCAGATTAATTTCTGCAATCATTAAAATTATATTTAAAACTGTATTGGGTGTGATTGCAAATCAATCCTCTTTGAGCCCATTTAAAAATCTTGATTGGTTGAAATTATAATCAATCATTAGTAGCCCACCTTAATTTATTCCATCTAGAATTCCTTTATTTAAATGTAGGTACAATAGAAGTAACAGAATCCTTTTTTTTTTTTGCTGCTCTTAATATTGTGATGTTTGTTTTCTTTTGTGTTGCCTAGAGAGCACAAAATGGAGATGGATTCGGCCCAGAGAAATCCATCTTCATCCGTCAAACGACGAAGGACCACTCAGGTTATTAACATCACCATGACCAAGGTGGAGGATTCTCACTAACACACTGTTCACATTAACACACACGGTTGGCTTTGGATTATTTGTGTATTTTTAAGATTCCAGCTGACTCTTAACATTGTCGTGCTCTGTTTTAACCATCCTGCTATAACTATAATTGTGATTCAGGAGCTCTGCGTAGCCTCTCAAGTCGTTGAGTGCTGCAGCCAGTACACTTTTACAAACACCCATTTGCAGTTCCATTGTAGCCGTGAGTGATTGTCCAACTCTTATTGTAGAAAACCCCAGGCGGCGGTGAGGATGAAGAGAGTTTCTACAGTCTGGCCCCAGCTCGCTCCCATCCGAACCTCAACGGTGCCCGACCCGCCTCTCTGGAGCTGTTCGACACACCTGCCAGGATGACCGGCGCTGCCAGCGACCAGCTCATCGGTCTTCCAGGCTACAGACGCAGCACGGTCCACTTGCAGAGTAAGTTCCCAACTGTATCTTTAAAAAAAGGTACATTTAGGGGACGTATCTACTAATTAGTAACTCACAAATGGGAATTGATCTCAGATGGGTATTGCAGTTGGTGGGTATGTAACTGTCTTTTCTACACCTGTTGTCTTCAGCCGGCAGCACGTTCTGTGCGGGGGTAGAGAACGAGCCCGAGGGGGCCCCGGAAGACTGGAGGAGGATTGCTGAACTCCAGGCCAGGAACAAGGCCTGCCTTCCTCATCTTAAGAGCAGCTACCCTGTGGAGTCTGATGTTAGTACAGGGGGGGCACTTGCATGCACACTGAATATGGCAGGAATACAGTCACAAATGTATACTAAAGGATTAGTTACAATAGTGTAAATATAAAGAAACAATGCACAGGGGATTGTTTTGGTCCCTAAAACCATATTCTACGTGACTCAAACCTCAAACCGTTTTGATGGTTGACCACCTGAGCAGGCAAATCGTTGCACAAATCCCTAGTTTAAGCATGGTAAATGGACTGCATATATAAAGTACTATCATCCAAAGCGCTTTACAATTTGCCTCTTGTTCTCACACACACACACACACTTGTGCAATGCAGCTAGTTAGCCCGCATTTGGCTAAAGTGGGTTCAGTGTTTTACCCTTCCCCAGAATATTATAAAATCTTAAGCCTGAGAGGTTTTTAGTGTGTGTTAGTTGCACTTTTTGCATTGTTTCTCCCCACACTTGTGTCTTATGAAATCTCTCTCTGTTCTCCTAGACCGGCCGCACCACTGCATTCCTTTTCACGGACGAGGAACTCCGCATGGGTGACCCGTCTGACACGATCCGTCGGGCGTCCACGATGCCCGGCCAGCTGCAAGACTCTCTCACCTCCCACCGGCACTCCCTGATGCTGGGACACTCTGGCGCCGCCGCCGGTACTCGCTCGCACCGTCTGTCCTTGATGCCGGGCCAGTTGCCGTCCAATACCGTCAGCTACTCTCAGCTGAGAAGCCCCACCGGCGCCAAACGCTCTGCATCTACGTTGTCTGTCCATCAAACTTCACCCGAGGTGGGTTCGCAACAGACTGCGCAGGAATATTTGTGGCTTCTGGTGTAACTAAATGGTTTAGCTTGACTAAAGCTAAACTTGTATAATATTAATTTGTTGAATGACCATTAATCTGAAATCCTTTGTCTTTCCCTTTTTCTTCATCTGACAGAAAAAGGTGAAGGCCAGCTGCTTCCCACGTCCACTCACTCCCAAAAACAAGATCAGCGGGCCTTCAAGTGCTCATCTGCGCCCTGCCCTCAGTCCAGTGAGTTCTAATACACAACAAGAAAATTCTAGTCAATTGCAAACAGAGATGATGAAAAGATTAATTCATTCATGTTTCACTTATGTTATTTTCTCAGGCTGGTCGGAGGGAGTCTATGATGTTCAGTATTGAAAACACTCCTAAAAACAGCAACTACCTAAAGAAAGGGCTGAACAAACTACGCAGCTCCACTCGGAAATCTCCGGGCAAAAGTTCAAAGAAGTCGCCCGCTGAGACATCGGCACGTAAGTGCCAAGAAAACGTTCCCTCGAGAAATGTCCGCACTGGAGTGGTACGAGCGGGCAGAATTGTCAGCTCGAAGTCTCCCCAGGTGGCATCGAAAGGACAGAGAACCGCCAGCAGGTCTGCAAAGTCTCCTCTGACGGCTAGTGCTCGCAAGGTAAAAACGCACACCGACAAAACCATTCCCAATATAACCGTAGGTTGTAGGAAAAGTTGTCGTTTTTGGTTCCGGTGACATTAACATTATTTTACTTCCTCAGTGTTACTTTACCGTAACAGCGGTTTTATCCACACATATACAAGTGTACCTTTTACACTTAAATATTTCTGAATTTGATAGAAACTACCGGAGTCTGTCCCTCACTAATGAAACAAAACAACATGCTTCTGAAGAGATCTTGCTTTAAATGTGCTCAGTCTTTACATCTTGTAAACGGATTTCAGAATTTGGCATCGGTCAAAGAAGAAAATCTTGCTGGAAGTCTTAAAAGGTCATTGAATGAATTCATACTTTGACTGTGGGTTAGATTCTTTACACTGGCTTATGTCCTCACGTTTTGCCATAGTCACTAACGGTGGTTACATTTCAACATGGTGTCCACACTGATGTTTCACAAAACACTAACAGAATGTGATTTCCACTTTTACTTAATGTAATATTGTGTACAAATGTTTCTGTGAGCTTTGGTTAATTTGATTTCTTGATTCTTTTTTTTTTTTTTTACTTCACAGATGATGAGCAAGTTGAAGGTGTGAGGACTGATTCCCAAATTGGATTCATAATTGTCTACAGTTTTTCTTGATTATATCCCCCTACCCCCTCCACGATGTTCTTATATTGTTGTCCTTCAGGGCTTCTTATAATCTTTTTTTAATTTACTTTTATTTCCTCTGTATTATATTTACATGTTTGTCAATAAAACGATTTTAAATGGCTCACTTTGGAAAAGTCTACTTGTTGATTCTTTTATTAGAGTTTTAGTGGCTGGAGTGAGAGAAGAAGAAAAGGTGTCGTGATCTTCGCAATAAAACATCTTCGATGTGACGTAACAAGTCTTGGCCAATCAGTGTTAAGATCTCTACAGCGTCTTAATTTCCCCTCGAACCTAAAATTACCGCCGAAACTGGATTATTATTAGTACTTTTACGTGTTTCAGCGCAATCTATGCTCTTGATCAGATCAATGTTGGTCAGTAAAATGAAAAGACCGTAGTTCTAAAAGCGTGTCTCATTAAACGACGTGGAGGTGGCGTGGCGGCCAAACACTAACTATGCACGGTCTCAGCCGTGAATGAATTGTAATCTTAATCTTTACTACATCCATTCTTTTGGCAAATGATAATACCACGTGAATGCCTGCGTATTGTGAAACCGTTTAACTTCCCGGTATGCGTTTACCTTCGGAATAAAGGGAATATATTTGGGTTTTGAAGTTTTAGTATAGGTATTAAACCGTTGCACCTTGGAAATGGATTAGAAATTCCGTGCAACGAATGAATCATTTAAAAATACAAACGTATTTTATGTATATGTATACACTGCACAATGTTTGTTGGAGAATGCGCCAGTATGAGTCATTTTGTACATACTGATCTGATGAATCCCACGGATTAATGTTTGTCGAAATTATGCTTTTATTTCGAAGTGGACCGGAAGCGGAACCACGACGAAACACTCTGACCAGGAAACGAAACTTCGAGCCGACGGAAAGAAAAGGGAATAAGTTCAAATCGAGGGCCGGTGATATGATCTCACCGTTTTTAGATCGTTCCATTTATATTCATTATTTGCTGGTAAATGTTTATTTCTAACTTGGTCATTTATTCGTAAACACACCGTGTAATCTCACGTGTATACTACGTTAAATGATAGCATGACAGCATTGGTGGAGATCAACGGCCTTTATTCTACTTCCTTTAATGTCTGTTACGGCAAAAGTTATGGCGATAAGTAGTATGTAACGTTACGTGAATCCGTTCCACAGCTCGTGTGTGTGAGTAAATAGCTGCCAGAGACATGGACCCGAACGCTGAAGTTGAAAGGTGGGTGTTGCTTCATCCCATTTTGCCAGCGGCGGAGAACTTAACTGCCATCTTTAATTGCGTCACCGACACTTGACACGCAAAGTCACCAACTACTAACTTATTGGAACCATTTAAAAAACGTGTCATGACTTAACTTGCATATGAACACGCATTCTTTTCCCCCTTCAGGATTTTTAGGCATGAGAATGGGGAGAATGGGGAGGAGGAGGTGGAGAGGTGGAAGAGGCCTCCCTCCAGTTATGGCTCAATGAAGAGTGACATTGAAGGGATGGAGGAAGGTGGAGATGAAAAGGTGGCCCAGGAGGCCTTTGCCGTGCCGTTACCAGTGGGGCTACCTGGATCGTCTACTCGTGGGGGCACAGGGTACTGTGCATCTTGGTTTCATATTGTATTATTACGTTCTCTATAAATTGTATGTATATATATGTATATATATTTTGTATGTAAATGTCACTATGAATAAGTTCCAGATTCACTGTATCATCTACTTTTTTGTGTGTGCAAGGAACAGTGAAATATTAACACCCCACATTATGCCTGAGAATAAACAATGCCACGCGTTTCCCATATGAACTGATCTAGTAGAGCTGTTCAGCTGCTAGAGGTGTGTTTTTGTGCAGATAGTACTGGCCTGCAAATTAAAATGTGAAGCCCGTTCAACATTTCCTCTGCCTTTCAGTGACTTAGGGGGGGGGATGTTGTCCCTACTCTTCTGTCAGGTTGCAGATGAACCGCCCAGCTTCTCCAGAGACCCACTACACTATGACGACGCAGCAGACCAGAGCACCGGGAGCAGTTTTTGACACCAAGTGAACACACACACACACACACACACTAATGCTGATAATCAGTGGAAATGTAGTTTGAGATGAGTCACAATGTGAAAAAGCAACCAGGTCTTCCTTATTTGCAGTGCCTTTTTCTCACAGCTCCTCCTGCTGTCTTGCAGGTCTGCAGATCTGGCGGATTTTCTAGAACACTATGACGATGAGGAGGTGGAGAAGGATGAAGATGATAATCATTATAAGGATTATGAAGATGATGAAGATGATGAAGATGAAATGTTAGAAACCAATTCCCCAGAACCACCAGAGCCTGTTGAACCAGAAGACACAATGCAGGTCGATGAGAACAGCCAGCCAGGTAGACTGCACCCAGAGCAGGACCTGCCTCACATATTCAAGGTCGGTGCATCACAGTTGGTCTGTGAAACTTAGTGTTTTCCTTTCTTAACACAAGTCAAGACAAGTGGAATATTCTTGATTATGGTCCAAAGAGTAACATGTTAACGTGCGTCTCTCTGTCTACAGAGTATCCAGAGTTCTCTGACAGGGTTCAAGGAGGAGGAGCTGTTTACGTTTATGATGGACTTTTGCCAGTGGGAACTAAAGGTAACACGACAGCAGATGATGGAGGGAGACCTTCTTGATTCTGTGGACAAGATGCTGGAGATACTTGGTAAGTAAAAAAAGTCATAGTATAAACCTGTAAATGGTACAAATGGAGCTCAAAATTTAGAGAAGTACATTTTGACTGATGGGATGGCAGCTGCGAAGTAGCTTTGTGAGCTCGTTAAATTTCTAGCTCGAACAAAACTCTGACATCTGTCACCTCGAGTAAATATTGTTCTATTTAAAGTCAAATGCGTTAACAATACAACTCTATGTTGTAGAGAGACTGGTGTGCTGCCACATGTTTTTTATTTTTGAAATTCTGTTCTGCAGGCCAGGATCGTGCTCTTTTGCACACAATAAGAACCCTAGAAAATATCAACAAAAAAGAAGAGGCAGACGAACTGAAGAATACGTGCAGGAGAGGCAAGTAAACTCTGGTTCCATCTCAACACACAGTCCAATGTTAAGAATGCTGTGGCAGCGCTTTTGACATTGCTATTATTTGCTCTCACAAAGTTATTTGTTACGTGTGTGTGTGTGTGTGTGTGTGTGTGTGTGTGTGTGTGTGTGTGTGTGTGTGTGTGTGTGTGTGTGTGTGTGTGTGTAATGGGTCTTAAGTTACTCAGCAGAGATGAAAAGAGTTAAAATTATTTTCTATCAGGAAAGTTTGAACCACATGACTTGATGGATGCTTCTGGATTTTAGACCCAAAGGAACAAAACAATTTTAACCATTTGCTTATAATAATCAAATATTATTTAGTATTAAAGGTTGATTCACTGTTCCGATTCCTATTTATTATTATTCTCATCACGAGGGAGAAAGGTGAGGTAGTAAGATTGTTCTTCCAGTTTTGTGAAGCTTTTCTCTTTCTTCCCCACCAGCGCTGATCCGTCACCACCTCCAGCAGAATTTGATAGGAAAATACCAAATCATCCGGGAGGGGGTCGTTCGAGCCGGCAGGCAAAATCTTCTAAACAACATCTACGTTGAGCCCCTGATTACTATCTGTGGTCCTGGAGGAGTTGCCCCCTCCCATGAGTTCCTACGCCGCTTTTCGTCACCTCTCCAGGTGCCGAGCGCCGACGCCTCCGTGGGCTTGAACGATCTGTTCCGACTAAGGAAGGATGGCAAGCCGGTGAGGACAGTGGTGACCACTGGGATTCCGGGAACCGGCATGTCCGTCTCTGTGGGGAAGTTCTCCCTGGACTGGGCAGAACGGCTCGCCAATAAGGTGAATCAAGAATATAAAAAAAAAAGAAACAAGACTTTTTGCACCATTCTTTTCGGGACTGACACCGTTTTTCCTCTCCCATCTTCTCACAGGATCTGCAGTTTGTCATCAAACTTTCATTCCGAACCTTCAGGCTCCTGCGAAACAATGAGCTTCGTCTTTCCCAGGAGATATCCATCATGGAAGTGATAGAATATTATCATCCCGAGTGCAAAGACATGAAACACCTGGAGGAAGAGGACTGTAAATTTCTCATCATAATGGATTCATTTGATTGTTACCAAGGCTCTCTGGACTGGCAGGTATCTCACCGGCACACATACACCCGAGACGCATTCACCTCTTAACAGTAACATCAATCGACAGTCTGATTTAAAGCTACAACTTAGTGATTCAAATATCCTCATCAATTGCCTATTTTTGAACATTCGCACCGCTCAAGTGATCTATAGCCATGTTTTGCGTGCTGGATATTTGTTCCTAATCTAAAAAAAAAATCATCAAAAAATGGAAAGTGCTCTGAGCTATCGGCGAATCGGTTTTTCTACTAACCCATTGCATTAGCATTTCATTTTATTTTATTTTATTACTTGTGCACTGCTGTCTTGTTGTCTATTGTTACACTGTCTACTGTCAAGCACCAACCACCAAGACAAATTCCTTGTATGTTTGACATATTTTGGCATTAAATGTTTCCTGATTCCTGATCAATACTCAGCCAATTTTCACTCTTAATAGTTTGATCGGTGGTCTTTTTAACGTCTGATCAGCTTCAAAAAAACGTGATGGAAGCATCGTTTTGCAGGAACTGATATATGCCTCTTGTCTTTCTCTACAGAACGCTCCGGTGATAAATGACAACTACACCAAAGCACACCCTGACGTGCTGATTGTAAATATCATCCGAGGGACCGTGCTGCGCGGTGCCCGCGTCTGGATCCTGGGGAGACGAGCTGCTGTCTCACAAATACCGTCTCAATACATAGACGTGGTCACAGAAATACAGGGCTTTAGGTGTGTGTGTGCACATGTTCTTAATTCTTCTTTTTTTTATCTGTGTATTTTATTGCATTTTCTTCTGTTTGAGCCTTGTTTTTAGTCTCTATACCATCCTGTTGTTATTATTAACACCTGTTTCAGTCCAGTTGTATGTTTCTTTTTGTCCCTCTTTTCACCAGTGATGAGAAGAAAGACAAATTCCTGCAAATGCGCTTTCGCGACGCAGAGCTGTCATCAAAGATCGTGGCACATTACAAGCGCCTACCGCCCCTCATTAGATTAGCTCAGCAGCCCTTCGTCTGCTGGATAGTGGCCACAGTGTTCGAGCGCTGCTACCGTTATCTGAGGTATGGGGAGCACCCCCCCCGGCTGACGCCGTTCTATGTCCACATCACCGTGGTCCAGACCAACCGCAAGCTGCAGTTCTACTATGGAAAGCTGGACAATGAACTGGTACTGTCCGGATTTTGTCATTTTCCTTTTTTTACAAGCAGCTTTGCTAATCTATACGTTTCTATTAGCGTGGACACTGATGCAATCGGATAAAATGATCTGAAGTTTATAGGTTTAAATATTTGTTGTATTATAAATTCTGGGCATCAAAGGGACCCGATGCTACAAAATCCAAAATTAAACTTGAATCAAAAAGACAAACGTTATTTGTCAGGATGCCGAGTAACGCCGTGCTTCTTTTGGCACTCAGAAATGGTCCACGGAGGACAAGAACCTGATCACAGAGATCGGGAAGATGGCTTTTAAGATGCTGGAAAAGAATACCAGCACGTTCTTTGAAGAGGACATGAAGGAGCTGGCAGGGCTGAAGTTAACGGAGGTGACGGTGTTTTCTGGCCTGACCACTGAGCTCGCCCCTGCAGCCCCCGGTGGGAGGAGGACGTTCGGATTCATACACCACAACTTCAAGGTAAAACTCTTTCCGTCTCACAGTAACTACGTCTCAATATTCTACGCTGCTGTACTGTAGCGATAATACACAGAAATCCACTCTCTCTGCAGCTCACATTGCCCAGAGTTTTTAAAGTTAGTCAACAAATGAGCTCATCTTCGCTATACTCAATATGAACATATATTTTCACCTTTTGAGCAAAGAGGGAAAAAAGTTATTTTTAAAATGCTAAGATGATGAACGATGCTGCTGCTGCTGGAGATCCATCCAACAATTCACCCGCGTCTTCTCTCCTCCAGGAGTTCATGGCCGCTCTGTACGTCTTCACAATGTTTTGCACCAAGTCCAAGAACGTTCTGGGCTCCCCGTTGTTGCCCAAGCCCTTCTTATTTGGGGATCAGTGCAAATCAGCGGGGAGCCTGCTCCAGAGCGCGGTGACGCGAACCCTGGCCGCCCCGCCGGGCCACTACGACATGTTCTTGCGCTTCCTGTGCGGCTTGCTTTCTCCGCACTGTCACAATAATCTGCTCTGCGGGAACCTCTACCCCCAAAAGAACCTGAAGGTGGGCGGACTGGATGAGGCGCGGCGGCTGCTTGAACGGACGATAAGGACTGCTGAGGAAAACAATAGAGACCGAGTGGAAAACCTAAAGGAGTGCCTTAGAGAAATGACCCAGGAGGATGAGTGAGGTGGCGTTAGATTGCATCAGGATAATCATTTTATGTCATTTTATGCAGAGGAGGGATAGGAGAGCAGTACCATTACAGCTCCATGGATTTAGGGTCAAGTGTGATGCTTTAAACACTAAACCTGAGTCACTGATATGTTCCGGTGTGTTTTTATTTAAGTGATGACATTAAAAATAATGTGGAAGAGCCCTTGGGGGAGGCTTTATTTCTCCACACTGGCCTGGCAATTGGGAATTGGATGGGCCATTGGATCCCCCATTCAGAGCCGGTAGACGTGGCCTGGGAAGAGGGAAGTCTGCAGTCCCCTGCTTGAACTGGATCCCCCGGATCGATGAGGGAGGGTGTATAGCTGATTTTTAAAAAATATCTTCCAAAGAAACATTTGTAATTGTGTTTTAGAAATAAAGCTGTGCGGTATCCGAAGGGCTACAAGCAATTTATTCAACAAATATCTTTAACAATGTGTTTTGTTAACGTTTCTCAGACCAACATGTATCTGATTTTTTGCACGTGTGCAAAGAATAGTTTCATTTGTAGACAGACACTTTATTCACGTAAAAACTGCTGTTAATGTAAGCGATGAGTTGTACCACAGTGACGGCCCCCCAGACATTCACTGTATTACTGAGCCTTGCACGGTTTGGCCACATGACGCATTCGTAAAATGTCAGGGAAACTTTACTCGACGCGGGTTGGGAAATCATTAGACAAGGCGGCTATTAACATATTTACGAGTAGAATTGAAATGTACAAACAGACGTGCTGCTCAAAAGGTCTGTGTCTCATCCTTATTTTTCATAATATATGAATTATATCTCTCACACCCACACTTGTGGAAGGTCTGCAGCTTAGTCTCTGAAATGCTCACACACACGTTCTGCATCAAGCCGGCTCCGCTGAGGTCACGTTGTTTAAACTACTATGTGTGTGCATCTATACTGTTCTTGTTTCTGTCATTCTGGCGTCCGAGCGCGATGACCCACGGACTGCTTCAGAGCGTCTGTGCCTGCCTCATGCAGGCGGGGTCAGCGTCATGGCGGCAGCATGAACGGTGAACGCAGCGACGCTGATTTGACGCTTGACTTCGTCCCAGGCCTTCTTCGGATCAGCAGAGTTCTTGATGTCGAACAGTTCATCATTGATTCCAGGGAAAGACTGCCCTACATATTTGTTATGCCTGCTGGGAGCAAAGATCACATGCCTGAAAGAGAACGGGGGGGGGATCTTTTAGGAATGTACTGGAGTTTTTTTAAATTTATAACAAGCTCAAAAGGTTTTAGAAGTAAAGGCATTTTACATGTATTCAGCGTGATGATTCATTTTATTTAACTTTTTTTGACCTGCAAACCGTATCAGTTACGCCAGATGGTTATCTATTCAACTCATTCTCAATTGGACCTTTAAGAGTCTTCTTTGAGGTGTATCTGCAGCCAATGTAATGATTTCAGTCGTAGACTGAGGCAAAAAAGACAAAATATGTATAAATAGGCAGGGTGAGTAATTTAAAGAACAATCTTGCACTACGCGGATTCCTATAATTGGCCCATAATTCACACGTTGGGTCATCTGGCTTTCCGCAGCTCATGCAGTTTTAGAGATAATGCTCTACCCTCTGTGTGTTTATCTATCCCCCTTTAATGATTAACACGTCTTTCTCACAGTTGGCTGCAAAAACTGGGTCTGCTGATAAGAAACTGCTCAACTATGCATAAATTGTGTGTGAGAGAGAGAGAATGGGCACAAGAGAACGTTAGTAGTAGATATAGTAGACGTGGGATGTTAATACTTATATTGCCTGGACAAAACTAAACTGTCTGTGGGGCTTAAACTTAATATTTGGTTGCCATTTTAAATTACATTTACATTTAACATTAAGACGCTACAGTATATGCAACGATGCATAGACTTGTTATTGGCTTTGTCAATAACAAGCTCTGGCAAGGTCAGTTTAATCAAAATGTATATTAATGCATTTATTCATTGTCACCATTAGAGAGGCCCTTGCACTCCTGAGTGAACATTCTGTTTCGGACTATTTAAATACCATAATACAAGAAATATTTAAAGATATGATTGATTTTGAGGTGTAACTGGCCAAGACAAGTAAGTGAAAACTGCCATGCAGAGCACATTGCCGTTTTGTGTGTGTGTGTGTGTGTGTGTGTGTGTGTGTGTGAGAGAGGGAGACTAACCTGTAGAAGGGTCTCCCAGGTAAACCCAGCGGGTCAATGAAGGCTCTCTCCAGATACATCAGCTGATCGTTCACGGCGCGCACCTGCAGAGGACTGAGGCGCACGTAACCCGTCAAATGCCGGTACCATGTGGTCTCCAGGTGTGATTCTAATGTTCCGCTCCCCTTGTGTTTTTAATACCACTCAATATAACGTGACTCAGTACAACACCCCCCTGGACCAATGTCCTGTGTAAGCCGCATAGTGAAAAGCACAGTCCGTCTCCGGCTAAAAGCGTGGATAACACACCCCGACGTGTTTGCACCTGCACGTATAGAAAAGTTAAACGTGGCCGTACTCCGCTCTGTTGAGACTCTGCAGGCGTTCGTGAAAGTCCCCGGCTGCAACGCTGAAGTTCCTCACAGCAGAAAACAAGGAATCTGAAAATATATACGGAAAAAATGTGTCAGGAAAAGCCATCAAGGGGTTGGCTCTGTCATTCAAACCGTTTAAATATCAATTCAACTTAATATTTAATTACCATAGTCAATGACCACTATGGACCTACCAAACGACACCCCGTACATCTCCATCTCCTCCGGGTGCTTCTGGGCCTCGCGCGCGATGCTCTGCGCGTACTTCCCCAGCGAGTCTGCGTACTGGTTGACGTCGAGAGGCAGCAGCTGGGAATCGGCCAATTGAAAGACAAGCCCGCCTCTCACCTGGGCCACCGCCCGGAGCCTCTTGAAGGTGGGGTCGTAAAACCTGTCCACCACCTCGAAGGTTTCGTACACGCTGTGATAGACCGGATAACTGCTGTACCACTCGGTTTTCTGGAAGCACGGGAGACATTTCAAATCCAAAAAGACAGATAGATCACAATATTAATGAAAACAAACAGAGTAATAAGGTCACACAGACAAAGTTAAATAGGTAGCACTCTGAAGCGTATAACACAAAGAGTACCAGTAACTAACAAATATATTCTCATACACAGGCTCACATGCAAACCTGTTCACTGCTATAATTAAAAGTATGTTAAGATCGACAGGTGTCACACACATGTAAACGGATGACATGGTAATTCACTGCAGTGTCTGCTCACAATAGGAACAGAAACATTAATATATATTTAGCACACACAGCAACATAAAATAAGAATGATCCCTCTGTGAGTGCAGCGCGTGTTACCCTGTCCTTGGTGTATCTGGCTCTGGCTGCAGCGATTCCCAGACGGATGAAATAGGCCTCGAAATCACTGCCCGACCCAAGTTTACTGATCCTGCAGCCACAGAAGAGGACAGACTGTGGATCACTTGTCCAATTGGCTGGTAAATGTTACATTCAAAATGAGTTTGAATCACCACACAGAGACGGGGAATTAAGGCTTTCTTCATTGCATGAAGTGTGAAGACTGTAACATCTCTGCAAAAGCCGCATTGACAAAATGAATAACCGTTATTCCACTTCTTTTATTTCGGGTTCGGTGGTTAGTTACCACTTTGTACCTGGGTGCATCGCGGTCAGCTGTCCAGTTGTCCCTCTTATGCCAACTGTCGTACAAAGAAATTCCCTCCTCTCCTTCTTCTGGACTCGCTATCTACATGCAAGGAGAGAAAGAGGCCGAGCCAGTGGGAAACATAGAGATGCATAGAGATGAAAAGACAGGAATACAACTTCAAGATTGAGCATGAAGGAATAAATAAAACATTTTGGGGTGTATTTCTGCTCACCTGCTTAGTGAGATTGTACACCAAAGTGTGTAGAGATGGAGTGCAGTCAACCCTCAGCGTGTACATGCCTGGAATTCAAATAGAAACATCCTCACAGTTACATCAGAAACTAAACGATTTCATTGAGAATATTGAGGCGTGCACTCAAACACACTCACCCTCGATGGCAGAGTCGGCATTGACGTAGGCCACAGCTCTCTCCTGTAACACCTTGGCGTTATCCTGGAGAGAAGGGTCAAGTGTGTTCAGTGTGTGTGTGTGTGCATGTGCTGTGAAGGGGCATGGGTCGGTGAATGTGTACCTCTGCCCATTCTGTAGATCCCTGCAGTCCAAACTCTTCTGCATCCCAGCTGGCAAATATTAAAGTCCTCCGAGGCCTCCAGCCTGCATGAATGCACACACGCACACTGCACCTTCGTATTCTGGTGCCCGAGCGTCTTCTGACGCCGTTGTTGACAAATGACAGCGATAGAGACGCACCTTTGCTCCGCAGCAGACCAAAGCCCCTGACTGTCTCGTGGACCACAGCAGCACCAGACATGGGATCGATCCCCCCAAACACCCAGGCGTCCCGGTGCCCTCCGAGAATCACGTACCGGTCTACACACACACACAAACATAGAGACCTCAGCTCACATTGATGGCGACACTAACAATTTTAAATAGCTCATCTAGCTATTCCGACCCGCTTTCTCATGCTTGTCTCAGTGTGAGTTGTGTGTTTTTAAAGATTAGAGCCGGATGGATGGCGGTACTCTACCTGGCTCCACAGCCCCTCTTATCCTGCCGATGACGTTGTAGATGCGAGTGACCTGGCTGTTGGTGTGGATGTTCATACGTACCTTCCTAAGACCCACATGTTAAGGAAGAGGTGAGTCACACAGGGGATGGGGGGGGGGGGGAATACAGCGACATGACGGAGGAAACGGATCAATAGTTCCTTTTGACAGCAAATGACTAAACGTTAAATGAATTTGTTCACAAAGGAATGGTGCTTTTCTATGTGACATATGCCTGTTCATTACGTCTATCTCAAGCGATGACACAGACGAACAAAGATGGAGAAGACAAAGGAAGATGGGGGAATAGTTCTTTTGCTTCAGAAACCCCCAAAATGTACAACAAGACCGGGGGGGACTGTTCTACTTGCTTAATTTGTGCAGGTTGCTTATGTGTAGATGTGCTTAGTATGTCACTCGCACACAGGACATACAAGGGCCCCCATTGTACGCCCGTTGGCTACTTGCCACTGGGTCATTGAAGTGGAGCAGGAGAACAGGAACAACAAGAGTGGAGAGAAAATTGAAACAGACAGCTGTGAAGCAGGAGAGCAAAGAGCTTCCACTGCTGGGGGAGAGAAACAGCAGTTTGAAGGGAGAACCAAGTTAAAACAAGGGGAAGAGGACACTGGTAATGCTGGTTTAACTGGACATAAACGCTCAATGTAGGAACTCACTGGCTCTTGAAGTCATCCTTAAAGCCTGGACCAATCCTATAGGAGACATCCAGAGTTCCTTTCCAGTTGTTGGGCGGAATCTGTCCTCCCATGTTCCTGTTGAATTGCAAAATAATCACATGACAAGCACAACAATTTGTCGTTGTCATGTGTGTGCTCGTTAGCATGGAGGCGTCAGCTTCACAGGACCGTTAGCGTAGCTGTGGATTTTGTCCAAGTAGCGATGCTCTGAATAATCGAATGATTGTGTTTTTAAAGTGTAGTGTCGGGAGGAAAAGAGCGGTATCGTTACTTCAGCAGGTGAATGGCATCGTGGTAGCCGATTGGATGTACAGGAATGTTGGGGAGGCCCACTGCGTTCTCCAGGCTCAATCTGTAGGTATATTCTGCGAGAGAGCAAGCAGTTGATAAACGTTAGATAACATGGCGCATGCGCAAACTCACACACAGGCTCACGTGTACGAGCACACGGAGATACACACCCTTGGCGGGGTACCCGGGTGTGAGCGGGTCTCCCGCTCCATCCAGCCTGAGAACGTTCCCCCTCTGAGCTCCTCCGCCGGGTAGGTTCCAGCCGTCAGGGTACGGCTTCACACACATGCACATGTGATTAAAAAGCTTCGTTCCCATGGAATCTAATTGCTGTTTCCAATCGTGATCTAGTTCGTAAATGTCGTTGCAAGCTGCAACAACCAATCAGGTGTTGTTTTTTCCCCCTTTGAGTCTTTTTCTAAATGTGGCCCTGGATACCTGAGGCACGAACTACCACGCAGGTGGCGTGGATGGAATTTGTCACCATGATAACCATGCAAATTGCATTCACAAAGCTTTAAAGACAAGTGAAGTTGATATCAATGTGGAGGCCATGGTTGAAGATGGGTGTAGTCCGAGGATGCTGGAAGTAGTAAGTACTGTGATGCATTATACTCTACCTGGACTCCAGCAGCACTGTAATCTGCTGGGTCTGAGAACATGATGATCCCCTTTGCTCCTGCTGACATGGCGTTTTTCACCTGGTGGAGCAGCAGAAAGAAGTCATTTTAATGGCTCACAAAATGTAAATGATTGGTGCCCTTTTTCTACTGCGTGGATCACAAAACAGCAGTGATGGGTTTGACGTTGACCAATTGCTTGAAATATTTCAGAAGACACTGATGTAGTCCTTTTGGTTGCAATATGTTTCCTGTAGTGCGAGGACTTCTCTTACCTTATTGCCTCTAAATATTTGTCCATATCTGACAATGACAATCCTGCCAGTAACAGTGATGTTCATCTCCTCTAACTGGAAAAAGTCTTCTGTTCGACCATAGTTCACATAAACCAAATCCCCCTGGAGAGAGAGAGAGAGAGAGAGAGAGAGAGAGAGAGAGAGAGAGAGAGAGAGAGAGAGAGAGAGAGGTCTCTTAGGTTATCAGACAGGCGAGGATGGGTAATGTTTAAATCCTTGTTAACTGCACTTTTACTACCACTAGTGTTAAAACATCCCTCTCAGTATGAGATGTGGTTTGTGTGTGTGTGTGTGTGTGTGTGTGTGTACCTCAGGTTGTCCTTTTGCAGAGAAGGCACTGTATGGAGGTACAATGTCAGCAACATCTTCATAACCTTCTGGGACCGGCTCTGCTAAGGATGTGTTGAAAACCTGTGAAAGAAAGACGACATGGCCCTTTATTCTCTTTATCAAATGCTTTGCAATTTGTAACGTATTTATTATCAATCTTTGGAAATCAGGCAGATGTATTTTAGATTTGCACGGCAGTTTAAAGTAGAGGCATCTTCCATCTTGTCAAATGAAAGCTTGATTTCGCAAGGATGTAGGATTGACCAATGGTGTTTTTATTTAGATAATCATCAGTAAATGTAATGACTAAGTGGCTAAAGGCAAATAACGGAGTAGTCTGGTAAGAAAATAACATAACTTTAGTTAAAATCAGGAAACCACTGATACCATATAACGTCATAGCTGTGTACCCGGGTCTGTCTTCTCTTGTTTGCCTCTGTGCCGTATCATTATCTACACTCATACGACGCACGGAGGAGAAGTTTATCTCGCCGCAAGACTGTAACAGGACCTTGGACTTGGATGAGCTGTAATGTGGTGGTGTCTAGAGGTGAAGCAGCCTGCGGCAGCGTGACCGTGTGTTTCTCATGTGTGATCTCCACCTGCACGACTGAGAAGTAGTCCGAGGGTTTGGACAGACAGGCGTTGTTGTTCATGTGCGTGCGTGTGTGTGTGTGTGTGTGTGTGTGGCCAAAATCACAATTCCTTTGAACTTGTTATCAGCAGGGGGGTGGGAATCAAACGAGATGGTATCACAATATGTCTGTCAATCATTAGACTGGAGCCTGCATTTCAGTTAGTTTGAAAACTCAAGGCATACAGATGTACCTCAATGCCAAAGCGATCCACTATGGAGATGTAATTGGGCTGCGATTTGTTGGGGTAGGACAACAGCACGTCATAGGGCACCATCTCCACCGCGTCCAGTCCAAACTCCAGCCACTCTTTCCTGATCTGCTCTGCATATCTCAGATTTTGCTCCGTGCCAGCCAGGTGGGGGAGACGTGTGAATTTCCTGCGGAGGCGATTTAAACCGTCAATCACGTGGCCGGCGGTCGCTTACATAACAAACAATGTTGTGTGTGGAATGGCTGGAAAAAGGAGAGCTTCCACTTATCAACGCTTTATTTTTTCAAGTCATGACTTTTCCTGCTTGGACTCGGCACAATAAGGACAATTTAAGTGACAGTGAAGTGCCAAATTATTTTAATCCAGGAAAGCCCAGAGTTCAATTTGTGATTTGACTGCGTTTTCTTTTGTTTTTTTGTAAGCTGGGCCCTTTCCCCCAATTACATTACACTACATTACATGTCATTTAGCTGACGCTTTCATCCAAAGCGACTTACGATTGCATTTCTTTTAACGAAAAAACATCTACAATGTGTGCAAGTGAAAAGTTTGGCCTGTTGGTTGTTGTCACATGACACTTATGTAAATGCATCCCCCCGGGGCTGAGTGTCTGTGTTTACCGAAGGTGTTGTCTGATCTGGTCCGGCTGCATTCCCTCCAGAAAATCCTTCAGATATTTGCTGGAAGGACTTTCGTTTGCAGCCTTTGGATGTGTGGGCTTCGCAAACCAGCCTGCAAACAAACACACACAGACCGTTAAACAACAGGTTGTCTCAACAGAGTGACTTAACGATTTGAGAAAAAGAGGAGTGGGAGAAGAGGGGAAGGGGGGGGGCACGTAATATCTAAGCGTCACTCGGCACTTTGCATTGTGTGCACAAATATACTTCAAATGGGGTTGTGGTCACAGACAGCGTGTGTTGACGTGCAGTGAGCGTGCAGGCGTGAAATGTGTCAGAGTCGTGACAAACTAAGAACAGGCACACAACAACACGCCTTCAAGATTCTACTAAAACAGCAGCAAGTCGGTTCGATAGTTGATAATGATCACTATAGACAGCAACAGTTATGTTTTCATTGTCGACCAACTCACGCAGCACGATATATATCACCTGCAGATAATTACATGAGTGTCCAGTGTACGTTTGTGTTGTGTTATCATGTCTTACCTAAGGTGAAGCCCAGCAACAACAAAGCTGTCACAATCACAATCCACCTGATCCACCAAATGAACCTGGACTCCTTCCTCATTGCAAAGCAGTACGTCCCAGAGGCTCCCGCGCACCGACAGGACCGACTCCACAGAGACGCAGATAGAGAGTAATTTGTTTAGGTGGTGCACAGCGGAGGCAGGGGACAGGCAGGGAGGGAGACGGGGGGAGGGATCGAAGAAGGTTTGGCTAAGACAGAGGCGGTGAGGGACAGGGGCACACAAAGAGGAATAACATGTAACGGACTGAGATGGAGCAACATTTAAATCACAACTTCTAGTGTTGTGAGCCTTTTCACATTCACATTGCAATTAGTTGAACAATTTGTGGATCATATGGGAAAAACGGGAAATGTTAGCACATTAACACAAGCTTTTATTCATAAACAAAGGTAACACATTAGAATCATCGCATATCCGTTATTGCCAATTCCTGCCAGGAGAGGAGATGCCTCATGGCTAGATACAAGAAAGACACACGTGAACTCTTTGGACGCACTAAATTATGAAATCCTAAAAAGTTCAGTCAAAACGTAGAACATCCACCTCCTGAGGAGTGGAAATGGACTCACGTCGAAGCAGTGACGTACGCAACTGTAGATAATCAGACATATTTTCCCACACGACAAACGGGCCGTGGTTGTGCTCGACCCTGCCGGTCCTGTGAACAGCTGTGCGGGGTGGAGGGAGGCCCTTTAATGTGGTGGGCTGGAGCGTGAAGCCGGGTGGAGGCTCTCTGCACTCAGGAATGTGGGGACGGCGCAGAGCACAGCTCTCCCGCGTCCTCAACACGCCGCGTATCTGCTCAGAGGAAACCTGAGGCCTCCAGCTCGTACGGGGAGTTGGGTTTTCATTTTATTGGAAATGTGTTGATTGAGCATCTAAATTCTCCTACAAGCAATGCTGTTTATTTATATTCACCCGATGGAATGAGCACGGTGGTGTTGTCGTACCAGCTGTGTGATTGAAAGTGTACAGTACGTATTTTGACAATAGAGAGTATGACGGCCTCTACTGTTTGATTTAGTCAGCATTTCTTTTAGGCAGGTGGAGTACTCGATAACTATATGAGAAATCAATTTAGGCAATTTGTTTGGCAATAAAAAGAATAATACAATGTATAAAGATATTTTAGCATCCTTTCCAATTAATGTTTTCATGTCTCAGATAAATGTTTTATGAAAAGATCTTACTTTTTTCAAGTTTACAAAAAGTATGATATGTACTTTTACTCTTTGACTATATATTCGGGAAGATGGTTTGTCTTCTGGGGTTTGAACACAGATACTCCTCCAGTTACTTCATAAAAAAATAAACAAAGCACAGCACAAATATTTGGTGGATGGAGCAAAAAAAATAAAGTATGGACGCGGGAAACCATGATCATGATCAAGATCTGACTGTGAACGGATTTCGCGGCTGCCTGTTTCTCGATTGGTATCTTTGTACAATGAATGGGAAAAAGATCACACTCATATTTGATTGTTGAACCTTGGGCCTTAATACAATGGGCCTTAAAATGCAGTCTAGCCAATTTCTAAGCACAAAGTTTAACTTAATTGTGCCCGTTGTGGGTGAAAGTCTCCACATGGTTTTAGTCTTTTCATGTGGTTTTTTTGGATAATCTGTGGTCCTGTTTAAATCCCCCGTCATTACAGCTTCAGCTGCAGTTCTTGTTCATAACACAGGGTGGCGCTGATAGCCCACAGAGATGGCACATGGGGGGCTTCTTGGTGCCAAATTCTAATTATTAATAAAGGCTCTTCCTAAAAGTAAATTCAAAGTCAATTAAAAAACCGTTCCATCTGCAATCCATAGTTTTAATTAATAACACCTTAGTAATCCCTGAAATTAGTCATCATGAATCGATCGATCGGGTTTTTCACAATCCGATTCCTCCCCAAAAACAGCGGTGATGTCTATTGATGGTCGCCGCGCGGGACCACGGCGCCCTCTAGCGGCGCAGCGGAGCAGCGCGGCCCGATGAGGGAGGACTTCTCCTCCTGCTGCCTCTTTAGCAACAAAGTCGCTTCTACTCAACGTGGTTTAACGACGCGGTTCACACTAAAAAGAGACCAGGGGCAGGTAACAGTTTCATACGGCGCATGGACTCTCTGTGAAAGAGGGGGGGGGGGGGGCAGACAGACAGTCACGGTAGTAGTACGGGGGGAGGAGAGAGAGAGAGAGAGGGGGGAGACACCGGCCGGTCTGTGGACGCTGCACACAAGCAGCCAGACGGACGCGGAGCTGCAGAGGAGGACTAGCCTCTCTCTCTCTCTCTCTCTCTCTTTCTCTCTCTCTCTCTCTCTCTCTCTCTCTCTCTCTGTCTTTCTCTCTCTCACACACACACACACGCACGGACACACGCACGCACGGACACACGCACGCACCGAGTGGCCGGTGGAAAAGTTCTCTGCAGCCGCTGAGCCGGTGGAGGCACCATGGTCGCGTCGCTGCGGAGCTGGGTCGCCAACGAGGGAGGGAAGCACTTTGTCCTGGTGGGGAAGCCGCTCGTCACAGCGTTTTCTCGCCTGCTCTCAACATCTGTTCGCGCTCCACTCATTGTTTGTTTGTTGCCCGGTGTTAAAACTTTTCTTTCGAAGTCTTCTTATTGACTCTGAGTCAGTTTGCTGTTCTCTTATTGTACTTTTTGTGCTGTCTACTACAGCCATTACATGCATTGGGGTTTTGGTTTTGTTTTAAAGTTCAGATTTAAATACTGAATCATAAAATGCACAGGGAGAAAAAATGTATTGTGGGATGTATTAGATTTCTATGTGTTTCTATGTCCTGGTAATTTGAAATAGGGATGGATCTCCATCCTTGGCTGTGTGTGTGTGTGTGTGTGTGTAGATCCTGTGGCTGGGGGCGAACACCTGGCTCTTTATGAAGACCTTCCTGCTGTACTTCACTGGACAGCAGTATCACTACCTGTACAAGATGCTGGGGGTAAGACCTCACACGTTTACATAATGCATTTATTACCAACGCTCAACGCTCAATACCAGTGCTTTTAAAGTTACAACCTGTAATCTTAATTTAAATCAAAACGTTTATCCTACCAGACAAATGAAAACTACGGTGCAGTGCAATGTGTCACTAAATGAAATTAAATAAATGCTAAAATTGCAGTTGAAACTACAGTTATTTGTGTTGACCCAAAATGTGATCACTGTAAGATTTCAAATATTGAATTTCTCGTGTCCGGGCGGCAGCGAGTCGAGTGAAGTGAGTGATGTTGGACACCGTCCACTTCTTTCCTCTCTTTGTTCGCCCCTTAAAGCCCTTCACACCTGTCTGTGGCCCCCTCAAACCGGTGCCACTTAGATTAGTCTCACCCGTCTCTCTCCTCCCATTCCTAGTCCCCTTGTCTAAAACCGTCAAATAAAGGAAAAACTTTTTTCACCAGTACTAATAATACAGCTAAACACAAGGATAATACATAATACACAGAAACTAAATTGGCCTCCAAAAGTCTTTTGTGACGTTTCCTGGCGGCTTCCTGGAGGACAGCTATCGCACTACGTTTTTGAAAAGGGACCAAATCTCCTGCTCCCGGCTTCAGAGACCTCTATTTATATCACAGGAGCAGGTTTCGTGATGGTCGGTCGACTGTCACATGCAATTAGCCACAACTGTGTGTGTGTGTGTGTGTGTGTGTGTGTGTCAGCCAGTCTGAGTGACACGAGCTTGGACACTCAAACCCTCACAGAATCAGAAATTCAATTTTGATGCACGTACGTGTAATTGTTGTCACAAGTTCAGTTTGGTGTGTGTGTGTGTGTGTGTATATGTGTGTTTTTTTTACAAGAGAAAACGTTCCTTGCCTCCGAAAAGACAATCACACACATGCCGCTCACATTACTGCCCAATCACCTGAGAGTAGCGACGCCAACGCGCCGCCTGTCCCCCAGCTACTTGCTCCCTATTTTTGAACACCTGCGTTCGTATTCGTTCAGTGGAGAAAATACGATAATAAGACGTTTGTTGCAGGAGAGTCGTGTGACGTGTGGAATAAATGAAGAAGTGAAACTTGTGTGAGCTGTTCACGCTCTGCCTGTACAGGGGGAGGCCCCGGGGAGAGACGGGCAAGTGTGGGCACGCTGCCGGCTTTGACTGAATGCCTCGCCGGAGGACTTGTGTGTGTGTGTGTGTGTGTGTGTGTGTGTGTCTGTGTGTACTTACAAGATTGGGATGTATTTTGAAGCTTTAATGCAGCTGAAGGGATTTTAGATTTATCTTCAAAAAGCAGCTGATTGCATTCACCTGTATGGTTCAGTGCGTGTGTGTGTGTGTGTGTGTGTGTGTGTGTATTTGTTGTTTGGGCTGTGCAGACAGAAGGATATCAGATATCCTTCCTGGGGTTTTACCCTCTGCTACTTTCCTATGAAAAGCTGTGTTGAGTGAACGTGCCCGGGAGGTCTGTAGAGGCTAAAAGTATCTTTCAAGTGTCAACGCTGACCAGTTAAATGTAGATTCTCACTTTGACGCGTTTGTCTGCTCCACTCTCGTGTTTTAGAAACCCTGCGGTATGCGTTGCATCGCTGTGAGGTAGACGCGGTTGTTCTCACCACTTGTGGCTGTAAATAGCAAATAGCCACATGTAACTTAGGAGATGACGATATGTCAACGTTGCCTTTAAATCCGGTTTCCCGCTGACGTCAAAAATATCCATTACTGCAGGTTTAATCAATTCATATTAAACACAGCACAGCCATTATTCCCATAGAAACATATGAAGGATTTCTCTGCTGGAATTATTCTGCCTCCACACCAAGAGTAACCATTTAAATAATGAGAGAAACCACGTTATCATAAACCAATATAACAGTCGTCAGATGGACAGCAGGGAAGTCTGATTGTAGTGATTTGAGAAGAATAATGGAGGCTTTCTTGTTCATTAACCAACATAAAAGGTGACACCTTTGAACCGCTCACGTCCAGCAACAAACAGTTTCTCACCGCCGTGCTTTTCAGTTTACGACGGGTTAGATCTTTTTAACAGGACGTTCTTAAACTTTTGAAACTGTTTTCGTGTTTCATAATAAACTCAATGAGCGTTCTCTTCAAAAGGCGACGCCTCAGTAGAGACGGGTGAAGGAAATATTACGGATTAGAAGGACAAAGGTGGTCTCATTTGACCCCGTGTGGCATGTCATGCCTCCAGCCCTCAGTGTGCACTTTGAATAGTCCAACTCAAAAGTGTGTATCTTAATCCGCCAAAGCCTTATCAGGCTGCATCAGGCCCCATTTCAACAAGCAGCTGCCTAACAATATGTGTGTGTGTGTGTGTGTGTGTGTGTGCGTCTCTCCCAGCTAGGGATGTGCATCAGTAGGGCGTCGGCGTCCGTTCTGAACCTGAACTGTAGCCTGGTGCTGCTGCCCATGTGTCGCTCCCTGCTCACCTTTGTCCGAGGGACGCACGCGGTAAGCGAGATGCGGCGTTGGTGGGAAAAGGGCCTCAGCTCGAAGGGCTCACGCCACTTTCAAACGCCGTTGGGTTGAAGGGTTTGTACGCGCAGAGAGAGATGACGCTTTGCCTGCACTCAGGTATCGAGCAGAGAGACCCGCAGACTGCTGGACAAGAGCAAGACCTTCCATGTGGCGTGTGGGGTTTCCATATGTATCTTCTCGGGTAAGAAATAATCCCCGCAGGCTCATGTTTCTCCATGTATCACAGAGTGTGTCTGTGTGGATAAATGCACCCATGCTGCCTCAGCGTTCCCGGCGTACCAGCTGTGATGTCTCTTTAGCCAGTCATGTGTTTTCGCTGTCTTTTGTGTGTGTGTGTGTGTGTGTGTGTGTCTGTGCTGTTGCTCTCGTGAGTCTCCTCTCATGACATCATGGGAGCGTCTAGCAGCTGTGTGTCCGCCGGATATCTGCTTCACAGGTTTCCTCCTCTTATTCGCGCTTATGGTTTTGTTCCAAGAAGCTCGGCTTTTTAGAATTTAAAGCAATTGTGCTCCACCGGGTGTATGTAGAGACAGGATTTATTTCTATGGGACTCTTCAGCAATTTAGTGTTTATTTCGGGCGACCAAAAGGGACGGATTAAAGAACGCATGGTCGAAATCAGAGCAGCAGACAGAATGACTTCAGCTTGTAGTGAGGGTCAAAGTGCAGAAACACCAGATCCTCCACGGGATGCGACTCAATCCAGAGCACGATAGCATATGGTGTCTGCGCGGTAAAACAAAGGCTTTTTGTTCTAAATGTTCATAATAGTGATAATGAAACTAACTGTATTCATACAGCATCTGTAAAAACAGAGTTTACAAAGTACTTTGACAGATAAAGCAGCGAAAGCGACACGATAAAGCCAAGCGAGACAAAACAAGTCAAACCCTCGATAAAACCGCTCAGGATCCGGGCGTCGACTTTCCCCTTTTGACAAGTTCGTTATAATTACGGACGTCAAACTATCACGCTACAGCTGAAGTGAATGCTAACGCTGTCATGCTAACATGCTAACAGTGACAATGTGAACATGAGGATATTTAGCAGATTTCACCAAAAGGGATCATCTAATACACGAAAACCTCTCACGGCAAATCGGCCCGGAGCGACCCGGACGCCGTTTCCACCCGGAGAGACGATGTGACGACCTGACACATCTGTTCTTCACAATCGCATCGTGTGTTAGCTTAAGCGTTTCATCTCTCTCCGATCGCTTCTCAACCTCGTCAGCACCTCAACACGCACACGGGCGGACACGCACAAAAGCTCTCGTCTTCTGATATCTCGGTTCCACATCTCTGAGACAACAAAGGCCCGGTGAAGACAGAGGGACAGCGGGGACGGGAGGGGGGAGGCAGCGGGAGTGAGAGAGGACGTGAGGGAGAAAAAGGGACCCTTGTGTCTCGTGATTACGCCCCTCTAATTCCATCAGCTGTCGAACGGCTGCGTGGTTAGCCCATGATGTCAGGGAGGTGTGCGTGCGTGTCTGTGTGTGTGTGTCTGTGTGTGCGTGGGAGTGTGTGTGTGTGTGTCTGTGTGTGCGTGGGAGTGTGTCCATGAGTCAGGACGAATGTTTTGCTGACTTTCTGCTGAATAGACAAAGAGATGTTCGTAGCCGTGTCCACCAGCAGTTCATTTTGACCTTTAATTCTGTTGTGTTCATGTGCTGACGTCTATGCAACCAACATGTGTGTGTTTCCCCTTTCCTCTCTTCTCTAGTTGTGCACGTGTCTGCCCACCTGGTGAACGTAGTCAACTTCAGCGTGAGCTACTCAGACGACTTCCCTGCTCTCAATCTGGCTCGCTACAAAGGAGAGGTGAGGCCCAAAGCGTTTGCGCGTTAAAGTTGTGAGGACCCTCATAGAGTGGATGCATTCCATGGGCCTCCAACCATAACCATCACAACGGCACGTCCAACCCCCCGATCTCACCTCCACCCGAGGGCCCAAACGCGTTCGCGGTGTTTCACTCGGTTGCGCACATGAAAAGTGACAAAAGCAGTTGTTTGAAGAATGGAAAAAAGAAAACGCGGCTCGAGAGGGAAATTTAAATCCTGCACCTCACCTCGTTATTTCAGCTGACCAAACACTGCGTGAAGGTGGCAATCATTTATTTTGTGTGTGTTTCTTTCACAGGACCCTAAGCTGATCATTCTGACCACAAGTAAGAAGAAATGCTCTTTCTTAAAAAAAGTATTGGGTATAGACAAAAGTGTTTATGCTGGAGTGTTTTAAAAAAAACAAACCTTTTTAAACAATGCAGGCGGTAAATGTGTTGCAGATTAGCGTGGCTTCGTGCCAAGAGGAGAGGAGGTCATGCTGCGTTTAGTCCTTTTTCCATTCTCTGTGTTTCTGCTGTCTTAGTTGGTGAAATAAGTTATGTCAGAAATAAAGTAAAATAAATTGCTTTCTGTTAAACCACAATAAAATGATGTGGGATTATCTAAATTAGCAGACATCTCCCTTTTACATGTGTCTCACGTGTCCGTGTCCCGGGGGAGGGAGTCAGACTTTGTCTCCGCTCTCTAATTGGTTGATTCTCATTAGTCCCAGGAGTCACAGGCCTCTTCTTGGTCCTCATCCTCTTCCTGATGTTCACATCCTCCTCCTACTGCGTACGGTAGGTCAACCGCACCGTCTGTAAAAGCTCCCTCAAGCCTAAAGATCCCGTTTAAGTTTTGCACGCGTGAGAGAAGCGTATTTGGGGTTTGTTTGTTGTGTGAGATACTTTCATTGTGGAGCCATATTGACACATGGGTATTTTTTGCTTACGCATATGTATCTCTTCTTCTGTGTTTATGTCTTACCTTTTTTGTTGGGTCTTTTATTCATTTTTATTAGTACGTAGTTTATGTTGTGAGAGAGGGTAAAACATTTCAGAAAAGTAAAGCACAAGGAGACTTGCTACCTGACGTGGGTTACAAAGACAATCCTAACTAAGTGCTCCACTCACGGCTCTGTCATTACTCAGGTCACAGAGGGTCACGGATGCACAAGCCAAGCCGGTTTGTGAGACTTAAAGTGTGTGTGTGCGAATGCTATTGTAATTGAACAGAGGGTTAAGGGGTTAATAAGGGTTTTCCAGACCACTCAAGGCTTTAGATAAGGGTTCGGGTTAGTAGCTGGAGGGGTGGGATCAAGGCCGCTGTGCACCAGAAGAGCAGCAGCTGCAATGATCCAGTGATATGAGCGTCATGTAGTGGTCACAAGGTTACAGCACTTTCTGTGTATTAAAGTAGCTCTGCATCTTTGCCCCTTAACAGTGCTTATTGTTAATGAGCCCATTTGAAGTCAAACCGGGAGAGACGGCCGGGAGAGACGGCCAACTAAAGGCCAATATTAGTTTAATACCTTTAAACCTCTGAAGGTTGATATAATTATTGTATAATAAATAGTGATAGTAATAATTATTTAAGTAAATATTACTTCTCAATGTTTTTTTAATTTGTATTATTATGATTATTGTGATTATTTTTATATTTGTTACTGTTCCCCAAAGAAAACTAGTAAGATTAATTTCCCTCTACCTACCCATGTAAATATTCTGTAAAAACACAAATGGTCAGCCCAACAATATCTTCCCATTGTTAATATCCATATTTTTGGTCATGATTTTTTCATTTCATGATATTAGATTTTTCTCGCTTTGCCCAGCCCCAATTAAAGGTATTCAAATTTAGAACAGTCATAAAACAGGATCAAAACAGAGTTTGATGATGTTCGATATTTGCGGTGCTGACGTCGTTGAGTTTAATGACCCCGTCGCCGTTGACCTGTGAAGTCCTGCTTACTCAGGCTGTGAGCCGGGAGTCTGTGCGTCTGGTCCTGAACAAACTCTGACCTCGCTTCCTTCTTTTGTTGTCTCTGCTCTTTTTGTTTCTCTCATTGTCTTCTTTCCTCATATCGTGTTACAATGTTTATCATTCCTCTTATACATCTATTTGGGGTATCATCTATCTTATCAAACATCCCAGGTATAAATAGATTAAGTATTAAGTAAGTAATAATTTGTCATGGTTCTATTTTGCCCTTTTCTCCCCCAGGTTGTTCAACTATGAGATCTTCTGGTACACACACAACCTCTTCATTGTTTTCTACATCATCCTCATGGTGCACATGGTCGGGTAGGTCTACAGGCTTGGCACTAATTCTGTGTATTTCCGTGTATGTCGGTTTATCTCTGCATGATCAGAGAGTTTTTCATCTTAACTTTGTCTCCCTCTCAACTACTTACCCCAGAAGACAAGATAAGAATTATCTTCATCTATAAAAATATTAATGACTTCCATTGAGAGCTGGCGACAATTCCATCACCAACCAAACCCCAGTTCTTCAAGAAAAATGAATTTCTTTACTTACCTCCACTGACAGTTGTTCTATTAGAGAACACCAAACCATACAAACACAGTCACACTCACTCTACAAAATAGTTTGAGTGTGGCATTTAAAAGGGGATCCAAATGGTCCTTTAGTGAACATTCATATTTACTTCATGCACTTTTGCTATAAACACGCCTCAGAAATCCAAAATGTTACTCTAAAATACCACATGTGACTTTTCTTTTGTGTCAGAGGAGCCCTGAAGTATCAGACCAACATCGAGGCCCACCCTCCCGGCTGCCTCACAGCCAATCAGAGCAGCACAAGCCAGCGGCGTGAGGATGAAGAGAGGCGATGTGGAGAGGAAGCTCACTTCCAGCCACACTACCCCCAGGTCTGTGTGTGTGTGTCAGTGTGTGTGTACGAGGTGCACGTCTATTATGTGTATCTTGGCATTGGCATTCATTTGTGCGCCTGTCGAAGGAAGTGTTTGTACCTCTGCGTGCGTGCCGGTGTTGTAGAGGGCGTGGAAGGGGGGGTATTGAGTATTTGGGAGGTGTTGGAGGGAGCTGGTCCTGTTTATTAGAGGTGCAGTGCAGTGAGGGAGGGGCAGGTATCCTCTTTCTACATCAAGGCCTGTGTTTGTGTGTGTACGTGTGTGTGTGCGTGTGTTTCTTCCTGAGTGTGTGATTATGTGTTTGCACATGGTCGTTAAGCAACGAGCTGGTTCCATAAAATCCCCCTTAAACCCAATTGTGCTCTGCAGGGTTTACTGGAGTTGTGAGCAATTAGTCTGCTTTGGGTAACTGCCAACAAAAAGAAACAGAAACACGGCACACTGTGATAGAAAGGTCCGTAGATTTGACATGTGTTCTCATGTCCTCCCTTTGGGATTGGTATGATTATAAGACAAGCAACAGGGGGAACCATCGAGCATGCAACGGTTTCTAAAGCTCGAGCTAAATCATGGCGACGGAAGCTGATCTTCAGAATCTTTTTGGAAACGTTGGAAATGATCATCTGCTCAGTGCAAGAAGAAGAGCACGTAAACCTGTGCATGCAAAACCACCTGTCAGTCTGTGCAGAGAAAGTTAAGGGCAACCAATGTTCAGCAAACTGCTGTTAGACAATATAGCTTTAAAACTCCAAATCCGTACCGAAGAAAAATACCAAATGAACGTTGACACGTGCGCGGACGGAGAGAACTGCAGTTTGTCATTAACTGTGGTATATTTAAGATAGCCGCTATCGAAACTGTGCTTTTTGTGAGTGGTCGTTTGCGTGTGTCTCTCGCTCTGCTTGTAGACGTGGCTGTGGGTGTCCGGTCCGCTCTGTCTCTACTGCGCCGAGCGCTTCTACCGCTACATCCGCAGCAGCGACCCTGTCACCATAGTGACGGTCATCAGGCACCCTTGCGATGTGGTCGAGTTGCGCATGCTTAAGAAGAATTTCAAAGCTCGTCCCGGTCAGGTGAGAAGACATGACATGTCTTTTTTTTTTTTTTTAAGTCCACCCTTATAACTTGGTGTGTGTTTGTTTTACGTCCATCTGATTCTCCTTGGCCTCCCCTCTTGTTCCCCCCCTCTCCCCCTTTCTTCTCTTCTCCTTTTCTAATCCCCCAACTCCTTCTCCCTGTGCCGTCCTGCTGTCTCTCCATCCCTCCCCTCTCTCTTTTTCAGTATGTTGTTCTTAACTGTCCAGGTGTCTCTTCATTTGAGAACCATCCCTTCACGCTCACTACGGTAAGACTTTAAGACGCATTCCTCGCTCATGAGACAATGCAAACACACACACGCAGATGTATGTTTTTATAGTATCTTAAACTTTCTTACCCCCCCCCACCCTCCTGGCAAAGAACATGCAGTTCTTTGTCTCTCCCAACATCCCGCCCTCCTCTGCTGCTGGCTGGCACTTGAATGACAGCTGGGTCGTCCAGTAATATTCCGTTTCACGTTATTTGTTAATGTTTTCAGATTTAGTCCAGATTGTATGAGACAAAAGCAGAAGACAAAGAAACAACTTCCTGTTTAGTCATACAGAGATGGACACACACACACACACACATACACACACACACACACACACATATACACAAGCACACACTTCAATGTGTTCATGCCCATGCCTGGTGTGCTATGGAGCTTTGAGGAGGAAGGCAGGGAATCACACTGACAGAGAGCAGACAGACCCCTGAGGCTCGTCTGCTAACAGGAAGGCTTAGTGTGTCTGCGTGTGTCCATGTGTGTGTACGTATGCATTGTTTAATTTATTGAAAATAGTTTTTAACTGTTTTGTACTGTAGATGACCACTGGTTTGTGTGTGTGGATGTCCATGTTGTTGTGTTGCTTGCTTGTGTTTTCTTGTACACTCCAACAACTGAGAGTGTGCGCACATGTATATGTGTGTGTGTGTGTTGTGACTACAATGTCTGCTTTTTAAACTCCTCACAGTGTCCCACAGAGAAAAAGGAAACCTTTGGCATCCATCTTCGAGTTGTGGGAGACTGGACTGGTGGGTGCGCACTTACACATGAACACACATTGTGATGCTTCCAGGAATCAGGCATCCAGGTTATGGTAATACATAATATTTCAGACATACAAGGAGTTTGACTTTGCCGTTGGTGCATGACAGCAGACAGTACGACAATGGACAACAAAACAACATAGTGCAAGAGAATCAAATTAAATATAATACTATGGGTTAGTAATATAAGGCGATGGGTTAGTTTACAAATAAAGGAATAAAAGTTAAAAAAGTTAAACGTACAAACACACATGGACACTTTGGGTTTTTGCATAGAACAATGTGTGCAGAAACACACAGATCAGGTCACAGACAAAAAGGCACACGCACACATTTTGTGTTCCCTGTCAGAGTTGACCGGATGTCCTTTTGTCCCTTCTCTCTGGGGAGGAAGTATTTCCATCATACACTCAAAAACATATATTTCTCTTTATCTCTGTCTTACTATTTGTATATGGCTCACACAGTTTTATTGTCAGTTTGTTAACATTTACTTACAGCGCTTTCTCAATTTTAGCGCAAGACAGACGTGCAGCATGTCAAAGAAAAGTCAAATTCAATGACCAAATTATATATTAAATATTAAATATTTATAATAATATATAATAATAATAATAATAATTTTTAATAATATATTAAATATTTTGTTATCACAACAGCATGTACAGGGAAGATATAGAATTAAAAGATACACATTATATACAATATAATAAGATAAAAAAATATTAAATTAAATTAAATAAACTAAACTGAAACAAAAGAATAACCTTCAAGAAGAGACAGTGCAATAATAATAATTTGTAAAAGGAGAAGAGGAAGAGCAGCAACATCACAGCAGTACAGGGTTGCTATTGTCATTATTTGGCCAGAGATGATTTATTGTAAAGTGTTATATGACCGCATGAGTTGGATTATCATGCAGTGGACTCCGAAGTAATCATTTCTGGGGGACGCCTTTACATCATATGCAGGAGCTTGTGCATCCGACTCCACTTGCTACTGTACATTGACACGCACATGTTTTCAGAAGATAGAAAGTGCTTTTCTTTGCGTTGTGCCACTTAATCTTTCATGAACACACTTTGCAAGGAAACACTGGAAAGCATTGAGTTAAAAAAGTCATGTTTTCCTTTTAGCCGAGTACATTCTCGGGGAGTTAGATCAGTGGGAGAAATAATGAGAAATACAAACCCTCTCGTCTCCTCAGAGCGGTTCACACAGATGTTACTTCCTCAGCCAAGGATGGATTTGGAGATCCTTCCCATGGTGCAACAGAGGAGATATCCCAAGTACGTTTGTGTGTGTGTGTGTGTGTGTGTGTGTGTGTGTGTGTGCTTGTGTGATGTGGCTGACTTGATTTCTCATGAAGGCTCAGAATCACACAGGGGTCAGAGGTTTTGAGGTCTGACCTCTGACCCTTGTGCTCTTCCTGCTCTGTATTGGAGAGGGCGAGAGGGAGGGGGAGAGAGCGAGAGAGAGAGAGGGGAGTTTATTTTGTGATAATAAACCAGAGATTATTCAGCCCTCTGTAAAGTGGGCGGAGGTTTAGGACAATGCTCCCCGAAGGTCAGAAGGCTTCATTTCCATTTACTGGCATAGTTCAACTAGTGTAGAATGCATTTTTCTTTGTTTAATTCTAATAAAAGAATGAATTGAGTCAAATTAGTACAAAAAATATTTTGTTTCCAAGCAAGAGGAAAGGTTAGAGATTCGTGAAAATATGCAATATCTGCAATATTTTAATCAGTTTAACGTTATCGTTGATTTCTTTTAGTAAATAGGTTCAAAACATAGTTAGCCTAGTTTTATCATGAAGGCTGTAAACATTGGGCAACGGATGGCCAAGCTAGATCAGAGTGAGCAAAGTGGTATTTTTCTATTTTTCCGCTATGTTTTTATTATAATTGCAGAGCAAAGTGGTTGTGATTGTGTGACACAAACGTTGAGCCGGTTCTGAGTGTCATGTGCAGTTTTATCTGAGCATATTCTGATATACTTTATTAATGCAGACAATTGTGTTTGTTTGACCATCCGTGGCAATTTTATATCTGTCCATTTAGTTTGTGTCTGTCTGTGTGTGTCCGTGAGTGAGTTTGTATATTTTGATGACACAAGTGTTTGAGCAGCTGTTGGAGTTTGTGGGGTTACACAAGCTGCACCCGGAGAGTGTGATTTCAAATGCAGGATGTTTATGTGTGTGTGTTTGTCCACACTGTGCATCCAGGCTTTACATTGATGGTCCCTTTGGAAGTCCATCAGAGGAAGTGTTCAACTACGACGTCAGTGTTTGTGTTGCCGGTGGAATCGGAGTAACGCCGTTCGCCTGCGTGCTGCATGCTCTACTGTGAGCTAAAAACACACAAACATCACAAACAGATCATTGTTGAGCAACTGGTGCAAGCTTTGTGTTTTGTGTGTATCTTCCTCTCTTCCCTCCCCCCTGCTTCACACCTCAGGGACGGCTGGACGGGCTTCAGGTTGCAGAGGTTGTACTTTGTGTGGGTCTGCAGGGAGCTCCAGTCCTTCTACTGGTTCTCTGAACTGCTGTGTGCTCTCCATCACAAGGTCAGGACAAAGTATAACATGCTATAGCCTTCACGCTTTTTTGCTTTTAAACATGGGGGAGGGAACATGTGGTTGATGGTAAAGTTTGGTCACTGTCTTTACCAGATCTTCTCTGTGCGTTGATGACATTGTGTGTAAAGAATCACTTTCACAAAGGACTTCAGTAGTTATTTGGCTTTTCTTCAGGCTAAATCCCTGCATACACCTGTTTTTCCTTTGAATTAAGCTAGTTTAGTAAAAATAATCCATGTGATACAGACTTTTGGGGTGCGTTTATGTCCTGTTTATGTTTATTATGTTTAATTTTATGTGTTTACTTTGGCAAATATGCTTTTAGATGCTCTTCACAGTAAAAGTTTTCTATAGACATGGATTGCCCAAATAAAAAGCACTCTTATGGCCTCTGTGTAACTCAGATTCAGAATTTACTGTTAATTATTTTTTTGTGACAAATTTATAAATGTTATAAATGAACATTTTTTTAGATTTTTATATTGATATGGATGAACAGACTTTTGTTTTTTGTTTTGTATTTCACGTCATCTTGTGGCTGGTTGTAACTTTACCTCTCCTGCATCAGAGAAACCAAAGGAATGCATGGTGCATTTCATCACAAATAGTGCTGTGTGCAATTAGACATAATTAACCACAGAAGCACCGAAATGACGCTTCCATATATGTGGTGTCTTTTAGCTTTGGCAGGAAAACAGACCAGACTACTTCAACCTGAAACTTTACGTCAGTCAGAAAGACAATCTGCAGGTAGGTGTGACCCCCCCACACACACACGTTTTGTGTTCATTTTTTTTTTATTTCATTCATGCATTGTTGGTCAGTCAGTTAGTAATGTAACCCACTAGAGGGCAGTATATTACAGAGAGAAAACTACAGCCGTTTGTCCGTTTTCTCTCTTGAGCGTGATTGTTTTAGCATTTTTTCCCCCTTTTCCTTGCTGTGTCAAACAGCTATTAGAGACCATGAATCCAGGAATCTGAGACCTGTTACCTTTCTTGTCTCAAAAAAAGACGTAAAAACATAAAACAGAATATAATTTTTTGTCAATTATTTGTCAAGATTTCTTATTTTACTATAAATAGCTAATACTATCTCCTCCATTGTTTAATAAATAATATCTGTCAATGAACTCAAAACAAACTCTTCAGGATCCATTCAAAATGTGGTTTCATATTTTCCTTTTTTATGTTTGGTCATGTGACCAAACCGTGGGTTGTCAGTCTCTCTCACGTAAACTGCATAGTAATGTATTGCACACAGCAATGTAAGAAAAGTCACCTAATAATGAAGAGCAAAGTAATCTTAATCTTAATTATTTTTACTTAATATGTTGGAAAAATTCTACTATGGTTTTGTGTTATTGGACAGAGTTTGTTGAGTGAAACAGACGTTTCATCGGTCAGATGTCGTAAAGAAGATATGAAATGTATTGTTAATGGTAACGGTACAGTGTGTACAAGATACTCACTATAAGCAAATGCTATCGCTTCATCTACGTTACTGCTGGATTTACATCTTGCTTAAAAATATCATTGACATAATCCATCAGTATTGTGTTGACAAAGTGACCAGAACAACTCAGTCAAAATGGATGTTTTTGTCACCTACCTTATATTCCAGAGCATGTCTGAGGAGAAGTACCGTCCACTCACCTCAAGGCTCCTGGTCGGTCGACCCAGGTGGAAGTTACTGTTTGATGAGATCGGGAAGACCAACAAGCAGTGAGTAGAGCGTGAATCTCCCAACCTGACCTGCTACATGGTTTGTTACACAGATACTTGTATTGGATGAACATCCATCAGCTGGATCTCTCTGTCTCTCTCTCTCTGGTTTCAGTAAGCGAGTCGGGGTTTTCTGCTGTGGACCAAAGGGAATCTCCAAGACGCTCCACAAACTGTGCAACTCGGCCCGATCCTCTGGAACAACCTTTGAATTCAACAAGGAGTCCTTCGGCTGATCGAACAGCTGCTCCTCACCGAAGAAGAGCAGCAGCTCTGCCGTTTTACAGAGTACGAAACCCCTCAGAAGAATGTATATAGATAAACTGTATTATTATTTCACACGCATCACCGCCCGTGGCTACAAAAGGCCCAGCAGGACAAGACCTTAACATGCAGCTTCAGGCCTGTTCCTCTCTACAGTTACTAGTCTGACCCCACACTCATTCTCAACCTCTCAACTTCAACATCTTAGAAAAGCTGAAGTGAAGAGCCCCCTGCTGGGATTCTCTTATCAGGATGCTCTGTGTTTTCTGAAGCTGCTGTTGGATTCTCTCTTCCCTTCCCCGACGCACCCCTGGAGTAAATTGTTTTTCTCATGCTGGTGTATAAGAAAAATGTAAGAAAAATGTCTGCCACATCCACGACCACCAACACAAGATAACAATATAAAGAAGATGGTATTCGTCTTAAGGTGCACCAGGGCTGGAACATCACAATGGAACCAACAGTTTTTTTTTTTACATATTTAGGAAACAGTTTGCCTAAATAGCCAGTGTTACGTCCCCTGTTCTGTGTATAGGTATGTGTTCTGTTTCGTGTGTGTGTTCGTACAGGTGGTACTGATCATCCATGATCTCCGTTCATCTTGGCTCCACCCACTCTCGTTACCCGGTTCAGCTGTTTCCACTCATCTCCAATCGCATCGTGCCCTTCTGTCAGTATATGTACCCCTGTGTTTGTTTCACCCGGGGGGGTGTCACTGGTTGTGTGTATGTGAGTGCTGGTGTATGGTGGGGTAGTTATTAGTTCTGGTGATTTTCTGTACTGTGTATTCAATTAATTGTTTTTTCTTTTGTTCTTTTTCTTACAGGGGAATGAGGAGTAGTTTAGCCCTGCTCCGGAGTTTACATACCTGCACGTAGGGTCACTCTCCTGTCTAACAACACTAGGGCCACCTACTGTAAGTTTGGGTAGGGCGCCTTGTTAGTGTGCCAGTTAGTGGTTTTTCGTTGGGAGATAGGACAGGTAAGGGGGTGGGAGGCATTTTGTTCTTTTCTTTGCTTTGGTACCGCCAGCCCTCCTCATTTCCCCTGTTAACTGCGCTTAAATAAAAGCCTGCTTACCCCAACTTCAGGTGATGTTTGTTTTCTTGCACCTACAACGCCATACCTGTTTACTGGTCACAGGACGTCCTCGGGCAGTGGCGTGAATCCCACTCCCCTCCTGGGGAGTCATAACGTAACAGTCAGAGAGGCGGGTCGATCAATTTTGGGGGGCTCATGATGGTGGAAAGAGGTGGACTCAAGACAGATGATGAACACATCGCGTGTTGTTTATTATAGTTTTGTTGTTCATCCGTTCATGTATGTGCATCAAAGGCCTGTCTTTATTCAAAGCACGCATCAGGCCAGTATTGTTAGGTAGTTTTTAAAATTAATTTATATTGTGAAAAGTTTTATTTGAAACCTGTGGGCCTTTAGCAATTTCTCTACAAATAAGTGCCTTGTCTTTTATTTTTACATATATCCAGGAAGTTACTCTAAAAAGAAAAGAGGAGTGGTAAATAACATAAACTGGAAACCCCAGGTTTCTGTAACGAATCAAAATCTTGATATTAATGTTTATGTGACTGAAATGACAGCATTCTGCTAAATAAAGCTTTTATATATTGATAATTTGCACGAGGTGGAAAAAAACTTTTTTAGTCTAATCTTGGCCAATGTTACGTTGTTTTCACAAATATATAATTCAGTCAGAAGCATATACTTAAGAAACAATGTTTGACTGCTTAGTGGAATTAACCACTAATCTACGGTACATACACTATTGTGAAACAGATGTCTGACTGTCAACTGGTTTTCTTCAAATTCCCAATAAGATTTGTAATCAAAATGACAACTAAAAGTAATTATATCCATGTTAATGTGAAGAAGCCACTAGTTGGTGGCACTCAATATCCAAACTGCTACCAAACATGACGACAAATCACAGTAAAACGGGATCTTATTGGTCTGATTTTAATGCAGCATGTAAAAACTTTGCTTCCATGATGCCACCCACGTTGTCTTTGCCTGTGAGAGATCACAGTCCTCTTGGCACACTGTGGTCCTTTGGCACCACTGCTAACACACCACAGAGCCTTATAGACACTTACTCTTCAACCATTTACCTCATCATAGAGTGTAACAGTGGCAGGAAATCTCAGCGTCACTGAATAGAGGAAAATATTGAGACGTTTCGAGGCCGAGCATGTCATTAGCGCTACAGTACTGGAGACCTGAACATCTGAAATGATTCCTTTCCTACTTAATTTTCATTGAGCTACGACTCTGCCCACAGGTAAGTTATAGCACTTCCCTATGGTGTGGGTCTAGTACGCAGAACGATTAGAATGATGTTTCAGGATGGTCTGTGTTTTCATGTCATTGAGCAAAGTTGCTAAGGAGAGAATATCCACACTGCTGTTGCTGTCATTGACTCCTGAGTAGTTTTTTTTAGTAGACATTAAACATACTCAAAGTCACAGTACAAATAATCACAAGACAACTGCAGGGCAGCCTATACCTCGTGACATTTCCATTTGCACACCGACGTGTGTTGCATTGTATTAACATATGTACTGTGTGATATATCTTTATAAATTAAATAGATTTATTTTGGTAAATCCATGAAACGTTTTAACTTGCACCAGGTTTCAGCTCATGCATTGGCCACATGAAAATACTGAGTGTCCCTAACAGTTCATTCGGGGGTACATGCAGTGTATCTACGCGTTAAAGAGTAGTCTGGTATGAAGACGAGCCTTCCTCTGAGCTGCTGTTCAGTAACGGCTGTCTCTCTCCGTAGCTCGGCACCCTCTTCTTCCTCTGGTTACGCTTCCACTTCCTTCTTGCGGAAATAACCACAGCGGCGAAGATTGCGGCAATCAACACCCCGAGGATCCCGGCTCCCAGGAGCCATTTCCAGATCTGCTGGGCCTGCTGGAGGTAAGGTGTCAGGAACTCCTGGACAAACCTCTGGCCTGTAGTGGTGATAGGATGTTAATCATATTTTATAAATGGTGACTTATAAAATAATTCAGATTCGTTGAGAATATTTTGAAAAGTGGCTAATTTCTATAAGTGAGTGACTTTGTAACTTTGTCACTAAAATGCTGAGAAAACGTATTAACAAGGTGTGCATAACCATCTAATATTTTGTGCTTTCAATTGCCATCTAGTGGTGAAATATATTAATTTATAAAAACATTTATAATTTAGTAATTTAACATTATTTCAACAGCCACAACAGTCATGACTCAATATTGTAATTACTACTTCACCACATGTGGAACTTAAAAGTAGGAAATGCAATATTAATGTTATATTCCAAAACGTGTGTATATGTAGAAGAAACACTTGTAGAAACAATCTTTTGCTGGGCTTGTTCATCATTGTGTACTGACCAGGGTCCAGCAGGTAGGCATACTCGAACCCTAGAGCCTTGTCGGTCAGGAAGTAGTCTCCGTTCCTGTAGAGAGGCAGGAAGGGCACCATGTAGTGACCATCATTGTGGCCAATGGGAGCATTGGTTTGTGGGTAGTTGGTCCGGACAGGCTGGTGTGCTCTGAGCCAGCGCTCAAAGATGCTGAAGAAGAGAAAGAAGGAACAGTGGAGATCAACAGGAGGAAATAGAGGTGGAGGTGCAGGGGGGATAAAGATGACTTTTCTCTTAATGTATTTTCCTCTCGTACCTCCTCCCTCCCTCTCATTTCTAACACATGAATATTTCATCATTGTTACAAATAAACACGACGTGTGCTCTCGTGTCATTGGTCGACCAGTCGGTTCGCTTGGTCGTACCTGTCGATGAAGGCGTGGTGCAGCAGGAATATGGGGTCGTTGGCTGAACCCTGCACGGAGGACATGGAGCCGTTCATGAAGACATGCAAGGCGTTGTGCATGGTGCTCTGGCCCTGCACTGCCATACCTGAGGTCGGACTGGCGAAACCTGCAGGAGGAGAGAAAAGTGCCCACTTGTGTTTCGAGTGGTCATTCGCACATCTTTGTGTCAGTCTTGATACGACTAAGACGGACAAACTGTCAAACAAACGGACGGAAAAATGGACAGAAAATTGATTTACTCAGTTTTAGTAGGAAGAATGTTTGTTGCTTGTCTTGTGAATACACACATATGAGTGTATGTCTTACAGTGTAGACAAAGTGGGACAAAACACATTAGCCAGATTAGACAGTTGATTCAGTTTCGGTTCAATGGTTAATAAAATGGTAAATGGTGTGTGTGTGTGTGTGTGTGTGTGTGTGTGTTTCAACCCCCCGTACCCTCTATGACGTTTCTAAAGCTCATATTGGCAAATCGGTCCATGGGTCCCGTCTCGTACTGGGGGAGGCCCACAGTGAAGTCCACATCTGCTGTTGTGGGGAGTCTCGGCGTGCGGTTGGTATCATGGTTGCCGGGGTTACGCAACAGTGGACCCTCCCCGGTGGCGTTACACAACGCCTCTCGGCTGTTGTACTCGTCTGGCTGGGTGCAGATCACCTACACGCACGCCCGCGCGCACACACACACAGAAACAAATACTTTTTTGAGATACTGCCGTTAAAGAGCTCCACACATCATTGAAGAGCAAGAACTATAGTGCCGAGTTTACAGATTTCTCTGAATAAAGTCTGTGTAAATAAAAAGCCTCTCAGGCAGGATTTTCACACTGATCCTTTTTGCTGACTGGACCAAGACTTGTGTGTTTCAAAACAATCCATCCATTTCTTTGGATTAAACCAGCTTTGGAACAACAGATATGCGGAATTAAATGTAAATGTAAAAATCCTTTCTTTGTTTCGAGGGAAAAGGAATTTTGAGTCTTTTATTAGTAATTAACATTAGTAAAAAACATTTTGTTTTTGCTCACAGACACACTCACTGAGAGCCAGAGAGAGAAATGTCTTTACCTTCCATGAGGAGAAGACTGAAGCAGGGCTGATGAGGTTGGGATTGAGGGGGCTGCGTCCGCCCATCAGAGCATCGGTGCACACCTCACAAGACTCTGCATCCCTCCAGTCCCAGTATGGGATGGTGAAGTTAAAATCTCCCGTCAGCTTCCTTATCTCATTCTCCCAGTGAAGCAGGTAGACCCGGTGCCACGGCAGAAATGCACCGGATTCGTGTGCAAAGTCGATGTTTGTCCATACGTTCCCTGGCCCTCCCAATAAGGCGTCCCGGGACACGTAGTAGTGCATCCAGACAAACAGGTCATAGGTGTTGATGTCGGAGAACATGGGGTTCTCGCCATTTTCACCCATCTCTGCTCTTGTTGCCGTGGCGATCACATAGTCACGGCTGACGGTGTCCTTGGCCAGGTTCAAATAGGAGACAAATTTCTGTTGCTCAGCGGGCAGCATGCTCAGGATGTTCCTGCGCACCGACTCCCTGTACTCAGCACAGTTTGAGCCCCAGTAACCAAAACGGCATTCGCCACAGTTAAAACCTCCGTAGTTTCCAGCACAACGACATGTCCGGTTGAAGAAAGCTAAAGGCCAGCGCTCTCTGTCATCTATCCCGCTGTGCGGGTACTGGGGCCCGTGGGGCTCCTCTGAGACCTCCACCTCAGCGCAAAAACCCCGGCCCGACAGGGCCCCGCAGGCTGAGCCGTCACCGTCCCACACCGGGCAACACTCTTTGGTCCGGAGTCCGACTGAGTTGGCACACGGTCGAGGGAACTGGCATAAAGAGGTCCCAATGAGCTGCAGCAGAACCACAGAGGCGTACGAGCTCCACATGGTGAAAGTCAGACAGTGTAAAAGGCGGACACGACCGTATCCGATGCACCTCACAGGCTGCAGCTGCAGAAAAAAATCTTCGGGTACCTGTATTTATACAATAGACCAATTACTACCGTGCTCGCTTGCAGTTTGCAGGTTTTTGAAACGTGGTGCCCCTCTATGCTACAAACCAACCCTCAGCCAAAGCTCCGTCCTCCTCGCTCCTACACCAGGAGTCCAGTTCTCTTGCCACTCATTGAGCTGTTTTAGGGGGCCGTCCTCTGGCAAAGTGTGTGATCTCATTGTGATCTCAGGCACTCTGGCGGGGGCTAGACACACATAAACCCCTGCACACACACACACACACACTTAGACTCAAGAATGTGCACTCACACTATCACATGCTAAGGATAATATTCATGATTCCGCTTACATTTTGTCTTAAGACCAGCCGGCCCCTGATCCACTATACCTCAGGCAGAACCTCGTGTGGTGTTTGTGTGTGTGCGCACGACCCTCCACCCTCGGCAAAGACTGGGCCGGAGTTTGTGTTTGATATGTGAAACTGAGATCTGGAAAAGAAAGAGAAAATGTATGAATGAGAATCTAGCAATGTGGTCTCAGAAGTGACCTTCTGCAGGTTTTCAGTCAAGCTAAACTCCACGTTAGTTTCTCCTTTGGTTGATTATTATTTTTCAAATAAAGAGATACATATTTCTTATTGTATTAAGTTGTGTGAGACCATCAAGGTCAAACGTTTTTGGAGCTCATTCCATTTGGAGGAGCATGGATTTCTATTCTAAAGAATATCTTTTAATCCGACAGTTTATGTACATCGCTGTGAGAACAGAATAGAAGAGAAGCAGTTTGTTATTGTAGAAAATCCAACATTGACCTTCAGTTTGTTTGTCAGTTGTCTTAAAAGTGAGCCAGATTATCAAGTATTTACAGCACTCTATAATTCTCAATATAACTTGTAAGGTATATCTGTGTGAATAACAACGATGTAGATGAACATCTGCAAATAATAATAATAAAAATAATAATAACAGTAATGTACTGTAGATCTAAGCACAGCTGTAAAACGAGCAAAATGTACAAAGAATGCAACACTACAGAGAATATTTGAATGCAATAAAACATGGAAGTAGCTTACATGTAAAGCTTAAAGTTACAGTATTGACTGTATTCATGAGTTAATAGGTCTATGCATGCTTTGATTTCAAGAGCCTTTTAAATATGGGCTACACTCTAAAAAATGTCACCGTAAATTTACGGTATTTTATTGGCAGCAAGGACACCAGGAATTTACTATTATTTTACGATATAATACCGTAAATGGTTTTTACACTATGTTACTGTAAAATGGATTACTCTATGTTACCGTAAACTTGAACGAATTTTACTGTGAATTAACTGCAATTTACTGGCAGTCGACGCTAGTAACTTACGGTTTTGTTTACAGTGCCCTACCGTAATTGACGGTATGTTGTTGTATATTGGATTACAGTTTCTTACCATACGATTACTTTTTTTGTGTTATAAATGCCAGAATGTTACCGTTTACTTATAACCGTATACTTTTGCATTTAATTCCTCACAAATTAAAGAAAGACAACCAAACTCATTTCGGTCATAGTGGTTGGAGTTTAATAGATGCCTTTAAGACAAAAGTGTTCGGCATTTGTAACCAATATCAAAGCATAAAATATGCCGCATGTATACAGTAATAAAAAATGAATCATAAAATCATTAGGAACAAGGTAAACTAACTGCAACAATATGGAACACTTTCAATTGACCATGCAGGAACACTTGCAGTCGTCGCTTAATCCAGTGCCTCTGTAAAACAAACCAAAATTAAATATTTAGAAACACTGTCATTGGTAAAATATTAAAATAACAAAGTTGAGGAAGACAACAAGATGTAAGGAAGGAGAATGTTAATCATGCTAGGCAAATAACACTTACCAACGTTACTTGGACAGACGAGGCAATGAGAAACTCCTCCGATGTTGAACTGCACAGGTGTTCTGGATGAACTGAGATTACGCGTCTGACGTCACGTTCAGGAGCAGTCGGTCACGATTAACACTCAAATGACTTTTAGGCAATGAACACTTTGAATAATACAAATATTTATAATCTTTACATTCCGGCCACTGAAACGACAGCGAAGGCGGCGCAGCAGCTGCACGCGTGCTGTGCAGCACAACGTTGGCGGTTTGAATCCTGGCTGCTCCCTGTGCCAAGTTGAAGTGTCCCTGAGCAAGACACCTAACCCCCAATTACTCCACATAAAATGATGTCAAACCATGGGCGTTTTGGATAAAAGTGACAGCTGCATGTATAGTAATGTCCTGTAAGTGAAAGTCATCATCGCATCTCATGAGATACTTTCTCATTATGATGACTTACAGGACCTGTTTTTCAGTGACTGACATGGGCTTCCATACATTACCTACAACAGATGTAGATGGATTGTGATTCACTGCACCTGTATGTGTAGTTCCACCACTTCATAAAATATATGCAACATGCAGTTGAATTACGGTAGTCTGCTATTGTAAATTGACAGCTTTAACTGTTTATTCATGACATCGGCCGTTAATTTACAAGCAAGGGATGGAAATTTAACTGTACGTTATAGTTATTATGACATACTGTAAGATACCATTAGAAATTCACCGTAAATTTACAGAAATTTGTTACAGTGTACGTGAGTTGTGTTCTCATAGCGTGACGAGCACGACCCAAGACCCGATCTTTAATACGTGGAAACTAAGAGCAAGACAGACTGTGGGACTTTCTTCTCCCTCAGTGTGCACTGGCTCCTCTGATTCCTCAGACTATCGTGGTCTAGCGCCGGGCCCGGGGCAGCAAGTCACCCGCCCCAAACCTCGGGATCACAAGCCGGTCACATGCTGCTGTTGCCAGGCACGGGGAGCAGCTTATCCAGCTGCAGGAACGCAGTAGTACGCACATGAATGACCATCACAGGATAAACCTGTCTGTAGGGGTTCGCTGACAAGTGAGCCAACAGTGTGTGTGTGTGTGTGTGTGAGAGAGAGAGCGTCCTTTTCTTTGAATTTACTGAGAATTGCCCGTTCTTTAAAGCTCTCAGGTTACAGAAGTTCATACCACCAACTACAGAATATTTAACAACCACGTGACATGAAGTAAAGCTTTCTCATAATGATCATATTATTTTGTCCCAACCAGACACAAGAGGGCAGCATGAGCCGTTTGTTGCCATTAAAACCGAGGAACAGTCTGGATTTTAGGATCCTCCTCACCAATTAAGTAATTACACTGGAAGGTCATGTGGCTTTTTTCAGTTCACAAAGATTATTCATATGAAAAGACCTGCAAAGGACAACTTCAAGGGGAGACCCAGATCACACCTCGCTCCCCCAGAAGATAGTTTTATTGTCTGATCAAATCTGATTTTCAATCCACGCTTACAACAGTCTGGAGATGTTTTTTGAAGAAAACATGATTTATTATCAATATATTTATCAGTTGAATGGCAGTTTGTGTGTGTGTGTGTTTAGTGGAGGAAATAAATCAATGTGTTTGTGGCTCAGTCAATCAAAAGATGGTCAGTTTGTATGAGCTAATGACCTGTGAATCTGATCTGTGACAGAAAGTGAGGAAGGCAGTGAGATGTAAAATGATTATTCGTCAAGCAACCGAGAATCTGTACTGCAGCTTTTTTTATTCGTCTGTTGAATATTGAACACATTTCTTATGGGCTGAATTTTACTCATTCCAGTTTCTCAAACGTGAATGTTTATTCTTCTTTTGTTTATTTTCCTTTACAGTAAACTAATCAGACAACTCAACAGCCATCACCGTGGGTTGTGCATTAGCATTCATTCTTAATAAATTAAGGTAACCTTAATCAATCAATGAATAATAGTTGTCAGTTACAGCCCAATGATGGATCTTTCTGTATTAATAAGAGTGGCTCCCTTTTATTTGGGACGTTTCTCATATCATCTCTGCAAGGTGCATTTCCCAGTTTGTGTGCTATCTCTATTTTCAGGTTTCCTCGACAACATGACAGCTTGTCAACCTGTGCTGACAGTTAACAATCGAGAACGAGGCTGCTTTTAGTTTGTATCCACCCAGACTCTGGATCAGACTCTGGATCAGCCTGCCAGTGGATCTGAGGACACGTGCCCTTTATTAAAGCGCTTTGAAAACATATTCTTTCTCTCAAAATGTTCTAAATACACAATCGTTACGGGGTTACATGTTATCATCATGCTATACTTCATGCTAAACCCCGGTGAGGTTCTCTTTTGAGGATGATTCATAACTAGTTTTATAAATAGGTATAAATCAAGACTTTTTTTTCCACGTGATTACATTGTGTTTTATCTAGTTTTAACTAGTGGAGTAGAGTGGCAAAACTGTTGAAGTAGGTGGACAAACCTGCCTTTGCCATCATGACATTGTTAAAATGTAGCTAAAATGTAAATCATGAACTCCGTTTAGTAAGTGTCAATACCTGATGATGACAAGTGAAACACAGACAAGATGATGAAGGTTATTAGCAATGAATGGCGGAGCTTAGATGTTTACCACATGTCACAATCGAGATGTTTAGTTCAATTAAAACAAACAAATGACAATATCCCAGTATTTACATGTTCACTGACGCAGGAATCACATTACACGGGAGAGAATGTTTCATAACGGATGTCCTCATTTCTGTGTTGGCATTATTTGTTCTCTATTTGTCCTACTTAGTGTAGGAGTATCACCGACAACTGACAACCCTGTAATTCATCTACGTGTCCATGGCAACCATAGGTATCCACTGTTATTTAGAAATGCCATTGAATAATTGATTTACCGACTGTGACACTAACTGGATGATTTATCGGACCTTCCAATCCAATTCTTCAATCAAGCTCATGTTTCAATATTGAATTACATTTTGACGCAAATTTGCATCAATCACGTTTCAAGTTTCCTTCTGTAGCATCAAAGAGTGGAATATGTGTGTGCGCGCGTGTGTGTGTGTGTGTGTGTATGTGTGTGTGTTTCTGTGTGTGAGAGAGCGGGGGAGAGCGAGCGAGCGATTGACTTGATTGGCTGCCTATTTTACTACAGCAGTGAACGGTTGCCATGGAAATGAGATGACAGATTATTCGGGTATTTCATTTATTTTAAATCTCTCTATTCAGAAAATCAAAGGCATGTTGTAAAGCGACAGCTGACAGAAACTGGGTCGGAGTCTTCATGCATTGTTGATGTCTATGCAAGTGATCAACAAACTATTTACATGTGCATGGAGATACTCTGATAGACAATAGTAGTAACATATGTGTATGTAAGAGATCTATAACAACTCATAACCTTTGATCTAAGATGAAAATATATTACAGTGTTAGAAGCCGGGTTAGATTAAATTCATCCTGCAGCTCTCATAGATAGGCACCACTTTGTTGGCTGTTTGATTGAATATCTGACTTCATGACCTGGACTGCATCACCAGCTTTAGTCTCTGTGATATTATATAGTCTGAGGAGGAAGGCCAGGTACATGCTGGCCGGCAGGTCTCCATGTGTCCTTCAGAGGATCCTGCTCTCACACACACACACACACACACACACACAGAAAGAGAGAGCGAGAGAGGTCAGGGTTAGTAAGGCTATCACTGCATCAGCTAAAGCCGCGTCCAGCCTGTTTGTGTGAAAAAAACAGTGAGGGAATTGATGTAGTTGTGTTGTGCGTGCATGTGTGAGTGTTTGTATGCAGCCTATATCTATGCCCCTTTAATGGTCTGTTAATCCCAAATGCATTTGGCTGGCAAATTAATCCAAGCCTTGTCAAAACCAAGCTCTCTAAAGCCCTTTCTATCTCCCTCTCTCGCTGTCTCTCCTTCGATCTCTCATTCACTCTCTCTCTCCCTCTCTCTCTGTCGGGCTACTCGCAATCAGTAGGCCCGTATCTCCAGATGGTATCTTGGAGGTAGGTGTGATATCGAGGGCCAGAGGGAAAGAAAGAGAGAGAGAGAGAGAGAGAGAGAGAGAGAGTACGACCTGTGACGCCATCGCAGCATCCTCATTGGAGGCGGAGAGGGAGAGGACGGTGGGGTTCATTTGTTGCCATAGTGAAAAAGTAGATTACGCACCAACAGCATGATGCGCTGATGGACGCGTGAGGGATGCTGTGTTTCGCCAGGGACATTCACCTGTCCTGCAACCAAAGGTACGTAACTTCTCTTATTTTCCAGTCTCTGACCGAGTAGAGACCATTTCTTGTGCATTTATTTCACCTAAAGCAATCAAGTTCAGATGCACCTCAAAGTGCCGCATACAACCAGTAACAAACGATCACTTCTATAACATTCCAGAGAGAAGAGGTGCAGGCTATTCACTTGGCGCTGATAAGGACAACTAATGTGTTCTAATCTCGTAAAATTCCATCCTTTGCAAAGCTTGATGTAACGTCAGCGACAGGGCAGGTTCAGGAAATAAAAGTCGTTTTATTTTATTTTGAAATGGAATATTTTTTTGCCCATTTGCCCCCGAGAGATTGATTTCTTAATAAGAAAATCCCAGAACCAATCGCTGTCATGCCATTAAAAACAGACAATAAGTCCGACTTTTGCCAGCCAGCGGCAGATATGACCGGAGACGTCCGCAGCGAAGCAGGACGTCTCCATTAGATTTGTATTGATTTTTGTTTTCCTATGTCGTTAATGATTTGATCTCCGTGGGTCTTTTAAGTGGATGCCAGGGCGAAACTGTAAGCCCGCGGCATTAGGTTAATTGCGTGCTACTCCCGGGACGGCTGTGGAACTTGAAACGTTGAATCGATCGCATCCACTGCGTCGTTATCCGAGAACCGGTGTCACCTCGGATGTCTGCGATCGGACTGACGGTCCGTCTTCATACTGCAAATTAGGAATCAGAGCACCAGACAGACGCAGAGTGGAATGCAGGGAAATGCAAAAATATAACATAACGAACGAAGAAAAAGTCACGATATCAAACAAATCACTGCGCCGGGTTTGACCACACACGGCCCGGTGTCCCGCTGTGTCTCATCTGTCCTTTGTCCCCCTCTGCTGGCGCGACTTTACACATCCCGCCCGACTCGGGAACCCTGTAAAACACACGTGCTGGCCAAGAAGCTGCGTGAATGATGCGTGTTGAAGCCTTTAACTCGCATCTTATTTTGTTAAGAGTGGAACAAAACATAAATGAGAAACCGTGACGTGGAACCGGAACTCGGCTCTGATTGGCTGAATCCCTCTCGAGCCCGGTAACAGGTGTCATGTCGAATTCTGCACCCCGAATAGTCTCCTTCGCTGCGTTGTTGTAACGGTAAAGTTGATGACTTTTTAATGTTAAATATGATAAAAGTGGATTTGTGGGAATAGTGGGATCACAAATTGACGAGGAGACAGTGTTAGCGACGTAAACGCTAGTGGAGCAGCCTTTAAGCTAGGCTAACGTCCGCGGGATAATTCCGCTAACGTTAGCTAGCCGTTAGCCATAAAGTAGCGCAGCACTAGCTTAAAGTTCCCTGAAAAGATTTGAACTGGTAACATGCAACTGTTAACTCGTGCACGTGTAAACGTTTGACACACAAACGTAACGTTTAGTCTGCGGACCATCTGCTAGCTTGAGTGGTAACGTTTAGGAAGAGGTGTGATAAAGGATAGCAGGAAATAAATGCTCAAAAAAATGTGTGAAAAAACACGTGAGACCAAAAGGCCAAGAGGCTAACTTAAATTTAAATGTTGGGATTTGGGTCAAATTAGAACGGTAACATTTGGGCGGATGAGTTGGGGGGGAGAAGAGCGGAGGGCGTGAGGAGAGAGGAGGAGGAGGAGGAGGAGGACGAAAGGGTTGTGATGAAGAAGAGAGGTGTTTGGAGACAGGCTCAGGTGTGCGTGACTGGAAAACGTCTCGAGCTGCTCACAGGCTGCTGGGTGAGTGTGTGTCTGTGTGTGAGCGTGTGTGACAGTAAACGTCGGGCTGCACATTATATCGGCAGCATCTTTCCTCTGCGGCAGCAACTTGGAAACCTAATTATCGAGCGGCACCGTGCAAGTGACGCCGGGAGGGGACACAGATTCACATACGGTGAGGTTTACAATTTAACCGAATCCATGAAAGACAAATGCATTTCTTCAGACTTCCTCCCTTCCCCGCTCAATATTCTGCTCAGAGTGATTTTGTCGCACTTTGCTATCACCTATTGTTCTTGCGGTGTTTATTTAAAAGGGATTCGCCTTCCAAGTGACTTCTGGACAATTCATCCTTGAATCGTAAAGGTCACACCTAGTAGAGACGTTACCCGGTTAAAAAAAAAGAGAGAGAGAGAGAGAGAGCAGCCGGTTGCACCGACACCAGCGGTAGGAAATCAATTCACGCGAATAAGACGGAGAGGGATCAGAAACGCTGTTTACACCCGCGCATTCTGTGGCCGTGCTCATTTCAGACCGTGTCTCTGTCATGCCTTTGCACCAGTCGCTTGTTAAAAAAAAAGACCAAATACGTGTTTGTTCGATTTGGTGCAAATGACGGACTCTTGATATCTCTCCCGTTGCGGGGGGATCGGATGCGCGGCGCTGCGCCAGTCCTCGTCGTCGTTATTATTGTTGTTGCTGTTATTGTGGTCTCGGATCTGATTTTGATCGTGTCAGTATGGGGGGGGGGGGAGTCTGTGAGAAAACATTGGCAGGAAGAAGTGATGTCAAGGTCCGAGCTGCTGTGGAAGAGCAAAGCTGTGTCACACCTGGTCGGCGCAGGGCAGCAGGTAAACCCGTGAGTGCGTCGTCCCTCTCCGACAACACACACTCATGTATTATTAATAATATACAAGTAGTTTGCGGTGGCTCACCTTGGCTCGGTGTAGGTATTTGTCTTTATCGCATGCATGAAATGTGTTTCCAGAGATTCTGATGGTGTTTGACATTGTCCCATGCCTTTATTGTCATATAAGGTCATTGAGTGTCAGTCTTATTTATTTAGTGGGACTTGAGAGGGAATACAAATTTGCTGAAGCAGTCTGGCAAAATACACTAGAGACACAAACGTGATTGTCTCTTAGCCCGAGCGATGTGGTCCGGGGAAACAGGAAAAGCTCCCAGTGGCACTTTGAGGATTCTGATCACAAGGCAGCCGTTGGTGATGAAAGCACCTTGTTTTTCCAGGAAATAACTAAAGCTCCCCAAAAAAAATTGTGACTCCCTTGACTTGTGTACATCAGAAAAGGTGTATGACCAATTTGGGTTGCCGGAGAATCAGGTGTCAGGTGATGGGGCACATTTACTTTGTGTTCATTGAGGTTTCTCTAGAAGGATTTCCATAGCAAAATTTAACCGGTCAAAATATGCTGCGACAAAGCTTTTACGGTCAAGAGAGCAACAACAATCGATTTTGAAAACTCCAGATGCTGCCCATCATCTATTACAAACACAAATGTCTGTGCGTCATTCAGAAGAGAAAATAAATGTGCCCGTGGATTCGTTTAGATGAATTCGAATTTTTATGGTCCTGACTAATGAATAGTAAATTAAAGGCTTTCACAACACATAAAACAGTGTATCAGCACTAATGAAACTTGGCGAATTAAAGCAAGACAGAGAGGGTGGGCAGTTTGTCTCTGCCTATGTGCACTCAGTGTGTGTCTGTGCGGTGATTTGGAAGGTTCTTATAATGCCCTCGTGCGTAGTTTGAATAGGCCGATGGATATAAATGCCTAATGGCGTGTGCAAGATGTTTGTTTGGGGGATGAGGATTTTCTTTTCTTTCCCCCGGAGCTACAGTTAGGCCTGCGCAAGAGAGAGAGAGAGAGAGAGAGAGAGACACACAGAGGGAGAGCGCCACAGAGAGTGTAAGAGGGAGAGAGAGAGAGTCATACGGGAGGATTGCAAGTCTCGTCTCAGTGAGAGGGAACCGGCTGGTGGAATGGTGCTGATGAGAGGGAGGGTTAAAAGATCACCATATGACAATAACGGCCCAGTAGACTTCAAGGATGGGGGACAGAGACATTGCGTCATTGGTGGAGACACAGTGTGTGTGTGTGTGTGTGTGTGTGAGAGAGGGAGTGCGCAGACTTTAGTTTGACATGTTCATTAATAGCGCAGCAGTTAGCCTGTTGCCTTCTTGGCACTTTCACGTTAATTACATTCAGTGAGACTTTCTGTCCCTTGATGCCTCTTTTTATCAGTCTCTTCTCTTTCCCGTCCACTCTCCCTCTCTGGCTCTGTCTCTCGTCCTCTACCTCTTTTCTCTTCACTCCCCAGCTACCCTCGTTCTGTTTTCTAATGCACTCTGTTTTTCCTTCCATTCCTTCGTGTCCCTCTCATCCTCTCTATATATTTCTATAATTCACTCCACTCCACCTTCTTATCTCTTTCTCCCCCCTTTTCTCCCTGCACCCTTTCCCTACGCAGCTCCTTGTCATAACCTAGATCTGGTTTTGCAAACTGCTTTTCTCTATGGCTGTTAGGTATTTGTGTAGAACTGATATTAAGGTGGCTACTTTAAAGTTCACTCAGAATCAAAGCAAAATGGTTCAGACACTTGAAGAACAACATGGAGTTCTTTTGGATGCTCATCACGGCTTTTCACTCCTCAGGGACCATGAGCATAATATATTGAAGAAATATATGTGACAGCCAATCGTTTTATGGGACTTTGTCGGTGTCACAGTTTCACGAGTGATTGCTGTGTAAAACTTTGTAAGACACCTAAGTATTCCTCCCAGCAGCTGTGAAGTGTGATACAACGTATCGTTTGTGTTATTGATATTCCGCTGACACTGGTGACCGTGGTGCCTCGGCTCAGGTCCCAATGATTTAGGGCTCCGCACCGGTGATAAAAGGGCAAAGCCATGAAGCTGGGCCAGAGTCTGTAAACGGCCCTGATACATAAATAAAGACCACTGGTCTACGGCCGATTCTCTAGATGTCATATTAATCTTCATTAAGAACCATGAGCAGCAGCTCATTATGGTGGTCACTGTAATGGCCATTGCAATGGACATTATGTACATTTTATTTGCACAGTTTGCGTACCCATGTCAATTAAAAGATCAACCTCCATAAGGTAAAGGGAAAAATACGAGCACAGTAGATGTAGCTCAAAAGACACAAGACTGATTTGCTGTTCATCTGATGTTCAATGAGTTATACACATTACCATCCCACATTATTACATTACATTATATTTAGCTGACGCTTTTATCCAAAGCGACTTACATTACACTTTAAACCCATGGCTTTTCACATTTTGCCCGGGGAGCAATTAGGGGTTAGGTGTCTTGCTCAGGGACACTTCAACTTGAGACATGGAGCAGCCGGGACTCGAACCACCAACCTTGCGGTTCATTATAGTTGTTACTGTATTCCAATGCTGCTTACTTTATGATGAACTTGACTCTTCTCAATACATGCACAACACGTGTATTGATCCACATGAAACCTGCATCTTATGATAAAGTAAAAGTGTACGGTTTATGTGAAAAGGTCTGTCTGTTCCCTGTCACCTGTTAGTGAGGAGACCAACTCTACATTTTAATTGGGGGAGCCTGAAGTTTTTTCAGCCAATGAGACTAAGCCCAGATTTTCTTTTTGATTCCCCAGGTTGCACTGCTGCACCTATCTCAGCCCTTGCAGTGATGGTACCACTCTGAAATCCGAGGCGCAAGAACGACAAGTCAAAAGAAAGGAATACATTTTCATCCACTCATAAAAACTCCTCTGTGCCACAAGCTTCTGCCATGGCCATGAAAAATGTTTCTCGGACAAGTAGTTTCCTGTGACGGCACAGCGCAAAATATGAGATCCGCTTCCCCTATGTTGCCTCAACAGGCCAAGATGATGCTTTGGCTGCTGCTAGTTCTCTCCATTTGGGTTGGATCTTATCAAGCTGAATCGGCCCAGTCCGAACGACGGGTTGTAACACACATACCCGGTGACATCATCATCGGAGCTTTGTTCTCCGTCCATCATCAGCCTCCTGCTGACAAGGTACACTTGTGTTTTTGTCTGCAGGGTGGTTTGTTTGTCATAGTTTTTGTCCATTTTGAGACCGAAGATAATGTGTGGTCACCCTCTGGAAGTTCAAACAGAAAATGGATACAATTATGTTCAGAAGAACTATGGGAAAGCATTTTGGGGCAAATTTGCAATCCATTTTGCAGAGTTATAACGCTGCTCTGCTTAGTAAAACCAAATTTTATTTGTAGAGATGTCCAAGAACCTTCAACCTACAATTTCTTCCCCAGTAACGATTGAAATGTCAAATTGTAAATAGGAAAAAATCTCTCTTTGACTGTGGCCATGTAAATATAAAACCGATATTAGCCCAGCAGTAAAGCAGGCATTTGTTAAAGCCGCATTTAAAAAAATACGCTAACTGTTCTTCCCGGCCGCTAAAACAATGAGTCCAAATAATTAATTCGTAGTGACAAGCATTCTTATCTAAATGCCAGTTCAAATTCCCTCGATCTCGTCTTCCGCCCTGTCAACACAGGTGCACGAGCGCAAGTGCGGTGCGGTGCGAGAGCAGTACGGCATCCAGAGGGTCGAGGCCATGATGTACACGCTGGACCGCATCAACACCGACCCCAACATCCTCCCCAACATCTCCCTGGGCTGCGAGATCCGGGACTCCTGCTGGCACTCCGCCGTGGCTCTGGAACAGAGCATCGAGTTCATACGGGACTCGCTCGTCTCCTCTGACGAGGCCGAGGAGTGGGGGGGAGGAGGTCCCATGGGAGGGGGAGGCGGAGGAGGGACGTCGGTGAAGTGCGCCGACCCCTCCGCCACTCCGATGCGGGGGAAGAAGCCCATCGTGGGTTTGATTGGACCGGGGTCGAGCTCGGTGGCCATCCAGGTCCAGAACCTTCTACAGCTGTTCAACATACCACAGATTGCCTACTCTGCCACCAGCATGGACCTCAGTGACAAGGTGAGGCCGCGCACCTGTCGACCAGCATGTAGCCCGTGGAGTGTGGTGCAGCTGTGGAGAGAATGCAGTGCTGCTCCTTTAATGTGACTTTGATTCATTTATGTCTGACTCAAATGTTTGCTGAATTGAATGTTCCAGATGCTCCCGTGTAACTCTGCCTCTCATTGATTTTGTCTCGATGATTCCAGAGCCTTTACAAGTACTTCATGCGGGTGGTGCCTTCGGATGCCCAGCAGGCAAGAGCTATGGTGGACATCGTCAAGAGATACAACTGGAGCTACGTCTCTGCCATACACACCGAAGGTACAACCACCCACTCACTCTTTTAAGCTCCTCTGCTAAGCTCAGAGACACACACACAGACCCGTTGGTCTTTTCCCTTTCCTTGTTCGCTTGTTCTCTCTCTGCCTTGTTAAACAGCATTCTTGAGTCCTCATTAAATGTATTTACCTGGAACTCATCCGGAGTGAAAATAGACGGAACAGCAGTCCAAGGGTAGAGCAGAAAGGTTTTCAAACAAAACAGAAGTAGTTTCAGCACATAGAGGGAATTTGTTCATCTTATTTCAATTTAGTTTATTTCTTTATAATGTAGATGTAATAAAACTCTGAAGGGTAAGTGTGTGTTCGCTGTGTACATGTATGTAAGTGTATGCTACGTGTGGATACCAGTTTGCGCATTTGTGCATGTGTGTTAGAAAGAGAGAAACGTTTGTCTGTTTGTGTTGGTAATGCAGTGGGGGAGGTGTTCATAAATGAGCAAAAGACGTTGCAGTGACTCAGTAACTCTATTAGAAATGTTCTATTATAATTAATATGATTTAGTAATCAATAGATCTGTGCGTAGGAGTTGTTTTCAGTATAAGATGATTAAGTAAGCACTATTCTCAAATTAATTCCAGTATTTGTAAACGATGGTGCTATACACACAGTGTATATGTACATGGAGTATATTTGATCAATAATATAAACCCTAGTAACAACTAACTCTTAATCCTTCAAATTGAAAATGCAGAAGCATTTCCATGCAGATATTTAAAGGCTTTTGCTTTCTGTCATTATATTACATGATGGGTGACTAACAATCACCCTGCATATCTGACACAATTTGGTGTCAGAAATAAGACAAGATTTCCATGAGATCTCTGTATGAGTGTGTGCGTGTGTGTGTGTGTGTCTGTGTGTGTGTGCGCCTGCTAGTGTCCAGTGATCTTAGCGGCAACACAGGAAGCATCTTATGTGTGAAGGCATTTGTGTGTGAGAGAGCGCGAGACGCTGTGTGTGTGTGAGTTTTGTGTCTTTGTTTCCTCAGACACACAGGTTTGACCTTGGGACTGGCCCTGAAGGTTGACTACTGCCTTTTCAAGAGGGATAGAGAGCGGAGGGGGTGAGAAGAAACATAGGGTTTATCGAGGAAAAGAGGAAGAAGACAAACGGGGGGATAAGGGACAAGGGATGAGGAGAGAATATAATAGCGCCAGAAAACCACAGAGGACCAAGTACTTGAGATGGATAAAAGATTGAGAAAAGTGGCTTTGCTAGTTATAGCAACAAATACTACGTTTACTGTTTTCCATTGGGCTGAGGTGTGTGGGACTTTAGCAGACCGAGGAGAAGCTGTAGAGTCTAACCGTTTCTGGAATAAAGTCCAACATGTCGAGCACCTCTGGGTGACCAGCCTGTCGCCGAAGGTGCTCAGCTGCTTCAATGGCCGCTGTCAAGGAGATGGAGGTGTTGTACGTTGTCCTTTTGTAAGTCCACCACCATCCACTTCCATTACAGGACATGCACTCTACTGTAGCTGTACAGACTGTGTATGCACATGCTGTCCCGTAATTGATCACGATCTGGATCGTAAAACAAACTAAGGATTAAACGCATGCATGGTTGCATTTAGGTTTCGGTCTCCATTTAGTATTTCCCTGACGAGACTCCTGATGGCTCTTTTTCCGCCTCCATCTCCGCGCCCTCCATCACTCCGTTCAGTTTAATTCAATTCAGCTCAAGGGGTTTTATTGACACGGAATTTGACACGCGTCACCCAAGCGCGCTGCAACAGAAATTGATCAGTCCCACAATAAATCAAGAGGCCAACCATCTCCCCCCACCTCATCGCTCTCGCTCCCCTTTTTCACGTTTGCTTTATTTTTCCGTCATTCCTCTTCTCTCTCTCTCTGCTGACAGTGGGATGCGTTGTGGTGGGCAGATTATAGAATTTGCCCCCCCCACGCTCCCTCTTGAAAAAGTCTGTAATAAAAAAATAATATAGTAAAGTATTTGTTTTTTCATGGATGCGCGCACGTGGAGCTCGCACCAGCGGACATTCGACTAAGCCGCCCCGTCTGCCATTCGCCCGACTGCTCCCACGCCCCCTAAAGTTGGAAACCTAAGGGAAACACCGAAGCACATAGATTCAAAGTGACTCGGGCTGCTATAGCAGAACGCACGTTCTGGGAATCCATTTAAAGGCTTCTGTAAAGATAGATGGAGGGTGTGCCAGTCCCGAGGGAGCATTAAATAGAGATTTCCTTTTGGCACAGATGTTAGCGAGGTCATTAAAAGAGAAAAACTTCTGAGCTGTTGCCATTTTAAACCCTGTTTAAAGCATTTAGCCGAGCATGCTGGGAAATAGTTTCTAAACTATATGTAATTACCTTCACCTGTCCATGTGTAGGAGCACACAGATATTCAATCAGTGCAGATGATGTGCACCGATTGGGCATACATGTTCACGTGTTCTTTCCTCTATATTCACAAGAAGGTTTTCTGAGACATTCGTATTTCGTCTGAAATTAATGAAAAAGTATAAACCCACAGTTTTTTTTTTTTATGAGAAAGATTTTTTCTGCTACTCTACTGTGTTTTATTTTTGAGCAATAGACAGGAGCGAAATAAAGAAGTCATTAGAGGACAATCATTTGGGCTTCAACAAATTGTAATTGGCTTTTCATTTTCATAGACTAAGGGATTTACTGACTAATCAAGAAAACTACTGACGGATGAATCAATAAAGGACATAACTGCCAGCTGCAGCTCGAAATCGGGTGTTATGTCTCTCATTAACTTCACATTTACGTAGCACTTCCTCAATACATAGACTGATACCGATATAAACACAACTACATTGTACAGAGCTGGAGTCTGATACAGTATGCTGTGTTTGTGGTCGTGTGTGCGCGCGCTCTATTAGCTGTGTGATTCTGTAATCTTGTTTAACTCCGTGTTTGAGTGCGACTGTCAGCGAGCATCTGCCCCCCGGGGGAATTACTTCGTTTGTGACGTTCGGCTGCACGTTGTTGCAGCACCTCCAGATGTGACATGCGGTGGCGAGTGCATTGGTGAGGATGGAGGAGACGGCGGAGAGGAGAGAGTGACCGTCGGGAGGATTCCTTTCAGTCAATAACGATAACAACACTTCTAGTGCGTGTTGTTTTTCCTTTGGGCGAAACTGTGACCAGAGTGAACGAGTGTTGGAAAGAAGAACCGGACAAGGAAGGCAGAGGGGGGGAGGGGAGGGGACGTGTAATTGCATGTAATAGACCTGATAAGAGTGGCAGGTGGTTGAGGGTGGTAGTTGTAAAGGATGGCGGAAGGGTGAGAAGGAAACATTGGGGGAGAGACGCAGAGGCACCTGTCTCCGTCTCTTAAAATGTCCTTCCTGATTTACTGCTACGTGAGAGTGGGGGTTGGAGGAAGCAGGAAGAGGAGCTCCACTCTTCAGCTTTGCATTTGATTGCAATGTAATTTTCTGCAAAGTGTCAGATGAATAACAAGGACAGTCAAAGACAGAAGAGGGTCGAGGGCATGTGTGCAGCGCACAGTGAAAAAGGATTTCCGTTTATTTTTATTAATCCGGCATGTTTTTCCGACAGGAGAAGAAAATACTTTAAGCTGTTTTTCTTTTTTTTTTCTTTGTTTATCACTGAAACGATAGATTGAGATGTGGGGATTATATGCACACAGCTTTGTTGAGGAAATCAGCGCGATGTAAGAGGGACTAAAGCCCAGGGCGGTAAAGGGGTATAATGAAAACAGATTGAGTCCGTCAGACGGAGGTCACTACGTGCGTTGTGCGATGGTTTCACACAGGGGGCCACGCTGTTAATTAATACATTTAGAGCTACACAGACAACGTGTTCAAGGTGAATGGAAGTAAGCACGGGTTTCAATGTATTATCTGCTCCGAACTTAGAGATCTTGAGCTGGAGTGGAAGATTCCGTGTTCATTGGCACTCTGCTTTGCATGCGTAGAAGTCGAGATGACATTGTGACACGCGTCAACATTCTAAGATTGAGCCACAATAAGTCTGGCTGCCTTTTTAAATGGAATTTCAAGCCTGTGAAAAGTCGCCTTATTTAGGGCCGGGTAGAGTAAGAGCGTACAGACGCTTTGATCCACCGTGATGACAAACTGACGATTGTGCGGGTGTGTTTTTTCTTCTGGTCGGGCCGGGGGGGTAAGCATTCTGTGCCAGCGAGCGCTAGTAATATAAAGTAGCGTGGAACACATGTGTGTTTGAGGAATCGAGAGGCAGAGTGACAAAGAGTTGCATGACAGGCTTACGGAGTGTGTGAGAGAGAATGTGTGTGTGTGTGTGTGTGTGTGTGAGTGAGAGAGAAGGAGGGCGAGAGAGCTGTCTCGCACATAAATCCCCTTTGAGACCAGAGTGAAGTAGGTTACAAGCTTTATCGATTTTGATGAACAGTATGAATGTGTGCGTGTGTGTGTGTGTGTGTTAATATGTGCAGGGGAAGGACGGTCTGTACCATCTGTCTCCCAGTCCTCTCACTGAGACACTAATTACAGAACTTTACACTTCGCTCCACCACACATTGTCACACCCACACATACATACACGCACACACTGAGATGTAGTAGCGGTCAGTGATTGTGGGATGTCTTTCTACTTTCTGTGTCTTCTTCCTCTCTTTCGCCATTTTCTCTCTGTGTGCTTTCCTTCATTGCTTTTATATCTATTTTTCCACAACTACTGTTTGTTTCTACTGTATCTTTTTTTCGCCTCTGAGCTCTTCTTTAAGCCTCCTTAAGCAGAGATCAATAATACTTAGCAAGACTGCGTTCTACCGTATCATAATATCTTATACAATACTGTACGTTAGAACATGTGACCACCTCATCGGGTGAGAAAACAGAAAAAGACAATTTAGATGTTTTCTACCGCCAACACAGACCAGGGGAAGATGTAAAAGGGAGAAGCAGAGAAATTAAAGGGGGAATCCTATCATGTTCTTTGCCAGTGTGTACAACCATTCATTAGCATAAATTCCAGGTCACCCACTTTCTCTGGCGAAGAAACGGGTGCCACAGTGGGGAGATGCATTCTCCAACATGAATTTAAGCTTTCATGTGTAGACTGGTGGGGGGGCAAGTCTCTGCACTGGGCATGTTTTTGAAAATCAGACGGGATCAGGTGTCATCTTTTGCACTAAAATATATTGTCTGTCAGGATAATATTGTCATACATTTTTCATAGTGCATGTGTACCTTAGGTTGCAAAAACCTATATTAAATCTATTGTATATTTTCCCTACGTTTTATGGTTTTCCAGGCAATTATGGTGAAAGTGGGATGGAAGCATTCAAGGATATGGCAGCCAAGGAGGGCATCTGCATCGCCCACTCTGGTAAGATACTCAGTTCAAGACAACCACTGTTAACTAACTATTATGAATACTAAACATTGTTGTCAAGTTAGAAACTGCATTGAATTTTTGTGCGTGTACAGTTTGTATAAATGTTTAGTATTAGTATTTTTCCACAATTGAGCAGCGCTTTCTATCTAATTAAATTTTTAACAAGTGGACCATGGTGGCCGGCAGATAGAACAAATGTACCTGCCATCACAGCTTACAGGCATCCACTAAACAAGAAGCACAGTAAAGTAGACACACTGTGACAGAGAAACCCCAAAAGATGCTCACACAACCTTATGAGGCCGCAGAGATTCAAACATCCGCCACAAGAGCGTGTTTTGTCTTGACGCATTGTTGTTGTTTTTTTTATGTCTCAGGTAAAATCTGGAGCAATGCTGGAGAGCAGAGCTTCGACCGGCTGCTGGAGAGGCTGAGAGGCCACTTGCCCAAAGCCAGAGTGGTGGCCTGTTTCTGTGAAGGCATGACCGTCCGTAACATCCTCATGGCCATGAGACGCCAGGGACTGGTCGGAGAGTTCCTACTCATCGGCAGGTCAGTGGAAAGCGACACCGTGCCGTGCATGTGGAATGTTACGGGGATGATTAATATGACAGAGATGCAACAATCGGTGCTTGATTTCCTCTGCGTACGCTTTGGTCCTGGTTCAGTTTTTAAAGCCAGACGGCTGCATTGAACCTGTGTGATCCACTTGGGAATTTCCGCCACTGGATGTTTTTGAGGGCAGATGGAGAGGAAAAACCGTGCGCTCTTCTCTGATATAACCCTTTTAGGAGATCTATTTATGAGTGTAAACAGAGCCTTTAACGTTAAATTGTAAATATACACTCTGCATTGAGTGTAAATATACAGTCCTAAGGATAACCAGTCTGATGACCCCAAATACATCAGTCACTGAAATGAGCCGAACAGAGTTCTGACATTTCTTCTCAGTTTAGTTGTCTAGTTGTATTTACTTTTTGAAATATGCATTAATATATAGCAGTTGAGGTTATTAATTCACTTCTGCTACAGAAGTGTTCTCAATACGGTGTACTATATGCGGTTTTATCCAGCTCTTAAACACCACCAGTGGACAACCAGTAAGGTGTTATGTTATGACTAGTAAGCCAAACTCTAGTTTGAGTCTGCTTTGTAGAAGCTTTCACAGGCTTTCACAGACATGGATGTGCCCAGTTCATTCTGAGCCACGGAACCTCTGTGGCTTGTTCGTGGAACAATGTCCCCTGAAAAACGGTGGAGCGGTCGTCTTTGTATCACAAGGACAGGGAGCCTTTTGAATTGTGGCAAATAATCAAATAGACTGTGCTGCCAAACCGTACAGCAGGAGATGTCGTTGCCCTTCATACATTCACAATAACACACATGGACCGACACGCTGTTTTTTCTGTGGTGGTTTTCACATTAAGCCTTGCACTCGCTCAGATGTGTAGGTCCTCCTACATATCAGTTGCAAAAATAACCTAATGGGTTGTTTTTAATCTACATCGGTGCATGTGTATTTCTAAATGTGTGTGTGTATTTTTTTTTTTATTCCAACTGTGTAATGACTATACAATGGATGATGATTTTCACACTTATGCCAGCCAATATGCAGAAGAAAATAGACTCAGTAGACTGGACCCATAATCGTGTTTTTACTGTGATGCCACAAATGTAATTCTATTCTGCTCTTCCCGCAGCGACCTGCGCTGCGTAACTAAATCGTAGCCCCCTTTTTGTTGTCATCGCCACCACGATGCTCATTTTCATCCCCCTCATCTTACTCATCGTCATCATCATCTACATCATCACCATCGGCGTTGTCACCCTGCCGAGAGTCAGGTAAAGTACCGAACCACCATACCAGTGTTTCCCTTCCACCGTTCTACGGTGTGGGCACCCACAGATGCGCACTTGCACACACGAGTGAGCACACTCCACCTTGTTCTCAGTCAAAATTTAAGCGCCGCAGAAACAGGGGCTTATTTTCTCAGCAGCGATAGATTGAATTCCAATGGTGCTACAATTAGAACTTTAACTAGTTTTCACATTATTTTCAGCGCTCCAATGAGGCTTCGGTGTATCAACCACTCATCTGTTTTGGTTTCACCATATTCCCATGCATGCAGAGAATGCCTTTAGCTAGTCCGCAGTGCTTTTTTTGTTGACATAACCACTTCGCCGAGTGCTTGAACAAGCGGGCCGCTGTGCTGCTGTGTCGCTCATAGTGTGAACACAGCATGAGAAGGACTCTTCCAATAAACCCTGTTTTGGGGTTTTGGCGTTGAGGGTTGTCTTCTTTGTTGCTGGTTTGTCCTCGTTTCTTGTGGTGGTTAATCAGAGCACTTGCATGGAAGCGAGTGGGATAGTGTTATTTGATATTAAATCTGTATTTCTTAGAGAATTTTAGCTGACGTTAGCGGTTGCCAAATTAACATAACTTGCTAAATGAATGTGAAGTTACCTTAAATGATGCAACATAATCTATGCTCTATAAATTCAACCTCTCACACCTTTTTGCTTTCTGCTTGTGTGAAGAACATAGCTGTACAGTGTAACATGTATTCCTCCATCTCTGGCCAGTCTGTCTTGATTAGGTAGGTTAATTGAATATCTGCCTTTCGTTAGCGTCAGTATCGTAAACGGACTGTAGTTGTAAATTGGAGATGGTTGCGGGTGGGTGCCTCACCTCTAACTGCAGGGCTGTGAAAGGAACTCGTGATTAGTCCAGCTGGGCGGACACCCGGATAATTACATTACCACAAGAGCGCTCGGGAGATTATTCAGTTACACAGGCCAGATAAGCATGTTCATTAATAGACTACCACAAGATCTACAGACCGCAGTTTGACTGTTGAGATGGCCCGTTTCTACCAGATGAATCCTCAGTTTTTTAAATCTTTATTTTCAAACCGCTCCAAGGGAACTTATTTTGAGAAACACTTTAATAAAACCCCCTTTAACAGACATAACCCCCTTCTACTATCAGTGTGATGTAGACTCACCTTTTAAATGTTCGCTATTTTCCATTTTTGAAAACTCCCAAATAAACATTGCAGTGACATTTCACTTTTAATAAACAGATACATTAGTGTGTGTCTGCTCGGTGTACTTCTACAGGCATAGTTCAATTCAGTCATTTATTAGAGAGGCCAAGTTCAAACTGTATGACTGTGATATCCACTCGCTGACGAGCGAAAAGCCCCAAGAGAGCTCGACCCGGGTTGAGGGGTCGCCTGGAATAGAAGCTTCACTCTGTTGTATTTGCAATGCGCACCAAAGCTGTTGTGGCCGCCGGAGGAAGCAGGCTATGAATATTAAAGACTTGTGGAAACCGGCCATTCTGCGAAACAAGGAAAGGACATATTGAAGTAAAGAGAAGTAAAAATCCTGTCTCAGGCAAGTCATGTACCGTGTCACTTCTCGCGTGCCTTTACAACAAAAGGGTTGATAATGACATTGACATAATATTCCATAAACATTAGCAACTTATATAAATTCAGGATTATTTATATAAAAGTTTGCACGTGGTCACTTTAAAAGGCTTCAGCAAACGCTCATTTTCACTGTTTCTTTTTAAAATTGTATTGAAATCTAGAAATAATCTAAATCACTTCCTGCGGCTAAATACTACATCTGCTGTGAGACACACAGTCTGGATTTGGAGCCTGAGTGTATTGATTGCTTCCGTCCTATAATTCCTCTCTGTGCCATCAGGCTAGAGAGCTATTATGAATAGCTTGGATGAGATAAATATCTGGCCACATGAGATCCACCACCACCACATACACCATCACTTACGCATTGATACATTTACACACACACACACACACACGGGCAGTAATTCAGATGGGCTCATGTCAATATATTTCCCATTAATCAGCTAAATAACCTCTTTTGTCTGTCTTCAGGCAGAACGTCTTCTCCTTTCTCAAATTCAAATGATGTTTTATCAATGCTACTTAAATTAATCTGTTTCAGCCCTCGGTTGTAAAATTGCACGTTCTCATTACATATTTTGCCGCCATACATGACATCCGCCACTCAAAATGCACATTTGATTAGTCAAACAGCCTGCTGTGGTGATGTCTCCTTGCCAGAGCCCTGTAGCGACGGACAAATGCTATCTGACCTGTTGGCCTACAAAATAATCACAAACCGTTAATCCTGTATAATGACGTAGTTCAGAAAGATCACAGATTGTGTGTGTTTGTGGTTTTATACACTGTATTGCATCACAGTATGTGTTAGTCTGTGAAGAGATTGCATAGATGTATGGCCCAATGGTTCAGGCTTCAGAAGCTTAAGACGGTATTTACCATCCTTTACACAAACACACGCACATGTGCAGACAAAATGTATTGTCCCTCCTTGGAATAAATGTCTATCCAGACCATGTGGGGCAGTCTGATTATGACATCTTATGGTTTCACTCCTCACCAATAATATCCATGCAGTTAGGCCTGCTCCGTATGGCCAAAATCCATTTCACAGTATTTAGAAAGATTCTTTAGATTCATTCAGATTTTCATGTAGCAACAGAATTACTTCTTGTTGTAGGGTCATTTTTATAAATGTACAATTATTAGTGTTACAAATTGTTTATGTGTCACAAGCCGTTTTGTCGTCGTGTTTTGCCCTGTTAAAGAGTGTTTATTGTGGGTTATTCATTGTCATAAAGTTATAACCATGACTCAATCTCAACACGTGTCAAGTAGCTCCGACCGCTGCGCCCTCCACGATGACGTGTATAAATAAATTTCATAAATGCCAAAGAGCAGTTGTTATGGCGTCACACCGGTATGAACGGTACGTGGGAAATTCATATCGTACGGAAATCTTATACCGGTATTCCGTGCAGCCCTACATGCAGTTCATGGTCAGTCATTTCATTTTGAAATATGTTATTATCACTAGCACTGTTCCTTGTAGATGATACCATGTGCCCACCTCACCATTTATAAATGCCGTAATTTTCTGATTTTTTTTTGCAGCAACTGATTTGAGGGAAACATTTGCTGTGTTGTGGGTGTCCTTAACTAAGTTTAAATAAAATCAGCCAAAATTGTATAAGTAATGAAGTGAAAATGCAAATTATATAACAATTTAATGGATGGGAAAAAACAACAATTAATGTAATTTTGTGTAGTGTCGTTCCATTTCCATGGCAGCCAAAATGGTTACTACCTCTGTTTGTATGAGGCGGATATATTCAAACAAAAGGAACACCGTGTTGCATGAACTGAAAGAGAATAGTTTGAATCAAAAGTCAAAAATCAGACTCTCTGTGGAGATCATCCAGCACAAGTGTGCACCCCTTCTGCCTCCTGTTGCCATGGAAATATCCCCTACCATATTTGGATGAATCCCGCATAGCAGCTGGGGTGCTATGTGGCGCATGCGCATGTGTTTCTATGAATGGCTATGTACATGTGTGGGTGCATAAACGTGTGTGTGTGTGTGTGTGTGTGTGTCATACAGAGAAGGACATATCTTGGATTAAAGGCTCATTGATAACGCTAATAGCAATTTCAGTGAAATTAAGACTTCTG